ATCAGATTCTGCAAACAAACAGCTTTTCAAACGAACTCAATTTTATTTCGATCTATTTTTAACATTGAAAAAGTTATTACATCTTTCGCAATTTCTCGATGCAAAATAATGTCATCATGAAAAGAGACTTTTGGATTATCCGTTTTGTGGATCCTATTTCAAGCATTTCCAGAGAAATATGAACCACGCCATTTTTGTGACAACGTTACAATTCAATTTTCTGCAGCTGCTGTCTTTAGAGCGTGGTTCAGCAAACCAACTCAATTTCTAACAATTTCCCAATTTGCAGAATAAAATTGTCGATTTTCTTCCATTTTTGTTACCAATCGCTTTCAATAAACGATTTTTTTTTTTTTTTTGTCAACAATCTTGTTTTTGCACATTTTATGAAAAGCGAATGCAAATGAACGCAAAAGATGCGACGTCTATGCAAATAGCGTCGCTCGCCGGACTCAACGACGATGGATCATTTTTGAGGAATTGTAGGGATGCGTCAAACGGATGAAACATGCAAAAAGTCCGTCGTTTCCTGAATAAAACTATGGGGTTTGTGAGCGAGCGCCACTTGGGACGGAAGCTTGTCAATGAAACCTTAGAAGTTTGTAATTTCAAGATGGATTACATTGTTCTCTCGAGGGAGGAAAAGAGTGGTTTTGAGAGTTTGTAAAAAGTAACGTGTTTCAAGCGGAAAGTCTACAAATACTTTAATTTTCAGATGTTTTCCAGAGAGCTCTTTCAGATGTCTCAAGCTTTTTCCACAAATCCGCTGGCACTCATTCCGCAAGCGCTGAAAAGCTAAAGTGTCCGTCACCCTTGTTGAGTCAACCATGCGAGCCCTTGGAATGCCCTTTCAGGTCAAACATGAAAATAGGCCGCGAATAGACAATTTCTTTTGCGTGTGCGCGCTCGCCGCATTTTTAGTAATCTTTTATTGCATACGAACATAAAAACAGCCACGAATCACTAGAATATTATATGTTTGTCCAGTTCAACCAAGCGCAAACCGTTCATGTTTCAAGGTTGATGACGCTTTTCCGATTGATTCTTCGACCGACCAGACCAAGCCAGCAAAAGTCATTGCGAACACAAAACGATTAGGAGACGCTGTAGTGTGATGCCAATGAAAAGAAAAATAAAAACATCTGGTTGATGACAGCCGGCACGTGCTTCCGAACACCTGCTACTAGGTCCCGCTTCAGCTGTCGTCTCGTTTACTGAACACGTGTCAATCGCCACCGAATCCAAATCGCCCGGCGGCTCCCTTGCTCATTTTCTCATTTTCTCTCGGTCCCCCTTCATCACCTCGTGTTTTTTTCTCTTTTCCAACCAACCAACCTATTCATCTACTGCGCCTCGCCTCAGCTTTTCGTTACCGATCGCTGGTAAACAAAGAGTTTTGAAAGATGATCTGCTCTTTCCCGCACTGTTGTCTTGTCTTCTTTCTTTTCTCCATCGCGCCCAGGCTTAGACTCAGACACCTTGGAAAAACAGAAAAAAAGTCTTGTTTTCTGTTATCATTGAATTGACGTGAGCAGTGTCAGTATATAAGCTTCTCATTATCATTATATTATCCGATGAGCCAAGAGGAGAGCCTTTTGAAAATAACTAGTGTGCAATGTGCAACTGCCAAAACTATATCATTTTTTCGGGGGTAGCTCGGCGTTCACGTGACGGTCAACAAAAACAACAACATTGGCTGCGCTCGTTCGCTTTTTTGCTGCTACTATAGTGAGTGGGAGATGAAATAATCCGAATGCGTTTCGTCCATTTCAACTTGTAAGAAGCGCCACCCAAACATAGTTTTTTTTTCCAATTTTAGTGGACCTCTTGAAAGGAAGCGACCACTTATTTCTTTTCCTTTTTCCTATTCTTATTCCCCACTGACTAGAGTTTGTTGGAACCGCAATCTCCTGAGTAGGTTCAGTGTCCTTCTTTTCTAATTACGCTCCAAGTGGCAGGAAAGAAGAAGAAGAAGAAGAGAGCTTTCATTTTGTGTCGAATCCAATATCGTTGTCGTTTTCATCTGAACCTCTGTAATTTTTTCTGCGAAAGCCCGTGATGTGAAATCTATTGAAGCGTAAGAGGAGAGCAATTTCCGATACGTCCAGATGTTCAAATCGCATTACTCACCATTGCCAAACAGACGCACCCGGTACCCTTGGGCTTTCGGTATGCACAACCATTAAGTGTGCTTGTGGTGGACAGGGTTTAGCCTCTGACGGAGAAGGCATTGGGGGAGCGTTTATTTGGAAAACTAGGGGGAGGACAGCCTAATCCATGTTCTAAATGGAGAGGCCAACAGCTTGCGGAACAGACCTTCCGGGCGACGAACAATTGTCGACGACGTCGGGAGCTTGTCTAGGCAATCGAGGACGGCTGTTCGTAACCCGGCCGGGTGGTCGTTCTGAAGTATTGATCTGTCGCGTCACCAGAGTCTCGCTCGTCTTCCTCTTTTTCGCTATTGCCCCCGTCCGTCCCGTCCCGTCCCCGCGTGTGTGTGTGTGTGGCGTGGTATGTGTGTGTGTGTGTGTGTGTGTAAGTGTGTGCGCTATGAGTGTCAGAGAATTGACAGAGACCGAGACGGTTAGAAAGGGCCTGTGTGACCCCCTCTGCATATACTCCAATCGGCTAGTCTTCTTTCTCCAACTCGTTCTCCCTCCCACTTTTCCCCCTTTTTCCATCCATCCTCATCCTAGCCAAGAATGAATGTGCCCGAGCATCACTCTCACGCGTGGTCACTGCCCCCCCTTTTCACTTGGACGCGGCCTCCAACGCGTCTGCCCCCTCCTAGGTGACCACCGACCAGATACTGTAATGCCTGCCTGTCAAGGCGATCACTATCTGTACCGTCGACCGTGAGATAGACGAGTTTGTGGGCAAACTTTCGAAAAAGGAACTTCAGTTTTGGTCTTCAACACTTCTCACACTTTATATGCAAGGTGGGAAAGACTACAGTACCAGGTCGTGATTTGGTCACAGTGATAAAAAGTCATTCTCGCTCGCCTTCTCTTGACAACAAAGCAGAAAACTTTTCATTCGTTGACAAAACTGCGAGACTAACGGAACATTTCCCACGGCCTACGTGTAACACGTCTCCGTACCGATAATCCGTTGTCAAACCTCCCGAATTATGCAAATGATAGGGGCGGCACACTCGGTTGGGGTTAAAAACTAGCGTATTTGGTGCACTCGCCTCGCGAAAAGACTTACTGTCACACTTTCAACGATCTGACGTCGCCGACTTCCGATTCCTGACCTCGCTGAAAAACTGAAAAACCAAGATTGACAGAATTTTCGATCGAACAAATCGGTTTATGTCGCAATTTTCGTGGAATCCTGTCTAAATTTCGTGGTTCAACGGTGTTTCGGGCCTCTCATTGTGACGGCAAAGTGAGTTTTCGAATAATTTCGTTCATGTATGATATTCTCACAAAAAAGACTTACAGCAAGTGCATTGCCTGTCAATATCCGATTTGGACAGAAATCTGAAAAAAGGAAAATTTCTACTCTTTTCAAAACTCTCTTCTTTCTTTTCGCTGTCACTACTTTTCGAGCCACCCATGGTCCGCACCCTTCATCCATAATCTCATTTTTCTCATAACTCGGCCCGCGCACATCCACTTTCGTCCTCTCTCATCGCCTTCCTTTCTTCCTCAACAACTATGTACTACGCTTCTCGCCCGTTTTGAAAATCTTCTCTCGACCCAGAAGTCGGTCGTTCTCAGCCGGCTGTTGAATTGTGCCTCCGCCAGGCCAATGCTTTCTTATTTATCGTTTTTCCTGCAAAAAGCATGCGTTTTGTTTGTACAATTGCAAAATGGTTCCCCAAAATGCGGAAAAGGAAGGGAGCGAGGAGAACAAAAAAGAGAAAACGGCAATAATTTGATTAGAACGGCGGAGCCAATTGTTTTCTTTTTGGCTTTTTTGACTAATGATCAATCAATAAGTTTTGCATCGACCCTTACCCTAAAAACTGAAAATAGAAGTGAGGCGACGAAACTCTTATCACTGCAAAAAACGGAGAAAACTCGGTCAGACACATACCTATCAATTATACTGCCCCGGTACGTATTACCCCTCGTAACAACATATTTTCTGTCTGTCACACCTATCATTTTCATTTCCATCTTCCCCTTTCAAGCCCGTATTTTTCTTCAACGTGCAACACGAACACACGATTCTTTCGCGTCCTTCATAACCATTAATATTTCAGGTTGATTATACATTGTGGCGAATTATTTCAACTCGAAGAACTGGCGTGTTTAACTGGATCTCCTTCTATGTTTCTTTCTTTGATTGTGTAAGTTTTTTACTAAAATAATGTTTTGAGGTATGCAAAGTGTTTATTTCATACATTCATGACATGTAACGTAATGTAATGTAATGCAGCTTAAAATTCAATTTCAGCCTCTTTAATTTGATTTTTTCTATCCGAGCTGACACATCAAATGATTTTTCCCCAATCTTAGAGCAAAACGAAATGAATTGAATGTGTCTGTGTGTGAGGCGAAAAGAAAGCCGTTTAATGGGCCCTCTCCTCGGTTTTCCATTCATTTTGAGGCCAAATCCCAAATGACCGAGCGGCTCACTCAAATGGCAAAGCGGCGGTCCGTGTGTGCCCCGCGTTCCCATTGATGGGAATAGGATACAACTAGAATTTGGAAATGACGGCAATGGGAGAGAGAATGAAATCGAGAGGTGCTTGCCGGCCCGGATTTAGTTAGTCTCCGACACAAAGACATTGCTCATTCGCTCTCATTTTTCGCCTCTACATAATTTTTGAAACTCGCGGCAGTCTTTTAGCCTTGCTTGTCCAATTATTCGTATTGCATTGCGTAGGAGTGAAGTCTATTTGATGAGCTTTTCGTGGGAAAGGAAGTTCTTATTCTTCCTCTATCAAAGTTCATTTGCACTCTAACTCTTGTGCGTAATTTGCCGGAAAAGAAGGAGGGGATAAAGATGATGAAGAGGCGTTGGTTATTCGCATATTTGCAGATCGCATGTCGTCTCAGAATCGAGGTGCCCAGGGCACCAATAAGCCGAAAGCCGTACTTGTAAACACTCTTTTCTCTGGACGTAATCTCGCCCCCGGGCAACGGGGCACTGGTGAGTCAGATTGTTCAATGATTTCCAAAAATGAAGTTCTTTGTCAGACCCTAGCCGAAATGGCATGCAAAGTGTTGGAAAAGCAGCAAATGTGGTCCGCCGAATGCCCCCGCCTGCATCTTTGCCATCTCTGAGAGCCGAGAATAATGGACAAGATCCGACTACACCTGTGGTTCCTCAGGGTGAGATTTTGAGGGATTATGCGACTTGATGGGATTCTTCGACACTTGTATTTTTTATTTTTATAAAATCTGACGCAAGCGGGGTTGAGTTATCGTGATTTTCGATATTTCATCACCCAATGCCTTTTTTCCAAATCCAAATTTAGCCGCTCACCTTTCTGTTTACCGCTTTCGGTCCATTTCATAATCGAAAAAGTTCAGTAGCTGAGCCAGACCGGAAGTTTTCGGTCATCATTTGTTGTGTGGTCATTTCCGAGCGCCGAGCGAGCCAACTGAAAACTACTAGTAAGGCAGTGCACTTGACACTACTATACGAATACAAAGGAGAAAAGATTGGGGGAACCGAGAAGAGGGGTCTATCTGTCGCTGAAAGTGCCACCAATTCGAAGAAGTGAAGCTAATTAGAATGAATTGTGTGTGAGAGAGTGAGAAAGAGGAGTATGCATTCACATTGGCACAATGGGAAATTGAGAAGGCAAAAAAAGGGGAGATGATGCGGTAGACTCAGTCTATTTTCCACTTTTCTTTCGATTTCATTCACCAAAAATCACGCAAACTTTTTTGGAAAACATTCAAAGCACGCGCTTCTCACCAGACTTGTCGAAAATCAGCCCGGTTCTGATTTAGCACGAGCCCGTTTCTCACTCTTTTATTGATTCTTTTCTGATCTTGTGACTGGAAAACTCACGAGAATCCTGCGTTGGGTGGGGTAGTCGAGATAGCGAGCAAATTAGTGCGCGAATGAAGAGGAGAATGGGTATCGCACGTGCAGGTCGAATATTCTTTCCCGTTGTCATAGTATCGAGAATACCCCAAACATCTCCCCTTTCGACGACCCCCCCCCCCCTCTCCCCTCTTCCCGGCTTCTCACACTCTAATAACCCATTATCTCTATTTGTTTTGCAGGAGGTACTGGATGGAGTAAATCCGATAACCCGAACGCGACAGGAGACCGACCACAGACGCCGCCGCAACCTGCTGCACAACCCGCACCACCACCGCCGCCAACCAACGATCTACGACCTTCGTGGCTCGTCGCCGCCAACGCCGAGCAACAAGCGAACAACAGCCAGGCTAGAGAGTTTCCCTCACTGGCGCCACGAACCAACGACACTGACAAAGCTATTAGTGCGTTTATTTACATTTTTTTTTCAAGAGCCCATCTTACTGCTTCATTTCAGACAAGTTTGACAATTCAACAGCTGACGAGAACGCCGACGAAATGCAGGACGAAGAGTTCGAGGGCGGAGTGCCAACCCGATTCCTCGGAAGTCAATCTTCCCCGGACGCTTTCAACGCAAAATCCGTTACCATCAAACCTAGTCCCAACTCTAAGTACAATAAAATTAGTAAGTTGGCTCACAGTCAAAATAGCGTCCGACCGTGTTCAGCGGGAAGTCAAGACGTTCGGTGCCGACATCCTGAATTGGTTCACATCAAACAGTATTTTGAGCCCAAGCAAATTATTAAGTGTACGGCAGAGAAATGTTGTGATGGTGGCTTAGAATAGTGGAAAAATATACTTTCTGTGATTGTATGCCTCCGAATGCCTTTCTTTCTCTCAATAATTTTTCCCAAAACGAGCTGTCTCTCTCACACTTGTCCTCTCAGTTATTGTGTTTCTTGGTTTCGGGCTACGTCTTCATCTATTTCCAGCGCATAGGCCCCAAGATTTTGTTCATTACACCCTCCGCAAACTGCTCTTTTCAGGCGACGACGAGGGATTCGACTCGCTGGACCGAGATCGAAACGATTCGCCGGAGGAAGAGGGAAACTGGTCGTCGAACGGCTCGCAAATCCCGACTGATAGCTTTGGGCCGATTAAGGATACGGAGAACGACAACAATTTTCGACCCTACCTGAAGAGTGACGAACGACATTTTCGGGTGAGCAGACGGGAAATGGGACGGAGACAGGAAATTGGAAAGAGGGACGGAGAGATGAATGGGGGAGAATGGAAGAGGATTGAATAAATGAGATGCATTTTTTCTTCAGACAAGCGAAATTCGGATTCTAAAGCGAGCCACCGACCAGTTGCTACTTCAGGATATAAGCGACGACGAAGACGGTGAGCCCCTCCTCAGCATCTATTTTTCTGATTCGTTGTATCTGAATCGTGTCCTCCTTCGAGAGATTGTTTTTTTACAGCGTAGCAAAAGCAATAACCATTGAGAAAACTGTTTGGATAAGAGAAGAGACCATTTCGTCGGCCCGCTCCCCTCTCCCTTCTTCTCTTTTCCCTCTTTCTCTTCACGAACTTTTGCGGAACCGCGGAAAAGATTAGACGTTTGGTCAATGGAGAAAATTAAAAAATATTATAAGCACTAAACCATAATTGTTGATAAGATATCAATTGACCCGCTCGGTGCCCTTCGCCACCATTCGTTTTATTATCGTGTCACTTGATTGTGCCGCGTATCGATCGATTGCCACCCTATCATTCCCCTTTTTCTCTTCAGAGGTTCAAATGACGCGTCTCGACAAACCGTCTGTGTGCATCGTGAAGCGAGGAGGGGAAATCAAGTCGACCGACACTCCCGAATCGGAATCTAGCGACCACGGGCTGGAAGCGAATCCACCATCGCCCCCGCCGTCGACAGCCAAGACCGTCGAGAAAAGGGATCGGAAGGGCCGGAAAGATGGCAAAGGTTACAAAAAAGAAGTAAAGGAAAAGAGGACGGAGGTGCCAGCAGCCACAAGTGTACCGGCTCCGATGCCCACCGCTGCATCAGTTGATGCTCCACCACCAGTTGAGAAGGTAAATCTTTCCGGAAATCAGCAAAAACTAAACTTCCGCGTTTTCAGCCAACACCAATAGAAGAAGTGCTGCCAGCACCCCCTCCACAGGAAAATATCTGGGCTAAGCGACAGGAAGAACGAGAGTCCTTGGAGCGGGAGAAGGTATTAATTGAGTTATTCGCATTTACGCATTTTCAAATTACAGGAGAAAAATGTGATTCCACGAGTGATGCAACAAGCCATTGAACAGCACTTCCCCAAGGTTCACGACTCGGCGTCTATGAAAGTGAACAAAGAGTCGACACGGAAGTCAAGTGACACCGAGTTCGCTCGTGCTGCTATTCGAGCCCGGAAGCAGGCCACATCGAATGATGTTCGGAAGATGATAAGCACCGAGAACAGTGCTCGAATCAAGTCGAATCGATCGGCCGCTAACCAGGAAGCTAATGGTGAGTTGGAAGTTGTAAGGGCGAGTGGGCATTTCAATTTTATAGGAAGCGAACCGCGACCAGCTGATTGGGCAACCAAGTCAAACGGCGGTCCGAATGGCTATAGCAACGGAATGAATGGATCGAACGGCCAGAACGGAGTGCTTAAGAATCATCAGACTAACGGGAAATTTGCGGAGATCAACAATCGAGAACGCAAAGATTCACACCGAAGCAACGTAAGTCATTCTTTTTTCTTTTTCTTGTCCATTTCCGTTTCTTTTGTATCTTGGTCACCTACTGTAGTGAAAACATGATTCAGTCTACCCCGTATACTGTTAACATGTTTTTCCAGGAGTCCGGACCTCCTCGGAAGGGCGGACGTGGCGGTCGAAACCGCTACAAGAAGGTAACATGTTCGCATGTCCGTTCCGTTAGTTCGCTCCGGATTTGGAACAGAAAATAAATTTCTAATTTGCCTTCATTTAGTTCTATAATAATAGTAATACTATTCCGCTTCATTAATCTTTAGAGATCAGTTCTCGCAAAATTTTACAATTTCAGTTCAAGCTAATTATTTTTCAGAACTCTGATGATACACGAAAGCATGTGAATGGTCAGACGAAGAAGAAGGAGAACCAACGTGTGGAAGAGAAGTTGAACGAGAATGGAGAGGTCAAGAAGTTCAACATTGAGGACATGTCCAACATGAACATTGGCAGTTGGGCTGATGAAATGGAGAATATGGACGGATTCGAAGAGGTGAACAAAAAAAAGAAGAACAAGGTGCCTGAAAAAAGCCTATCGGCAAAGAACCAACCAAAACCCAATGTGGAACAGGAGAAGCAGCAGGCTGTGAGCAATAACAACAACAGTAAGATGAAGCCGAAAGATTCGAAGCAAGCAACTCGGCTCTTTGTGCCAAAAGCTTTACGAAAAGGTGAGAAATATACTCCGAGTTGCAGTTCTCATAGATTTTCGTTTCAGATGAAGACGACCTACCAGCCAATGGTTTGCTCAGTCCACAAAGCGTGGAAACCAAGGAGAAAATTGCTGCCGCCAAGACAAACGGCCCCGAGACGTCCACTTCCAAAAAACTGGATGACGAATCAAAAGGCGTCTGGGATGCCCTCACGCCTGCAGTTTCAACAATACCACGATCGAAAGAGTCACAAAAGAAGCCCGAAAGCCAGAACGTGGAGTTCCCAAAACCATCGGGAGTTGCATTGGATATTACCGCCTACGACTTTTCCTTCGATCCAAAGTTCAATGTAAGTCACTTGATGTCGATGCCAATAATATTATTCAATTCAGAATCCAATAATCTCGGACCGTGCAGCAATCCAGAAAATGCTATCCGCTGAGAATGCGGCTACCGACGCTGACGCGAACAGTCGAAAGAAGATTCTGAATGTTCTGAGCGAATCGATAGTTGACATGGGTCCGGTAGCAATGGCCAAGGTTGCGAGTTTCAATGAAGCGTTTGGATGTCGACCAAACAATAACATCAGTCTCGCGCCCTTCTCTAATCACTATTCTTCTTTCCAACCGCTCTACAACACTGGAAACGGTCAAGATCAGCAACAACAGCAACAGCAACAGCAAATGTACCCTTCTGCCGCCGCTTCGCCACCGATGAACTACCTCAACATGGTCAACTTCTCCAATTCTCTGCTGAAACGGTCGCCAGGATTCAATACCCCGGAAAACGGACTTCTCGGGAGGATACCTGCACCACCAGCAGTATCAGTGGCTGCCGCAGTCGCAGCGCAAAGGATTTGGAACGGTGGACATTTTGATCTAAATGCCATTGCTGGAACTCCGCCAGCAAATTTCACTTCGAATGGATCCTATGGATTCTTTAACAACGGATCGGGAAACAATGAAGTGAGTGTTTTTATTCGATTTCATTATTAAACGCAAAACATTTCAGCATCGAGCTCCGTTCGGCGGATTACCTAACGGTATGTCCAACGGTCTCAGCAATGTAGCAACTCCATACAACCTTCCGCCAGCGAACCTGGCAGTTGGAAGCCAACGACAAGGGAATATGTTCAACGGGAACATGAGCCGACAACAACCGCCACCGCCATCGGCACCATCTCATTCTCATCCGATGAACGGCACCAACGGATCATTCCCGCCGCAGCAAGGTTTCGGCCAACCACCGCCGGCCGGAATGTTGAGGTTTCCGCCGACAAATGGAACATCTCATCAGGAAGGCAACCCGTATTTCTTCAACAACGGCGGACGGGGACCGATTGGCCGACCTCCGGGACTCGCGACGAATGGACCATCAACTCCGCTGGACATGATTTGGTCGAACACCAACAACAATTACTTTGGCAATGCGGGACATTCCAATGGTAACTGGAACGGTGCATTGTCAGCGGCTGGTCCGCCAAGACAGAATGGCTATAATCAAAGTGTGAGTTTCTCGTTTTCAACGTGGACATTTTGTGTATATTGGCAGCAATTTTTCAGCAAATTCGCGATAATCAACAAATGAACAACCGAATGCGACGACCAGTTCAAGGCAACCGGCAAATATAATTCAGCTACTATGTATTCTAATTATTTTTTTCTTCTGCCTCTTTCCCTCTCCAACTCTCGCTCTGTCTCTCTCTTTGAAAGTTTTATTTTCAAACGCTGGCTTCAACCTTCTCCCCGAGTATGTCAAATTTGTCTTCGTCTCATGTTGTTCGAGTAATTTGTTTAAAATCGCATTCCGCTGAAAAAAAATCTAATCGATAAAAATGTCTTTTCCAGTCAATTGTATCTTTCGATATCATTCTGTCCGCTTCTATTTTATACAAATTATTTATGAATAATATTTTTGATGGCGTTGTTCACGAATCTGCTCTCATAACTCATCAACTTTCCAAAAATGTGGAACCTTCATTCTTATTGGTGACCTTTTTTCGTAATAAATAAGTCGCTATTTAAAATTGAACTGAACTTTTGCAGGTTTTTTTAGAAACTGTACATATATCGTTCGTTTTCCGAAGGAAACTAATGGACGATTTTCTAATTGCCACGTCGTTCAACACTGAATATTGTGGAATCAGTTCAGATCGGCCACCCGATCAACTGAACGTTTTGAGTCTGGAAAATCAGCACATAAACCGATAAAGATAAGAGTAGTTATTATGATTCATTTATTCGGAAGAAAATGCATTTAGGCGTCGAATTCGAGCAACTTCTTCGGTCCTGGCTTCGGTGGTCGCTTCGGTCCAGAAGTCCCTTCTGGATGTGGAATAGGAGGAGTGATTGGGTTGGGCTGCATTGCGAAATGATTTTCTCGTTTTGCCGGTTTGCTCCTTTTACAGGAGCTGTGTTTTACGATGTGGTCGTAACGCACGGGATGTTATAGCCCTTTTTGCATCTTTTATGGTTTATTGGGAAACGCGAAACAATAATTTTTGGAACCGATGTTTCTATGCATTTTGAGTATTTTCAATTTAAAAAGAAAGATCATTGATGATTCTATTTTGCAAATTGTTACAACACGTTTCGCATGATTCAGACTTCTTTTTCGGAATTTTCCAAAATGTTTTCCAAAAGTAGTAGCCCAATAATACATTTCCAGTGTACTTTGAAAGAAGGTCTCCATATCCCGTAATTAGTTGAGGAGACATTTCTGTGTCTCCTTGGAGTTCTTCTTTCCCAACTGTTGTGACGTTTACATTTTGAGTCACCTTTTCGCTGCTCTCCGCAGAATTATTGATAGAACCCGATGTTTATGCGGCCGTTTCTCAATATCAATGGAAATCTGAAAGTGTATTGTCCGCTTCTCTGTCATTTTTATGTTTCCGCAGCGCACGTCGAATCGATTAATCCGCGTGGCGTTTCTAGCTGGCCTTCTCCTTTTCTCTCTCGCGCCAACGTCTATGCTCCACTCTCTTCATTGCCCATCTCTCCCCCATTCGCTCTCCGTCCATTTTTGACCGCTCCCTGCCTTAGAGCGGCCTGGCGCTTTTTTTGTGAGCGTCGTCTCCTCGACGCACACGCTGTCGCTATTGATATTCCCTCCAAGCGCTTTCCTTTCTTTTCTTCTCTTGCTATTCATATTCTCGCTGGTTGAGAATTCAACGACCGTGGATAAAAAATGGGAAAAACGAGAGAAAGAGGAAGAAAGAAAGAGAGAAGGAAGAGAGAGTGTGAGACAGGAAAACAAAAAACTGTTTCCCTCCTGTCTTCTATTCTATTTGCGCTCCTTCGAACGGTCCTCATCAACATTCAATGTTTCTGACTCACATGCATGAATCGCACAGTAGACGAGCCGTTTTCCTTCTTTTCGCATTCAACATGTGTACTGCCTTGAAAAATTTTGAGGAAAATCAGAGTGATTTTCACAACGCGATTTGTCTTTTCTCCTCTTTTAACCTTCACTGCCTTTTCAGTGTTCCTTATCAGATTTATCGTTAAATCTAACATTTCGTTTTTCCAGGTAATGACTGCCAAGACGCTGAAAACTGAGGCCTACATCCAATTGCTCGAGAGCTGTCTTCCAAACGCCTGCGATGACGCTGTGTTCTCCATCAAGAAGCTGCTCGAGGACTGCGACAACATCGAGAAATGCCCTCCGTGTCTTCTCAAATTGACGGCAGACAAGCTTTTGTCCATTCTTGGTTCGCAAGAACAGAACTATGACAAGGTCATCGAGGTGCTGAAAAAGCGTGAGTTTCACAATGCTCCGTTCTTTCAGTGTACCCTCAAATTTCAGATGATTTGGAAACTGTCATCGCATGTTCTTCGTTCCTGCAAGGTCGTTCGGACATGATTGCGAAGGTTACGGAAGGCCTCCTCTCGAACACTGTTCACACTGATTTCGGCATCCGAGTTCACAAACATCATTTCGAAGTGAACTTGAACGGCATCCAGGTGTTTGTGAGTTCGAAGACCAAAGAGGAGTACTCCTTCCACTATCCGAAAATCGTCCTTCGTCAAGCGTTTCTGAAGATGATCAACATTATTCGTGTCACATTTTGCAGTACGTTCACCCCAATCCGCTTTTCACTCATTCAGTTTTAATTTAGCGGAAGGAGAGCTCACATACACGCAGCTGGCTGAACGCGCCAACCTGTTCTTGAACACCCTGAACCGTGTCAGCACGATCCCAGATCGATGGCACCCGGACGGGCTGACCAGATGGATTAGAATCGAGCTGGGCGGACAGAAGAGTCACACGTCGTTCTTCCGAGTGATGCCTGTCGACCTAAAACGATATCACTCCTGGGGATATGTGCTGTGAACGTCGATAACTTCATATCACTGTGTCCATCCGAATAAAGTTATTCTTCAATGTAGACTTTTGAACTGGTTCTCCGCTGGAATGTCCTTAAGGGGCAGCAATCTGGACATTTCCGTCTTTACCGCGACTGTAAGAGGTTGTCAAGTTGCCCCTAACAACCTGTTACAGTCGAAAGAAATTTAGAAATTAATCCATTTTAAGTCGATGATTTTGATTTTCAACCTGTTTTCGTTCCCAGAAGATGACAACATTGTTATCAACAAGCTGAAAGCTATCAAGGACACACACATGCCTTCTTTTGAGATAGTTTTAACACCACCCTTCACAGCCAATGGAATATCATGAGTAATTGAACACGTAGACAGAGACAACGCTGCAATTTTTACCGTCATAATGAGATTATGTTGTGACTGCCGAATAAATAATTTCATTGAAATTTACTTGTACAAGCAATAACTTTGCTTTAATTGTCAAAAATAATTGTAATTCAATAATTAACACAGTTTGCAGCTCTTCCCGCAAAACTTCAGCTTCTGTCGGGTGGTGTACAAAGAGCTCTCACAAAATCCTTCGGCCGCCCACTCTTCACAATCGGATCGACGATCTCGACAGTCGTGAATTTCACTTGGTGTCTGGAAAATTTGCGTTTTTGAGGAACAACACTGCTTGCTCACGATATTGACTAAATGACATCTAGCACAAGTCTTTGCGCAGTTGTTCGTCATGAATTGGCGATATCCCTTCCGGTCGCAAAGATGAACAAGACATCCGGCAAGAGTGTCTGTGCAGTTGATCTGAGGAGTTAGAATGCAACACTGTCCTTCTACGCAGCCGTGACCTTCTGGGCATTTGTTTGCTATACATTCTGAAAAAAAATCGCGTTCTGTTCATAGTCTTAAAAACGAAAAAAAGTACCTCCAATGGGTGCTCCAACTGGACAAACAAAATGAGGCTCTGTGACTTCATCAGTAGTCGGTGGAAGAGTTTCCACTTCGGTCACTTCTTCAGCTTCCGTGGTCGTTGTCACTTCTTCGGTCGTCGTTGTTGGCTCTTCCGTCGTCGTTGTTGTAGTCGTTCTTACTGTCGTTTTTGGTTTTTTAGATCTGAAAGTCTCGAAATTGTTTTCATAACGGGAAAACTCTCACTTGACTCTCTTCAGTTTTCTCTTGTACTCGCTGGTGGTAGATGAAGGTTCCGTTGTGGTGGTAGCGGTGGTGGTGGAAGTCGACGTGGTGGAGTTCGTCTCCTCTTCCTCCTCTAGCTCCGAATCCTCTTCGTCCACAATTTCCTTCTGGTAAATTTCTACTTGTTTTTCCAAACAACACCTCTCGCTCACATCCGGCGCGAATGTCGAGTTCTGCTCCTCCGATCCGTCTTCATTTTCATTCTCCTTTTTCTTCTTGGTCTCCGTGTCCACTTCCTCTTCAGGTGCCACCGTGATCAAGCTAATTGGAGACGATTTCATTGGGACTTCCTCTTCTTTCTTGGCTGAAAAGGAAAAACAAACTAATTATTGCTATCACACTTTCTACTTACATTTGAGGGACCATTTTTTGAGACCAGATGTTCCAGATTCTGAAAATGTACAAACTTTTTTTCCCGGTAAAACAGAAAATCTTACCACAACATAATCCTGCACTGCACTGATATCCTAACGGGCAGGAACTAGATATGCATTCTCCTATGGACTTGCCACCAGTCGGACAGGATGAAAACTCGGATGTCTCATCAGTATCCACTTCAGCTAGATCCAATGGTGTGGTACCAGATTTTTTGTTCTTGCCTAGAAAATTAACAATTTATGACTATCATAGGAGGTCTAGCGACTTACAGCAATAGGAATTAATGCATTCGGATCCAGCTGGGCACAATCCTACCAGACACGCTTAAAAAAACACGATAATCTCTGGAAAACTTGAAAAAATAGCTCACCTCCGATAGACTGCCTTCTTCCGGGACATACATCGAAAAATCTTGAAGAAATCTGTAGAACAAGAAGAGCCAAGAGGAAAAATAACCTCATTTTGCTTGAAAATTCTGAAATAAAGAGTTCTAGTAAAATAAAACGGATAGATGACCAAAAGAGAAGAAACAAAAGACGAGATTTTGCGAAACGAACGTTATTTATAAGAGTTACTATTAGCTTATGAAAATGAGCAGCGTGCAAAGCATCCGATTTGAATACCGCGCACAGCTGACCTGACACTTCTATTTGTCTTTGGTCCCAAGAGTTTCAGAGCGTGGCCCCGATTCGACCACACTGATGACCAAACAGAGATGGAATCAAACAGAAAAGTGGTGGCCGCACCCCGCCCTCTCCATAAATTCATCCCGAATCGGTGTATGGTGTTGACGAAAGTACTCGAAAGGTGCGAGAACAGTAGGGGGCTCACGCGTCCCTCCCCACAACACAAAACCGTTCGGGGCAATGGAAAAAGAGTGCAAAATATAAGAGGAGACGGCAAAAAAGTGATGGATACTTGTGTGTGTGTGTGTGTGCACTCCCCTTGTTACAAACTCAAGTGCGTCTACATATGTGCAATTCTGATTTTTGTTTTTGAAACATAAATTGTCTGCCAAAAATAATGCATTTCTAGAGTAGGCGAATGAATTGAATGAATGGATGGATGGATGGATGGAGCAAAGGTTGAATGCATGAAGAGAGCAGGAAAACAGACCGGTTCTTTTGGCCGACGGGAAGGGAGCAAAAGACAAAGGGCAGATCTGGTTGGGTCAGCGGCGGAATGAATGAATGGCTAAGAAATGATTGAGATATTTTGAGAGGGTAACGAACTATTGGGATGCGCTTGAAGAAACAGGATGTAGCGGAGAAAAGGAGGAAAGATCAAAGGAAGAGGAGTTAAACAAAATGATAACAGATGGAACGGAATTGTTATTATTTTCGGGGAGCTTTGAAATATCACAGATAATATCAAAAGCGACTGAGGACGGAGAAGAAAGGTGTAATGTCAAATTTCAGCATAAAACGGGAAAAATTAAACTCAGAAATCATATCTTGAAATTTTAGTACTAAAACCCGGTACGGTCCGCAACAAGTCTGGTTTCAATTGATAAGTGTTGCTGTTCAACCTAATCTCAACTAAACACTGTTTGAATCAGTTAAATCGAAAAGTTTGTTTGGAAAAGGCGTTCGAAAAAGCACTGAAAATTCTGGTTTTTTTAAACCATGTTTCTTATTTTTAAATTATTAAGTCAAACAAAGTTCAATTATCACTTTGCTCAAAACTCGCCACATCAAAGATCCCGATCTACTTTTATTGATTTTAATTGAACCCAAAAACTTTTGCAAATCTTGCACGCCATAGTGTAATTAGTTCATGTCTGTTGCGGCCTTCAAAAGAAATTTTTTCCCGCGAACATTTGTCTCACTTCTCCAACTTTGTCTGACCAATGCCATTCCAATCCTACTATCTTTTTTCTCTTCTTCTCGAACATAACGCACGTGATTCCGGCATAGTTATTCTGCTAACTTATCACTCCGCGTGCTGACTCGAGGATCGACTCAGCCAACCCATTTCCATTATCATTATTCATCTTCTATCTTTTCCCCGCACTCTTTCTTCTCACCCTAACTCACCCGACCATTGAAGTTATCAAAGTGATTTCGCAAGTGTTTTTACAACGGAAATGAGTGATAGTGTTGATGCTTGGTTTCACCTCAGAGTTCCTCATTCAAAAAATCATTACTAGTCTTCTCAACAATGCTGGATCAACAGAAATGTACAAACCACATGTACTTCCGTATAATTCGGGAAAACCACAGCTTTGGAATACAGGTGAGCGATTCATGAAAAAATGCTGAAAAAAACAGTGTTCCGATTACGAAACGCAGGTGGTGGACACCTGTTCTAGGCACCAGACACGCGCTGACTTGAAAATTTTTTAACAGACATCTCCTTCAACAATCTTAGTGTAACACATAAGCATTCCCATTTAGAACGTACAGTTTACTTTTTGAAGTTTACTTATTCGAAAATTTTCGAAATTAGTTTGCTGTCTCTCTCTCAAAGGACAAAAAAACGTACAGCTACTGTACTTTCTTTCAAAACACGCAAACAGCGCGCCAGTTAGTCATTGCCATTTCGTAATGTTCTAGTCTCTCGTGACCAAACTTTTTGCCCAGTTTCACACAAAAATCATTCAGTCGGTGTACTGATAGTCCGTCCGACCGAATGCACTTTCCTGCATAACCCCATAAATCAATCATTTCACTCGAAACATTCTATTATACTCATTCCGATCCCATTTCTTTAGCCTATGCCTATGCCTATGCCCATTCTCATTTCCATTCCTATCTGCCGTCCATCCATACTTTTTGCGTCTCTTTTCCATTTTAGTCAACTCTTGTTTCTCGAAATGAGTGCATAATAGGAGAAGGAAGGTGAAGTCCGTGGCACGTCCCTAGAGGGTTTGGCTGTTTCGAGTCGCCATTAGGTTCTAATATTTTAAAAACACAATTTCCACGACTCCTCCCGCACGAAAACCGAAACCCGTTCGTGTTCCTGTTCTCCAGCACTTTTTCGGAATGGTCGGATTCCAGTCGGGATCGGTTCTGTCACATTTGCAAACTAATACCGTACTGTATACGCATCAATTCCCTATTATATATTCCATTCTCATAGTTTGATTTTGTTGTCGGGGGCACACACATACAATCAAAAACTATTCGTTCTGACTTCATTCAGGTCTTTCCACTTTCGAAACATTTGCATCAGCCTAGGTTTGATTCCCCCATTAACTTTTTGCATCCTTGTACTTTTGAGTTGCAGAAGCTTTGCATTTGCTCACAAACAAACAAACGGGCCTAATAAAGAGCGCGAATGGGGCACCAAAGATCGGTAATCTTCTTGTTTCCGAACAGTTTCTTCCATCCATGTAAAGTCAGAGCGAACAGTGATAAACTGTTTGGCAACAAGTGCTGTCGTTTGTCGAAAACATCGTGACCGTACAAATCAGCTAATAGACCCGACTAATCCGTTGCTCAAATTCCAAACGGCGCGCTTGCTCCGAGTGCTTTCGCTGCCTTCTGCGCGCCGTTCTTGTCGTTCTCCTTTTCAGGAACAAAATCACTCATTTTTGGCCTATCAATCACCCTAATACTTTCCAACCTTTGCATGCAATTTGTCATCCGCTACTGCGATTATCCATCACCACCATAAAACCGATACGCCCTTTGTTTCCTCGAGACCACGAGACTGGCTCCTCATTCTTTGGGAAACGAAAGGGTCCCAGTCGCTGGCGATGGCGCTGGCGCCAAAGCAGTTTCTCTCTCTCTCTCTCTCTTTTGAACTTTATTCACAAAAGAAGGACAGCCCCAAAGCGCATCAGTTCTCGTCTTTTTCAGTGCACCGCCAACAATGCTCATCCAATATTCTCGACATGCGATTGTTAAGAAATTTATGAGTATCTTCTGTGACTTGTCCTCTCAAATAGACATAAAACTCCGAATTGTGCATATGGTACCATGCATATGAAAGAAGCCGGCGACGGACGCCCACCGAGACTGCTCCGCTGCTTGCTGCCGTTGCCCTTTTGCAAAAGAAGAACACGCAGCACCCGGGGGCGCTCGACGGCGTCGGCTCCTAGACCGAAGCAATTAGTGAGGGGAGCCAGAGACGGCTCTCGCAACTGATCCTCATTCGTGTTTCATGTCCACGATTCGGTCGCAGCGAAGTGGAGCGGAATTTCTTTTTTGTTCGGGTTCTCCGGATGGTGTGCTTGCAGAAAATTAGGTTTTTTTTTGGATGAGGACACCCCTCCTTCTCCCGCCCTGTGCACAGCTCCAAGGTCTTTCGTATTCATCAAATAAAGGCTGACAGAAGCGTCTCGGAAATTGGAAAATTTCGCAATTCTCGTTGTGTCTCATTTGTTGGTTAAGAAAAACGAGGGCGGAATCATCATCCAGTAAAGAATCAAAGAAACGGAAAAAACAGAAAAAGTACCAAAGAGACTTCTCGTTTCTCTTCCTTTAGTTCTTTTTGTCCGTTTGGGAGTGTCAGTGTCTTCCTTGTCATCAAAACTTTTGTCCCATCATCACCGTTGACCCCCAACACCCACACCCTCCAATTCTTCTCATTTCATCCTCTTTTGCACACACTTCTTCTGGTGTGTTTGTTGCTTCCATTCCATTCCAGTTTCTTTCTCCGATCGCCACCCGTGCCCCTGATCGAATTCGAATTCGCTAGAGTGTGATGGTACTTACTTATGTATATGAAATGAATTTTTCCGGCCTAAACTGACACCCTCCGGGAGCCGAGCAGTATTCGGAGCGACGAGAGTTGAGCTCAGAATCCGCGCTTCCTTCTCTCGCCTCCCCCGCTCCCAATCCACACTTACTCTCCAACTACTATGACCGTCTATTTCCTGCCAGATGAGAAGGGCGCCATACAGGTAAACTTTTTGCGTCTTCGTTCCGTTTTTCCTCCTTGCGCTTCGTTATTCTGTGGTTTGTCTGTTTTCAGTTCCTTGCCCTTTGCACCTGAATCTTGCACCCTCTGCTGAAATGTTTTCCACATCTTTCCTATCCATCCGTTCCTCTTTTCCGTTTTGTGTCACATTGCCTCATGACTCACATCTTCTTTGTCACCGTTTTTCTTTTGAGGTAAAGGGTGACGCATGTGACAACAAAAAACAGTACTTTTTTTGGTATTTAATATTGTTATCATTATTATTCACTTCTAGCGTTAAGTCAGAGACATTGTATCCGTTCTGAATAGGGCCGGTTACCCACGCCTCGTCTTCCAGTACATGTATACATAGAATAAATGAATACATAATCAAAACGACAATTTGAACCGATTATGCAACAGATGTCATGGTCTTGTCCCAGAAACCGGTGCCCTTTTGCTATTTTTATTTCTAAGGGGGGTATTGCTAATTTTGCAGAAAACCCCTTGTAATCAGCTTACTGTGGTCAAAATCGACTAGACCCCCTCGGGGTTTTGGCGGTGCGGGTTATTTAGGCTGCTTAAGGAGCGGGGTCACAGCCGCTCTTTCATGTAAATGAGCTGTTCAATGGGGCTCGTCACCCTTCAAGTGGTCAGGCCCTATTGAGACACCAATTGTATGTCTACAGTCATCGCTTCCTCATATCTTTTCACAATCCCCTCTTTTTGGGCATCCGCGTTCCGCCGACTCTGCGGAACAGCCGGTTAGCAGATGGCCCGTATCATCATGAAAACACCGCACAATTGATGCTTCTCGGGTCGTTCTACTATTCGGGAAGGGCCCCCTATCGATACAGTTAAACATGCGTCGTTAATTTTTATGATCACTATTCCAACCAACCGGGAGCAGCAGCAGGAAAGCGATAAAATGACATTTCGGCGGAATAGGAAGGAAGAAGGTTACAACTAGGAAATCGGAAATGGTGTTCTGCGGAGAGCCGTGTAAAGGGAAAAGAGATAAATGACAGTTGCACCAACATGAACCGATTTGTCCGCTCGCTCCATGCAATGTAAATGGACAGAGAGAAAGAGAGAACTGAACGATTGTTTTATTCATAAGCTGCATGGAAATCAGTTCTTTTCGCGGGGCGCCGCAATGCATCGAATAGTGATCGGGGAAATAAAAAGTATTCTGAATCTCAATTCCCCTATGTTTATCCCCTATTTTGCTTGTCACTTTTGCATGTATTAAGCTTCTGTAAATGATCAGATTCAGAAATTCCTGTTTCCTAAAACTGTACAATTTCAGGCAGTTCCGCAGCACTTGCTACCGTACCATATGACGTCATCTCAGCAATTTCAGCCACATCAGCCGTTCTTTGCCAACGAGGCTATACAGATGGCTCAGATGTCGTATAGGTCAGTTCATTTTTTTTTACATCCAAGTCCGGAACGCGTCATCTATTAACGCTGGATTAGTTAGGGGCTTAGTCCCCGAATGAAATGTGTTATACTGGTATTTAGTCCAGTACCAGGGCAAATTGAGTGTATTTCATTAGGCCACAGAGTGCCATGTTTGGCAAAGGTTGGCAAAAACAAAACTAGGTTATAGTTCGTGGCGAACTCGTTCATAATACTGTATTTTTGAAGATCCCTTTTCATGTTTCCTCTAGTTTCCCAAAATGTTTATTCTGGAACACGAATCACAGGGTGGTTGTGGTGTCTTTTACTGCTTCGCCGCAAAATTGAGATGTAAACAATTCGGAAGCCATCCATCATTATTTCGCGCATGAAAGTGCATGGTCGGGGGGAGCCCGTTAATAATCGAAGATATTTCGGAACCTAACCTGCCACATACCTTCCTGGATTCGGGTTAGTTCTAAGAGAGAAAGGGGTAGGAAGAAAGAGAAGAAGAAAAAGCGCATTTTTCACGTGTCTCCGTGCGGCGGCGAATGGATGGCTGGGTCCCGGTGTATATAACAATTATATGTAATTGTTGGTGGTGAGCCCCCAAGGCGCAGTGCCGGCGGGCTCTCCATGGTCCCGTATATCAATTTCAGTTTCGATTTTCATATAATAGTCGCACCAAACTCATTCCGGTCCCTCATATCCTTTCTAGGAAACAGAAACATTGGGGTCCGACGGAGGGGCAACATTAATCGAATAATGACTTTGTCTCCCATCCCAAACGGATGGTAATCAATCCAAATTGAGTTTCTGTTTGTGTGCTTCGGTTGTGTGCGCGTATGGGCTCTAATTTGAAGACAACACGCAAAACTGGGACCCTTTTTTAGCCGGATTTCAATTTGGAACTCGCATGACGAAACGAATTCTCTCAAAGAATGATTTGAGTCACTGACGCTAAGATCAATCTCATTAACTCTAGACAGTTCTATTTCCATTTCCGTCTCCTATTTTTGTTTAGGAAAAGAAAAAAAACTCATTAAAATGAGGAATTGCCAAGACTTTTCGGTGCTCCACAATAATCATAGTTATTTTTACTCTCCCCGGGACCTCGTGCATCTTTTCTTCTTCTTCTTCTTCTTCTTCTTTTTCGACACAAGGCAAAAGTCCACACATCCCATTCATCACTCCATGGTTTTTTTGCACCACACTCTGATCGACGTGACTTTGGAACGAGATTGAGAGAAAAAGCTGACGGGCCCCTTGGTCCCTGTCAGTGTAAAGAGTACAAAGCCAACTCAATTTATAAATTGGTTTCTCTGTACGATTAGAGCCACAGAATTACAAAGCCTAGCCCCAGACATGATGCCTAATGAACCAAACTGATGAGGTTTGGTGGTGGTGGTGGTCCCTCGGCGGAAGTGAGTCTCATGGCGGCAAATCATCCGGGATGTTGAACTTTTCTAAAAGCTGTCAGAACTTGGGTAGCACTCCCCGCTGATTTCTTACACATGACGAGCCTCCCCGGAGCCCGGCGCTTATTACATCTTTCAAACAATGGATTGTTTGATGGCAAAAGGTGAGAGTCGGAGACCAAAACCTATTTGTACATCCTCTTTGAAGCGTGTTTTTTGCTTTTGAAAACTTCTGATCTACGAACGACAGTACGCAAAACAAGTGAAGGAGTAAAAAAACTGAAACGTGTTATATGTAAGTCATGATCATTACAACCGCTCGCTCCTTTCGCCTCATCTGACAGCGTGGCGGCGTGGCGGCGGTCGGCGTAACTATTCAAATGACAAATACAAACACACGCACACACATGAAATACTTTTACACGCCGCCGCCCGATATCTGTTACTACCATCGGAGCGAAGTAAAAGCACGGAGGGCAGAAAAATGGTAGGGGCTGGACAGACGACGTCTTCTGTTTTTGTTTGTCTTACGGCAGACGCCCTCGCCCTCCGCGCCAACGCATCTGATCGGCAAGGTCGTGCGCGCGATTTGCCTCCCGTCGATATACTAAGAAAAACTGTAGGTGAATGTTCAAACCTGACGCATTTCCTTTTTCCATTCCCCCCCTCCATTTTCTGTCACGGAAAAGACCTTGGCGGTTTCCTAGCCGCGACCACCCGGGGCATTTCGATGCCAACCCCCGGAGCCACCCGTTTGCAACATACGCCCATTGAATTCGTCTCCTTTTCCCCCTCCTAATGGCGTGTGTGGAATATAAATGATCCTTTCTTTTGTCGCTTTTCTCCTAAACATTCAGCCATATGGCACTGTTTTGTGTTGCAACTACAACTGGAAGCTAGAAATCTCGCATTTCCCACCATTTTCCGTCGTTCTTTACTCAATGAGTAAGTAGATCATCATCGCCGTTCCAAGCACTCAAGCAATCGAGTGTCAATAGAAAAAAGGTGATTGATAAGAGCGAGTATGGTGCTGTGCAGCGCAACGTTGGAGAGTAAAGTGTGCGTGAAAACAATTTTATGGTTAATTTCTGTTGTCAGTTTCGCTTTGAAGTGATTCCGTCACTATCCTCCCAACTCATAATTTCCATGATTTTCGCTCCCGCCCATACCTGTAGCGTCCTGTCCAATTATTTACTTTCATGTTGACTTTCTCACCCTTCTCCCAAATTGAAACATCCGAGCGTCAACAATAGAACACAATCAGCTAGAGGTTCCTTCTAGACGGACTAATTTGATTAAAAATTTATATAAAAGACATAAAAGAAGAAGACATTTACAGTTGCGTAGGAAAAAAGAGGAAACAAAGTAAGGCCGTCACAGTTTTAATAGTTGCCAATGATGCTTCTTGTCCCCGCGGTCGCTTCCTTTCGTAATGCAATTGAGGGTGAGCGAGACGAAGACACAATGAGATAGTGTCAGATCAAGAGGTGAATTGCTACAGATGCAGAGAACCAAACACGGTTGACACATCAAACTGCAACAATAGAAATCTATCCGCCCCCCTTCCCTACCATCTCACCTTTGGCCCATCGATTCCATTTTCAACCCCTCTTCCCATTCTAAATCGTCATCATCACCCGCCACCACATCACACACATCACATGCGTTTCGTTCTCTGAAAAGTGTGATGCCGACTCGTTATCGTACCGTATCCAGATCCAGATCCAGGAGACGGAGTAGGAGTAGGCAGCATGTTTCGAGAAGGTACGTCGTCCTCGTGTTATGCTAATCCACCTCATTTTTTTCGTGCCCCTTATTCTCTAGTCGCTGCCCCCTCACGCACCTAATTGCTTGTGTGTAATTCCTTCCGTCCCCCCATTCTCAATTGATTCCATATGGCTCCCGGAATATGCAAGAGGGGGTTTTTCAAAACTCATTAGCTACAGCGTTTTAGTTCTTAGTTCCGCCGTTCGCTCCAATTATGTGTTTTTCTGAGTTTTTTCTGCCCACTTTTTTGTTCTATTCTCACTCTCACTCACTCAAAAACCGTCCGACGCTGATCCGTCTTACCGGGTGATTCAGTTCGGCAACCGCATTTCCTTCTTTCTCCTCCTCGCCCGCCGCCGGCTTCTATCATCTGATTCGACACATTCATATCCCCTCTCTGCCGTATTTGCATTTTTGTATTATTGGCCGCCAGAACCTCCCCCACCCACCACTTCCATAGCACCATGTATACCATGCGACACGCACCACGGCACCCTTTCCATCACTCTCACTCTTTCACTTCCGATTCCCGTCCACGGATTAGATTAGCCAACTGTGTTCTGTCTGTTCCTGCTGTTTTCGGACGGTCGCTGGAGCTTTCATTGATTGATTGCGAGCGGCAGGCACAGGAGCACTTTTGCTCGCTCGAAAAGTGAAAATGTTTTCAGTTGTACAATTGTGAAAGTCTTGTTTACACTTACTTTCCGCTCACAGTCACTTTCCTTCCGATCTTTCCAACCCTTTCACCCGCTCAAATTTGGTCACAATTTTGCCGGCAGACTCTTCTCCAAAACTTTTCTTTCTCTTGGAATGGGCAGGCGGAACCGTATGATTGTCTGTCGCCTCGATGTGTCAGTGCTCTGTCATTTTGATGTATTGACAAACTGTCCACAATATTGCCTTATCAAACTTTTCTTACTTTTTTGCGCAACGAAGCATACACAGTTTTTCCGTTACGTTTCGTTTTAATTCAGCTTCACCAAATCAAAAAGTTCAAGTTTCAATACAGGCAAAAGTGTGGGGTGGGATGGTATATCGGATTTCGTTTATTTGCTCGTGTTTGCGGTCACATTTGTCGCTGTCGGGACAATTATAGGAGCGGAGTCTACGAGCAGCAAGTTCTTGAGAAATGCGCCAAGTGCTCATCGACATATGAGACTGTTTGTGTGAACTGTGAGCACTCGATTTCACACCTTTTCCCTTATGTTCTTTTCTTTTCTCCGCCGCCCGCCCGCTCGCCGACTCTGAGCTCGCCTTTCATGCATTCCGAATTTCAATCGTCCACAATAACACCGCCACCGCCACTTCCCTTTTTGCCAACGACGCCGAGAAAATCGAAAATGCATAGCATCTGGTTCTCAAACAAAGTGCAAGTCGGTGGCTTTTGCTCAAGACAGGCAGGCTCTGGGAGCCGAACCACCAAGGTCTGGGTGACAAATTGACATGCATTGGATCATCACTCACTTCTGCTCCCCATTGGTTTCCCTTCCACCCCCCACCCACACACGCGCCCATTTTTCGCCTCGTTTTTCTCGGCTCTCAATCTTGCAATGAATCACTTCTGCTTCTTTTTCTTCTTCGTCTCCCTTCTGTATGGCTAAAAATGAAAGACAGCTTCGGTTTCGATGAACATTTCGTTATTTCGATTGCTGATCAATAAGATTTGTTCGGTTTCCTCTCTTGTCCCTGCTATCAATGGTAAAAGAACAGAAAAGAACTATCAACCGTCGCTAATCAAATCGTTATCACGTACTGTATGTAGCCTTGGTTCGGTCACACACACACACACACTTTTCTGGAAAGTCACGGACATCACCATCTATCATCAAATTCGACGATCTCCCCGCCTTATCAAATGGATTCAAAGATTCGAATGCAAGAAAGAGAGAAAGCAATTTTCGGGTAGTAGTCAAGAGTAATAATCATAAAACAGAAGGCGCGGTAGTAAATCATCCATGCTTACTGAGAATTCGGAAGAATTTGAAACCGAAACAATTTGGCGTTTTTGTTCAGATCAAACTATTTCTCTTTCGCGCCAAAAGTGGCAGTTACCTCGATCTCGATCTGACATTGATGCATCGGCGGCTGTCCGCCTGCAAACGTGTCATTCATCATGGAATTTTGAATAATGGCGGTCAAAACAAGATATGGGTGCGTAGAAGGCGAGAGATGTAAAGGTTGACGTCGTTTCTGAAAATATTGGTCTAAATTTGAAAAAAAAATGTAGTGAAAACCCCCACAAAATCGTAAATTTCATCCACGTCAAGCACGGCGCATCTTATCATTTTTTATGGAGGCTTGTGAAAAACTGTCAACATGCGTCTTTGCTGATAGCGGATGACCCCCTCGTTTAATTTTCCGTGACTGGTGTAATGAGGTACAAACTTCTGCTTTTCAAGGTGCGTTCCAACTCCTCCCAGTCATCATCTGTCTGTTTTGAGCTTAGAAAAGAAAAGCAAGCGAAACCCATTTCCGTTTTTGCGCTTCCTTGCTCCGTTTCGGGAAGAGGACCAAGCCGCTGATGGCGCCCCCGTCCTCCATGATGGCCTTCGTGTTGTTGCCGGAGCCCCCCATGGGTTCTTGGGTGCTAGCCACTGCTCATCTCTGTTGGCGGCTACTCTCGTCCCGCCTCCGCCTCTCCCTCCGCTTCCATAGTTGTCTCTTCAACCCTTTTCCGCTCTCTGTCCTCCCGCCGGCTACTGTAACATTCAAGAAAACGAAGGGCGGAGCTTTGGTTTAGAGCTGTGTCCATTTGGTGTCGGATGAGCCCATCTGGGTCGGTCCGGACGGCCGACCAGACAATTCCGCGACGTATTATGATAGATGGAAGTGCATCCTACTCGAATTGCCCTCAATCTACTGACTTTTTTTTGGTGTAATAGTCCAATCGAACTGTGTACAATCATAATTTGAACATAAACTCAACCAATTGTTCGATTTTGGTCTTGCGCTCGCTCATGCTACAAAGAAAAAACCGCCCCTCGAATGTCCTAACAACTGCATAAATATTTGAGAGTGAGAGCATTTCAACGTACACTATATGCTATGTGCTATTTGTATTTTTTCTCCTTGTCCCATAGATATTCCTTCTCAATTTCTCTCCACCGCTCTTCCTTGCCTTTTTTGGAGCACATGTATATGTTTGTGTGCTCCGTGGCGTCGGCACTAACGCACATGAAATGATGAATTGCGCGGTTCCCTTCCCGTCACTTTTTCGCAAAAGCTTCCTTCCCAAAAACTTTTTTCCCGTTGATGATTAGTGTCTCAGAAAAAAGTTCATCCGTATTTTATCTTCTTCAAATCCTCTTGAAAATGTTCAAGTTCGGTGTTCAAAGTATTCGGCGGGTGGGGGGTCTTCACTGGAATAACTAGTTTTTTGGCAACATGATGCGAAGACGAGGAGAAAAATAGTAGTGATGCACGGTAATTCATGTACAACTGGACGAACTGTCATTGGCATCGGTGGTGAACGTCGAAAAATTGATGGCATTTTTTCTTCAACGTCGTCTTGTTTCTTGTTTTTCCGCATTCTGTTTTCAGTTTTCTGTTTTTGTCGTGAGACCCATCGATTACCTCTGAATTCGAGTTCAAACATTCCTGTGATTCACTTGAATCAATAAGGAATTTCAGTCAGTCAAGCACATCGGCTACAATATTTATCCGGTTCTCCAGGTACGGTTGGTTTGTCAAGGCAACTTTTGCCTCCATTTGGACAGGCATTTAGACAGACAGACACCCAACTCCGGCCTCTCCCGAGACGCTTCTTGTCCCGTCGCGCTAAAGCCTTTTCTTTAGGCTTTGCTTTCATTTGCCCTCCCCCCCCCACCCATCTCTTCTTTCCCTCATTCTTTTGCTTCCAATGTCTTCCTCTTTGTGAAAACATTGACTTTCCAAAAACTGAACTGAGGAATGTGTATTCGTGTTTGTGTGTGCGTGTGTTTTCTTCTAGAGAAACAAGGAACAGAACCGTCGTCACATGACCTGACTTTAACACAAACCTTCCCTCTCTTTCGGTTTTTTTGTCTCGGATACGAACAATGGCCCTTGTTGGACATTACAGTGTGTTCAGTTCCCCCCGCAGAAAGAAGAGGAAAACAGAAAAAGCCGAACCGTAACCAATCAACTACTGGAGAGACGCTTCTTCCCTCCAAAACCTTCACTATATCAGTCGGTCTTCTTGAAAAGACCGAAACGGCGAAATTTTATGGGCACGTCGTTAAGATTTTGCTCCAAACTTTCGCGCCCTCCGTCTTTTCCGGACACTCTGCTTGAGTTGACTCGTCAAAAGATTCTCAGCAATCATCCGACGCCTTTCTCTAGCAAACAAGGCATTTTTGACTTTTCATTCTCTCTTTCTTACTTTTCACAATTAAAATTTATGAACCAAGTCTAACACCCACCTATTCTTTACCCGTTCATTCGTTTGTCGGATAGAAAATGACAGAAACAGACAAGGAAAAAAAGAGAACTGGTTTTCGACATTTAGTCCTCAGGCCGACAACCATTTTTTTCTCGTAAACCAATTTTGAGTTCATATATATGTATCATGTACAAATATGTTCGCATTCCATTGCTTCCCTCCACTCAATCAGCACCACTAAATGCACAGAGAAAATCGAATCGATTTCTGTACTGGTGTGGCTTATCTGCTTATTGTCCGTTCCATAACTTCCACTTTTTTTTCCTATAAACCGTGCCAAATGATCGATTTTTTCAGGATGTTCGACGAGAACAGCAATGCCGCCGGAACGACGCCAGTTTCTTCTTCGCTTACAGCCACACCTAACGCCAATCTTGTGTCACAAGTGTTCAACGTAAAAGACAGCCGATGGTTACAGGTGAGAGCATCGCCGAGTGTTATCTAAAATTCAATTTGAAATGAATAGTCGCTGCTTCAATGAGAAACGCGTTTCGCGCAGAACGTAATAGGAGACGTTTATTAAGATGCGCTCATAGAGCATTGGGGTGAAAAAGGAAACGAAAACGACAAAGAGTCCGAAGAAATTGAATGACTCTCGCTGACTCCGGGGGGCGCTTCTCCCCCGGATTGGTTGGCGTGTGCCGTCTCAGAGCCCCTTCCGTTATATTTGTGTGTGGAAGCGATTGTTCCCACAATTGTTTGATTAACAACACTTTTGGAAGACCCCCGGACAACTAAGGGGGACCGGATTGCGAAATCAGTCATTGTGCTGTTGTGCTCGCTTCAACTTTAATGGAATGGCAGCAATTTCCTACAGTAGGCAAGCTTTGAAATGCTCATTTCCTAGGGTGAAAAACTGACGAAAATGAGTTAATTAAGTTGTGAGGTCATTGGAATTGCGAAATGCGGCAGCGTTCAACGCGAGGGGCAGAAAATTTCCCATTTCCTTCTGCTCTCATTCCGTCAGGCTTAAAGGATTATTTTGAGATTGAAAAACGAGGAGAAAAAGTGAAACGATCACACCGTAATAGGATTATACGTTACAAAGAACTCCTGTCCTCCTGTCGGACAATTATTGGCGCTCCCCGACCCCGACAATTTTTTCAAACTTTTTTTACAGGTGGAAGTTTGTCGCGAATTTTTGCGAGGACAATGCGCACGATCGGATCAAGAATGCAAATTTGCTCATCCGCCGCCTAATGTCGACGTTCAACAAGGACGGGTCACTGCTTGCTATGACAGTATAAAGGTCAGTGACATTTTCATCTTTTGGTACTTCTTGCTGGCATCGGGGCTCACACCATATGACGTCGGTTTCCCCTTTCTTCCAATGATTTGGTTATGTCAGCGTATTGTTTATAAACACACACAGACACATGGCACCACGATGATGCGGTTATGTTCATCCTGTCGGAAAAGCAGAGCAGCCATAGCTCACCACGAAAAAGTTGGGGACCTTTGGACGAAGCCTCATGTTTTCCCGCTTCTTTTTCTAGCTTTCTGTCTCCTGCCTTCCGAGTAATGCGAGTTTTTATTGCGCTGTGAACCCCGGAACGGACGGCTCCCCAGAGACTCGTTTGGTGCGAAACGAAATGCTGAAACGAAACGTTTTAGAAACGAATGACAGATCCAATCCGGTTGGTGTCGCTCTGAGATTTGAAGGGGTCAGAAGGCGACACTCATCGTTGACTTGACTTCCCGAAACTTGCCCCCATCGTCGTCTGAATTTTGAGTGGTATACCCTAGGGGTCGCGTTTCTTATGGCTCATTGTCTTGCGTGCATGTACATCCAACTCGTCTGACGACGTCGTGTGTTTCGACATAGAAACCCATGGGAATTAAGGGAAGGCAGCGGTCTCGTCGTCGAATGAGGATAACACAATTAACTGTTAGGAGGGCTCGAATGGAAGGAAGGAGACAAGCCGGAATGGGGTGGATTGCGAGCGGGAAATGGGGCTGCTCCGTCCGTCGCGCACAGCCATCAATGGCTCATCGTTTCTCAATTGGCTGGCTTGTTGGCTACGCTGTGCTCGCTTTGCGCGCAGCCTCAACACCACCGGAAAACATAGATATCAATTGAATTGTTTATGGAAACGAGCCGAGGGACACTCCGCACGTCTTCTTCCAACTCCTTGGGACCTTTCGGATTTGTCATATCTAGTCTACGAATCTTTTGGAAATCCACAATCTTCAACCCTCAACCCTCATATTTCTGACAACAATCCAAAAGAGATTTTGATATGTGATATGGATGAAGCTGTCAAGTAACGATGACTAAGCAAAACTAAAGAACAATACTTAATTGGGGAAATTGAAGGGGAAATTGAAACAAAAGCCATATTCTAATTTTGTAAGCCCCCAGAGACACTCAGATACCACTCAATTTCCTTTCTTTTTTGGGAAACGCACCGACGCCAAAAACAAAAAGGACGACTATGACTAATCGGGGCCACCAATTTCCAGGGACGATGCACAAGAGAGAATCCGAAATGCAAGTACCTTCATCCACCACAACACATCAAAGACCAACTTCTGATAAACGGTCGGAATCATCTGGCACTCAAAAATCTGCTCTCCGCTCAACTCAACCAGACCGGTAACCAAATGGTCAACCCGATGATTGCACTAGTAGGATTTTTCATTCATTGTCTTTTCTTTGCCGCCTGACTTACAGTAACCCTTGCATTTTATAGCAACAACAACCGGCAGCTGTGAACCTGATGCCTAACACTCCGATCTTTCCACAATACTACAACGGAATGATGTACCCGCAAGTGCTGCAGGATCCGTACGTTACCCACATGAATCAGGTATGACCCCGGCGGCTTTGAAACCTTCCTGCACTTGCATCATGTATTGCCTATACGCACCAAAACTCTCTGAAATTGTGCCTGGAAAAGAAGGAAGGGAATTCCGGATTGCGGCGACTCGTGTGGAATTGAATTGAAATTGCATGACTTTTGTTATTTTGTGCTCTAGATACATGTACATTTCACTAGGAGGATAAATTTGAAGATCTGCAAAAGACCGTAATCCTCTCGCATCCCCTTCCCTGCCTTCTTCTCCTATATTTTCGGTTGCGAACGCTCGTGCTCCTCTCACCACGCACAATCACACTCTCTCTCTCTTTCTCTCTCTCTTTCTTATTTCTAAAGCACGTCTCATGATATTCCAAAGGCGACGCACACTAAAATTGTTGCAAAACCCGAAATAAAGAAAGCGATGAATGTTGCACAAAGGTGTCTTTGGAATGGATGATATTCATTTGATTTGAATCTCACACTTGCCCGGCTTTTGTGTCATTATCAGAAAGTTTTTACCTTCACCCAGCTATTAAGAAAGATAAGTGAATTATCGATTATTTTTGCTTTTTGTGAACTCTCTACTTCTAAAGTTTGACACCCTCTCCCCCTTCCCCTTAACGAGTGATAGTCAACTGTTTTTAGTTATTAGGGTTGGGCTAGCTTTAAAATTGTTTGTAAGGTAAGTGTAAGCAATCAGCAGCTTTCTTGTTGTGATTTTCAAAGACTAAGAATCTCAGACCTAGTTCCGAATAATTTTGAAACCGTTTTGTTGGATTTTAACCATGTTTTGTTGTGTTTCTTCCCATTAGAACTTCTTCTTCTTTCACTTTCCCTTATTTCTGATTGGGTGTTGCTTTAGGCCCTAGTTTTTTCTCTTAATGGGTTTTTGATATTGACACGAAGGAAGCAAAAGTGAGAGGCGCAAATCAAATCAATGAGAGAATAGCATTCAACTCCGTCGGAAGCCTTGGTGTGACATCGCATGAGACTCGCTTTGGCTGACATGCGCTATGTTTTAGCAGCTGCAACAACATGCCAACTTGATACGCAACTATCAAGAAATGGTTTCGGCACAAGCGGCCCTCGCCTCCAACTCGTCTGTTGCTGCTGCTGCTGTCGCCGCCGCCGCCGCCGCCGGCCCACAACGACCTGTGACGCATTCACCTCTGCTTCGTCTGCAACGAAAACGAGCTCTCGAGGAAGAGAACTCGAACGGAACCAATGAAATGATGGCCCACTCCCAACTGCTGTCATTGGCCGCGGTATCCCTATATCTTTTTATTTTTCATTTCTCCTCTTCATCCTGTTTTCGAAATGATGACTCTCCTAAAATTCTCGGTTTCCCCATTTTCCCTTGACAAGTATCTGGTGCTCGTCTGCGGAGCGGAAGTGGACGGAAAAGGCAAAACCACATGTAAACCGCTTGCTTTCATTATCAAGACATCACCTTTTAACGCGTGGCTACTTCGAGCTCCTTTTCTGTTCATCACACCATCCCGTATGACGCCAGTACCGAAATCTGACATATATATATAGTAAATTTCTAAAACAATTTTCGCAAAAACAAGAATAGCTCGCGTATGCTTAATGTGAATCAATGGAGTGTTTGTAAGCATGAACCTTAATTGTTTTTTTCGGGATGAGGTCTGAATTCTGAAAAGTCCATTTCTGGAATGATGATAATCTATGTTCATGCGGTTAGCCTATCTCTTGGTTTACCTAAAAGCAACGTGAATTGAATCGAACAGGAATGTCTTTTGTTAGTATACCCCCAAAAACATTTACTGTTAATCCCGTTTACTAATCTACGTATGAACATTAAAAACGTTTTTCAGAGGTTTTTTCAGAAACGTGAAAATTTTCAGGGTGCTGTCCCGGTGAAGCGGCCAGCTCTGGATAAGAACGGAGCGATGCTGTATTCGCCAGCCGCTCAGCAGGCTCAACAGTTCAATCCGTACCTGCTGCAGACACTCGGAGGATACGTGCCGGCTGTCTCTTGTGAGTACATGCAGCCCCCACCGTTCTAGAACATTTCCTCCACATTTTCTATACTCTCTTTTTTACGTTCATAATGTTTTGTAGCTTTAATGACTGTCCCCCTCGAACTTTTCATCTTGTTTCTAGATCTCAATGCCAATGCCGTTGACTAACAATCATAATAAGCGCACAATTTCAAATCGATCTGATTTTTATTTTTTCTGAAGCTTCTGGGTGGCTTGCGTTTTCTCGTCTCCTCTATCCTATCCTAACTGTCGTCTCGAGATGATTGATTGACCGTGTATTGTTTTCAGTCAGTGGTCAGCTACCGCCTCGCTACTAGACCATCAATGTGCAGCTCTTCTTCTCTCCGCTTCTTCCACACCATACACCATCGAAAAACCCCCTCCCGCTCACACGTTCACAACCACCATCACGATCACCACAACCATCACTATCTCTTTTCTTCTCCCTGTTTCCTTCTTCTTCTTCTTCCTCTTTTTCTTCTTTTCCATTCCTGTAGCCTACAAAACAAGTAAAAATCACACCAAAATGTGTTCCACCGTAAAAGTAAAAGGCTTTTTCACTGAAACTTTACGTTATCCACTTTCAACTCGAAAAGAACCGCGGCGCGGCAATTGTGTGTTTGCTTGTGAAATTGATGTTCGCTGCTTGCCAAATTTCCCAGCTTTCCGAAAAGCTAAAAGTCTTTCGTTTGAAAACAGTCAAATTTCTGTTGAAAACACGCACACATGACATCCTTCCCGCTCTTAATTTCTCGCTCACCTTCTGGCTGTTTTGGAACGTACCATATGGAGCTAATTTTGTTGTGTTTTTGAATCTCAACCTCTTCATTTCTGTGTAAAGGTCGAGCAATGTCTCTTTTCAACATGGTCATTCGAATGACGCTAAACCCTGAGTTCTATTGTAGTCTATATTTTATGAATTCGAACATTTTTGCCGGTTTCCCCTCCCCTTTTCTTCTAACTCATCGAATTTTTGTGTTCCTTTTTTGAGGTAATGACTAGATCCCTTATCTTGTTTAACTCCCACCGAATTCCAATTTTCTCTTGCCCCCCTCACAACGTTCCTTATCCTATTTCACCCATTTTCCCCCTAATGACAGACCACGGAATCTCTTTTTCTCTCTAAATAGACCGTCCCTCCTAGTCCATTACTTTTTGAGTGTTCCCTCTCTCAGAAAATGTCATCTCTTTTCACTCCCACTGAAGTCGACTTTTGTTTCCCGGTTACAAAAAAGCACAGCGAAAGAGACTTTTAAATTGTCATTTCATTTTCTCCACGAATTAGCATCACTGAAATGTTTTGTGTCCTCTCATAATAATTCTTCAACTGTGTGTGTGTATTGATGTCTTGTAATAATTTTCCAGATTCGAAAAAACTTTATTACTCTTTTCCAACATCCCTCCTCACATGTTTTCCATCATTTTTTTCCGGATCTTTAAAAAAATCACCTTATTTTCTGAGTCTGTCACATTTTCCATTATCTGGCCCTGTGCAAATTTGCAATAGGATACCGGTTGGACCTTAACGACCGTCCTCAATTCTTTATTATTTTTTGAAATAAATTCATTCAAAATGTGATTTTTACCCTGTTAATTTAAAATGAAATCGATTTACAGGCTCGCTAACATTTCAGGTTATGTGAATTTAGATAAATTCCAGGAAACGATCAGACAAGCTCAATAAAATATTTGTGACGGATTCATTTTGGAATGAAGCGTTTTTCATATTACAGACGACGAAAGCCGCCTTCCAAAATTCTTGATTCATTGTATTCGAGATTTTTGCGATATTCCATAAATTTCCTTCACATTCACAGATTCAGAGATTTGGCGTTCACACTGCCACGTCATATGCAGCGCAATTTTACAAAACAGCCAAGCGAGCTTGTGTCAAACGCCGTTTTCAGTCTGCCAATTAAAATTATGGGTTCTCAGCGACACTTCTTACCACCCATACGTTGTACAACATATAATTTTCAATAAGGTTCAATTGGTTCGAGTGTATGATGGGCGGGACGCGATGGCGACGTCGTTTGACACATTCGGTAATTTTATAGGTGAAAAGGCAGCAAGGGAAGAGCAACCCAAAGACTTTTGAACCCTCCGTTCGCAATTTTTTTTTCCTGGGGTCGACACTGCTTTAGACCTCAATTTTATCTATCTAATTGATTTGACGGTTTATCTGAAGGTTTTTGTCTCGACCGTACCGAATTTTATTGAGGCGAAACATAGAAACCTCTTCTTTTCGCTGCATATGTACTGTTGTGAGCCCTTCGTCCGACATTCTCCCTCATTTTCAACTGGGCGCTCTATTTGAACGTCCACTTTTTTCTGCTTTCGATCTATATCTCCCTCTTCTCTCATCCTCCATACTGTTAGTCACCCAACTCGTGCCCAACAGCGCATCCGAAGGTTCTTTCAGTTTCCACGGAACCTCTACATTTTAACCCGAGATGTCTCGTATCATGTGTGCGACTCGTATTTTGTCGCACCCTCCTGCATTTGTTTCAGCCAGTGTCACCTATTATTAGTGGTTAGCAGCAAGCTTCGTCTATCTTTTGCGAGGCACCGTCTTCTTGGTTGTTTATCCTCCTTGAAACATTTAAAACGGAGCGTACAATTTCATGGAGCTTTCAATAGTTTCCTTTTCTGCAGTCTTTTGTTGCAATGAACTGTTTAGGCATGTGATCTGTGGGTTGTTTTTGTGCGAACGCTTACGCACTTCATTGATCGCGGACGCCCTTAAATCTATCCGCATATACATGCTCCAAGACCTTCGCTCAACTCCGGCGCGACCTCCTCACATTCTCCCCCTTTTCTATCGAGCGCCACACTCAACCGTCCACTTTTTCTTCTTTCGCTTTCTATCTCTATTCTCTCTCATCATCCAGAACTGTTATTCATCCAACTCTGGTCTCGCCCACCCAAACGTTCTGTAATTTTTCACTCACACACGTGTTCCACTCGGCCAATGAAAACTGTGCGTCCCTGTCTGTTTCACTTTTTCCTGTCCTCCTGTTTGGGACTCAGCTACCGATTAGAACATTCGGGCACATCTTCTTCTTTGACACATAAATGTTTCACTTAGGAACGAACTCGTGGATTGTTTTTTGTGTAGCTCACATTAGCCCCTTCTTTACTAATCCTGATTTCTAAAGTATTCTTTACATTTGCTATCTGTAACTTTGCGGTATGTTTGGGCTAACGTCTACGCGTATTTTTGCTGCGCGCACGCCCCTTGATCTAGCCGCATACATATGCTCCGGGCCTTTCGTCCGACAGCGCCACCATTCACTCTCATTTTCTCGCTTTTCGACAGGGCGCCCACTCAACCGTCCACTCTTTCTTCTATCGCTTTCTATTTCAATCTTCCCTCATCCTCAAAAACTGTTAGTCATCCAACTCGCACCCAACAGCGCACCCGAAAATTTGTTTGTTTTCACGGGACCCCCTACATTTCATAACCCGACGTTCCAGAACATTCGTCGCTGTCATTCACCATCATCTTCGACCGACCGCCCCATTCGACCGTCAACTCTTTCTTCTTCCTCTTTCTATCTCTCTCTTCCCTCGTCATCCGAAACTGTTAGTCACCCAACTCGTGCCCAACTGGCCGCTCTCACACATCCACCAAAACATAGCTTGCCTTTGCCTCGTCCAATGAAGAAACTGTGTCTGCCCGCCTACATGACTCATTCCTGTATCGATCCCGCTGACGACTCAGCGCAAATTGAGATCAGAACGCTTGCTATCTCTCCTTCTAACGTATTCTTTTACATTTCTGAACAAACTCGTACCTCGCCGTACTTTTCAGAATTCGTTTCAGCCCTCCTAGACTTGGAGTTTGGAAGCTCCGATTATTCTGTAGCGCACTTCTTTTTGATCCTCAAGCTGTCCCTTTTGAAATATGGAAAACTATTTGAGCGACACTTCCGAGAGTTCCGTGGAGCTCTCAAAATTTTCCTATTCACTATCAGTCCCTTTTCCTATGTAGTTTCTGGATCTGTAATTTTAAGGCTATTTTGTACCACTGCTCACACGTCCCTTTATCTAGCCGCATATGTGTGCTCCGGGCCCTTCGTTCAACAGCACCCCCATTCCATCTCATTCTTTTCCAGCTTCAAACGGACGCCCCGTAGCGCCCAACTCTACCGTCCTCTCCTCCCCTTTTTGTTCTCTATCTCTCTCTTCCGTCGTCATCCAAAACTGTTAGTCATCCAACTCGTGCCCAACAGCCCGCTCTCGCACATCCACCAAAACATAGCTTGCCTTCGCCTCGTCCAATGAAGAAACTGTGTCTGCCCGCCTACATGACTCACTCCTGTATCGATCCCGTTGGCGACTCAGCGCACATTGAGATCAGAACACTTTCTATCTCTTCTTCTAACGTATTCTTTTACACTTCTGAACAAGCTCGTACCTCGTCTTCCTTTTCAGAATTCGGTTCAGCCAGCCCTCCTAACCTTGGAGTTTGGAAGCTCCGATTATCGGCGTTTCTGCGAGTTCCTTGTAGCTCTCAATAGTTCCCTTTTTTATAGTCCTTTTTCCAACGTTCTCTCTCTAAATATGTTATCTGTAAGGCCTTTTTGCTCTGACGCTCGATCTGGCCGCATGTGCTCCGAGCCCTTTCGCTCGATAACACCGTCACTCGCTCGCATACGTCACTTTCTTCAATTGGGCCCCTCACGCTCATCCACATCTTCCACTGTCTCGCTTTAACTATCTGTTACTCTCTCTCTCTCTTCTAAAACAGTTTTTACACAACACTCTTCATTGGGCTACTCGCTCCTCCGAGCGCACATTCCGATGAAAAAAACACATTACTATTATTGCCCTGTACGCCGATCTCTCTCTCTCGGGCGTCCATGAGCCCCGTCTTCCTCCGTGCCCTCCGCGAGTTACCCGTCTACATACGCACACGCACACACACACACAGTCTGGGCTGCCCGGCGTCGACAGTTTGTGAAGAAATGATGGCTAATCGATATCAGTATGCAATCGGTGAAATCTGCATATGTTCGTTGGCTTTTTGCCGTGATCATGATTTGTCTGTAGCAGAGTGGTTTTCCGAATTTCTGCATTCTATTAATCACCGTTTTAAGCAATGAGGGCGAGTCAAGCTGCCAGTTTTATGCCTCATCAATCTTTTTTCAACAAACCAGAGCCAGAAATTGCGTTTTTCGGTGCTAGCTGCGATGCGCTCAATTTGAAGAATATACACTAGGTTTGGTCTCCTCGCCAACGTCACGATTTCAGTAAAAAGGCAATGAATCCCTCCGCTTCTTCCTGTTCTTGTTTTCTCATCAATCTCCCAGTTTGCTTTATTTGTGCTCCAAACTGGGTTGCATGTTCAGGATTCTTTGATTGACATCTGCTTGAAACCTGGTCATCAGCTGAATTCGATTGGGAGGTTGTTTATAGCTTCAGCAGGCTCGGAGTTTTTTTTGTCATTTTTGCAGTCTGCTCCGCTTGGGTGAACTAATTATTGATTTGCTCGATTTCGCTTTGCTTTGCTTTGCTTTGTTGTGTTCTGTTCTTTTTACCGTACTCCCCTATAATTCGTTGTTTTCAGACTTTTGGCTCCGTCATCATGCATCCAAGTGATGCGACTATTCGCGTTCGTTCCGCTCGTGAAGAGCCACCGAGAAAATGGTCGGCGCATTGCAAATGCTTTCGGAATAATCGTAAAGCTTTCAGTTTGTACTGCTTAGTCGGAGTCCCGAGATGCACGTGCCCGCCCCCAACGACTAGTAAGGTTAACACGAACCTTCCCCAGAACAGGTAAAGCTCTTCCAGACATTATTAGCAAGACAGAACATCTCATTTTTCCAGACCGTCAGAGTCTCAGCCGCTGAATCCGGAGCAGCCGTCCACTCGTCCTACGTTTGTTGAATGGGTAATGGATAAGCTATTTCGCCGCTAAACTCTCCTCCCCTAACCGAACGTTTTTTTGAAAAGAGCATTTCTCCTTTTCGACAATTCAATGAGGACTACTACAAAGTGGTTCCCATCTTCTTCTTTTTCTTCCGTTCTCGTCTTCGTCCAGTCGTCCTAATGTTGGCCACTTTGGAGAGTAAAAAAGCTCATTTTCAGTGAAAAAACGTATCGCCACATTGAAATGTATTCTTGGCTTAGGTCCCCCTCTTCCAAAAAAGGCGAGAAAAGCTGGGCGGTGCACTCGTTTTCCACTTTTTCCCGCCGCGCGTTCCATAATACCCGGAAATTCAGAAGACTTTTTCTTCTTCCTCTTGCTCGCACGTATTTTGGAATGAAAATGGAGGAGCAGCCAGCTGCACACTGCGCGGTGTTGTACTAAAAACGGAAGAGGTGACATCCTTCTTTATTAGCCCTCGAGATGGTTGCAATCTCGCTCCGTCAGACTCGCTGAAAAACAACAAATAATCAAACTTTTCATTCCTCAAAGACGAACAGCTCTGTTGCTCTCAATTGTACATCAATCTCAGTGCAATGAAGGCGTCTTTTCCCAGGCACGGCCCTGCGCACCACGCTTTTCATTTCATTCTCTTCCTGTCGCATATGAGCCTATTTTTATCCAAACCTCCTGCTTCTATCTCTTCAACTATTGAGGAAATTCTGGGCCCACGTTTTTAGCCTTTTACGTTTGAAACATACAAATTTTGTTCTTTTTCTTCCTCTAAAAGCAGTAAGAACCGTCCCTTTTCACTCTTCCCCACGGTTCGCAGAACAAAGCGTGAACTTGAATGCTATTGTTCAATTCGAATTGTGCAGCAACATGAGATGGAAAAGTTTGTTGATTGTGATTGTTACATTGTCCAATGATTCATGCCCCTTCTCCTGGTTTCTTTCCTATTCTTTCCTAGTTGACAAACACGTCGACTATCGACTTTTCACTTTACATGTAAAAAATTTTGCACAAAATGCGAATCGGTGGTAAACGCTATAGTTTCTCCAAGATCGTTAGTTCCTCTCCGACCTGCTGTTCAATCGCAATAATTTGTTTTTCAGGCGCGTCGTACGATGAATCGGTACTCGGACAGAGTTGGAAATGGGATTCTCAGCGTGGTCGCCAACGTGAACGGAAATGGGAACGTGAGCGCCAACAACCCGAGACCACAGGTACCTTTTTTGCTGGTTATTACAGTAATCTTAGGGGTTTCAGGATGATCGCCCGCCGATGGTCGCTCAGCTTCCGCCTCTCGTTCTCAAGAACTGCAGAAGCATCCGTGTCGGAAAATGCTGCGAGGCGGACCTATACAACCTGCGTCTGGAAGACGTGCTGGAGTACGTTCGCCACTGGGATGAGCATGTTGCCCAAATCATCGCTCACGCTGAGCTCCATGGTAGTGACTTCAGCTTCAAGTTGGTCTTGCTCGAGATCTTCGATGAGCCGTTGAACAGACGCATTCTGACGAATGTCCCAATGCGAAGCTTGACGGTTAGATTTAGGTTTATTGGACTACTGAAACATCCGAAAACTGTTCAGGGAATCATCAATCCGGCTAAGGAGTGTTTCGCCATTGCCATTCTCCAGGGTCTCGTTGCCTGCCCACCGTTCCTGCACTTTGTCGCCAACAAATCCCCAGTTTCGGTATAGACAAACGGCAAAACATCCCACAAACCTTTTTTCCAGAATCTTGACTACTACGTGCGCGGTTTCATGGCCCAATACCTCACACGCTTCCGTCACATTCACATTTCGTCGATTCTCTACGAAGTGCTGCCAGATTACGTCGTGCAAACACAGGATGACGCGAAGTATTTCTATGAGTGAGAAAACAACTGCTACCGTTTATAACTCCAAGTGTTTCCAGAAACTTCTCGCATGAATACTTCGACGACAAACTTGCCAGAGTCAAATCGAGCATCCGCTTCAAGTGCACATACTGCGAAGCGATTACCAACTGCAATGCAAATGTATGTCAGAAAGTGCAGGCCTTAGTGGAAACCGTGTTGAGCTTTGTTTTTGCAGGACAGCTACATCACTCTCAACTGGCCGGATGATGACCGCGACACTCCGACCGACATCACCGAGATGATCGATGTGACTCGCAGAGCAAAATACGTCACCATGAACTGTGACAAATGCGTGAGTAACTGTTAAGTAAGGCTTTCATTTAGTCAATTAACCGATTCCAGGTGTGCACCATCTTCAAGAACACAACGATGTACAAGTTCTCGGACATTCTCTGTGTCGACGTGTGCCCGTATTACTACGACAAGAGCAAGACCGACAAGTGCGGGTACCAAGACGGATCCCCTCTAGAGCAGTTCAGACTCCGACAGTCGCCGATTGAGTTTCACGAAATCCAGGATTTCGGACCCTTGAGCAACTCGGAGTTGCCGCAACTGTACAACCTCGCCGCCGTTGTTTACTACGATGGAAATATCGAAAGTGGAACTGGCCACTATACGACGCGCGTTTTCCACAAAGGGGTGAGCAAAAAAGAATTAGCGAATGAGAAAAACAATTATCCAATTGTCACTTACAGTACTCCTACATTGCCGACGACAAATACGTGTCTTCCGAAACGATCGTCAATGGTGAGCCACAGAAAATGAATGGCGTGCCTTGTTTCATCATCTACTACAAAACGGAACTCGAGAATTTGAGCAACACTGACAAGGCTCTGCAGCGCCCTGTCGCTCCGACGAAGGAAAAGGGGAAGAAACAGAAAGAGGAAGAGGAGGAGTTTGTAAGCATCATACGGAACCGCTGACTGATTGGGCGACTGATAGTTTCAGGATCCGCTGCAGCCAGGACCATCAAAGCGTTAAACGACTGGAAGAACACGCGAAAATCCCGAGTCTTCCCCAAACCCCGTTTCAACACCAATTAGGCAATTATACAAACCGATTTTCTTCCGCCCACCGACCGCCATCTCATTCTTTTGCATTATTGTTCCCCAATTACTCTCCCTAATAAGACACAATATTTATTGAACAGTATATTTACATCCAATTAGAGCGGAGGCAAACGTTTCTTGATTAGACCATTCCCCAACTTTTTCTTTTGACACACTGTGAATGACTTCCCTGGTTTTGATCACCTGACTGATAATTGGAACCCCCAAATTATGTACCCCACTTTTAACCATGTCCCAACAAATTCTGTAATGTACTGCGACTCAACTCTTCTGTATTCCTGTATTCTTTGGCCAATACTTGAGCTTGAGCAATATACGCACGTGAACAAGAACACTTTGCATTTTTTGTTAACTTTATTCAATCCAATATATGCAGAACCAATGTTGATTGAATATATATATATATCATTCGAGAAAATGATTTAATTGTAGCGGAGACGACGAGCAGTGTTGTTCTTGGTGAACAGCATGTTGGCGTACGTATCCTCTTTTCTCGGCGGCACCTTGTCATGCTTCAACAGGTGAACGGACTTGCGCTTAACTCTGTGCTCGTTCTTGCGGAGGAATTCCTCGCGTTCCTCCTGCTTCGGCAGCCAGTGCTTCGGATCGAGGTACTTCTTCAGATCTTGGATCGGTCCGAACGTTCCCGCGTGCTCCTGGAGAAGGAAGTCAACCTCCTTCATGTCCGGGTGATATTGGACAATCCAGTGACGGACACACTCGTAGATGAACTTGAGCATTTCCACCGAGCACACACCGTACAGACGCTGCGATTGGAGCTTCATGATGAGGTGCTCAATCGAGTAGTAGTCGTTCACTCCCATCTGGAGCATGCGAATAATCACGTCGATGATGATGAACGCTCCGGAACGGTTGACTCCAGCAGCACACTGGATGATCGGTGCTCCGGAAGGGGCTTCCTTGTTCATGATCTTCGCGAACCAGGTCGGAGCGGTGTACGGCGCGAACACGGTACTTTCTGGAAAAAAATGGTGTTGGGCGGAATGAAATATCAATTGAATCACCTTTGGTCAGCGTTAGGAACTTCAGGAAATCGTCGAAACCGGATGGCGACGTTGGCTCATTCCAGGCCAGGAATTGGAAATGGGAGACAGTATGGGCAACTGAAATCGTTGGTCTATTAGAAATGCATAATTTCATTTGCGACTCACCATCTCCTTTCTTGACGAGAAGAGTGCGGCGGACGTACAACTCGGTCTCAATTAGTCCGACGTTCTCCACGAAGTAATCTCCGTACCTGATCTCGTCCCCAGTCTCTTTCGGGAAGTAGTCGTTGGTGCAGGTCATCGGGTGATCGTTTCCATGAGCGAGCATCACGATGGCGGGCGACTTCTGCGAAGCCGCCATCTCCCAGAAATCGCCGAGTTCGGTTTGGACGGGCGAGCCAGTCATGATGTACTTGCGGTTGACCTCCGGGAAAACGACGTGCGACGCGTTTATGTAACCGTACTCGTTTGACGGCCACTTCTCCAGCTTCACACGGTTGCTGTCATCTGTAAAAAATGTCCAATTGGAAATCGGTTAATCGATGTTTAGAAATTGTGAAACGATGACTAATCTCTACTGTCACGAAACGTATAGTTCTAAATTTGAAAAAGTTTGTGGTTTCTAAATCGATGGGTTCAAAAACTGCTAAACCCTTAACTTACACGGGAAGAGGACCATGTAAGGGTTCCGATAAATCTGACGGTGATCAGTTCCCGCGACGGCGCGCTTTCCTTTGTTCTTTTCCTTCGCGATTTCTTCCAATTTCTGAATATTAAACTGAAAATTGAACTGACACGGGTATAACGAACCATCATGAGAGGGTCCCAAGCCTTCTCTCGGTCCAGAATCGCCTGTTTCTGGAACAGACGGCAGTAGACCTCCTTCTTGCAGTCGGTGAGCAGCATTTCAGAAATACTACTCGACGACATCTGAAGAAAAATAATAATTGAATGTCAATACACTCACTTCTTGCGGATTCAATTAGCGACGGAGCCACTCGGAGCGCGGTACAGTAAATGTTAAAGAAAGAGAAATCTGTACAGTTGCTGGATCTGTGAATAACAAAAACACAAAGGTTGCCCGCACGCGCTCTCGTCGAATTTTCTAGATGATGAATCATCCTTGAGGGGGGGGGGTGGCCGAGTTTGATGAAATGGACCAGCACAGCATTTCAGAGACGTCGGCATGGACCACGGTGTGGAAATAACTTTTGATCCGACGAAACTACAAACACAGTTAAAACCAAACTACGAACACAGTCAGAGCAAGCATTCATTTATTACTTCACATGTTTTCAGAAGAAAACTTCGCATCAAATTCAGAATTAATCGTTGATCACGTCGATAATCTCGTCCTCCCTTTCGTCTTCTCTTTCAGAAGCCAACTCTGGTCGATACTGGGGATTGGGAACGATGACCGAAACCGGTGGTCGTGGTGGTGGTGCTGGCGGAGGTTCTGAACATCAGCATTTTTGTAGAACTGATATTGTTTTATTCTGCGGACACTTCTCACTTTAGACACTTCGGAACCCCGACATTTCGCAACTATTGTAAACTGATTAGCGATAAATTGCACTGTTAAAGTTCGCGTGAGTTTCGAGATGTCGCGGTTTCGGAACGTTAGGTTGCGAAACGGTGGCGTCCCTCTGACTCACTACATTCTCTTTTCGCTACTCATCGGGTCCTTTTTCTTTCTCGCCCAGAAGATTCAATACTAGATCGTTTAAACCAGTCAACTCAGAACTTACCTGTGCGAACTAGGACTGGCGGAAAGAAGTGGATGATGATTCTGTGACCGTTGAGCACTGAAAAAAACCAGCACTTCAGATATAAACTTTTTTAGTAAGCTACTTGGCAATGGCACAGTAGCAGAATTCACTCTGAGCGGCAACAAGCCTTGGATTGTCAGCTGTCTATTTTCAGGATTTTGTCCCGCGTTCATGCTGTAAAACGTACAAAATTGTGAACAAACGGGGTGAAATTGCATTAGCGCCGCGCCAAATGAAAGCGACCGCGAATAACTACTGATAAAGATGCTTTATAATGGAAACACAGGGTAGTCTGATAAGCACGGCAGCCGAAAAAAGTGCATTGAAACTGTTCGGCAGGTGGGCGGGATCACGATTCTGAAGCTCGATCAGAGTCTTCCTTACTGTCTGTTTTCATTCTGAGAAACAATAGGGCCGTCAGGAATCATTCAATTTGTAAGATTCCTCCAAAAATTTTATGTTCAGTGACTTCGTGTCTTAATCACTTCTCCATAAGGTGCACTTTTCACTTTTCTTGGTCTTTTGTTAATGTCCCTCGAAAGTATCAGTAGGTTTTGTACAGTTGGTCTATTTGGCATATTTGCGTGATTTTCGGTTTCTTCTTATTTATCAGCTCATGTGAATGACAGTTTTAGTCCAACTTTTCCCTAGCCATCATTGAAAAAGAGCACAACATTCCCATTCCCGGCTGATAAGAAAACAGTTGAGAATGATGGAGAGACACGATTGTCACCGTTGGGAATAGGAAGGCGAAATGAAATTTTTATCGAGCAGAAATCGAATCAAAAATAATTACGGAATCACACCAGGAAATGGGTCCATTTTTACAATCAAGTTCTCAGTGCATATGTAGTTGTTGTGGGAAATAATTATTGTCCGAATGTCTTGGCTTGGAAGGTACGGACCGATGAGAGCGCGAATTGTCTGTTTGGCTCCTGCTCTGGGAACTCAGACGCCGATTCTCCATCAATGTTCGACGAGAAAACTGGAGCAGAATCCTCGTTAAGTTTCTGCCAGAAGCAGGCCTTCATGTTCTCGAAGCGGTCGTAGCAAGCCAGATAAGTGAGGTCAAGCTGAGTAACGTTTCCAACGCGCTGGTCGCAGAAAGTGAAGCACTGAAATTAATAACACATAATAGAAGAAACCTACTTACACTTTACCTTGTTTCCTGCAAGAGTGGTTCCCACGGCGTTTCTGACGCAGCACTCGGTGTGGTCCTGGCCCTGAGCGGCACAGAATTGGATATCAGCGGCAGCCTGCATCGGGCAGTAGTCTTGTTTGAAGTACATGGCTTGAAGGGCAGCCTTGGTGTAAGTTCGGAAAGAGCACTTGGAGAGGCACGAGTCCGGAAGGTTCCTCTCTTCACAGCACTTCATGAACTTCTCGTCAGGAGTCATGTCTTTCTTGCTCTTGAAGGAGAGGGTCTTGGAGCCTCTGGCCTTGGCACTGAAGCAACCGTATCTACCGCAAGAGTACCCACCTCCACATCCTAAAGTTTGATTATTAAATTAGATGATAAAGAGCTCAAGTTTTATTTACCTCCGGAGCAAACTGGTGGTGGTGGCGGAGCACATCCTCCTCCGCAGATACCAGAAGCAAAACAGGCATCAGTCACGGCCACAATAGCCAAAAGACCGACGACGGCCACGAAAATCTTCTGCATCTTTTTGAAAGTAAGCTAAAGTAAGCCAAAAGCAAACAAACTGACTTTTTCGAGTTCACCGCAGTAGTTTTTATAATGCTTTCACAAAGAAGACCTGTTGATGAGTCAGTGGGAGGGTTGGGTGGTTGAAGAAAAAGTCGCTTCATGTTACGCAAGAATAATGGGCATTCAAACAGTAAGCTTCTTTACACCGCCAAACAGTAGTATGTAGAAAGTGAAGACGAAGTAAGAAGTAGACAATCGACACGTCATCCGCTTCCTTCCCCCCTCTTTTTGCTTGCCCAACTTAAACGACCACTTATTGCGTCGACGAACAAAAGCGGTCGTCGAAAAAACGACCCGAGAGGGGTGAAAGCCCTGATTTACGCGACGATCAATCGCATTCTGAACCTTGAGAACAGGGGAGGAGGTGGATTTTTGAACTTTTCCGCTTTCGTTTATTTTGAATGGTATTAGGCGGGATGCCCTCAAATCTGAGCATAATTTAAAAAATTTATTTGTAAATTACTTTTGCCGAAAGAATGAAATTCTACAAAGGGCACAAAGAAATGAAATGAAATGACAATTACACTTGAACGAAGGCATGGGGAAGAACTGAAAAGCCACTTGGACAGAGCAGGGACGGGAAAGAATTAGGAAAAGGATAGAAAGGTCCCCCACCACAGCGGTACTGGCTGACAACTGAAACACAAGAATCACAGAAAACATAAATAGGGTTTTTTTTCGGGTTGAAAAATATTTTCGCTAAATTTTCTATCGTTGAATCGCAAAGCTCGTAATCAAGAACGTGGGTTAGAAAAGGGAAGGACAAAAACTATTTAAGTGAAAATGCGCAATTACTGGTTTCTACAAAGCACCAAAACGGTTCTTTTTTTTTCAATTTTCTCAATTATTTTTGTGAGCCGGCGTTCCGGAATGAGGAATTCGAGCCTTCTGCCAGTATTGATCCAGAATCGCAAAGCCATCAATAGTTGCTGACAAGTGTTTCGTTGCGATTTGAGTGAAATTCTTGGCGCCCGAGTCGTATCTGCAAAAAGTGACGATGAAAAATTCTAGACTGGAATGAACTCACTTGAACATCATGTTCATCATTGTTTCGGTGCATTTCGGCGGGCCTTGTCCCGAGATTTTGACGGCGGTGTCGGAAACCTAAAAACTATGTGAAAACCAGTTTACTTTTGTCAATTCCTACCTCGTCCCAAGTGTACAGCCCTCTGTATTGACACTTCTGATCTCGGAACAGAATGAGGAAGTGCTTGCAGCTCGACGACGCCATTTGGGTGATAGTCTGCAAAAAGTCAACGGTTCGGTAAGCTGTTCTCAGATTTACAACGGTTTCCAAAAATTGTACAAATGTTTCGGAGCGATAGATCACAACACTGGCATGTTCGGGCCAAGCCCGTCCGGTATCTTCCAAGTCTGGCTATTTTATCATTTTTAGTCCTTACCGCTTGTCTTGTAGAGTTGTTCACCGCGCCTGGGAAAACACTGAACTGCAGAGCGTTGTTGATGAGTCCGCGGTTCGATTTGGTGACCGTTTTGGCGAATAGCTTATGAGCTGAAAGAAAAACTCTTTCGTATACTCCGAACATATTTTCTTTTAAGTATATTCCACTCACTTGGCTCAGCCAAGCTGCTAACAGACACGCGTTGCTCCACCGACGACTGCCCCCTCATTCTCGGCGTATTCTGCCTCGATTCGGTCACCTCACTCATCTGACTCTTGGTTCGAACGAATGGTGGCTGAGAGTGACCTCTACCAGTTGATCTGGCAGAGAGTTCCGCGCCAAGCTCTTTCTCCAGCTTCTTCCGTTTGTATTCCTCCAGAATCTTTTGTCTGAAATGATTCACTTGTCACCAGTTCGAGTTGTTTTTTGTGCTCACCGTTGCTGTTCCTTCTCGACCTTCTTCCTCAATGCCAGTTCTTTCTTCTCGTTCTCCACTTGCCGTCTCTCCGCATTTCTCTGCTCTGCCATATCCACTTTCGTCTCGATCTCCTCCTTTCGCTTCATCGTTTTGGCAATCAAAGCTGCTTTCTTGGCAATGCGACGCTCAGCTGCCTGGAAATTCGTAAATTCATTTAAGATTGCACTTAAAATCACCCACAATTTTCTCCAAATTCTCTCCGGAACTGTCGTCGTCGCCAAAAGTGCGTCCGGGAGTGTCAGTTGGGCTGTCGTCAGACTTTCTGCCAATCGAGATGTCGTCACGGTCGCTAAGACGGCTGTATACGCGGCCTGAAACTGTAAAAAGGAAACGTGAGCGGTTAGGATTTAGAAATTACCTGGAGCAAGATTCTCCGAGTGATTATCCATCATCAGGTCCGGGAATCGTCGAGCAGCTTCCTCGGGTTGTGTAGTGGTCTCAAATAACGACAATATTGATCGAAATAAGAGTTTTCTTGTTCTTATCAGGAAGTGTTGGCATGTCAAGAAGTGACTCAGCACTCAAAAGTGGAAAAACTGTTTATACACACGATCTACCCAATTCTCACTGAAAAAAGCTCACCTCGTCCGTGATGTGCGGAACGGATTCCTTGCTATTCACCAAATCCAGCTCGTTCTTGATGAACGTCTCATTCTGCCACGTTCTCCTCGACGGAATCGACCTCGCCGGCATCTCCTGCTTGTACGTCATGCCCCAGTTGGTTAAATTCCTGTTGATCTCCAGCGGCGGGTCGGCTTGCATCTGTGTCGCCTGCAAAATTGAGTTTCTTGGCTCGTTTCTTTCTCATCTGTTTGTCGACACTAACGTCGTCACTCTTCGAATGCAGATGGAACGCATTGTGATTCGGAGGGGCCATCTGCTGCTGATGCTGGAGCGCCAGCGGTTGTTGTTGCTGCTGTTGAATTGACATTTCCATCTCCATTGGCTTATTGGCCGTTTGAATATAGCTCATTGGCGCCGGGGAGCTCTCCATGTTGTACGGCGGTGGGTTGCCAGCCATTCCGTTGAAGCCCATGCCTGATTGTTGCATCTGCAACAAAATTAGTTTGTGGAGAGCAGAAACCCGGGATAATTGAAGTTCATGCTCTCACGCTGTCAATCTCAATTTCAGACTATCGGATTTCTTGGGGACCCCGCTAGTTTTCAAAAAAGAATACCTGCTGAGGAAATCCTTGTTGAACAGGAATCGGTTGCATATGATGCGGAATGAAATATCCTTCAGGCGTATAGGCCCCGACTGGCTGAACGGGCATTTGTCCTTGTTGCATCTGCATGAGCTGCTGCTGCTGCTGTTGCTGATAATCCCCTGGGTACATGGACTGCACCATGTAACCCGCGTGGTTTATCATTCCGTTGCTCAAGCTGTTCCGCAACTGAAAAACTGACAGCTTTGATGTGAAAAGTGCAATGCAATAGATTTCTGGTCAATGTATTGAAATCCAGACTTGTCGCGTGTCGGACCAGCTCCGATTTTAGTACAAAAATTTGGAATCATAATTTCTGAGACAATTTTTTTCGGAAAATCGTATCTTTTGCGAGTTAGACTTTCAAATTATGTCTTGTGGCTAGTAATGGCTAATCTCAGCGAAAGAAATGAGTTTCCGAGTAAAAAATCTGAAAATCGATTATTTTTGCCAAAAAAATTTCCGGACCGATTTTCGACAAGTCTGTTGGAATCGCAATCAAAATATTGACCTGAGACGGGCTTGCATAGTTGCTCTGAGCCTGAGCTTGTTGCTGCTGTTGCTGTTGCTGCTGATGTTGCAATTGTTGCTGCATGTAATAGTCGTGTGGGGTCTGCGGGTGTTGGATATAGGATTGGGTCATTTGCGCAGCTGCGTTCATCGGCAGAGTCATGTAGTTGGCGGGATATGGCTGACCAGCTGAAAAAAGCTAATTTTTAAAGGATATTGGAACTTCAAACGGAACTGACCTTGTACCACGCTCGGTTGCGATGATGCTCTGTTCAGTCTCGCCGACTGCGTTCCATCCTCTCCGTCCTCCATCCCAACTCTCAGCTCCAGAGCACGCAGCTTGGCCTCAAAGTGATCGTACCACTCTTCTTTCTTCGGCTGCTCGTTCTCATTCTTCCGGAGAGCAAAAAACGCGGCCTTGCTCTTTTCTAATCGCTCCGTTTCGTTTGCAGAACTGAAATTAATTGGAAATGCGGTGAAGAGTGAAACGAATGCGCACTTGTTCTAAAAACCATAAAAGGCACTCCCTATGTACTGGTGAATGTCAGAAATAAACGAATGAGCTCACTTTTGCTGGGCCATCTGTTGGTCGTGCTTCCTCCGTTTCTCTTCCATTGCCAACCGAACCGATGCAGTTGCACTTCCGTCGTACCGATTGAGTTGAGCGGTTCCGGCTTGGTTTTCAAAACTCTGAAACATGTCGCATTTCTACGGCTTCCGAAATGAAATGTACCTGTCGTATAGTCTGGAAGTCAGTCACCGAGTCCTGGTCCATACTTCTCCGTTGCAATGCAATTGATGCGGGTCGAGAATAAAACAGACTGTCCTGACTCATCCGACTGACCGATCTCGACGGTCCTTGGGATTGAGGCGCAGCTGGCGGTGGGTTGAACATCCTCGGCCGGTTGCGATTATGAATGGACGAGCGAGCAGCAGCATTTGCAGCTCTCAGATCCGGAATTGCAGACGCCGGAACGAATCGCCGAGGAGACGGCCCGACACGCGGTGTTTCCACTAGAAAAATCATTTGGAATGAGGAGGAAGACGAAACAAAAATTGCTGTGCCACACCTATTTTTGTGCGAAAATCGCGAAAATCATAATTACCTGGTTCTGGTGTAACTGGCGGTTCAAATTGGACGAAGAGGTCAGCAAGGAATGCATTCACATTCATTTGAAGTGAGTCACGCAAGTAGAGTAGGTCTTCGATCTCGAAGTGGAAAGGGTCGTTCGGAAGGTGATGATGGCAGAATTGTCTGAAATGCGAGTGTTTTTTGATGGTTGGCAATTGTATCGGGAAGAGAACAGAGAGCAGAAGACTCACTGGAGCAACATAAGGTTGTACTGGCAGTCACGGGTTGTTGCTGCTTCATTGAACGATATATCTGAAAAAAAGCACAGTCTTGTATGGATGATCCCTAACCGTTCTCACCGGCAATTGGCATCTCCTGCGACCGATACCAATGAAGCAGTGCACACAGACACTGTCCGTCGGAAATATCCTCGTACAAATCTTCCATTTCCGGAATGTTAATGTCCGGATCCGTTCGTTCCACATCATCTCGGACCAGAAGACAAATCTTGTTGATCCAGAAGAGAAGAGCGTCGACACTATCGATTGGTTTCTCACTCGCCTCCACAGCTGTATGACGGCTGAAAAACAGATGGATGTTGTGGGCAGAAACTTTTCCGGACCGGGCCGGTTTTATCGACAAGTTGGTGTAGGAATTTTGGAAAATTCACAGCACAAGTTATTTTGTCCTAAATACACGAGCCTGTCTGTTGCAAATTTGGTCATTATTCTATTGATTCTAACTTTACTGTTTCCGACACATTGTTTCTATTAATGTTCTGGAATGTCGTGCTTTTGACCGAAAACCCGAAATCGTACCTCACTGCCTCAACCACTCGGCTAACTGGAATCACATCTCGAAGGTGTGCCATCATTAACGAATCGATAATTGCGAGATGAGCCGACTGAAAAACAGTACTTCCGAATTCTGTCGTTGCCCATTTAGCTTCCCGTTGTTTTGTTTTGACAATGACAAAAACAAAGTGAAATTTTCATGAACTGACCATATTGAATGGAGCGACAGCGGCCAGCTGCGTCTCCTCCACCGGTTCGTTTCCCTCGTGAAGTACGTCAATTCCGTAATCGGTGAGCACGGCCAGAACTGCTCCGTGTCCTTTCTGAACGACGGAACACTCGTAAAATGGGGCATCGCGTGTGCTGCGAACTCACCGTGACGAGCGCCGACTCTTTGAATATCTTAGCAGCAGCTTGTGCATACAACGAGCCATTGCAGAGAGCACCGAGAACCGCTTCGCTGATTTGGAAATGACCCTGGAATAATTGAGCATGTTTTAGTGGTTGTGGGTGTAAAACTAAAAACTCACGTTATCATCCCGCTGCACACCATCTCTCAGTTTATCCGGCATATCTCGCTTCTCCTCGTAAACCCGTGAAATCAACCATCGAATCGAAGCAGCCAGTTTACCCTGAACATTTCCTCTTGATTACTCTTTTCTCATTTCCTGGCAAGAGCTGGCGCACTTGTGATGATGTTTCATTTCCTATTCCATCCCTCTCTACTAAAAATGCATGGCGTCTGACAGAAATGCTAGAATGCGCCTCAAAAAAGTTTCTCGTACGACCAAAAGTGCGATTTTTGCTTCTTTTTTTCACCAGCTAAAGGGCTCTTACCTCATTTTCGTCGTAGTCCTCTATTGCAAGAAGTGCGGGTAGCGGAAAATCCATTCTGGCCGGCCCACCACACAGATTCCTCCGGCCCTTTGCAAATCTGAAATACAACGGATACATAGACGCGATTTCACAACAAACACAAGAGAAGGAGAAGGAGGAAACTAAAAAGAGATCCCAGCGGAGCGAGAGAGAGAGAGAGAGAAAGAGATAGAGACTTAGATGTTGAAGAACATGCCTACAGCCAGCAGGATTATGAATAATAATTCAGTTTGCAAAATTCGGTATTCTATTCTGAGTTAGTATGCCAGTTTCGGTGCGGCGCGTTGCAATGACCACCACTTCACTGCTTTGCATAGTGGTTTGTGTGTGCGTGTGTGTGTGTGCCTGTGTGTTGGGATGGACGGACGGACGAGGGCCGGGGTTAACAATGGCCGAGGACGGCGGGCCTCGCTGGCTGGCTGTGCCCTCACCCCTTCGCTCGCCTCCCGCTAGCGTTTGGTTCGAGATAGAGGCGATGAACAAGAAGAAAAAGAAGAAGAAGAAGAAGAAGAAGAAGAAGGATAGTGAGGAGGGGGAGAAGGAAAACGGGGCAGCAGCAAAAGATGTCTGCTGCTGACCGTTTCGCTAGTCGGGCGGTGATGAGTGAGAGCGCATAGAGACGCAGAAGAGGTACTTTTCATTATTTCTGCCAGTAATGATCACTCACCTCGGAGAGAGAAAAAAAACTGAATTGAAAGCAAGAACAGTGAGCTTTTTTGAAAGGTTAATGAGTCTTCACGGCACAATACACATTGTTTTCCGATCTCTCAACTGGTATTTCTAATTGGAATGAAAGAATATGATATGTATGACAACGGTCATTATCGTCATCATTATCGTCGGAAAATAAATTGTCTGCTTCTTCGCTCCGCAAATTCCCGACAATTGTGATGTTTGCACACATAGAAAAGAAGAGAAAGAAGGAGAAAACGAATTGAAATAAATTCAATTTGCTTGCGAGTTTGTGGTCCCAATAAAGTGTAACAGAAGAACAGAAAAGGACCACACACTTCATGATAACATCGCGCCATTTATTCCATCTCGAGGCCTCATTAATCAACCAACACGTAGTTCTTCTTCCTTTCCCGCGCGGCAGCGCATCCTTGGGAGGGTATCGACTCGCCGACGACCAATTTTTGCATTTTATTTTGTCGAAACGAACTGGTTATGGTAATTACTCTCTCGCTGAAGAGGTGAGAACGAATTGTGTTCTGACCGTCGAAAAAGGGCAAATGATTTGCTCGGTCGAGCAAAAGGCATTAGTAAATGGGATTGACAAACAAAAATGGAAAGAAGGAAGCCCGGGGCGAGTGGGAACACACAAAAGAAGGAGCCCCTCCCTATACAAGAAGATAAATATATCAAAGGTTGCTGTATGTTTGGGACAAGACAAGTACGGGTGTGTCTTTCGAAATCGGAACTGAACAACTTTGGAACTTGGAACAGTGAACTGTCGCACTCAAACATTTCACAATATTTGAAGTTTGTGAAGATTTTGTGTCTCTAATCTGTTGCACTTTTTGGGGCGATCCGCCCTCTTTCAAATGTCTTCTCAAATATCCATCTCCTCCATTATTCTCTCCTTAATTTCCTCCCCAATTAGCCAGTTGCGCGACAAGATTTTTGGTCTCGGATTGATCCGATTATAATGAAAAGCTAGATTTCTCGCATTTTAACTTTAAACTACAAAATAAGACCCAAAAAAAAAGACTTTGTATTGTTTCTTATCAAGAGTTTAGAGGGTATTTGAAGTGATGCGTCAATGTTTGGTATGAAGAATCGAGAAACGAACGGAAAACGAACAACTGGGGGCAATTTGTGGAAAACGGAACCAAAGTGATTAGGGATGATGCGCAGAAAAAAGTGGAATTGATAGGAAGCAGGAGAAGCGACCTGATCGTCCATCAGTTCACGGGTCTCGCCGTCAATAGTGTCCCGTTTTGTTCCGTTTTTCTCTTGTCCCTCTCCCGCAGTCTCCTCGCACTCTCATCTCGTAGTATTGACATTTGACTGACAACCGAACATGTCGACCCATTTTTTTTTGCTGAGGGAGGAAGTCTCACTCAGTGGTCAGAATTACACAAAAAATGATGGTGTAGAGGATTTATCCGTTCAGAGGACGAGAAATTGGAATTGAATGAATTAACACTAATCAAAAAAAGATTAGAAAGCTTCGGAACAAGAAAGTACCAAGAAAAAGAGTCGAAAAAATCGTTAGACCGGTCGAAATTGAATTGCATTATGTTTATAAAATAATTATGACTTGAAATGTCGTCCATCGTCCACAACTTGTTTCAAATTCGTCACTTCTCGCCGCAAATCTTGTATTTCTTTCCGCAAATCTTTCTCCTCCTGAAAAACGATTGTTTCCTTCCGTTGCTTCTTCTCAATCTCAAACAATAGCTGTACAATTTTGGTGTACAATACATCGTTAGTTAGTCATAGATGTGGGAAAATACAAATAAAAAGAATGAAAAACTGACGTCAACATTGCTGGAAGATGAAATTGTACAGTTGGGACATCCTGATCGGAGGGACACGTTTTGCAAGTTGTCCACTTCTTTTTCCATTTGGATACACTGAAAATAATGGAAATAGTTTTGGTTTTAGAAAAAAGTGTACCTTCGCCATGAGTCGTGTCTTCTCCTCCTGGAGACTTCGCATACAAGAACCCATGGCGGTGTTCTGACGTTGACAGTTGGAAAGCTGCTCCCGAAGAGCTCTTTCGCCCTTTTCAGCAGCCGTCACTCTACATTTCAGGCCTTCCAGCTCTGTTTTCCACGCTCGCTCTTTGTCTTGATACACCTGAAACTTCAAATAGCAATCTTTTTATATATAACTCAAATTCTCACCTTGATGATGATCTCTTCATTCTGCTCCATAGTATTTCTGATCTCTTGCAGTTCCAACTCTTTGTCTCTAATCAGGTTCTGAGACCAAAAACACTAATTTATCACACTGTCGCGCAACCAGGAAATCACCTCATAATCAATTATGCCCGAATCACTTGGCGACGGTGTTACGTGTATTCCAGATGACGAAGATGAAAGAGTCGTCAGAACATTCTTCTGTTGATTTATCTGCAACGAATACTGATTTATAGCCAAATGAGATGATAGGTAAAGTGGAGAAGCACTCTCGCGCCGCCGATAAACCTGTTCCGGCGGAAGCGATGGGAACGAAGACGAATTGCTGGCAGTTGAGCGGATTGAAGCGTTCATCTCTCGATTTGGGTCTTTAGCTGCAAAAAATTAGCGATAAGAAGGAATTTGACGAGTGATTTATGAAGTTCATTACCTTGATACATCATGAGAAGATCGGACAAGGAACCGTTGCTGTCTTTCGAGAATGAATCTACTCTGAAGTTGGGGGGCTTAGAAAGGGATCCAAAAGTTTGAGATACCTTCTGAAAGACCTTCTGTTTCCATCGTTGTGGTTGATAAAGTCAGGTTTTGCTCGATGAGCTATTGGTCGGAAAATTGTCGCTTCATGATGAGAATATTTTGGAGAAGTTACAAAATCTATCGGAGGTCGATCCGCGTTATCTGAAAAAAAAAGAAGCTATTTTGCAAAGTCTCAATACAGTTTCAGTTTAAAAGCTTACATGTATTCGAAGAAAATGGTTGCCACGTGCCAGAACGTCTTCTAGCACTGACATCTCTCAAAGTTCGATGATCCATGACAACTCTGAAACAAACGGCAAAAATCGAATACTAATGTACTGAAGACATATGATAATGAAGTGGTGAATGGGTTGGCAGGGAGTGTTGATAACCGCGAGGCACGAAACTTTCGACGCGTTTGAAGGTCAGTGAACAGTCAGTTGGGTGTGGGGGGTCGCAACACAAAGAGGATGCAGAAATTTCGGTCGGAACGAACAACTTTCTCCGGTTTTCGTATAAAACACGCAACCGTCAACAACATTTGACTAATCGTATCAATTAGAGAGACTCAACCTCCCCCATTTTTTCGCATTCTTCTTTTCAGCAAATCACAACTGTCAAGCGGGATAACTTACAATGCGTTACTAGCGGATTGAGTAGTGTGGACAGGGCGAGGAATGTTAAGTTGAGTTGTTTGAGGTTTGATGGTTAGTCTGGAAAAGATAGGCAAGGGTAGAAGTTGCGAATATCTGAGATAAAGTTACCGTTGAACTGTGGCCGGCGCACTTTTATCTCTTGTTCGAGGACTCGTCGAGTTCAGTTGAGCTTTCCATTGCTCCAAGCGGGTAGACGGTGTATGCGTTAGTTTCATTTTTTCTGAATTTCACAAAATCGAAAGTAAAACTAACCAAACCACGTACCGGGAGAGGAGGATAAGTGCCGCGCTTCCTTAATCCCCTCATTTATGGTGTCCCGAAGCGGCGCAAAAATCTCCTCAATCATCGCTTCGGTCGAGAATCCGTTGGCAACACCCACACTTGCACTTGACCTTTCGCTGGACGGACCCGGCTGCAGAGTGATGTGCTTCGGTGCAGCGACGTAATTCCAATGCGATGATTTCTTGCTCATCTGAAGCGCGCGGCGAAATGAATCAAATTCCAAGAAACATAAAGCGGAGGGTGGGTGTCTGAGAGCTTGTCTGAGGGTTCAGCAATAGAGGATCATAAAATTTATGACTCAATTTGGGTCAACAACACATGTTTATAGCAGACGGAGAAGGACGGGTGGTCGTGAGGGATTATGAACAGACTTGACCAGGGAACGGAATGGAATTGAGAATATGGAAATCTAAACAATTGAGACTTACCATTGGCTCGTTTGGAATCTTAACAGTCTTCTGAATCTTCTCACAAGTGTACGCCCTCGGCTGGGGGATCACTATGCTCTTGTGGGTCTTCTCCCGACATCTGGAAATGAGTAAATGGAGAATTGTCTGGGAGTCTAGTACTTACACTGATTTCCTCTCAATTTTAGTCTCTGCTAAGCACTCCGAAGCATACTTGCCACGTTTCACAAACAATTTCTGAGTCGTCGCATTATCAGCCGCATTATTGGCCGAGCTTGCAGTGTTTTGCGCCAAATCACCTTTCGTTTTTTCGTTGTCATTTTTGTTTCTGAAATGAAGAATGACGAGATGGATTGATTGCTCTGTGCTCCCGAAATTTTTGGGTGACAATAACACAACTGACCGAGATTTGTCCGGCCTTTCTGATTGAGTGACAGCTCGTTGAGGAATGCTTCGTTCTCGACTTCGCGATCTGGAATTATGCATTGAATTGTAGTTTAGTGAAAAATGAGAGTGGTTGGTGGGTATGGGAATGTGTAAACTTGATGTTTGTCGGAGCTGATACACTAACAAGTAACTCATGACATTGGGGGCAGAGTTTGGCGGCAAATGTAACTCGAGAACGTTGACAATAAAACAGAGCATATCGATTTGTCAAAAAGGAAATGGCTCAAGATTTGAAGTAAATAAATCGAACAAAAATTATGATGTATCAAAAAACCTAGTAAAACAGCTTGAAAGATACATCCAAAAGTGCAACATACCGTGCTCTGAATATCGACAGCGGATTTCGGAGTGTCTGCATAGTCAAGCGGCGGCGGACCCACCGCGAGACACACTCACACCGGCGGAACGACGCAATAAGTAGCTACTCCACAGTCTCCTCCTTCCAGTCGGTCTACGTCAAGACGAGACAGCTGTCTTTTCATCCAACCGGGCGGACCGCTCAAGCCCGCCGCCGCCGTCTCCGTCGTTTCCCTTTGCAATCTGCGGCTTATCTCGTCCCGAAACCCTAGCTTCTCATTTTCTTCATTTCTCCTTTGATCTCATTATCTTCTCTTTGGTCTTTTCCCGTCGCCACGACACGTGTTTTTTCGATCCGCTTCTGCGACCTAACCGGAGCAGAGCCAGCAAAATTTATGTGATGAGTGAGGCGAGGACCCCAAAGTCTGGCAAGAGGAGTGTGATTCGAAATAAATGACCTGAGAAGATCTAATGAGGAACGAGAGGAGAAGTGTTTTGCGAGGTCGTGCCGAGAGATACATCACTCTTAATGCTTTCAAATCACTAGATTAATTGTCCGATTCCCATGGCTTACATCACAAACAATCAGTTGACAGAACCTTTAGAGAAAACAATGTTTTAAACTTCATTAAAGAATTCACAAGGTCGGATGAATGCATTTGCCTTCTTCTCCCATATCATAGAAGTCAATGTTTAAATCGAAGCTGATTCTAAAAAAATGAAGATGAACCTGAGTGAAAATGAAAATCTCACGGTCCGTTGTTTTTAACGGTTTCTGGTGCAAAAGCGTCGTAGCAACGTGGAAGTCCGTCAGCAGTACAATTGTGTTCCATTTGCCAAGAGATTTTATGTTCCTGTAATTAATGTTCAATTCGATCAATATGTGGTAATGTCTGACTGGAGCATCGGTTTGATTGGACATCAATGGTCCAACCGTGAATTTGTGCCAGAGTCGATCAGTGCAATAGTTATTGAAGGAATACCAAACGGTTTCGGTGCGTCTGAAGCAGATAATTTCTATTTTAGGAGATATAACTATTGTTCACCTGTTAATTTCGAAAATCTTGAAGTTTGCGCACCAACTGAGAGTTGGCATGCATCCCAGAGTGATGTTGATGGTGACTGGGTCCGGACGAACAGCCGAGAATAGCAAAAAGCACGTGGACAAAAGAAAGAGCATGGTGGCTCGATTTCAGGTGAGGCAGCTCACACACAACACGCTTTTATTCCTTCTCTTTATCAGCTCATGTGAATTCTCATAAAGCTTCCCGTATGAAACAGTGCCCACGCATGAGAACGAACAAAAGACGAGCAACAAGATGGGAATATATGTTTCATAAAATAAAATACTTTATTATGTCAGTGGATCATGTTGTTTTTGAACGTTCGCTTGATCTTGTTCAACAGAAACTTGAGATTTCACATGAGTCAGGAAATCGACACCGGACGACGGGTCAGCAAACAGCTGATGTCACTGTTCATAACCTTCTCCAGCGAGAACTCGCGATCCAAGTCGAAGACAGGCACCAATAGATCGGGATCCAGCAAGTCCGTTGTCCCAAACACACGTTTGTGGAACTTTTCCACAAGTGGGAACTGGTAGATCTTGGCCAGTTCCAGTAGAGTATCCTTGAAACCAACTGGAAAAATGATTGAACTTTTAGTTCTGGATCAGATAACTCACTGTCACATCGGAATTTGTGGTGACAGATGTCGAACATTGTAATGAAAGCTTCGGGGTGTGGAGTCGTTATGTTCAAATTGTATTGGCCTCCGGTGCTTGTGCTAGAGAGCACTTGTTTGAAGAATCCAGAGATAGACGAAACATACTGCAAATGTAAAATCTCAGACTTTGGATGAAATATTTGATTTTCTCTTACGTCCTTGTTCACTAAAATCTGATACTTCCCGACGTTGATCGTAAGATCAACGGTATTCACGTTTCTCAGGTCGTCCTGTCCATGATAGCTTCTGTTCGAATAGCATGGTCCGCTGTTCTCGATGAATTTGTAGTTGACAATCCTAGCCGAGCACTGGACAACTGGTGTGTTCCACATTTGAGACTCGACCTCACTCCATTTTAAGAAAGTCGGCAGGTACAGCCGGTCGTTATTGTAACGGAGATGTTTCAGAACGTACGCTTTGCTCATGACCGTAATCTCCGTCTCGTACTCGATGGCAGTGAACAGACGCATCGGATGATGGTAGTTGATCTCAATGCCCAGGTAGTCGTTTCCGTTGAAATGCAGTTTGGCGACGGTAAGAGTTCTGCAAAAAACCACAGTTATTGTGAAAATGTTTAGAAATGCTTCACATGTCCTTATCCGCATCGGTGGCGGTCGGCACATTGACATTTGTGGAGGCAACTTTCGACATCTAGAATTGGATAATGAACCGACCGGACAATTTAATCAAAGCGAGAAAATGAAGAAGCGAAGGGCGCCCCGAAATGAGAAAAAGAAGACGTTGTGAAATAAAAATGAAACGAAACGAGTAGCCATGAAAACGTTCAATACTGAGAGAAGGGCGCGTTGCTATTGGTATAGAATCGCCTCCGGCTTTGACTCCTATAATTTCCGCTCATGGAGCCAGCATCCTATTGATCTTCCACAAAAAGAGCACAAGGAAGAGTAAGAACCACACGTTGAACCCAGGGTTTTTGATGCCGATTCGTAGGTTTGAGAAAAATGGGGCTGAAGATTGAATGACACCAATTTATCGGTATGTCAGGGTCTGCAAATGAGAACCCTCTCAATCTGGGGAAAAGGGCTCTGCGACGATTCCTGCCAAAGTCATTTCTTACCACTGACCTTTCATACCAAAACATTTCCTATCCAACACCTTTCATACCAAGTCATTTCATTCCAAAGATGTTCCATTTCCGAGAGATTTGATAGCAGCCATATCTGTTCAAAATTTAAAAAAATTGTTTGAAAGTTTACATGAAACGTCTTGGAATAAAATGAGTTGGCATGAAAGCTCACGATTATGAATTGTGACTAGTATGAGACATCACTGGTGAAAAATGACTGGCGGGAATCCGTAAAAAAAGAGACAAAGAAACGGGAGTATGGAAAAGTTATTTAACAAATGCTTTATTGCAAATATTGTATCATCACAATAATTATCGCACTCCCTTGTTGAACTTATGAATCAAAGATTCCAAATGTGGGAATTTGTCTTGAAGTTGGATGAGTCTAGCCAATCGGGCATCACGAGAATAGTCATTCATCCAGTACGTCATCACCTCCAATTTGTTCTTCAACACTATTTTCTCGCGTTGCTCCGTGACGTAACCGCCACATTTGAGAATAAGGTCGTAAGCGTCACTTGAGATTTGGATTCTCATTGCTGAAAACATAATGCGTTTTCTACAATGAAATGTCCTAAAGTTTCCTACGTTCTCCACTGCTCTCCATGTTGTTTGCGACAATAACAGTGTCTCCGAACAGACAATAACGAGGCATGCGGATTCCGACGACTCCAGTCACGACTGGTCCAGAATGATTTCCGATTCTCAGCCGAAGCTTCTCATCAGGCATATGACTCACAACGAATGTCTGAAAACTATTTGTTGTTCATACATAACTTTAGAATCTGTCAAACTTTGATGCTATCCAGAAGTTCCAAGCTAGCGGAAGCAACTTCTCCGGCATGCAAGTAACTGTTGAGTTCCGGAAGACCCGAAACGAACATGTAAGCATCTCCAATTGTTTCAACCTGAACCGTCTTGAATCAGATTAAAAAATCTAGATTTGAATTCACTTTGTAGCAATCAAACTTATCAATAATAGTGTCAAAATTAGTATACAAATTGTTGAGCATGTTGACGATTTGCAATGGGGTACTTTTGCTGCTCAATGCGGTGAAGCCGACAATATCAGAGAAGTAGATGGATACACTGTCAAAGAACTCTGCTTCGACTGGCTGTCCGTTCTTGAGACTGTTGGCCACTGATCTGGGAAGCAATTGGAGTAGCAAGTTCTCATTTCTCTTCTTTTCATCTTCCAGCTGCTCGGTTCTCTCCCTGATCACGTCTTCCAAGTTGTTTCGATAGCGATCCAAGAGTTGCATGATATTGTCGGCGATGTTTCCTTTCCTAAAACGTATCATCTTTAGAGTTATTGTGTAAAGAACTCACAGTCCTTTGCTGAGAGGTTTCAAAAGTTCTCGAACTTTTTTGATGTTTGGCCGACTATCCGGGTCTTCAGCCCAACATCTGAATAGATGGAATCATAATTCAGCAGAATTCGATCTGAATTCTTACTGTTCAACAACTTTCGAAACGGGATAAGGAGCTTTGGTGACCAAATGAATATCCGGACGGCAGAGAGCTCCACCATCAGGGAACTTTACTTGATCAATGATAGCTGAAAAGTTTTCATCTTCCTCATCCCTCCTCTTTCACTAAGTACCGTCAGATTCAAGAAGATCATCTCCAAACGGTCCCTGTCTGCCATAAATTTCATACAATACGATAGAAAACGAGTAGATGTCAGATTTCGCAAGTTCCGTTTTTGATAAATCGTGTTTTACAGCATAACGACGTATGATTTCCGGTGCGAACCATAGCAAATCTTAAGAAGATAGAATATTGAATGAACTTTTGCAGAACGGACAGCGTTACCATCAGGTTTTGGCGTCGGTTCGTCAAAACGAATCTGCTCCATTCCATAATTGCTCAGCTTAACCCGCCAGTATGCGTCCACGATACAGTTGGAGCTTTTCAGATTTCCGTGATATCCGATTTTCGAATCATCATGAAGAAACTGCAAGCCTTTCAAAATGTCATCAACGAAAGAAACTCTAAACATCCGGTCCAGGCGGAGATCTTCATTTCTCAGTAGATCCTGAAAGATTGGTTTCAATTTTTCTTATATACCTCTTTCTGGTACCATCAAACTCTTTCTGGGTCCGTAGGAATGAAGCGTGAAAATGAGTTCGCTGTCATTGATAAGACCGTAAAACTTATTCAAATTCTCATGTGTCTCGGTCATCAACTGTAATAGTAAAGTTCATCAGTTTTTTGTTCGCCAACAAAGAAATGATATCACCAGGTCAACTTCCTGTTTCATTTCCCTTGTCAACTTCAGCTGAGTCTTGTTGATCTTTCGAACGGTGATCAACGTGTTTTCGTACTTGGCAAGATGCCAATCCACTATTTCTAGCCACTCGTCCTTGTTTGCCGATGACGACTGTGTAGTCTTCTTCATTTGATTCCGTCTCGCTGCCTTTCGGATTCCCTGGTTGTAGAAGTTCATGGTAGCGCCGCCAATCGGGCCGACATCTTCGTACGTTGACTGAAGTGCAGATCAAGTTTAGAGATGTAGAATTTGTGCAATGCAATACCCGAATGCTAAGTGCACTTTGCAGCATGCTTCCACCTCTACTCGATCCGAACTTGGTCATGTCCACCAGCTGAACGTGCTTTCGACTGACCAGAAAGTACGAGGACTCCAGCCTTCGTTCATAAGCAATCCATCTACGAAATTCATAGCAGTTTTTCAAAAAAACTTTACTTTGATGTACCTTCCAATATACGCAATCACACCGACCAACACGATAATAGCGACAACACAAACAGCGATGAGGATGATCTCGATCTCTGACAGGTTACCTGTTCAACAATGTATTGGGTTTTGATGCCAATCAGCTGCTAGTCAGCTTTTCTACCCTGGGTACGATACTAAGTTACTGACCGATACTCGCTGGACAGAATTCGTTGTTGAATCCACAGTCCGGTCTGGATTTAGGCAGTGCTCCGCCGTATATGCCCAGCTCAGTCAAGTTTTTCCACACGATGGACTGAAAATCATGCATATGTTCAATTAATGGATTTTGCATGTTTTAGTCTCTACATAATTCCCTTTCCCGTCTGGTAACATTTGCGCTGCTATCTTTGCCCATTCGGGAAGAGAAATAGGTCCGAGAAGACTGGAAGCTTGTTGCGGAGCCCAGAGAATGTACTCCCGCTGAGATACGCGGTTGCTGTCAAACTTTGTCACATATCCGAGTAATGCTGAAAAGTAAACGTTCTGAAAAGTCCAAAGTACTTGTATCTAACAAGTCACTCCTCTTCCAGACATCGCGCCAACCAGACTCGTCGAATTCCTTAAAACAGATGCACCATGCACTTTCACAGTTTCCGAGAGAAGCCGTCCCATATCATAGGCATCCACAATCGATGGGCTCTCCGAGTACCAGTACACGTCATCAGAAAACTGAAATATGTGGCAAACATTTCCGGTGGCACATGTTTTCCGATCAGCTGACGATCAATGCACTCACCGGATCATTGTCGGCAATGCCCTGGACTTGAGTATCACACATCGGAGGACAGAAGCTTTTGCCAGCATCGCCGCTGACACGAGTTTGGAATTTGACCCAGTCATCGCTAAAGTCTAAACACCAAATGACTAAATTAGCGAACAAAATGATGTGATAGACTTGCTTTTTGGATAATGGGGAATGTCTGTGAAATACAAATAGGAACGGTAGTACTGACGGACCTCAGAGTCCGAAACACCATAGCGGATAGTTCCAAAGTATTGGCTACCTGAGAGTGTCTAATTTGATTAGTCTGCTGGTCAATGGGATCTCCAGGTACCCCTGTTAGTGTTGAACCCAAAATACTTGGTAGAGTCAGAGTCTACGGACCCTATCATTACAACAAAGTACTGGCCGGTCTCGAGCAATCCCATCGTAGAAAGAACATTCATGAAGAACGTTCCAGAAGCTGGATAGGTCAGCACAATAACGTAGACTATAAATTATCATCAGTAATTGAAAGGAAAATTAGACATTTCTTACTTCTGGTCTTCTGATAAGTTGCCAAAACAACGTCGATAATAGTTTCCAGTCCTGTGAACATTGCATTGTTCAAGTTTGCAGAAAAGCCTCCTTTTTGAACGAAATCCAGCTGAAAATGAGTTAGACAGTCAAGTTTAAAGTTTAAAAGTTCCAACTGAAATGGACTCGGCAGACAAGGCATCCAGAAGTTGATCATGGTAGGTGTAGTCTGTGGGACCGTCCTCTTCAAAGTTTATCACAGCCACATTAGTCCAGCCAACGGATTTTGCAAGTTTGGCAAACGCTCGATACTTACCGCTGAAACTCGAAACATGAAATTTCAATTTTTCTTCAAATCTCTATGTACCCTTGCGTCGATGACATTTCTAAAGCGGTGGACGACGGCATCTGTGCCTCTCCAACTTGATCAAAACAGTTCTAGAACAAAACTTTTGTACAAAACGGTATATTTTAATAGTACAATACCACAAGCAAACTAGTAGCATCATAGGCTTGAGCCAAAGCTGCCACTTGCTGACAATCCTCCTCAACCCCGACGACAGCCAACAGATCATCGTTGTTCGTGTCATCGATCATGATTTTCAACATGCTTCTGCAAAGTGTTCTATTCTTGTCCTTATCCAATTTTCACATCCGTTTTCAATAAATTTCGATCAACGAAGATCAAATGTTCCTTGCGTATTTCAAAAATTGACTCGCGCGCCGATCAATTGATAAGTGATCAAGTTCCTTTCATTTTGAATTAGTGTCAAATTTCGAATGACTAGGTTCCCCTTCTGTTATAATTAGGTACATCAAGTCAACTTTTGGAAGTCTCGACTAAGACACGGTTACGTGCCTTCTATCCAACCCCATTTAACCGTCTCTTATCGTAATATCAAACTTGAAAAGTCCTTGCAAAGTCGGGGAGATCAGTCATTCGTCTTTCAAAGACTTGCCGTGTTCTCTCTTCCTCTCGGTCTCCGCGACCTCCCTTCCCTTCCGCCAGTTATATTGTACAACGAGATGACGTTTTAGACTTTTAGAGATCAAAACATTGCAAAACACGGGGTGGATACTCTACAGTAATACATTAGAAAACAGACACAGGGACTTACGCCATGTAGTTGCCAGTTTGCTCCCCACGTGAAAAGTTGCCCTGGACTGTGGGATCGTAGAACTCGACGTTGATATTTGAATTCACAAAAGTACCATTTTTTGTTATTCCGCCACCATCCGTCAAACCTGAATGTGTTCACTTTCCTTTCGACGGTTCAGAAGACACCTGATCGTACCGTAGTAGAATGCAAGACCGACATAAGTGTCCGGGGTACAGTAATCCGTATCGAAGTCAACATTGCAAGCATATCTTCCAAAAAAAGTCACATGGTCGGAGAGCGTGGTTGAGATCAGAAGAAGTGGGAGGAGGAAGAAGAAGAAGAAGTAGCGAGTATTCATGTGTGCATAGTTTGGAAACAATGAATTGGAAATTGAAAATAACCGTTTTCGCGGGTGTCTAGTATACTTTTTCCAATTTCCGGTCAATAATTGGCACTTTTCCGTTTCATGACGCAGGTTGAAACGGAAATTGAAGATTGAGTTTGGTTTTTATTCAGATCTAAAAAGATCCATAAAATTCAATTTCCTGTTACCCCTCCTCCTCATCGAACTTCACAATCTGAAAGAATTTCTGGCACAAGGGACCGAAGATGAACAAATGAGAAAAACAAATTTCGATCTTGCGACCTCCGTCTCAAATTGTGTTCAATGACTTTTGAAAGTGTACAATGATACATTTCACTTATCTTCAAAGATATATTGTGGGTTCTTTGCACTTTTGGCTTCAACCTATTTTCTCATGACGTGCGGTCAAAAAGTGTAAAATGGCTGACCCCTCTTCTCACGAGGCGGAGACCGATAGATGAGAGACTAAAAAGAGAATTCGAATGAAGAAGAAGAACGTGGTTGGTTCTAAAAAAGCTATAAAGTTTATTGCCGGAAGGTTCACTAAAAAACTGTCAGCTGATAACAGATACAAACCATTTGACTTTTTAGTTTACACATCTTCATTGTATATGTACACGATAGATATAGACCAAATCCAGAAGAGGGACCAGTGGAAAATCAGAATCTTTAAAAGTGATGGCATTGGAATTGTGTGGGGGTGGCTTTGGGAAAGAGGAAGAACAGAATCGGGGGGAAGAGGAAAAGACACGTAATAAGAATGGAAAATATCTGCTACCCAAAATAGATAGGAGTGTGAAAAAGTTGTGTATCAAGTGAAATGCCTAAGTTACTAGTACTACTACTGTACATCATTGTAGAATTCAATTCATAGTCGTTCACAATTTCAGATGGAGTTGTTTCAGTGTGTCATTGGGGATTGTTCGCTTCAAAATCGCATTCTCAGACTCTAATCTGTAACGAATGATAAGCATGTGATCGGAAGGTCACGGGACACTCTTTACCTCCTGACATGATTCTCCAGGTCGAAAATCTTGCTTCTCAGACCGTCGACTTCTTCTCGGACGGCGAACATCAGATGGGTTTTGACCAGATCCTGAAACACGACCATCATTAGTAGATTCATTTGTATATTATCTAGTTATTGGCAGCCACATTGAATCTTCTATCCCCTTCTTCTATTTCTGGCAAGCGAAAGTCATTCATTTCGGTTTTTGGCCTTTATTGTTCAACCGACACGTTCACTAATTCGGGTACCAACGGGTACGATTACGGTATGAACCCGCAACACGTATCTTTTGGTTTTGCGAAAAACAAGAAGAACACTCACCATTGCTTGCTCGATCTTGTTATCAATGTTGTTCAGATTGTTAGCCGGCGGACTCGCGGCGACACTGTAACATGAGCCGAATGAGGAGGATGGCGAGCAGCCGCGCGAAATTCCATAGTGGGGCGAGTAGACAGGCACATGGTTGCATTCAACGACAGCACATTGCCACATGATTTTGTGGAATGGAAAGAGAAAGGGGAAACGAGAGGGAGGGGCGAGAAGCACAGCAAGAAGACAGTAGTGAGTGGTGATAGTGGTTTGGGAGAAGGTATAGTAAGTAGTGTGTTGGACCGCTTTTATGTGGTCGACTGATAGCTGGTCTCGAGTTCGAAACAAACAGACACACGATATGGGAGGCGCGGGAGACAGGGACGAGGAGAAGGGGAGGAGGGCGAGACGCGAGGGGGAGTCAGCCACTTTTTCTGCTGATCAGGTGGAGGCGTGGCTTGGCGAGCCGCCAACGAACGGACAACTGACAGAAAACGAAAGAAGATAGACCGCGGGGAATGTGGGAGGAGTGAGAAAACAAGTTGGCATAGGGGTAAGCAATAGGGATGACCGTGTTAGGAAAGATCTCAGACGCTGGGAAAGACATGGTTCTGATCCCGATGGAGCTAGCTGAGTCACTCCAACTCCAAAAGGACCAAACACCGGACATGCTTAGAAGTACAATATAGAAACTTTGAACCTACACAGTTTTTGATCTAACAAGTGGGGCTCTGAAACAGTGGTTAGTCGGAAACTGGGACAAGTGTTACTTGGACAAAACTCCTTACGATTGGACAAAAACCTGAAAATAAACGCAAAAGTCACATACCTTTTGGTTCTACGCGGCTCACCAACACCATTGATTTGAGTTTCCGAGCTGACTTTGACTGAAACGAGGCTTGGTGGATTACTCTAACTTTTAAGTTCCATACTTTGTCCGTTGGCCGCTGGCTGGACTACGGTAGACGTCTTGATTTGGGCAGTCGGCGCGGCCTGCAGTGACCACTATATTTAGCGAAAACAATTTGTCTTCAAGAAGATGAAGATCCCTTAGTTAATCACAAACCGGGTCCAAATATTCTCTCTCTTTCCTACGAATAAAGAGGTATTTTCCTCACATGTCTCAGTACTGTTAAGAGAAATTCAGATTTTCACCAACGATAGTCCCCAGACACTTTGGTCAGATGGAATTTATCTATTTATCATGTGGTCAGCCGTCTTCCATCATCTTATTCTTCTTCTTCCTCTTCTTCTTTATCTTTTCCCCTCACCACCAGTTTTTCAAAAATAGGACTTCGTTTTATGACAAATGTTGTTGCCGCTTTTAGACACTGATACGCGTGGGTCATTTTTCATTTTTCACGCCCGAATCAAGTTAGATACACCATGCCACAAACTTTTCGATTTCTATTTATTCTGTTCCACGTGCCCCCCACGCGTGCCATGCCAAAGTGAAGCGATTTCAAATATACACACACACATCTGTTGTGACGGGCGCATATGTACATAGACATCTGGAGCCACCCGACTGCCAGCCAGCATATTTGTTGGATCAGCGACCGATCGAAAAGGGCATGTGAGCGGATTCGAGGGGGTGGCTATATTTGGTGAGCAGATTGGAACTTTTCCTTTCCGGGGGATCTTGACGGCAAAAGCTTGAGGAGGCATAAAGAAAGGAAGGAAGATTTTGTTTATTTTGTCTCCGACTCCGACGTCTGTGTTACAAACCATTTCCTGATCACACGTACATATTTACACAATCATCACGCTCTGTCTCGCAACTCAGACCTGGTCTACAGTCTTGCGGGACACTAGGGACAGACACTTTTCTTAGATTATCCGATTCTCACACGGGTACATCTCAGTTTTTGAAGATGTCACGTGAAAATGTATAGTCGCTGTTATTTTTATTTTTGTCGTAAAGTCGGGGACATGCCATCATTCTTCACGTTCACGTGTTGTCACTTGATCGGATAAAGAGCAGGAAACTAAAGAACACATTTCTCTCCTTTGCCTAGTGCTGAACTGAACTGACCATGTGTCTTTGATATATTACTTGTTTACATGACACGTTCACAGTAACCTAAAAGTGTTGCGAAATTGTTCAATGGTTTCAGTTTGATGGAAAAAGTCATCGAAATCCTCATGTCTCTTGTAGCGTTCCTTTCGGAACGTCAAATCGTTTTGGCAAATACACGCACACTCAGCATCCCGTGTTTGCGTTTGATGAGAGGAGATGAAAAATGAAATCGAGAGCACCCTTTTCGAAATTCTTGTAAATTACTGATAAATCAAAAAGACACGTACGTACAAATTGTGCTCTCTTTCTCTCACTTTCACTCTCTTTCTGTCAAACGACAAAAGGTTACACAATATAGATACACACTCGGTCACACGGAAACGGGAAAGTGCTTTCTTTTCGCTCTTTTCCAACCAACCAACTATTGAGCATTCTTTCGCCGACGACTTTTAATTCGCCTTATCACATGAAACAAATGAAAATTTGATAGAGCGTCACGATCACTGTGCAATTTTGAGAATGTATGTGCTAACTTGCCTTTGGAATCGTAAAAACGGGTCTTGGATTCGCGGTAATAAACGGAGCCATTGGTTTTGGCGGTTGAGCCACTGGGATCTGAGAGACAATCGGTGAAGAGGAGGGGTGAATGTCCGACAAGGAACGGCTACTTCTGTTCACAATTTCTTCTTCTGAAAGTTAAAAAACATGATACACGCTTCTCATTCAATATTTTCTTCGTTGAAATGTTGCTGGCATACTTTTAATGACGGCTGCCGGCTTGGAAACGACGTTCTTTCCGGGACTGAAGTACGGGTCCCTGAGAGAATCATAATAATCTACACAAGTCCACCTATCGCGTTTATACCGTGTTTCCACAGGCACGACCTGAAATTTAACAACTTTTTACAGACCTTCAAAGCGTTAGAGATTTTTGAATGCACTGCGGGTAAAGTTGTTAGAAAAACTGATTATTCAGGGGAAAACATGTGAAACTATCAAAGAACTAGTTGTGGAAATATTACCTTTACTGGTGAATCATCTTCAAAACTTTTCATTTTCATTTTCCGATCAGTTATCAGCAAGTTTCTCTCACTCTGCATTGAACAACATTTTGACAATTTTTACTTCACTCTTCCTATTCTAGACTAGACTCTCGCTACATTTCTATTACGAAAATTGAGAAAGTTTGGAAACGTAGGCTCACCTTGAAGCGGGATCCACCGGTCGCCATCGTCGGTGGATTTTTGTTGACGGGAGTGCTTGGAAGTGTACTGCACGTGTTCTCGACGGGCGGCGTTTCTCGACGAAGTGGCCGAAAATCGACAGACTTGCAGAATCGGCCTGGCGTCGACGCTAGAAAGTACAGAGCATGGAAAGCGAGGGGAAACCTCCTTCGTCACACCCGACCACAATAATGAGCGGTCGAGGGGTTGAGGGGGAAAGCGAGAAAAGGTGGAGGGAAGAAAAACTCTGTCGAATGGCTCATTAATTTTGTGCGAGAGAGCGCCGCACCTCTTATCAGCTGTTTTCCACAAAGTTAAACTTGTGATAGTTTTTAATCGGCTCGAGAAAACAAAGCAGAGCGGGCGGCTGACTGGCGTTCAAGTGGACCTCAGCGTCTTATTATACTTTCAACTCTTTCGAAAGTTTCAGAGAATGTATTGCAATATCAGGCGGAATTGAATGGAATTGGAGAGAAAAAATCTTTAAAGAACATATTGCCGTGATTCACATGCAATCTTTACACATTCCCTACGAAAAAGCAACAACAAAAATCGTAAAGCAAGCGTATTTGTGGATTCTCACTTCAGACTGAGATTGATAACAAATAGTACAAATTCAGCTGAATAGTAACGTTTTTTTTGTTGTCTTTGTTAAATTTTTAACCAAACCGGTCGCATTGTTTGTTTCTTCTGTGTCAAAAGAAACAAACAGCAAAGTGAGAAAAGAAAACAATAATAATAGGAAGGTAGGTGTTGGAGAAACGGAAGGAAACGAATGGAACAAATGAAACTGAGCGAGGAGAAACATAAAACAACGCAACTTTTTTGATTTTACCCATCTCTGCATCTGCAGCCAGCCCGAGTGGTCGTTTCAAAGAATGAGGTCTCGACGGACAAGCATTTTGATAAATTTTGAGCGCTTCAAAGAAATCTCAGCAGATGTTCTGTTTTGTGCTGTTCTGTTCTGTTCGGTAAGACCTTCCGTTTCCTCTTTTTGCCCAGGAAAGACGGCAGGCGTCGGGACCTTCTTCTCTTCTTGATTGACGATTTAATTGAGTGAGCTCTCGCTCTTTCGTCATGTAGTTCGTCAGGAGGGGCACGGTGATTTATCGTTTGGACTTTGCCATTTTCTTCGCTTTTAAGAGGCAATGTCTGAGAATCTCGAAATTCGCTAATTACACCAGGTCACTAAAAATTCAGAATGCTTCAATTTGTCTAATATCATACCCAATGGGTACTTACATAACAGTGATACATCAGACAAGTTTTGGTCCGGCTCCGTGGTCACTAGTCCGATCACGGTCACAAAATAGGTCAAACCTGTAACTAATTTCAAAAAAATGCTAGCGTCTCAGACTCAAGGCCATTCGATTTCTCGCATCTTTTTAAGCATTTTTCATGTTGGCACCAAAAATTTATCACCTTTCCTTCATGGAGAAATTTCGGATTTTTCGTGGAAAAGTTGAGTTGTTCTGCAGTTTTCCTCCGTGGTGAAAATTTTTTGCACTTCGTAGCCACGATTTTATTTCAAATTCATAATCTACGGACAATTTTACGTCGATATACCATACTGTCGCACATTTGCCGATTGACATCAAAGGAGTTTTTTTCAAAAGTTTGATCCGGTCTCAAAAAAAAGTTTCTGTTCTGCTTTTGGAAAACTTACAGAAACAAGGGAATTCCTGTTTATAGACGTTTTTTATGCTAAAAACTGTAATTCTGTTATGTATTCGTCATATACAGCTTTGTAAACGTAGCGATTAAAACATGTTGAAATTTTTTGTCAGCCGTATAGATTTTTCGAGATGTGTTCGCTTTTACCCAATATTTTATGCTTTCTCTCGTTTTTATTTTTCAATGTTCATCTAACTTTTTGTGAAGCATTTATTTGGTCGTTCTCCGATTAATTCAAGAACGGTAAACAAGAAGTACATATGATAGGCGCACCGCACAGAAATGGCGCTCTGTTGAGAAACTCTTTTTGCAGTGCAAATTGAGCGACCTCGGGGCCGAGTTTGAAAAGTTAGGCCACATTTTCAGTGGAAAATTACTTCGCGGCCTAGAAATTCGGCCAGATTGCGAACAGCGCGCCCTTTCTGTCCGGTGCCCCTATAATACACATGGGGCAACACTCAACAACAAAAGTACATCAAATAGATATAAAAGCACAAAGCAAATTTTGTGTAGCTATTCTTCTTACTATTTTCAAACTTCTGATATTATTAGATGGTCAATATTACAGATTATAATGAAACTCATTGTTTTCCTGATTGTACAGTTGCTCTTGCAATGGTCAATTTGTTCCGTCAAGTAATTTGAAGTCATTGACTGGAACATATGAGTTCGAACATGCCGGATACACTTCAACTGTAATTGGGTCTATTAATGAAGAACGAAATGCTGTACTGTCGCAAAAGCAGACCAAGTTTTGGTACTTTTCGGAATGTACTAAGTCAACTGATTCTCAAAACACTGCTTGCATTGAAGAAGAAGATGAAAATGAAGTGGAAAGCGATGAAGTGAGACCGCCGTACGAAGACGCTTTGGAAAAGATATTTACATGCCCAGAGGAATGATGCTCAGCTACATTTTTGAGATATTCAAGCGTGGTCAAGCATGTTGAACGTGGACAACATATAATTCGACCTGAACGGCAGACACTTCTTGATTTTTCATTGAAATATTTTATTCGTGGTTTGGAAGAAGTGGTCAAAAAGTTGCCCAATAATTTCGGATGCTGTGAAAAAACTGAAGGAAACGAACGAGAAGACGGAATTGGAGGGCGGATGGGCGGTTTTCAGTGGATCAAAGGAAACCCTTCCGGCAGATTGCCGGTTTCTTCTCCCGTGAAGCAGCGAAAAGGCAATCAAAAGCAGCACGATCGCAACGCGCTCAAGAAATGAAGGATGAATCGTGGAAGGAAGACTATACTATTCCAGAGGAAGAGCATGACGATGCTGGAGTGATCCGATATTTGAAACTTGAAAGCACTTGGACTATCGATGATTCTTTTTATTACGCACTGATGGAATCCAGTGATCCAATTTTTGCTATGGAAGAAACTGAAATGTGAAGAAAAGACGCTTTATAACTTTCCTGTTTTAGGTTTTTCTCATGTACTTTTGTTGTTGAGTGTTGCCCCTTGTGTATGTACTTCCTACCGTTCTTGAATTAATCGGAGAACGACCAAATAAATGCTTCACAAAAAGTTAGATGAACATTGAAAAAAATAAAAAAACGAGAGAAAGCATAAAATATTGGGTAAAAAGCGAACACATCTCGAAAAAAATCTATACGGCTGACAAAAAAATTTCAACATGTTTTAATCGCTACGTTTACAAAGCTGTATATGACGAATACATAACAGAATTACAGTTTTTTTAGCATAAAAAAACGTCTATAAACAGGAATTCCCTTGTTTCTGTAAGTTTTCCAAAAGCAGAACAGAAACTTTTTTTTGAGACCGGATCAAACTTTTGAAAAAAACTCCTTTGATGTCAATCGGCAAATGTGCGACAGTATGGTATATCGACGTAAAATTGTCCGTAGATTATGAATTTGAAATAAAATCGTGGCTACAAAGTGCAAAAAATTTTCACCACGGAGGAAAACTGCAGAACAACTCAACTTTTCCACGAAAAATCCGAAATTTCTCCATGAAGGAAAGGTGATAAATTTTTGGTGCCAACATGAAAAATGCTTAAAAAGATGCGAGAAATCGAATGGCCTTGAGTCTGAGACGCTAGCATTTTTTTGAAATTAGTTACAGGTTTGACCTATTTTGTGACCGTGATCGGACTAGTGACCACGGAGCCGGACCAAAACTTGTCTGATGTATCACTGTTATGTAAGTACCCATTGGGTATAATATTAGACAAATTGAAGCATTCTGAATTTTTAGTGACCTGCAGTTTTTGAACTTCTCAGACATTGCCTCTTAACACGGATGCATTGATGTTAAAAGTGAAAGATTAAAAGTTATAAGAAGGACAAGAGAAGGAATGTTCTCATTTATTTTGATGGTCACGAGGAGGGTACAGAACAGAAATGACTACCAACTCCTTTGTCAGCGTCTGTCTCTAGAGATAACCAGACTTGTCAAAAATCAAAAAATCGTCTGACCCAGGGTTCAATATTTTTGAAAATTTTTTGTCAAAAAAGTGGATTTGTCAGATTGTTAGTCGGAAAATTGCTGTTTTCCTTGAAGTTCAAGCTAGTACAAGCCAGATGACGTGAATTCCTAACTCACAATTACAAAAAGTCACGACTTTGGAAAACATTTGTATTGAAATTTTAATTAGAAAAGCTGGCCGTAGAGGTTTGACCACTACAAATCTGCAGATAACTGAAGAACAGTTCATTAAAGTCAGAGAAACTTGATAGGAATAGAAACATTTCGATTCTCCTATGCGACACCTCCTCCTCCTCCTCCTCCTTCTTCTTCTTCGTCCGTTCCTCGTTTCCACTCACTTCACATACAACAAACACCTCTTTCTCCCCCGTTACACACCCCGCAGAAGAAGAAAAGCCGTAAAAGTTTGGCAAACAAACAAAACAATTGAATCTTTGACCGAAAGGAACGAAGAAAGTACTTTTTGTCGCGATGAACTCAAAACGTTTCATAGAGCCAAAAAAGTGATATCATTTTTCCGAGAAGCTTTTCAGTATTTCTTGTCGACCGAGTGTGAACATGTTTGCCCACACAGTCGCATGTCCGAATGCACCGAAAACAACAACGAACTCATCATCGCAATAGTCAAAAGTTCAGACGGCCGACATCATTATTGTTTGCTAGCCACCCACATGCGTATTAAGTGGACTGTCGAAACATTTTCGAAAATTAAAGGAACAGAGGGATTTTAGAATAAGTCAGCATAGGATGTTTTGACTTGATTGTGGCTGAACAGAAATCAAAAAAAAGGAAAAGAGAAAAGAAAAAGAAAACATGTTTTAGAATAGGGGGCGTAGAGGTTAAAAAAGACGAAAGAAGAGCGTGGGAAGTGAAGAGGTGGATAAGTTCAGTTGATGATAGAAATCAAACGAATCTTTTCATTACTCGACACAAAATCCTATGACGACACGTGTCATATCACAACAAATAACAACAAAAACACTTGAGATATTTTGTGTGCCCGACTGCTTATGCCAAGCCTTAACACCGACCGGTTTTGGTCAAGCGCTGCAAAAAAGGATGACAACGTGCTCCGGGGCCTCTTCTCAAATTTGGCTAATCGTGCATCCCACTCACTCGTGCTTATGTAACTCCCCACCGGAAGCGAATCGTCCGAATCGTCGGAACTACTTCGCCAACGCTCATCCAATATTGAAAAACCCTGCAGATCTGGCGGTCGATTGACCCGTCGCGGCGTCTCGTCCTGTAAAAACCGAAAAGTGATTGGACTAGGATAAAAGTCGCTTGACTTCTTCCATTATAGTCGGCGGTTGCTGCTCGTTCACTTTCCGAAGCGACTCGTTGAACATTTCACGAGATTTCTGGAAAATTTTGATCTACATACTCAATGAATATTTAAAAGATATTATCTATTATGTAGTTTTATTAGCAAGATATTGTAAGCTCTAGTTGTCATCTATCTATACCTTGGCAGACATAATGTAGAAGGAAAGAGAGAGTAACTGAAGAAAGAATAACGGTTCAACTATGGGAACAGGAATATCGATACACGGTATTTCTTCTCTGATTCCCACAAGATGTTCGACCGAAAGAAGAATTCGAGACATGGTTCTCTCTTGGCTATTGAAACATCGAAATTCTCTCACATCTCTCTTCATCATTTCCTTTCAAAAAAAGAGAGATAACAAAGGGGAAGAGTCGTGTGTGATAGCAACGCAAACTAGGTTATCGTACGAGAAAACATATATCTCTGCTGGTAGTGGTTTGTGAAGAGACGATATCATGACCGTATCACTCCACAATCCACAATCCAAAAAACCCGATTTTCCACCAAATTTGAACAGTAAAACTCTGAATGAACGTGGAGGACAAACAAAAGTACAGAATACAAAAGTTACTTTAAAATAAGTCAATACCACAAACGTCTTTTCGAAACACTACTGTCTGGAGGAAGAGAATTCGAAGGAAACTGATTTTAAAACAAGTTATTGCTCACCAAACTGAAATGAAAATAGTGGAAAATTGCAATATTTATCGATATCGTGGCGTCTTGACAGACAGTCAGACGTCTGAAGGCTTAGAAATCAGTCTATTTTGGCGGAAACATTATGTTCTGCTGTAATCGATAAAGTCAAGTCCGGTTCTTGTTCTGACGGATAGGCGCGAAGGTTATTCAGTGTCACCACCCCGATTCAGTTCAATCTGACGGCCACACTAATCCTTTATTTGAAAGAAATCAGACGAGAAAAACACGTGAATGGGCGACTTGAACAGAAGTTGTCTGGACGAATACAGGTTAGAAGGATTAGTGAAATGGGCTTTATTCGGAGGTGAAAGTTGTAAAGTCGGTTACGATCAACAAAACAAATATGTGGAATGAGTTGAAAAATAGTTAAATTAGATTTATAATTGTAGGTAATGATAGAATAGTTGGATTATCAACAGCAGTAGAGTGAACGTGATAGGATTTGGGAAGTTGCCGGAAGAATCTTCCTCCCCACTGCCTTCCTCTTCATTTGAAATCTCTGTGCCATTATTATTCGCTTCAGGTTGGCTTTGTGGATCTCCGCTGTTCGGTTCGGATTGAATCACTTGCATATATTTAGGCAGCCCATAATAGACATCGACATTGAGAGGAGTTCTGTCGTACTCTGCCGTTTTGTTATTGAATTCTGAGCATGTAAATGTGTAATATGCTCAAACAGTCCTAAACTTACCACAGTTCGATAGATTATTCTTAACAATTGCTGATTTCCTGGTATCAAAGAATTGACAAAGCGCTTGAGAAACCATGAGATTTTTGTTGTTCTCGATAACTGCAGCCACTCCGCTTTCCATTCCTTTGAAGGTGAACGAACTCAAAAATTTTGTCATTTTAGAATTCCCAGAGATTGTTAGAGGTGCGACATTGTCTGGAAACATTTATAGATACTTGAAAAATATTTTTTGAAAAATACCTCTAACCGACCGGATCCTTTCTAGATTGAATAGCATGTTAGCATTTCTGATCGGACTATTGCTAATGTTCAGACTTCCGTATATGAGAGCTACATTATACAGTTTGTAGCCGTTTGTATAGTCGTAATCAGCATTCACAACCAAATCGCCTAATAATGTAGTGCAATCGTCAGGGAAGTCCTAAACAATTTTTACAACTTTCGCAACTCGAACGCTTCTTTCAAACCTTGAGAGCTCCGGAATCGGGAATTTCACAGAAACCTTTTGCGGTACTGTTTTCAACGCAAATGTTAATGTCCATATTAGAATCTAATGAGAGACCTTGGAAGAGCGCTTCTAACTCTTCTGGTAGTACACAAAGTTTCGGATTGTCTCGGATAGTCAGGTAGAGACCATCTCTGACAGGTCTCATTCCAAGAGAGGTCAGTTCACTATTCCCAGTTATTGTGACACTTGGAAGACTACTGGTCTTATAGGCATTCACTTCAATTTTCTGAAGATTCTTTAGAAATGTCAAATCCGTGAAATTTGTTTTTGTAATCGTTAGACCACCAGAAATTCGAGTTATATTTGCCATCTTCTGCTGGAATTTAGAAAAGTTTTTAAAACAAGTTTAAAACAAGGAATGTTTTGCTCACCCTTACGAGATTGTAGTCGGAGTTTTGATCAATACTGACATTTCCGACGAGCCAGTAGCAATTAGACGGCATCGTTTGAATGTACTTGTTGAACTGACCTTTTATTGTGCATCCTATGAGAAAAGAGTCTTGAATACACAAAAAAAACGTAGCTCTTACCACAATCGTTAAAATTCCCGGTAATGTCTCGATTCGTTGCGTAATGATCGATAATATTGTCGCATTCATCTTTCAAATCCAATTTTGTATTGTTGATTATAGCGATCGATCCCCAGCAGTTGGTACATTCTGTGAAGTCAATGCCTATTCTTGTAAGGTTTGGATTATTAGATATCTCGATTGAAAAAGCTGAAAAGTTCAAATCAAGTTCAAATCCAAAGTAACAGAGTTGTACTGGAATCATCCAACTCATCGACAATGAAGGGTTTCAGAAACGACAAGTTTTCCAGGTTAGTGTTACTGATCCGGATACCGTTCATAAAACTGTCAATGTTTTTGAAAAACTCTGTTAGCTCTCGCTGCGATACTATAAGGTTCCCGGAAATGTACAACGCCAATATTATGCTAATCTCGGGATCCAAGTCGAGAAGAGACTTGGTGGTTTCATTGATGTGCACGTCATAATAGTACTGATATTCGTTGTATAATCCACTATCCGCTGGTGGTCCTTCTGCAAAAAAGGACACTTTTCAACTTCTAGTATTCCTTCTTCTTCCGTACCTTCATGTTTGCACAATATATGAGCAATCAGAAAAACTAGTAGAAATTCAGGACGCATTTAGTTTGAGTGAGATTTAGATTATTTTCTGAGTGAGTTTTGAGTGAAAAGTAAAAAGAAAGCGCCAGATTGTGGGTTGTCTTTCAAAAAGTACCTAATAATTTAGTGACATTTCATTTCGACATTTATTCTGTGACTGGATAGATCCTAGATTCGGTGTGATAAACTTCTGAAACTGACATCTTGGTGTTCATAATATTCAGATCAGATTCCTTGGCAGATATGTCACATAAAAATATGCGAAGCAGTGCATCCAGGCCGTGCTGAAAAGCATTAGTCACCCGACACGTCTTTTGTTTCTTATTGTTCCAGATCTCTTTTCCTGACACGATGTCGAAAGGGCAGGACAATCAACATAACGCATCACTTTGTTGAAAAAATGCAACGCTGACTCACTATCTTCTCCTATATAAGGAGCTGCAAAAATGTCTGAAAATAGGTATTTCCGTCGGGCTTCAAAATGCTTCAGTTGGCTCTTGTGTCGGCTTTCACAGTTGCTGTGGTTTTGGGAACCAGTAAGTATCAGTCAGCTGTTTTCTCTGCAGTAACCTTCATTTTTGTTCAGAAGACCCGAGATGCTTCCCACCAATGAACGTCTTCTTGGATCCATCGTGTATTCAGGATACTACCAGTCACAATCCAAATTTCGATTGTAGAGGAGGATTTTTCGTGCAGTCTTCTGGAATGTAAGTATTTTGCAGCATACGTTCCTTTATCTCGACGTTTTTTCAGCTTCATGGGATGTGAGTCCGACCGTGATTGTGCGAACAACGGTGAACCCAACGAGTGGTGCAATTCGGATCAAAAAGGATATCAGTGGACGTAAAATTGAGTACTTTCAGCAAAAATGTAAGTTTTCATTTAAGAATCGCCGGATGCCACTGTGACCCGAAACTCAAGGCGTGTACCGTTCAACGTTTTGACAAACGCATCAACGAAGTGGAATGGGCCTACTGTACTCCCCAGCAGAGATTCAAGTGCGATCAAGACGACTATTGCTCCCGTCCAATTCCGTAAACTGTCAAAATTTCGTGTTCACCGACCCCATAAAGCATTTTTGGAATTGTGCTCAGGTTTTGATTTGAGATGAATAATAAATACGTCATCTGGGCTGTGAAAAGAACTGGAAAGAAGGGACGTGAGAACCAACTAAAACACTTTTGCATACAAAGCAACTTCCAGCAGAAATGCGCAAGTCTTTCTAATTTCCGAACTGGTCTATTCATCTCGAGCCTTTACCATCATTCGCACAAACAGATACCAGAATGACTTTGATGATTTCACAAAGGACAATTTTAAAAGTAATATTAAAGTGAAACTGAAATTCAATTTATAATCACACAAAGGTGGTGAACGCGAGTAAGGGTTAATAAGGGGATGGGGGAAAATGTGTGAGTACAGGTGAGAATGAGTGTTGGAAATCATAAAATTAAGGCTGAAGGGGAAAAATTACAAAAAATGTAGTCCGGGAGCATCAGAATAATGGGGAGACGCTGTCCGCCCTTGACTGGCCACCCTTTTAGATGATGGTGATAGTGGGGCCCGGGCATTTCTGATTCCCAGGCCCTTTAGATGGAGGAGTTGTTGATCGTTCGGAGCGGGTTGCCGCTTGGGCGGAGGGATGGGACGATGTCGTTATATGACATCATCTGGAAAACAGAAGCTGTTAAAAAATCCGGGAATATCGGAATGGTTACCCCAAGGCTGTCCGCCCTCGACTGGCCACCATTTTAGATGATGGTGATGGTGGGGCCTGGGCATTTCTCATTCCTAGGCCCCGTACATGGCGGAGCTGTTATTTGTCTGGAGCGAGTAGTCCGTTCGGGCGGAGGGATGGGACGATGTCGTTATATGACATCATCTAGAAAAAGTGGGGCCCGGGCACTTCTGTTTCCCAGGCCCCTTGAGTAGCTGCAGCGGCCATCTTTCCAGTCTTGATGGGCGGGTCGACTTGATGATAATGAAAATCATCTAAAAAACAAAATTCATGAGGAACCAGGGATTTTCAAGTCGTTACCGCATCAACTTCCTCCAACAAGTCCTTCGAGATGATGGGTGGTCCCCGGCCTTATACTCCGAGGCCTGAATAGCTGCAGCGTCCTGCAATGATACCAGTTCTACATAAGGATAAACAGCGGAAAGAGAAGAAAAAATGGAAAGGCGTGGGGAAATAAAAGAACACAGGGAATAGCAACCGTCCACGACTGTGACAAATGACTGGTACTCTGCTCATGAGGACACATTGACTGATCGTTTTGTGCCTTCTTGGTTGGTCGAAAAACAAACGTCCTTCTGGATTGTTCTGTAAGCGTACTGCCGGAGTGTTGTTTGTGTGTCAGCGAACGAGAGAGCGTATGAGGGGGGGAGTGCGCAGAGTGAGAGAGACAGTAACAGGCATTCGGTGAAAAACGAATAGCAGAAAGCAAACGATTGTCACATTGACACCGGAATTCAAAAGAAAGAAAAGGAACCGCCCACATCCTAGCGAGTGTTTTTGTCCTCAAAGCAAATAAAATTGATAAAATCCTTTGAAGATTAGCTTCTTTGTAAAATTCTCAGGCTTGGCCACATATACAACATTTCATTCAAAAAAATATCATGCGTTTAGCAGAAGAATTGAACAGCCTGAATCTGGTCTTGGCGACGTGGTTGAATGGCGGTTTGCAGATGTCTCCAATGTCCAGAATCTTTTTGAAGCCGGTCACATCCTGTTGAATGAAACCTATTGGCCTACTTGGCGGTCGACACAGACTTCTTAATCTTTATGTAAAACAGGTAAAACAGAGGTGTTAATATGATAAGAGAAAGAGAGATCATAGGAAAAGAAAATATCCAAAGCTTGAATTCGTGTTGTTTTAGGAAGTATTTCGTCACCAATGAAGAATTTAAATTCGCCAGTTCACACTTATTAGGAGTAGCCGACATTTGCCAGTCGTCACACCATGTTGAAAAACCACATTATACTTGCTTCGGGCATTTTGCATTTTTCGATAAAAGTCGATACATTTTCAGATTGACCCATTTTTGATATATACACGCAAGCATGAAATGTTTAACAGATTCTGTTCAATCATTCGAACTATTTATGAGGCAATGTCTGAGAAGTTCAAAAACTGCAGGTCACTAAAAATTCAGAATGCTTCAATTTGTTCCATATTATACCTAATGGGTACTTACATAACAGTGATACATCAGACAAGTTTTGGTCCGGCTCCTTGGTCCCTAGTCCGATCACGGTCACAAAATAGGTCAAAGCTGTAACTAATTTCAAAAAAATGCTAGCGTCTCAGACTCAAAGCCATTCGATTTCTCGCATCTTTTTAAGCATTTTTCATGTTGGCACCAAAAATTTATCACCTTTCCTTCATGGAGAAATTTCGGATTTTTCGTGAAAAAGTTGAGTTGTTGTGCAGTTTTCCTCCGTGGTGAAAATTTTTTGCACTTCATAGCCACGATTTTATTTCAAATTCATAATCTACGGACAATATTACGTCGATATGCCATACTGTCGCACATTTGCCGATTGACATCAAAGGAGTTTTTTTCAAAAGTTTGATCCGGTCTCAAAAAAAAGTTTCTGTTCTGCTTTTGGAAAACTTACAGAAACAAGGGAATTCCTGTTTATAGACGTTTTTCATGCTAAAAACTGTAATTCTGTTATGTATTCGTCAGGTACAGCTTTGTAAACGTAGCGATTAAAACATGTTGAAATTTTTTGTCACCCGGATAGTTTTTCCGAGATGTGTTCGCTTTTACCCAATATTTTATTCTTTCTCTCGTTTTTATTTTTCAATGTTCATCTAACTTTTTGTGAAGCATTTATTTGGTCGTTCTCCGATTGATTCAAGAACGGTAAACAAGAAGTACATATTATAGGGGCACCGCACAGAAATGGCGCTCTGTTGAGAAACTCTTTTTGTAGTGAAAATTGAGCGACCTGGGGGCCGAGTTTGAAAAGTTAGGCCACATTTTCAGGGGAAAATTACTTCGCGGCATAGAAATTCGGCCAGATTGCGAACAGCGCGCCTTTTCTGTCCGGTGCCCCTATAATACACATGGGGCAACACTCAACAACAAAAGTACATCAAATATGTATAAAAGCACAAAGCAAATTTTGTGTAGCTATTCTTCTTACTATTTTCAAACTGCTGATATTATTAGATGTTCAATATTACAGATTATAATGAAACTCATTGTTTTCCTGATTGTACAGTTGCTCTTGCAATGGTCAATTTGTTCCGTCAAGTAATTTGAAGTGATTGACTGGAACATACGAGTTCGAACATGCCGGATACACTTCAACTGTGATTGGGTCTATTGATGAAGAACGAAATGCTGTACTGTCGCAGAAGCAGACCACGTTTTGGCACTTTTCGGAATGTACTAAGTCAACTGATTCTCAAAACACTGCTTGCATTGAAGAAGAAGATGCAAATGAAGTGGAAAGCGATGAAGTGAGATCGCGGTACGCAGACGCTTTGGGAAAGATATTTACATGCCCAGAGGAAGAATGCTCAGCTACATTTTTGAGATATTCAAGCGTGGTCAAGCATGTTGAACGTGGAAAACATATAATTCGACCTGAACGGCAGACACTTCGTGATTTTTCATTGAACTATTTTATTCGTGGTTTGGAAGAAGTGGATGAGTCAAAAAGTTGCCCAATAATTTCGGATGCTGTTGAAAAACTAAAGGAGACGAACGAGAAGACGGAATTGGAGGACGGATGGGCACTTCAAGTAAGACAAAAAAGAAAACCGTTTGAGGACGACGTCAAAAATTTTTAATCGACCGTTTCGACGAAGGCTTGAAAGAGAAATGTCGACATGCGGATCCGAGAATTGTTGAAAAGAGAATGGGAGAAGCTAGAAATCCGGACGGTTCTAAGCGGTTTTCAGTGGATCAAAGGAAAGACTTCCGTCAGATTGCCGGTTTCTTCTCCCGTGAAGCAGCGAAAAGACAATCAAAAGCAGCACGATTGCAACGCGCTCAAGAAATGAAGGATGAATCGTGGAAGGAAGACTATACTATTCCAGAGGAAGAGCATGACGATGCTGGAGTGATCCGGTATTTGAAACTTGAAAGCACTTGGACTATCGATGATTCTTTTTATTACGCACTGATGGAATCCAGTGATCCAATGTTTGCTATGGAAGAAACTGAAATGTGAAGAAAGACGCTTTATAACTTTCCTGTTTTAGGTTTTTCTCATGTACTTTTGTTGTTGAGTGTTGCCCCTTGTGTATGTACTTCTTACCGTTCTTGAATCAATCGGAGAACGACCAAATAAATGCTTCACAGAAAGTTAGATGAACATTGAAAAATAAAAACGAGAGAAAGAATAAAATATTGGGTAAAATCGAACACATCTCGAAAAATCTATCCGGCTGACAAAAAATTTCAACATGTTTTAATCACTACGTTTACAAAGCTGTACCTGACGAATACATAACAGAATTACAATTTTTAGCATGAAAAACGTCTATAAACAGGAATTCTCTTGTTTCTGTAAGTTTTCCAAAAGCAGAACAGAAACTTTTTTTTGAGACCGGATCAAACTTTTGAAAAAAACTCCTTTGATGTCAATCGGCAAATGTGCGACAGTATGGTATATCGACGTAAAATTGTCCGTAGATTATGAATTTGAAATAAAATCGTGGCTATGAAGTGCAAAAAATTTTCACCACGGAGGAAAACTGCACAACAACTCAACTTTTTTTCATGAAAAAAATCCGAAATTTCTCCATGAAGGAAAGGTGATAAATTTTTTTGGTGCCAACATGAAAAATGCTTAAAAAGATGCGAGAAATCGAATGGCCTTGAGTCTGAGACGCTAGCATTTTTTTGAAATTAGTTACAGGTTTGACCTATTTTGTGACCGTGATCGGACTAGGGACCAAGGAGCCGGACCAAAACTTGTCTGATGTATCACTGTTATGTAAGTACCCATTAGGTATAATATGAGACAAATTGAAGCATTCTGAATTTTTAGTGACCTGGTGTAATTAGCGAATTTCGAGGTTCTCAGACATTGCCTCTTATAAGTCTCCTAAACACAGTTCGTTCATTTTTGTTTCATCGCTTCTCCTCGATGCGGCGCAGTCTCTCGCCGTAAACGGCTCATTTCAGTGCGACCATACTGTCGGCTATGTTTTTATTGCGAACTCTTATGCAAATGTGCACCACTCTGAAAATTGCTGTACAACATCCAAGTTACGGGGACTAGCTGAAATAACTCCTAACTTGGCACCATCATTAGTACAAATAGATGCGTCTAAAAATTTGAACGCTGAAACCCTTCCTTTTTTCATGGAACATCGGAATGTGATCTGGAAAAAGAAAGAACAAAAAATTGAGTAGATTTAGCATCATTTATTGAGATTGAATCATCCGGAAAATACGGAAACACAACAAAGTCTTTTTTGAAAAATAGGAGGACCACAACAGAACTTTAATGAAAAGTACATCATCGAATGGGTCAGAAGTCATCAGAGTACGTTCAGTCATCAGTCAGATGTAGAAACCATATTGTTGAGAAGATATTTTGTAATTTAATTAAATAAGGGTGATACTAATTTATTTTTCTGAACAGCTTTTCAGACCCTCTTACTAATACTGAATAAACGCTAAGTTTGAACTTTTTTCGTTTTCTTATAAACACTACACCACAATTGCATTTTTTAAAAGAAATTACCTTTCCGAGTCATGAATAGCCAGGGGAGACGCAAAGTTCAAAAGTTCAAAGTGTGAGAACGGAATTAGACGGAATTTGGGGTAAAAAATTTATCACACACACACACACACATACACATACACACACACACACACACACATACGCACACACACATACACACACACCAACACAAATCCTACTTTTTTTGGCTATCACTACCCTGTGCCAGTGATAGCCAGCATCACTTACCGTAGATACTGTAATAAACGGCCAATGGTCATTTTAGTCATTATTCCCTCCTCCACCCACTATTTATATCTCCCTCTCTTCTTCTGTAAATTTTTTCTGGTGGTCGAAGCGAATAAATGAGTTATCAATTAGGGGCACCCCAATACCGTCCGTTCAAGACAATTTATCCCAGCTGGTGCTAACGATATCAAAAAGTTGTCAACTAATAAAATGTTAAAAATTTAATAATGTGTTTGTTGACAACTTTTTGATATCTCTACAGGCAGCTGAGATATATTGAAATTTATAAACGGTACTGGGGTGCTCTTCTATTAGAGTATTTACGACGGACTAGATAACTTTGGTCCGATCACGTACCGGAAGGAAGACGGATCAGATGGTCAAGCGTACGGAACGTTGTTTACATGCTCGGTAACACGTTTGGTCAACATTGAGGCAGTCGGAGATAAATCAACGACATCATTCTTGCAAGCGTTCCGACGACATATCGCCATAAGAGGAGTGCCCGAGAAAATTGTATCAGACAATGGGACAAACTTCTTGCTGGGGCAGAAGATAACGGAAGACGTAAAGGAATTCCTGAGAGTCAAAGAAATCGACTGGAAGTTCTTCACTCCGTACGCGGAAGGGAGGAATGTACGAAAGAATGGTCAAAACAGCGAAACAAGCGTTCAAGAAACTCACAGGAAGGAAACGCCTGAGTTACGACGAACTAACAACCGTGTTCCACGAGATTGCGGCGTCAATGAATGGAAGACCATTGACGTATCCGGAGGAAGACATAAATGCCAAAATGCCGATTCGACCAATAGATTTCATAACTCCAGAAATGAAACTGACAATTCCATTGGAAGCAGTGGTGGAATCATTGGACGAGTACATGCCATCCAAGGAGATGAGTAAAATACAAACAAAGAGAAGCACCGTGGAGGCATTGACAGCTTCCTTGGAAGCGACGGAAGAACCTCCGACGTCACGAACTCTCTCTTCATGGCCCTCGCAATACTCGGAACTCTTTACGTCTTGCACACCTGTATTTTGCTAATACAGTTCATCTGTGCTATTAGTGGAGCCGTAATGCGAATCGCACATGGATGCTACTCGGGACTGCTCTTCATCGGAAACCGCCTCTTCTCACCGAGATCCGGAAAGGTCAACGATAGAATACCTACTCTAATCGTGCTGACAACCATGATCATTATTGGCGGAATCAAGCAAGTGGAAGGTTGCAACCAGATCGCATCAATCCAAGCTTCCGAAGACGTCTGCGTCCAGTCCGACAACAAGGAACCTTGCTCGCTGAACAAGGTATCTATCCTCAACGTTCGACCAAACGGATCAATTGCCTGCTTCCGAGTACGAGACGAACACCGTCAACTGGAAATGTTTCTGGAGATCCAAGCGGAAGCCATCGTATCGAAGTGCATTCAACGAACGCATCACTTTTCGAGAGACTTCGACGTCGAACACTCTTGGTCACATCGCTGCTGGAAAGCTGGGAACTGCTACGATGAAGTCTGCGAAAGTGTCTCCGCTAACACGACCGAACTCAACGAGATCTCTACTGAATCCAAAAGAGCACCAGGATACAGCAAGTGCTACCGCACCTGTGGATGCATTACTTGTGGATGGTGCCTTCATTGCGTGCCTTCGTGTTTGTTCTCAAGGATCTTCGCCATTCCGAAATCCACGAACATCTACGAGATTATCACCTGCCCTGCTTGGTCAACAGTACTCGACGTTCGGATCAACTTCAATGGGAACCATTCGAATCATCGAATCGACCACGGAATCCCATTCGAGCTACCTGGCGGGAACATCACGATTGTCATAACTGGGTTTTCGACGCCGCCGACACCAGCCCACACCGCAACATTCATCAAGCAATGGAGTACAGAAGGGAAACCGGAAAGATTTGGATTCACCTACACTTCTGTTTCGCAGCCGGGAGCGCCCTCCAGAGGTTTAATCGGAGAGTTTCAATGTCCCAGTCATGCCGATGCCGTTGATTTTCACTGTGTGTTTGATGAGAGGCTCTGTGACTGTACACCGAAAGGAACGTCCATAAAGTGTAACTGCTACCACATCAAGCTGGACAACTTGATCAACTCTACTTCGCTACCGCGGGACGAAGCCGGAATCAATCTGCTGGTGGAGGATGGGCAGATAATCACGAAATTAACTTCTAACTCCATGGTCGCAATCCAAGTCCAATTCCAAAACCAATCCATTCAAAGGATCGTACGAGACGACGACTGCACGTTGACTCACGCGAAGATCAGCGGATGTTTTAGCTGTGGAAAAGGAGCGCAACTTCACGGAGTCTGCCAATCAAAGGAGAATGACAGGATCGAAGCAACCGTCCAATGTCCCACGATCGGAACTGATTTTTTGGAGTGCACAAAGGAGGGACGAGAGGGATACTTTGATTTCAATTCGAACAATCCATCGATCGACGAAGACTGCAAGATTAGTTGCGGAAAGAAGTCCAACTCTTTCAACGTCAAGGGCACATTGGACGAACTATCAACATTCGACCTCCGGCAGCTTCGGGAACACTTTGCCGTCTACTCCGAACTCTTTACCGAGTCGAACGTTTGGAGTACGGTCAAGGACACTATCTTCGGAGCTGTCACTGGAGTCGGTGACGCCATCACTCGCTGGATTGGTTCTTGGGTCATCATCGGATTGATGATCGTCGGGATCGTCTTCTTGGCTCAACTCTACTTTGCCGTCAACTGCCCTTTCTTCGGATTCCTTGGTCGTCGCCGGGAGTGTCGGGATTCTCCTGCTGAGAACCCGATTTATCAGAGAAGGAAGAAGAAAGTGGAGAGGAAGGGCTCCAAAACCCAATAATTTGGCCAATAAATCCGCCGTAAATTTGATTCATTTTTTCTATATTTACGACGTACTTTATTCCCTTCTTCGTTTTTTATGTCCTTCGACCCCTCGTCAACAGTCCTCCCTCTTTCTGATGGCGCCCCTCGCGCCTCCCCCTCACCGCACCCTCCTATAAAAGGAGGTCGCTGGCTCACCTTAACCATTCTTTGTCTTGATAGACCTTCAACATCATCCGCTACCCCTTTCTTCTCCCATATTCTTTTCCTGAGCAATAAACTAGTAACGGAAGAATCCTGTCCTGATTTCCTACAGTATGGAAATCCTGGAAAACAAGGTACATGGCGGAGCTCAGAGAGCATCACAAGTCACGAATGGATCGGAAGAGAGGAGTCAACGCACTTCCGCACAAAGGACAAGTAGTGCTGCTCATGGACGAAGGAATGCCGCGAAACTACTGGAAACTGGGAAGAGTCTTGGAGGTAATCACCGCAGCAGATGGAGTGATTCGAGAGATAAAACTCCAAACGATCGTGGATACCAAGACAGCAGAGAAGACAAGCGTTCTCAGAAGAGCAATCAACCAGGTGGTTCCATTGCAATTGGATGACACGGATGAAGACATCGAAGTCCAGTCAAAGAAAGACGACGAAGGAAAATCAGCCATCACCGAATCCAAGCCAGGGAAAAGATACGCATTGAGAGAGCGGAAACCAGTCGATTACACAGAAGAGAAGGTGCAATCGGTAACGACGAGATCAATGATCCCGACGAAGGCAATGATGATGGCAATCTTGACGTTACTGTCAATCTGTGGAACAACGGCAGAGAGAAATCCAGCAACAGCAAGCTGCAGTAACACTGTACTGCGAATCCGAGGAGATTTCGAGTCGTTCGAAGCATGCGTCAGAGACTACTGTACCAGCTACAGCAGATTCAAGTGGAAGAAAGAAGACCACACGGATATCTGGATTCCTCCGACGATGAAGCAACACAAGCATCACGGAACAATCAAGCTGTACGATGGAAGTGTGATGAAAGTAATCGAGTTGGATTGCCCAGGAGTTGAATTCTGCGAGAGCATCGATTGCATCCTATGCTGGTCACTGATCTTGAACCCAGAATGTCACATCTACTTTGCGATTATTGAATTTGGATCCATATTGTTTGGATTATTGATGATAATTCACGTTACCTGCAATGTTCCAATAACGCTCGGAGCCCCAATCAAGATGTATGCAAAAGGACTGAAGACAGTAACGCTATGTGGATGCTGGAGTATCGCGTTGGCAATTCGGAAATGCAGAGGAAGACGTCGTCGACAGAGCAAATGGAGAGAGTTGATAGTGGTACTGATTGTGGTACTATTGACCCTCGGAAAGTTGACAAACGGATGCCAAGAAATAGACGTCATGTCACAGTTCCAAGAAATCTGTACGGAAGACAAAAAGTCGTGCAAGCAAGTCACAGAGCAAGTAATTGACCTCAACAATGCCAGAAGAGAAGGATGTCTCAGATTACAAGACAATAGAACCACGATAAGAGACATCAGGATCCAACTACAGGAAGTACAACTTCAATGCACGAAGGAGACGATCACCTACACTCAGGACGTTGAACTCAAAGTGGAAAGTTCGAAACGTTGTCCGCACATGGGATCCTGCACTGCAGACAAATGTGGAAAGATCAAGACGGACGACAATCTACCGGAACTGAAAGCAGTGGCCGAGTACGTTGGAAACACAAGATGTTCGGAGAGCTGTGGAGGAGCAGGATGCGGATGTTTCTATCTCAGCTCGGGTTGTCTCTTCTTCAAGATTTACGCCAAACCGGGAGCAGAGGCCCCGATCGAAGTGTTCAAATGCTTGGAATACACACCGATGGCCAAGATCCTGATCACAATGGCGTATCTGAATTCGAGGAAGAACGGAGAAACGATGAAGGAATTTATCCTTCCGATCGGTACGACGGCAACGCTCCAAGACGTCACTGTGTCAGTGAACATGATTGTCACGCCACCTGCAGAAGTTTTGAACACATGGTTCGTCAAGAGAGGGAACGAGACAGCAGTATGGCCACAAAATCAAGTTCCGAGTTTGCGATGCGAGGAAGGACTGAAGAACTGCACACTTCAAGAGCAGTGCAACTGTCTCGCAGCGGAACAAAAAATGATTTGCCAATTCAAGGAAGACGAGTTCCAAGAAGTGTTCAGAAGCCCAGAAAAACATTTTCCAGTTCACGAAGGTCATTGGAAAATGAAAATGAAGAACGAAAGAGTATGGGCAAAGACGAACTCGGTATCAGCAACGCAGATCACGATAAAAATGGAAAAGAAGTGGAAGACGACAGTGGTGAAATCAATGGAAGTTTGTACCATAGGAAGTGCAGAAGCCACAGGTTGCTATACGTGCGAAAGTGAAGCAAGAACCGAAGTCAACTGCATATCGAGGACAGCATACACAATGGCAGAAGTACAGTGTGAAGAGGAAACCTTTACAGTCGCTTGTACACCAGAAGGAAGAAAAACCAATCTTACTCTTTTTTCGGGAAAAGCAAGAATAAGGAGGAACTGTTCGGTGGACTGCGGACAAGAAAGGAGGTACTTCGAAGTCACCGGAACGCTACGATTCACAGGATCGATTTGGACTTCACTGTGGAGAGTTGTGGCGTCAAACGCCACGCTGTATGATGAGATCAACATGCCCGATGTAGGACACATCATCAGCAGCTACCTCAACTACTTGAAGACACTGGGAATGGTCATCGCAATGGTGTGTGGAGCAGTAGCACTGATCGTGTACGCTCCGGAAATCAAAGTGTTCCTACGAATCATATGTCTGCCATTCAAACTGGGCAAAGCAGCAGCCAAGTTTCACACCAAATCAACATCAAATTGCACAAAAGGTTAACAACGAAATTTCAGCACTCGGAAGAATGGAAGATTGCGTCAGTAGAGCAGCTGAGAAACTCATAAAGGACACGGTCCGAGAGATCAAAAGACTGAAGGAAGACGGCAGAAGACAAAAAGGAGAAGTCTACGACCATATACGAGAAAAGGATTGGATCGTCTTGGCCATCACAAAGTCATGCAGAATAGAAGAAGAGTCCAGTTTGTACACACAGCTGAACGGATGCAAGACGAATTTAGGATTCGCGGCGAACTCGTTCATGATGACGGCGGACAAAATGAAGCAGAAGATGGACACCGCAAGGAAGATTGCCGAACTGGGTATAATCACGTGGTCCTATTTCGTCGAACAACTCGAGGAAGTACACATTCGATGGGAAGCAGAAGAGGAAGAGATCGAACTGACGAAGAGAGACATTACCACTGTAGGGCTCGAAATAGGGAAAGTGCTGGAGGATGCATGGAAGCAAATAGGTACAATGACGGATCACATCCTCCCAATGATCAACTTCTTGTCGAAGTCGATCGAAACAGCCACACAAGCTCAAGCAAGGAAAACCGAGGGACTAGAGACAATGATGAAGACTCTCCTGGAGAAGTTCGATTGAATGGAAGAAAAGATTGCGGCGGGGGGAGCCTCGTCCACAGTCACGACGACTTCAGACGACATCGTGTTTGTCCCCAACATGAAACCAACAGGACCTCTTGGACAACAGGAAGACATCGACAAGGAAGGGCGGAAGAGAGAGCTCCATCAATCGGAAGACAAGCCAGCATCGAAAAGACAACGAATGGGAAAGGAGGAAGACTTTTCAATTAGAAGAATTGTGCCGAACGGAAGATTTGGAAACGAACGTTACCGATGGGTTTTCTGCTCAATGATGCATGCGAGTGATTCTTGTGGAGAAGTCACGTCTGTCAACGATCGAATCGCCAAGCTACACGCTGACAACCGATGTCTCAAATGCGTCATGGTGAAAGGACGGTCCCACAACTGTCAGAACAGGATGACCTGCATGTACTGTCATCGTACCTCTCATCACCGATCGATCTGCCGGGAACCACGGAACGACGTCATGGAAGATAATTGATCCCCTCCCCCGTCCCTTTCGTCGCGCGGGAAATGTGCTCGAGCACTTTTTAATATTAGTTTTGTTTAATTACCCAAGTTTGAGGCGTTCTACAACTGAATCATTCGTTTATCCTGTTGTCCGTCCTAAAAATAATACAAAATCTGAATTCCGTTATAAAACCCTGGGGGCCCAGCCTGAACAAAAATCACTACGATTAGGATATTACGTGTTCTGTTCATTCATTGAATCCTCTATTGATTCGGTCCAGTTCCTGTTAGCGGACCAAGGGTCCAGCAGCACCTTACTGTGAACAACATTGTTCAAGCCCTCTCTCGCTCACAAAACAGCGAGTTCCCAAACCCCGGTGTTTTGGGAGCGGGAGGGGGAGTGAACCATATAAAAGGACCACCATCTTTTGTGACTTCAGTTTTTTCCTTCCTTATTCCTTCCTTCCTTATAATAAATATTCTGACTATTCTATGATCGTGAAATACGAAACATGGTGACCCAGTCTATTTGAACCTTCAATCTTCTCCACGATCACCATCGAGCAAGAGTGATAATCGAAGAACACAATGAGCTCATCCGCAATCCGATCCCAGATTGAGATATGTCGCAGACGTCTGAAGGACGCCATCGACGAGTCAACGAACATCGAAGATGTCTCCGCCGCCAAGGATGATTCCAGCGAAGACGTCTACTCAACAATCTCTGCCATTACGGACACTATCTATCGAATCGAGATAGAGGTATCGCGTATCAAGAAATGCAACGTTGAGTGGCGCCAACTCATCAATCAGCAACCTGCCGAGGCAGCAATCAAGGAGGACTACAAGAAACGTGTTGGACACTACGAAACAGAACTCGTCAAAGCCGAAGGCACCGCAGTTCGTCTGAAGACAGTCTACGAAGAGTACGCCGCTCTTCACCGCAACAAATCAACGGAATCTACTGCCTACCCACAAGTGATCAACGTCTCTCCACACACCCCGCCATCAACTCCAATGCTGTCCATGCGACTTCCAACATCCTTACCAGCAACGACACAGCAGCCTCCAGTTCCAATGCTGTCTCTTCAAGTGCATCAAGCAACCTTCATACAAGCCTACACTCGTGGAGCCTGGGTACCCAACTGGACTGCCTACACGTTTGCACAGCATGCTGCCCCCGGAAGGCCCACTAAAGGATTAGTGGGTGAACTACAATGCAATTCCCTATCCAATGCTATTCGGTTCAATTGCTATTTTGACCGATCCCTCTGTCACTGCAATGGTTTCTCAACTCAAGTCAATTGCCAATGTTCCACAACCAAGATGGCCGACTATGGTTTGCAAAACAAGCTGCCCACTGAACGACTCAACCACAAAGTGTTCACACTCAGTGGAACTCCACATGTGGTTACTTCGGCGTCTCAGGAAACGCTGATCAACCTACATGTCGAAATGGTCAATGTGACAGTGAGTAGAATAACTGAGATTCTATCATGCTATGCAGAACAAATCGGCGAATTATCCGGATGTCATTCGTGCTATTCGGGAGCTTCCGTGAAGATCAACTGTCGATCCAGAAAGCATATGTCCGGTCTTCTTCATTGCCAGCACCACTTCGAGACCACGATCAACTGCAGCCTCTGATGGAAGTATCAACGATCTTCTGATCCCGTCGGACAAGAAGTTGGTCAATCTCAACTGTTCACTCGACTGCGGCAGACGGACGAATCTCTTCATCAATGGAACCCTCGACACCATCAACACATTCTCTGACAACAGTTCGTTTTACTCCTTTGCCTATGATAGAATAGTTCACACCGCCCTTATTCTAGGAGACCTAATCTCTAATTTTCTGAGTTCCTTCACGAAGCCCTTCAAATACCTATTGATAATTTTTCTTAGTATCGTCCTTATCGTTTTCATATTCATCCCCCTTTTCAAATGTTGTCACCGAAACTATTCAAGATTCTTTAGATATAGGAGAATTAGAAATCTAAAGAAAAAATACAACCTATCATAAGTCCCTTCACTTCCCTTCACTTCTCTTTATCCGGAGTGTGAACAACATTGTTCAAGCCCTCTCTCGCTCACAAAACACCGAGTTCCCAAACCCCGGTGTTTTGGGAGCGGGAGGGGGAGTGAACCATATAAAAGGACCACCATCTTTTGTGACTTCAGTTTTTTCCTTCCTTATTCCTTCCTTCCTTATAATAAATATTCTGACTATTCTATGATCGTGAAATACGAAACACTTACGTGCGTCTTCCTAAGATCAGCAGCGTGCTCATTCACACTACTCAATTAAAAAGGTGTGAAGACTAGTGTTTCGACTTCTACATAACATAATACAGAATCTTAGATCCGTTATAAAACCCAAAACTTCCTAAAGTTTCGGGGCCCTGCCTGAACAAAAAACAGTACGATTAGGATGTCAAGGATGTCACGTGCTATGTTCAATCATTGAATCGTCTATAGATTCGGTCCAGTTCCTGTTAGCGGACCAAGGATCCAGCAACACTTTTCGTGCGGCTTCAAAAATCAGCAGGGTGCTCATTCACACCACTTGAAAAGGAATAACATTCCCTTAATTAAAAAGGTGCGAAAACTAGTGTTTCGACTTCTACAAAAACGGAATGCTAGTTCCGTCAAAAACCCAAGGGTAGAAGTTGAATTCGTCGTCAACTCTATCACGTTCCCAGTTTTATAATTGTCTCACAACCTTGTCAAAAGTTCATACACACAGGCTTTCGTGTGTAAAATGAAGTGAGGGACAGAAAAGGAACGACAGGAACAGCCGTTTGGATGATTCCCTACAAAAAAATATCTGCTTCTCTGAGAAACTTATCTCAGACAGATACACCTGGAGTAGCATCATGGGGAAGGAATGGGCATGAAAGACAAAGAGAAAATAAAGCATATACTCGGGTAGAGTTTGCAAAATTACGATGCTCATTTGCTTGCACACTTGGAAAGTTAACTAGATTTCAACTGTGGAGTGGTCATCAAAAACAGGCAAACTTCGCGTTTTCAAAAATTTTGTCATCTTAGAGCTGATCAGAAAACTATTCAATTTCGCCCTTATTTAAACGAGTTTTCTGGGGTTCTTAGTTAGCCCCTGTGTCAAAATGTTCCTAGGTGTCCCACTAAACGTACTCTAGTACAACAGATTCTAGAATGGGGAACAAAAGAGGAAGCAAAAAAGAAAAAATAAATTAATTGACTTCCTTAAAGGATTTTGAATTGGCTTCCCTGCGTTCATGCTTAGATCCGCGAGCTGCAGCGTTCGGATTGGCTGCTCGTCTGGCAGAAGTGGTTGGCATTTGAGTAACTTGAAGTCAATTTCGGGCGATCCACGTGGTTTGGGATGCTGGTAGTGCTCTTCTCAGGGGCCTTTTCAGGTTGCTGGAACAGTTTCTGAGATTCGGACATTCCTAAACAAGAGTGGTGTATGTAGACGGATTTCTCCATTTTCAGAACTTACTCGAATCGGTGCAGTTGTGTCTCTCGGTTTTAGTAGACAATTTTCTTGTCGTTACGTTTCTTTGTCGTGTTGCAAACTGAAAATATTAGAATATTGAATTTTGAAAATATACATTATGTGTCTTACCATTCGAAAAAGAACACCGACACATTTTCAGTTCTAGACTTAACACGTGAAACAGAGATCATTCCGTATTCTCGGCAGCACTTAGTGTAGTCTGAAAGCATGCATTTCCTGGATTGCCCTTTTTGGGGCAGCATACCTGATTCATCTCCTCTTCGTCGCCTCATCGCCGAACCTTTGAGGCGTGCAGGTTCTTTTACATTCTGTAAAAAAGTAGAATTGAAATTGCGACAGAAGTGGGGGAGAAAGTGGACAAAACGAACAAACACGTGCGAACGGGATTTTTCGAAACGAAACGAATAGGATGATAACATTGCGAACCCCGTCCGTTCAGTGGAGCGCATTTGCATTGCAAAAGTCGCGCAGGAAAGTGCTTACGAAATAGTATGCATGCGAGAGGAGGGTTTCATCGATACAGGAAGTGAGCGGAGGAAGGAGAGACGGGCGGCCCGGCGTCACCGAGAAGAAGAGCGAGCAACGACGAGGACGGCTGGCCTTTCAGTACGATCTGTGAAATTAATTCAAGCCGTCATAGATGTCGTTCCCGATGAATGCAAAAGATGCTCACAGGAGCGGAGCGGGCCACGTGAGATGATTCGAGATGGGCTGAAATCGCAACCGAATGGTATCCGATAGTTGGTAAAAGAACCGAGGTCACGATAACAAAAATGATTAGATGACGTGCTGGAGGTTCTGAAGGCACTACATTACTGACAAACGCCGGAAAATCAATCCCAAATAGTCTCCAAAAGCTCAAGGGACAATCAAGTTCTCATCCACGCTAGAATCGTCATGCCCTTCCTTGCCACTGGAGTTCCCCACTCTTCAGCGAACACTTGCAACACGCGCCGTTTTGAGAGTGTGAGTCGTACGTTTGGAATAACTGAAAAGTGTCCGGCAGACTACCCTTAGCTGATAAACCAAGAAACCAACTCGAAATGTCACGCCTCAACATAATTAGCACCTATTCTAGACGACTTCAGAGAACAAACACAGTGGTCGAACGCGAAAGAGAAGTTTCTGCATCTTTTCGTCTCTTCTCTATCGTCTCCGAGCACGAAAACATAGTTGTGGTTCATTAGAGGCTTAATGTCATTGTGAAAGCAGAAACTACTCGCACGACACAAACCACAGTGTGGTTCGTTGCTTGGAGACGATGGATAAGAGACGAGAAGATGCAGAAACTCTTCTTTCGCGTTCGATCACTGTGTTGGAGTGTTTGGAGTTGCCTGGCTTTCCTGAAAGTGCTAATTTGCTGAAATGTCAAGTTGTTTCTGATCTCAAAGATTGACTCAATCTTTCTGTGGAAAGGAAAGAAAAGAACGGGCTCAGAAAAATTGTTGTTCTGAATGAAAAAGCGTAAATAATAAATTCACAATAAAGCATGTAAATGATGAGGAGATCTCAGAACATTCAATATCTAAAAACTCATTAAATATGTGTTACAACCGATGATAATATATTAGATGACACGTCTACTTTGATAAGTTGGGTTCAATAGATTGATAAATTAATATTCACAATATTTACAGAACGGTTTACTCTGTGCCGTCAGACGTCGATGAAGGAATGGGGTCCTTCTGCTCGATCGGCGAGTCATCTCGACGTTTCTTTTCCTCTTGTTCAATTTTATCGGGGTTCTGTCTCTTCTTGGGCTCTTCGAACTGAACACCCTCGTACTTGGACCGAATAATCCACTCATTCTTGTCTTCATTAAACTCCGCTATTGTAGAGAGGATCTCTCGGAAGAAGTACATCTGCGTCGCCTTTGCATTGTCGTGCTTGTTGGTAAAGATGCGGAGCAGCACGTCCTCCCTGGCACCAGATACTCCATTCAGATAAATTGTCAGACTCTTCGCTAACTGAACAAGTCGATTGAGCTGAAAACAATAGGCATCAGAAAGAAAAGCACGCCGACGACTGCTCACTTCTTGCTGATCATCGTTGACACGGAAGTTGCGATGAACAGTTTTCCAATAGGTATCAGGTTCTTCTTTTTCGACGAAATACTCGCTGGTTGAAAGTCCATTCGATTTGGACCGTTTAATTAACTTCTCATACTCTCTTTTCCACTTGTGAGCCAGACGTCCTTCCCTGTAAACAACGTTGAGAAACTCCAGAAGTCTCTGAAGCACTTACGTGTGAATCAGACTGCCCACCGCATCATCGACGGCTTTCTTCATCTCTTTTCTGTCGTTGAAGCTAAGATTTGAAGCGTTTTGAACACTGATGGAGTGTTCTCGCATCGCTACCAGTTTTTCGTCATCAAACAGAGAGAGCAAAAGGTTCTTGTCTTCAAATCCTTCCAATTTGTTCTTCTGAATTTACTTTGTTTGAGTCCATATCACTTTCCAAAAGTATACTCACCATCTTCAATTTGGCAAGACGCTTCTGTTTTTTTGACTTCTTGGGGGCAATCTCTCCGGGTAGGTACAGTCCGATTTCAGTGCCTTCCAGCCCTTTCGGCTTCAAGCGAAAAAGTTCGGCAACAGTGTTGTTTGGAACAGTGTTTCCGACGTCGACATTGTGAAGGAGTTGAGCGCCGAGCATCTCTTTTTGCACTTGCCTGAATTCAAAGCTTCATTGAGGTCGTGTTCCAAATTCCACTCACTTCATGTAAATCTTGTCCTCAAGAGTGCCGTTTGAAATGAGACGCGCAATCGACACGTTGTTGGTCTGTCCCATCCGATAGCAGCGATCTTTCGCCTGGTTGTCCGCCGCCGGATTCCAGTCCGGATCATATATTATCACTTTATTGGCCATCGTGAGGTTGAGACCGAGTCCTCCGGCACGGGTGGTCATCAAGAACACTTTGATTTCCGAATCCTTCTCGAAACTTTTGATGATTTTGGGTCGAGCGGCCGCAGAGTCGGAACCAGTCAGGGAAACATGCTTGATTCTGATGAGAACGACATTTCATACTTGTTCTGTTCCATTTCATCCTTACCCTTTTTCACTCAGAAAGTACTTCATCATCTCAATCACAGGCCTTCGCTGCGTGAAAAAGATGACACGGTTCACCGGATTCTTGAACCACTCGTCGAAAAGTTTGAACACCATCACCAGTTTTCCACTGTCCTCGATCGGGCCAAACTTCTTGGACCCAGGCGCCGCACCTCGATAGAATCCCGGATGGTTGCAGATCTCTGCCAGTTTCTGCAGACCGGCAAACGTCATCATCTTTCCCGACAATATCTGTTGGACTTGGCCGGTGCCCAGATATTCCTTGTACAATCGGCGCTGTCTGTCCGTGAGCTCGCAGCTGTACACCTGCAATTAACGAGGTTACTTTCAGTTTTGAGTAAGACATCCGATATTCTGACCCGATCTTCTTTTTCTGGCAGTTTGAGCACGTCTTTGTGGTCTTCCTGAAGTCTTCGCAAGATCAACGGTTTGACGGCGCGGTGGAGAGCAACGAGACATTCGTAGGCCTTTGCAGCCGCCTTTGGGGTGCAGTGAAGATTGGCGCCAGCGTTGATGATTTGAATAAAGTTTCGATGGAACGTCGTCGAATCGGAGAGGCGGCCGGGATGAACAAAGTCGACAAGTTTCCTCAAAATCTTTGGTTAACCTTTGAAACTTTCGATAGAGCGCTCACCAGAACTCGGAAAGCTTGTTCTGGAACGGTGTGCCGGTCAAAATGAAGCGTTGGGTGCTGATGAGATTCTTCATGGCTTGCGCGCACTGAACAGTCACAGTAAGTTGTATCTATGCATTCAGAAACTGCGGCACACCTACCTTCGTGTTTTCATTGCGGATGTAGTGGCCCTCGTCTAGAATCACAACCTGCCAAACTTGTCCAACCAGATCTCTGCTCAGTGCCGTGAACTTGTGGTAAGTTGTGAGTACCACCGCTCCATGCGGGTACTTCTTGCTAAATATTGTATATTGTCATTCTGCAAAATTTCTCGAATTCACTTTCCAACCTCTTTCTGCCCAGATACGAAATTATTTTGTCAACGTAGTCTTCTCGTCGACCGGTGGTACTGACACTGTGCAGCAAGAAGACGCGGAGCAGAGGGAACCACTCGTTCAGGGCTTTGATCCACTGCGAAAGCACGGAGACGTGGCACACAATCAGACACTTGTCGAGTCCAGTTCCCCTGAAAATAATCACTGACTAGAGAAATGGATTACAGCTAACTTGTAGTATGTTCTCCCCGTCTCTGCAATGGATCGGAGGAACACGGCGGCCTGGATGGTTTTCCCGAGTCCCATCTGATCAGCGAGAATGCCGCCACTTCTTTGATCCATCTTCTTCTGAAACCACTGAACGCCCACCTTCTGGTAGCTGCAATAATTTTGCTAAAAGGTTGAAAAAGAATTCATAACGCACTCATGAAGACGATTCCAAGTTGCCGTGTCGACCTTCCATGGATTCGGCGATTCCTCATTTTCCTCGGAAGTCACCATTCGCGTGATAGTGAACTGTGGCTCGGTTTCGGCAGTTTTGAGTCCGTAATCGATGAGGCGAGCGTCATAACGAGCAGATAAGTTATCATCCAAGTCCAGTATCTCGTCACTCTCGTCCTCGTCGTCGTCCTCGTCGTCGTCCTCGTCGTCATCCTCGCCACCATCCGGAAGATATTCGCCATCTGACTCGCGGGAGGCGCTTCTCCGGAACTTCTTCTTGTCAACCGGACTAAAACGTTTGTATGAAAAGAATGGAACAGTTTCGCCACAAACCGCTCTGAAGATGTTCCTGGCGATCTGTCAAACCCTGGCTCAGGACTCTCTTCTTCTTCTTCTTCTTTTTTCTGTTCCAATTCATCTGCTTCGCTACCATCGTTCTCATCACAGACTAGTTGATCCCATCCGATTACTTTCAGGTCGGCCTCGTCGTCATCGTCAGAAAGCGTTAGAACTTCCGACGGATTCATAGTGGAACCTGAAAAAACCTTTTCTTTTTTTGAAAAATGTGATTGAAACGGGGTAAAACTGAAAAAGCAACACGTCTAAGCGGTAGTAATCTATATTCCTCTGATTGAAACTGTGAATACTCAACACGTTCGAGAGAACCCAGTTAACGTCCGCTTGAGAGCGAGTAGGTGAGGGTGAGGATGCGCACGAGCACAGACAGACCGGCAGTGAACGGGGCCGATGCGTATCGATTTTAAAGGTGACCCTCAACACGCTAGGAAAGACGCTATCAATGATGTTGCGAAATACGTTTGGGGAAATAATTTGGAATAATGGGAAATTAATTCGAAATCGAAACCGCTCGTAGAAAAGAGAAGACTGTTGTAAAAGTCGGCCATGACCCCGTGATGCAAACGCGCTCTACTGAGAATACCCATCTAGGTCGTTGGCTCACGGTACACGGAATTTGTGCAATTTTTAGGCCTGAATTAGTAATTTTTGTCAAACTCAACGCCAAATTCGAACGTTTAGAAATACTTTTATGTTTATGATAACAAATGTATGTTGTTTTGCTTTCAGTTATGCTTTGTTTGTTTTCTGCTGCTTCATCCAAATGTTTATTGACAACAAATTTAAGAAAACAGAACTTTAACTGCTTTTCGCAATCACATTTTACCTTAAATAGTAAGAAGTCACTGATAAGGCGAGCCTTATCAATTTCCCGCTGTGTATTGCTCCCATTTTAATCAACTTTCGGCAAAATTTTATGATTTGTGCTCAACGCTCTCTAAGTGCCTATTATTACTACTTCTGCTCGGCACGCGTGCCACAACATTTTCGCTTCGCCGACTCAATCCCCAACGGCCAGATCTCTCAGCCACCTACTCGTGCTGTGCCTTCGAAGTCTCTAAGAAAGGATTAATCGCAGCTGAGACGGGCACCTTTTCCTTCCGGCATCTAACACGACGTGCCCATGTTCATGCGAAGATCGATAAGTCTTGCGAGGGCGATTCCGCCGTCTCTTGTTCCAACGCTCACCTCCTCCCTATCTCTTTTTCTCAACCGCCTCCCGTCTAGTCTGGCAAGAACCGGAGAGAACAGAGTCATTTTGTTGGCCGCAAGTGTTTTTTTTTGCAGGGTGTTGCCATGTCGCTGACCCCGCCGCAACGGGTGATGAGCCATCTGATCAATTCGGCAGTCGGAGTCACTGCTTCATCTTCGAGATCCAAGTTCCAGCGGGCGTTCTGCCGATCGGTGTACGGAGAGCCGGATACTCTGCTGTTTCAATGCGTGCGATGGTTCTTCAAGAACGGAGACTTCACCGAATTTGAGGAAGACGTAAAGCAACTTGTCACAGGACGTAAGTCGATTTCGTTTTTTGTTCTTGGGCCTATTTCCTTACTTCCAGAGCCTCTCGCAACATTTGTGGACACTCATCTCTCCTTGTGCCCGGAGATCATCAAGATTATCATCGAAAACGCAATCAACAAATCGAAAAGAGTGAAAATGCTGATCAAGAAAGACGAATTCGCAGTGTGCATTGGTCACGGACGGCTGATCACCATCCCATTCACGCAAGATATGGAGGAGCCGGCCGCTGCCCTTGCCGAGTACACCAAAATGTTTTTCTCAGTTTCCGCAAACAACATTCAGTATTCCTTCGAAGGCAATAATTTATATAATCACAGGGGCTCAATTTTCACATTTTCAGGTTGTTACGGGATCAGAAGAAACATGGATATCACTCCGGCGCATATCAAACTGTTCAGCAAGATCGGTCCGGACCATTTTGCGGAAAAAGGAATGCCAATTCAAAAAAGGGAACGAAATGGGCGGCTTTCGATTCGAATGTGCCGAATCAACTGGCGACAGTGCGGAATCTACTTCAATGCAGTCATTGATTTCTTCGAGTCCTACAGAGGGACTGTGATTGTGCAAGGAGAGCACCCGGCGTGCAAGACCAAACGGACTTACAAGGATGTTCTGGAGCACACACTGGCTAACCCGGACAACCCGCTGATCGACGAAAATCCAAAGCTGATCCCTCAGATTCCTCTGGTGAACAAACGTAAACGCCCTCTGGTGGTCCGATTGTAATTTTCTCTTGCTTTGATCCGAATGACCCTTGTTTGTAAAGCATCACCGTTTTCTTTCACATTTTGAATGTTGTTCAGACTTGTCAGAAATCCACATCATAATTTCTTATTTTGTTTGTAACATTTCTCTACTTACCGATACATCATATTGTTTCCCCCGTTTCTATTTGGCTTTACTTATGCATACACACACGACCTCCTCAGTCTTTAGAATACTACCTCCGTAGTTTCACCATATTTCTCTCTCGTCACCATTTTTTATTTTTCTTTTTCTTTCCCTCTGTTCCATTCCTCGTTTTTGCGGTTGTACTGTAATGGACTGACCTACAGATCTTCTGTTCTTTCTTTCTCACTTCCCACGCAAATTGCAATAAATCATCACATCCGAAACGGACGGCGCTCAGAATTGAATTCCTTGAACTAGCTTCTGACATTTGATACGATGTGAAGACCCCCAAACCTTCAAAAAAGTTGACGTGATGGATGAACTGACGTGATAAATATCGAGTTTTGCAGTGGCGCCGAACATCCGAGATGTAGGTGATAGGCGTTGGAGAGGAAACTACAAGCCGATCAAATCGGTGGGATAGCTTGTTCCTGATTCCGAGAAAGATCAAACCGAAGTTCACATCATCCTGACCTCCAAGACGCGTTTGAAATGTTCCATTCTTAGGATGGCTTCAAAAACAGTCATTCTATAGTCCAGTTCAAACAGGTGTAGGTGTACAGTCCAGAGGTTTTGACATTCCATAAAATAAACATAAGGCGGGCTTCACAAAAGGCGAGCGTGTGGAGGTGGGGTTCACGCGTGGCGACGGCTGTGGATGCGAAACGTGATAAGCAAACACACGTCTTTTTGCGCTGCGTGTTCGGTTCGGCTCTTTTGCTGCTCATTTCGTGCACGTTCTTTAGCACTATTATGCTTTTGGGCCCTTATCTCGAGACGTCTTTTGTCTTGTTTCTCCCCTTTCCTTCGTTGGTGATGTGAAAGCACACTTGCGCGGTTTTTTGCATGAATTTCAATGTGTTCCCACAAAAGTGTCGGACACTTTCACCTTCCTACCCTCTTGGCTGAAGATTGGCAAAGAAGAACACTTCACCATCACCGGCACCTCTGCTTCTTCTTCTTCTCCTTTCTAATTTTCTTCTGTCTCCCGTCCCCGTCCTGTCTTTTGCAATTGAGACTGGTAATTCTCTCCTCATTTGTGGTAATAAACAACATGTCACGTCACACGTTCTGTACGTGTTTGCTGCTGCTACTGACTGCAAACCAAGATAGAGGACGAATGGATGAATATAGAGAACAAGAGGAAGCAAGTGAAGTGGGGGGCCTACCTCCACACCGAAGAAAAGTCTTCATATACAGTGGAAAGAGGAAGGACACGTCGGAGGGGGAGGGAGGGAGACTGTTCGCCCCAATGACGAATACCACCCAGTCGAAATGAGAAAAGGTTACACGTTTATCCCGTCTTTCACCTCGCTCCCGCCGCCGCCGCCGCCACTGCCGGTGCGACGTTCGCCCCATCTCCGTCCACGGCCGTTTACATCTCCTCTTTCCTTCACACGTTAATCTTTGACGTTTCAATTCATCCGATTCTTCTCTGTCCACCTCCTCGCCCCCAGTTTCTTTCCTAATTTCCATGTTCTCCTCTTCCGTTGGGTGATGGAGGCACGGAATTGTCTACTTTGTGTCTTTTCCCATCTCAACCGTCTCTGGTCTGGCGAGGTGCGGTGCGTTGACATGCATGTTTTCAAAATATTCGCATTTTTCCGCTTTTGGATCGTTACAACTGACCATCCACGTCAGGTTTGTGGTTACGTAGACACAATTAAGCGGGTTGGTGACTCGATGGCAAGGTCGAAAGCTTGCACACCTGGCACGAAGCAAAATAAATGGAGATTAATTAGAGCCGTTGGTTTGACTTTCAAAATATTTCATATTCTCACCTTTCCAGTGCTTGACACTCAAACATCGCTGTCTTTACCGTACCTTTTCCCACTTTTTCCACACTTTTTCAAACAAAGTTTTGGTCCGTCCGTTCACTTACTTCCGTGCTCTTCTCGAGCACTTCTCCGTCAACCCAGCACCTTCCTATCTTTTCTCTTTATTTGTTTTTTCTCGGCCCTCACGCATCTTTCACGTGACTTTTCATTACCAACGTGCCCCTCCCCCTCCCTCCACACGACCTCTATTCTCGGATTCGGCCTTCTTCATCTCACGCGGTTCGCGTTTTTTTGCTATCGCAATATATACGTGTGCGCTGCGCTGCAAACCGCAAAATAACAAGGCTGAGATCATCAGCGATGTCAACACGATCATATTGCGATCGTTCAAAAACAATAGATCCTTCTTCATGAATTCCCACATGAAAAGTCAAAGGGACAGCTGAACTGCTGCGGTCCGGTCAAGCCAATCCATTCTTGTGTGCCTCGCTCTATCGTTCGCTTCTTGTGTCTGCACGCGAGAGGCTCTAGCGGTTCCGCAGCCGACCCCCCGGCTATACCACACAAATTTCGCATCATCTCACACTCACGCACCACACGCACGCACACGCAAACATACACGCACGCAATAATACGAACTGACTAGTCGGACGGACAAACTGCCTCTGGTCTGGTGACGGGAAGTCCTCCCGCAAGCCGACAAGCCATGGGGTCCTACAGCCAAACTAGTGATTTGACGATTACTTCGCCGTCAACGCCGCCGCCGACGTGACACATACGCAGAGACCGTTCCTACTGCGTGCGTGGGGGTGTGTGTCCTCGTTTCTCACCGTTCCGTTCTTTTTCGTTTCTCCCTTTGTTTCTCTTCTTAAGATGAACTGAGTGCACGGACCCGCCTGCGAACGGGCGCGGAAAAACACATGCGTCAGTTGTTGGTCAGATAAATAGATAGGGGGTGGTCTACTACTGGTCTGAACGTGTATCCGACGTGGAATGAAGTGGCTGTCACGTATCGTGTTGCAGAAGAATCACGTGCAATGCAACCTAGCCACTTTTCTTGTTTATTAGTAACTGCTACTGATTCCTGTCCTATAATCCCATAAACAGACAATTGCTAGGTTTTCCCGAAGTTAATGGATTGCAGTAAAGCTTTTGAACACTCAAACTTTACACTTTTTTAAAGTTTGATCCTCGTGAAGCAGCTGTAAGCCCCCGAAAGTTGACCAATGACTTTTTCAGGGAAAAAACGTTTTTTTTTTCCGGATGGCTCGTTGTCTGCGAACGTCACAGAATATGCAGACGTAATCATAATCAAAAACGTCACAATTGATTAGAAAGTTTATTCACGACCATTTGATCCAGCATATTTTTATTCTCCGCTGGCAGGATGGATTTACATCGTTATTTACTCATGCGCACTTGTTGTAATAAGGTATTCTTTCCGTTGACCCCCCGCGTTGGCGGCGACTCGACTCGTTTCCAACGGTGGGCGAGAGCAAGCGGCGGATGAGAGAGCGCGAGGGCGTGGTCTGGTTAGTGCGTTGCTCACTGTCCTCGCACACTGTTTTTGCTCTCACCATGTTGCTTTCCCTGTTCTTTTGCTGAATTGTACGTCATTTTTCTCTTTGGTCATGCTTCTTGTTTCAAAATTTTGCCATCTTGTATCTTTTTACTGTATTTCGCAATTTCTTTCACATCATTTGATTATTTCAGGTAGGATGACTGAATGTGGTCTCAGTGCGTCCCTTCTGATGCCCTTGGAGCTGAAGCAAGAAATAATGGATGAAAAACATGAGGATGATTCTTCTAAGGAATCTGTACCAAAGATAGCAGTCCGAGAAGTTGAAAACGTTTCTCCTCCCCGCCGATCACCCCAGGATACCACCGACGAAGAATCTGATTTCCAACTTGCCACTGATTCTGACGGGAATGTGAATGTTCTCGCCAAAGAAGCAGCGGTGGCACTTCCTCCAGTGATTACGGTCAGTTCTTCTCCAAACGTGACTACCTAAAAATACCTGACCTCAAAACCACCTCAGTGAGCCATTTCTCTATTCACACGCTTTTGAGAGGTATCCGCAGACCATGAGAATACGAGAGGCCTCCGAGAAAAACACTATTTGTCCAGCACGGCGGCGACGGTCAACCACGGACCGTCCCGTCGTTACGAGCCACCCCGAAGCGACCGAAATAGTAACACGCGAATGAATTCGCAAAGAGACTTTCCGCGCGCGCGCACCACCTCAGCTTCTCTCTTCCTCTTTCGATTCATCGCTCACTGTTTTCGTTTGACGAGACGGGACGGAGCGCACGTTCCCGAAAAGTCTAGATCCTTGGGCGCGAAAGGTGGGTCGCATTGCAAATTGCAAACATGAAACTTTGCGCATGGATCATAAGCAGCTGAGAAAATGAGGGGAAGGGATTGTTTGAGAAACTGATAGTCTAAGGGTTTCAGAAGATTGTGAAAAGGCTTCAAGGAATCTGACAGCGCACATCTCAAGCTATTGTAATCTTTAGTTTAGTTTCGCAAGCAAAGCTGTTTTCGATTAAGGTTGGCATGCTGCATCTATTAAAAAGGAAGTAAATTAATTTCTCTCTACCGGTCTTGGGGAGTCTTGTGAACAATTTTTTGACCCATTTCCAGGACGATTTTGTTGTTCCCCTACAGGAATTTTTGCAAATAGCTCTCGAATTTCAACCGTTCGCTTGGTCGCTGTCAGAATAGTTTCTAGTGAGGACAGTTCAGAAGAACGTGCTCACAATATCGCACCCACGCTCTTTGGATGCAGCTCATTTTCTATTTTCGTTTGCGTTTCACCGAAAAAAGAGCACGGCGTTGTAGCGCGCGCGCGACGGACGCGGCGTGCGCTTGCCTGTGCGCGCCACGACGCGTACTCATGATCCTGACATTGGCTCATGTTTTGTTTGCCATCCGCTGACCGACCGTCCGAACGTTGCTTCTATTCCTGGGGTGGGAGTCTTTTCGTCCGGCCGCTTGCATAAAACGTGCTTCGAAACTGGACTCGCTCCGGCGCAAGTGTGTCTGTGTGTGCGCTCGCGCGGACGGAAAGCGCCGAGCGACGGTCAGCGTGAAAATAGTGGCGCTCGCGAGAGCGGTCCGGCGGCCGAAAACGGTCACGCACCGCGCCGATCGCCGCAAATAGTGCGCCCGCTCGCGCGCGAACATCATGATACTCTCGTTTCGAGCTGCTCCTCTAGGGTCGTAGTCGTAGCATTCAGCTTGTTAGCTTTTAGCACTATGGAATTTGTAGCTCAACAACCAGATATCACTGTACGTTTTTAACTACAATAAAATAAAAGCCATCATTATAATTTTGAACATATTACAGGTAAAATGCGGAACTCTCACTGCGAAGATGGTTACAAAACTCTTCACGTGTCCGGGAATCCATCAAAACTGTATTTTGATTGACGGTAAGTGCAAAGTCTAGAGAAAACTTGACGACTTAATCTCTTTTTTTTTTAGGTGAAACAGAATATATTAGTCCAAAAGAGTTCACCGTGCGGGCCAACAAGGATAAGCAAAAGGACTGGAAAGGAAGCATCAGAATCGGAAAGTCAAATCTTCGGACACTCATGGAAATGAGATCTCTCGACTTTCACGATCACCCGAACCAGTGCTCAGCCAAATGCCAAAGTAGAAACTATATAACGCCCAAAGATCCTACTTCGGAGCACAATGCGTGAGTTTTCAGAACCCATAAGCTTTCAAGCTAATCTTTTTTCTCTAATTTCAGGGGTCGTCGACGATCGAGTACAACAAAACTGATCCCTCAAAACATGTTCAATCACATGCCTACTGGGTTCTCCACTTCTACAACTAACCTGTTCTCGGCTCCACAGAAAGAATCTCAACTTCCCGAAGGACAACCAACTTTAGGTGAGTCATCCACTTAGCCTTGATGTGTGAAATGCAGAGAAGTGAAAGTGTAAACCGAACAGAACATCTATTACGTCACATGTTTCTGCTTTGTGAGTAAACTGACGTCTTTTCAGGTACACTCTTCAAAAACCCGACCTTCTCGCGGTTCGTAGCAATCAGTCAGAACATGAAGAACAACAACTTTTCAATTCCATCCACCGCTCAAACTCAAACATCGATGATTCCTACAGCCGCCATTAAAGAAGAAATTACTTCCGTGGATGACGTCACCAATCAGCTTCTGCAACAACAACGTGCTGCAGCTGCTGCCACGTCAGTGTTCCCACAGTCTCTTCCGAGTCAACCATCCACATTGTGGAACATGGATTCCGCACGACTTCCTGGTGGCTTAGAACAACATCCTCAAGAATTTCTGGCCGAGATGATAAATGCTGGACTTGGGGATAATATAATTGACATGATTGTTAACAAGATTAACAACATGCGCGAGAGGATCAAAGGCATCTCCAATTGTCCTAATCGTAAGTTATTTACGGGGTGATCTGAAAATGATAAGGTTCATTTGCAGTTTTGCTGAAAATGTTGTGCAGTTTGAATGCAGCCGACACATTCTGTAATACCATGCAAGCAGTGGAGAATATCCAAGCGGAAATTGCCAAGGAAGAACGACTTTTGTTGAAGGGCCAAGCACAGGTGCATCGTCTCTCATCAGACTATTCTTCGTTGGAGGATGAGTGCCCGGGCAGAAAACGATCTCTAGATATTGCTGATCTCATTGGACAACCCGCCATCAAAAGGCCATCTGTAACCACTTCCACGGTGAGTGTTTTTAATGTTCAAATTTTGTTGAATGTTACGTTATTTTTCAGCTGGAAGACGCACCTGAGCCATCAATGTCAACCCTGCTGACCACTGTGAAACCCATGGTGCATCCGCCAAAAGTGATCAGTCCTCAGGAAATGCTGATGAACATTGCTAGCAGCATGAACTCGAGCATTGAACGGAACCACGTGCTAGCCGCCCTACAAATGGAGGAGCTCCGCACTGCAACTGCTCAATGAGCCCATTTGATCTACCTTTGATATGATCACAATCACAACTAATCGCATTCCACAATTACCCCTCTCGGCGCTTCTCTCTTGGTTCTAGTCTAATGTCATCTTGGAACACAAGTTCCCAGTTTTGTAATAACCCAGTTCAACAGTTCTAGCGGTGCACTAAAAGTGATAATAAATCTGCAAAACTTCATTGTTAAAAGTCTGTGACTGTAACTGACTCCCTCCAATCGCATCCCCCATATTTTATCTGTACAAATCGGTTCCCTCACTTATTTTGTCCAAACTCATTAAATTATTACAAACAAACCTCATTACAATTGTATGAATTTACTGCACCAAACATTTTGGGACCACGCTTTATACTCTCCACTTTCCACCCCCACTTCTTTGCGTATTCTTATCAATATCAATACAATATCACTTTGTTGAGTATGTATGAACAGATATGGAGTAGATTTCGATAAATATTGAATAAATAAATTATATTTTCGTTTTAACATACAATTAAAAGCTTTTAGGGTCGGTGGAAAGATAATGATAGACATGAAAAGTGAGAAAAAGATAACTTATTCACTTTTTCTTTTTGTATTGAGCAAGAGCTGGCAGCTTTCCTTCAGGAAGAGCTTGGTATGGGTTGGGGACCTGAGCCCCGGGGTACCGCGTTTTGTACTGGTTCACTTGATCCTGAATATAATACTTTAAGCTAGGAAAGAAAACCAACGTCTACCAGAAAATCGTCGTATTCCTCAATTTCCAATAGCAAATTGTTCAGGTACTGATCTCGGTTGGATGGTTGTGGTTTAGCTCTGAAACGGCATGAAAGTGAGTTCCTTGAAAACCATACGTACCTGAAAACCAGTGGTGGATAGGTGAATGGCTTTGGAGTGGTTTGTTGTCGGATCGCACGATGCTGGGGATGCTGAACACATTTTTCTTGAAGCTTCAACTTTTAGGGATTAGAAAACTGACGTGAATTGGCTGATGGAATTGGGCAACGTAAGCGTAGCCTCTTGTGGTGGCTGTGTCACTTAATTGATAATTACGGGCACCTCGCGCCAGGTTACGCTTTTTTTCTGTCACCAAGTTTGTGGCGGCCACAAAGTTTCCATCTTCGTCATAGGTTCCACCAATTCTAAAGGAAATATCGACTAGCAGAACGATTTAACACCGAAATTACCTTTCTTCCGGAATAGGTGGAATTTCCGGAACATTGTTCACAACAAACGGGTCCACAGCTGGCGGAGGTGTTGTCGGTCTGGCTGTTGGTTTTGCGGTGGTCGTTGGTGATTCGGTTGTCAAAACGTGAATGACTGAACAGAAAAGTTATAGCAAGCCGAATGAAATCTGTATGTACCTTCATCATGAGTCATTGGCAGTGGTGGCAAACCGGAGAGGAACTGCTGCTTCTCAGCAATTTGAATTCTGCTTGCAATGTTGTCGAGGGTACCGAATCCTCCAAGATTTCTATTTCGTAGGAGTCGGAAATAGGCGTCGAGTTGAGAGGGTCCATACAAGCTTTGGCATAATGTCAGGCCCAGGCAGATCGAGATGAGGTAAAATATCCGAAGCATTTCTGAAAGATGAGAAGGATGAGAAGAAGGATCAAACTACACCACGATCAGACAAAATAGAGCGTGAAAGTATCGGGAACTGAGGAGAAGCAGAAAAGGGGGAATGTGATTTTTCTAATCCGCACAATCACAATGTAGAATAGATCAATTCGCGTTTTTCTTTTTATCTCCGACGTGTTCGGCTAGACCAGGCGTGCCAAGATGCGCAACAAAAACGCGGCGAAAGCTGGAGGTGAAGGTGAAAGTCGGAATTTCCGTCCTTTCGCTTTGTAGACCTCGCCCAAGAAGATGGTGCGGCGGAGATGATGGCCAAACCGTCTAATTTTCAAGGCGCAAGGATGATCCGCTTATTTTCCCTTCTCCCTGCGTTGTCTATTCAAAGAAACGTAGTTACTTTTAGTTCAAAACAACAAAAAGTTACTTTTAGGATTTTCAGATGAATGCAAAGCAAAGCAAACTAGAGACAAAGTGAGAACTGCCGGGAAGGATGAAAAAGTGAAGAACAAAATGGTATACGTATCTGTATCAAATTGAAGTACAGTTGGGCCAACCAACTACTGACATGTTTGAAGATGTCGAGGGAAGAGAAAGATGAGAGGGCCTGTCGCCTTGCGGGGGTAGATTCACACATGCAGACACATGCCATACATGCAATTAAACTAGCTTTATCTCTATTGATATACACATACATACACATGAGAAGTCATAACAGGGCCCTCCGAAAATACTCTGACGTAATCTATTTTTGATTGCGAAGCAAGTTCAATTTTTTCCGCTTTTTTGTTGATAAAGAAGAGACCCTACATGAAATTTCATTTTTACGACCGACTCATTAGATGATTTGTGGTTTGTTGAATGTCGAAAAACAACAAACAGAGTGGGAGTGAAAGGATCTCTGAACTGGTTAACATTTGCCAGCATTTGGGGCTTAAGTATTCGTCCTCAAGTGAGACCGTATTGTTATGGCGATAAAGGCAAGGGCGGGGTTGAAATGGAAAAGACGAGAAAAGAGGTATTGTACTCGATATCGGCAAAGCTTTTGAGAAGTGAGAACGACTGGAAAAGAAGGCGAAAACCGAATACCGAAGTGTAAAAGGAGAAGGCAGATCGTTGGTGTCGATATTATGGGACACGAAGAGTTATGAGGTTCGTTCGTTCAATGACGTCGCCTCCTCGTCTTCCCTTTCCTCTGCCGCCGTTTCTCTTTTTTTGGAAGTTGTTCCGAAAATGCGGAAACATTCTAGCCGCTGGTTTTTGACTAGGTAAACATGTGAAAGTGAGATTGAATGGATTGAAATGAAACGAATGAAATGAAATGCAAACGAGATGAGTTTTGATGAAGAATAAACTGGCCGAGGCAGAAATGCAACATGAAGGAAATGTGTTATTGGAACTTTTTCTTATCTGGGAACACCCCGAAGATCGTGGGACGCTTGGTATCCTATTTCCTTGAATGTTTACCCTATTTAGTGTTTCCCTCTACTCCCCTTTTTCTTTTTTGTTTTTCTTTTCGTTTCTCTCTAAGTATCGATAATTTTGCAGACGGGCTCTTGGTCACTTTGTCTGGAAAGGAGCAGAATGGATCAGTAATGACTTTTATTGTTGACGTGAGGTGAAAAAGTATCGAAAACAGGATTATTTTATGAAATCAGTCAAAATAATGAAATAGAACGAGTTTAGATGGTATTACGTTCCAGGTGATCCGCTTCTCTTCTTCCGTTCTCTGGCTTCTCCTACATGTTTTTCCTACTTTATATGATGAAAATTTTGAAGAATTTTGTGTTGAATAACTCGTAATCTAGCTAAGTAAGGATTTATTCCGGTGTTCTGACCATAGTCCTTTTTTATCCCTTCCCCCCCGGAGATCTCGTCTGGCCGACCGATCAGTTAAAGAACCTTTCCGTGCACTTTCTCATTTGACGGGCGGACAGCTCCGGGGTGTCGTCGATGTGTTCGGAGGGAAAAAAGCGAAACACGGAGAGCAATTTCGCCAATTTTTCATTCAAATGTCACTCTCCGACCCCTCCTCTGTTAATGACAGTTCGCCAATTGCGCGTTCTTTTTTCCTTCTTCTTTTTGCTTCTCGCTTCTTCTTTTTCTTCGTGGGAATAGGTTCGGAGCTGTCAACTCGCGTGCAAGCAATTATCCGGGTAGAGACTAAAAAATGTTAAGCTCAACTGACATTTTTTTCGACTTTGCTTTTTCTTTTTTTTTCGAGGCGTTCTGGAAATCGAGATTTTCATCTTTGAGCATTCAATCTTTTCAGTTCGAAAGTCGGATTTAATTTTCGATTCTCTTCAGACAGAAATGTGCACTTTTCCCGATTAGCGAGTCTGTTCGCAACCAGCCATTCGGCTTAATGAGCACTTTCCAAAAGAACACTTCAGTCGAGCCAGACAAAGAGAAAAAAGGTTGTGGATCAAGAATCTACCATGATAGTTGCGATACGTTATCCGGTTGGCTCGAGCCCGAGCTCGATCCCAAGCAATTTGACATTTACAACGCACACTCATCAAGAGTAAATGAATTCTGAACATCGGTTCCGGTTTTCTGTTCATTTGTCACGAGTCCGTAGAGCATAAATGATCAGACATCTACTCGACCTTTAGTTTGAGTTCAAGAAACCTCCAGACACCTTTTTCTAAAGTAATTAGTGTGTGGGAAACGATAAAAAAGTTCTGACGCTGGTTACAAAACCCTCTAATTTGTTCAAAACAACAAAAGCATATAAGAGTGGAATCGAGAGCACATTTCATCATTTTACCCCCATTGCCCTCAACTAGCTACGTCTTCAAAATGGAGGGCGTGGGAAATCCCTTCTTCATAACTATGTTTTGTGGTCATCTGTTTCCCGAAAAAGGGTTTGATCGGGTTAAAAATAGCCAGGCGCCAATGAGGACCTTCGTATAAATAGTAATTCCGGGTAAACACATCCCCTCAAAAGTTTTTGCGTAAGCTCAACCAGACTGCGCTCCCACTTTTCTACTCCTACGGAGCGGAGCGGAGCGCCAATCAAAAATGATGTGAGCCCACATAATTGCATTTCCCGTAGCATGTCTTCGAAAAAATGTAAATGTGCTCCGGAAATTCATCCAGCCACTCTACTCCAATGTTGTGTTGGCGTTCTTTTCTCTCCTTCCTCCTTCTTCATCTTTCGCGCACCAACCAGACCCTCCCGTGATTTATTTTTTCCGTTGGTTGCAGCGAAAAATCAGAATCAGCGATGTGTGTGTGTCACTCAGCTCAATCCATCAGGTGTTTTAGACATGAACACAAAAAGACAAAAAGTGATGCGATACGAGACGGACTGCTGTTCGTCATAGGTCCTCTCCTCATCTGTCCAAGTGTTTGTTGGTTTGAAAGTGAGGGAGGAAGAGAGAGGAAGAACAATTTGGAGTGACAGGGAGTGGGATAATCTGGAAAAGTCTGGGCGAGATGTGACGTTGTGGGTACTCAACTTTCCAGAAGAGGAGCAAAAAATCCGACTTTTTCCCCCGATAAACAAGCATCTCCTTCCCGTTCACATCTAATTCAATCATCGAATCGTTCTAGAGTTCCCTAAAAACAAAAATTTCAGTCCTTGGGTACCTCTTCAGTTTGTCGGTTTCGAGCTCAAAATTTCGAGCTGCTGTGCAAAATTCAACCGCGATCTTGCGTATCATATATCCTATTACCCATTAGTCTGCACAAATGCATGAATATTTTATTGTCTGGTCCCAGAAATTTTGCCATCATTCCGAACTTTGCGAACTCTTGAAGAATTTATAAAATTTCTCATCTGGCTGGGAACCGAAGGACTACGGTAGACGGGTAGATCAAAAAACAGCAAAAAGAAGATCTGATGACCTGGTTTTGCAGAATCTTGAGTCATCCTCTGCAAAACAACGAAAAGTACTCGGTCAGGCAAACAAAAAGTTGCTGTCCGTGAAAACTCTCGTGCTATCCTATGCTACCAGCTTGACGTGCTCATCCTTGATTAATTTATTCAAATCCGCGCCAAAACAAAACAATCAATTGTACTTTTTCGACACGCCCACTGTTTGCCCTCAACTCATCACGTTACGCTTCCAAATCCCCCGAATGCCCTTAGTTCTAAGCCTGTGTGATTGATGTTTCGACTATTCGGAGAGCCTTTGGACGTTTCTCTGAAAAAGAAAAGAGTTCTAAAACGAGACTGGCCATTCCTCAATGTTCGCTTGTTCCTCGATAATTAGAGTTCGAGTAAACACAAAAATTAGTCAAAGAACGCCTTTGGCTTTTGGTACGAGCCTACGTCGACACATATCTAATTGTTTTGCCTAGATCCCGCCCCCTTCCACTTCGTTCGTTCTCCCCAAAAGAGCCCCAGTGTTATGCATCAATTCAATTGTGCATCTTCCACGTTCATATTTTTTCAGGAACGCAAAAATTCATAGATTTCGTTGTTTTTCCGAGTGTGCCACGAAACGACTTACTTTGTGAACGCTTTTGAATTGAAAAGTTCTATGGATTTATGTACACACGGAGAGCTTTTGTTCAAAAATTTCTACCGTAATCCTATGCCTCGTGACGGAATTTGCATAAAGTAGGAACTGAAAAGACAGAAGATCATGAGGATACCTGAATCATACCAATTACATCATTATGTAAATTTTTCCATGAAACGTTCGTGACTCTCATTTCCATACTCATTAACCCGTTCTTCTTCCTTCTTCCGTCTTCCTTTTTCCAGTTCTTGTCCTCATTCTCGTTCGCGTTTTCTCTTTTCTAGATCAGTTGTCTAGAACACTCTTTTTTCCGTTCAAAAGATGAGTTGCGGCCACAAATTCGATTTTCGTCTATTTCAATGTGCTCGGGTCTCCAACCCAAACCAATCAGACTTTTTTCTCGACTTTCAGGGTTGATGCACACTTTTTGTCACTTTCAAGGAGTCTTCGACGCAAAGCAATTGTGTTTTAGAGCACACAAAAGTTTGCCGTGCTCTCATTACACCCTCCTAAGAGATTCTCCTTCCTTTTTTTTTTTTGGGCATTGCGGAGGGGGAATACAAGATGAACTGGATACTAAAAATATGCGGCTCACGTATGATTTCTTGACGAAGACCTCGTTTTTTTTCGTCCAAAACGAACTTTTCGTGTCATAACAAATTAACATGTTTTGCTAGATTTTTTTCCGTCAACTAGACATCTGGAATCAGGCTTTTCATCCATTCCCAGAACTTTTATTCATTAAGAGATGAGACGTGACCCGATGAAAAAATGCCCATTTTATTTCCATCTCTTTTCGCCAGTAACCACCAAAATTGAACGCAGAATCTTGAGATAAATAAATAGAAAAAAGCGGGGAGACGAATGTGCCGGAGGGTAAGACATGTTCTCAAGAGATGAGAACATCTTTCAACGTCTCCTTTTCCCCGTTTTGCACATTGTCAATGACGGAGATTTAGTGTATTGTCTCGCGAAATGCCTTCTCGGAACACGTTGCTATTCATCTGAAATCTCGGTCGTTACCGTGCGAGAACCAAAACAAAAAATTCATTAAAAATGCTCATTAAGTCTGTTCACTTTTCTAATTTCCAAGTACAAAAAGATACGTGTCCAAGCGGTGAAGGTGAATCTGAAAAACATATGAATCTCTTGACGTGTTTTCCACTACTTTTCTTCGTTGGTCAGTTACAAAAAGCAAATCGAATTGAATTGTGGTTACTTTCTTATTTTTCTCTGCGGAACCATTTGACTTCCTATACAATTCCTCTGTTTTTTATCCGGGATTTTTGTCCAAGATCAGTGGTTTCCACGTTTTTTACTTCAAAATCTGAAGCCTTTCAAAATGTCTTCAATCTTCCACCTTCGTGAGAATTCATGAACTTTAACTTTGATTTCTCCCTTACTTGGGAAAAGTGAAAAATCGAAAGGGCACCTGTCTCGCGACTGAAATTGTGGGAACCTGGTTTCCTCTGCCTGACTCACAGTTATAGGTTCATTTTGTTACTCTTTCACTTTCTTTTCTCATTTTGTTGCCGCTCCCGCACGTTTTTTTGACAGACGCCACGCGGCGGGCAATAATTATGACGCGTTTGAGATGGGAGCACGAGCCGGAAACCGAGAGCAGCGAACGGAAAAACTGGAAGAGAAAAGCTGAAAACAGGGGAGGATGTGGTGGTGGTGGTGCGGTGACAACTTTTGTTTTCAAGGTTCCCACATTTCTTTGTGATTTGGAGTGCTTCCGTTTGTGCTCTCTGAAATCCGATTTGTTTCGGTTCAAACTATGTTTATCCTCCCGCGCTTTCATTTTTAATTTATTCTGACTCAGAATCACTTCAAAAATCACAAATTTATGGCTTTCGAAAATCAAATTAAATCAACTGGAATTAATCCGGAGAACGCGAACGAATTTCGATCCCTAATCCGCCGTCTTGGCTCGTGTCGAACTTTTCCATTTGAAAAATGTATCCGTTTTCTTCTCGTCGCAAACTTACAACCCAAACTTTGGTCCGTTTTCACTTTAAAGGTTGAAAAATGATTTCACGGCGACGACACCTCTCTGGGGACCAGTTTTCTTATACCTCCAACGATGCGTGGGTAGTTTTTTGTCCAGAAAAAGTAGAGAGAAAAGTGTGTACGCACTGACAATGTGAGAGCCGGAGCCATCTCAATTTTGCAAACAAACGAGCCCCGGAAAATTAACACTAGTTTTTGGCTATTCATGGAAAAAAGACCAGAAACCAAACTAAGTGCGTCATCCACAAAGATACCGTAACGTTTCAACTTCTTTTAAAAAGCGAACGTGATAAACTCGAACCTTTTGCTCAAATCTCAGTTGGCTCGTAAAACAAAAACTTTTTCACACTTTTTTTGTTCCTGATAAAGTGAACCAGAACACACGCTCTTCTCATCCTCAGGGAGGGCGAAAGAGCAAATCCAGAGCAGCTGCTCCTCTCGACACGAAAAAAAGCACTGACGAAAAAAATGTTCGTAGGAAATGTGCTGATTTCATTTCCCGCGACAGGATGAATATCAGGCACGTATCGTTTTTGCAATTCACACGTTCCGCCGAATGTTTCAGTTCCTATTCGCTTTTCCGTCACGCGCCATTGACAAAAGATCACAAAGTCTCCAGTAATCCAGGAAGTTTTGAAGTGGCACTTGCCGCTTATATCAAATTTCAAAAAAGCGAACGACTGAACTTCAGATGTTGGAAAATGATGTTTTGCCAGAGAATTTGAAATTCAAAATTCATCCGGGAGCGGAGAGGAGCATAAGCATCGAAGACCCCAGTTCATCCTAGCAGCTAGCTTTTGTTTCGTTGTCCCCCCCTCCGGGCCCGACGGAGCCGATGATTTTAGAGTCAAATTTTAATCCAAAATCGTGACTTCTTGTACTTTGAAGATTTATTTGCAAATTACGTTTTCCGGCTTGTACTTTCCCTAAAAATTTGTCTGGGCCGGAATTCCGACAATGGATGGCGGAGTTGATGTCAGTCTTCCCCCAGACAAAAACAAAACAGGGCAGCACTTTTATGTCGAAAACATTTCCCTCCTAGCTTACTGTACTTGTAGGCTAAACTCGTTTGACAGATAAATTGCGTTTCCGTTGTCAGTCTCATTCCTACTCTCGTTTATTGTTTGGAACTTTCTCGACCTCATCCTTATTCTCATCATTGGCCCCAACCTCTCCCCCTGATCCCGCTTTTTTTGGGGAGAATTTGAAATTTGTCTTCATAAGGGGGGTCCCAATTCCTGATGCACACGTTTCTTCTTTTTTTGCTGCTCCGCGGAGCAAACCGCTCTTTTCGCGAATGCGCAAAGCGGCGGTGCTCTCCATTCAAGACTCCGCCCCATTGCTTCTCTATTTTTCCTTGGTTAGAGTGTTATTGTTTGTGAATAGATTCCTTCTTTTCTTCTCGGGTTCTCACACTTTTTTTCCGAAATTATAAAGTTGACCTTCTCTTGTACTTTGTTTTATTATTGAATTTCTGGTTGATAAGTACGAGTATTCCACTTTGGCTTCCTTCTTTTCATGTCTCAATTATCCGAATAGGTGGTAGCCACAAAGGAACACTTCCAGTCTTTGTGTCCGTTCCTACTTCAACATTTTCTACTTCCGTCCTCTTTTTCCTTGCCGAATATGACTACGAATGTAATTTATTTCAGAACTCATAAAAATCCCCTTGCATGACCAATTAGAATGATTGCTGCAAACTCGACATTGCTTGAAAAGTCGGCCGACTTGGTTGGAACGGTCCTGGAGAACAGCTCGATGGACCCAACAAGCACACTAATGAGCGTGTTGGCCACCCAATCAGCACCACTTCAATGCTTCTCGTGCCATCCAAAGCTCTATTTTATTGTTTTCGGACTCGTCTTCATGATCATCATCTGTTCCGGCGTCATTGGAAATGTCTTCATCATCTTTGTGATTCTAATGGACCGCAAATTGATGAGCTCTTCGGTTAACCAGTTCCTTCTGAACCTGGCCATTGCGGACCTCGGCAATCTGCTATTCTGTTCACCGGATGCCATACTCGTGCTCATCGACCGTGGCTGGCTTCTTCCCAACTTTGCCTGTCACTTACTCCGATTCCTTCAAGAATACTTTCTCTACGCCAGTGTTCTCCTTCAGGTACAAGCCCGCTTTAAAAAATTTTCCGATATTTCACGTAGTGCTTGAGCCAAGAACCCTCGAAAATAATCATGTTAGCCAGAAATTTTCCCACGATTCATGAGAATCCGTGTCTTGTGCGTTCACTCGAAGCCCCGACGAAAAAAGATGAGGAAGAAGAGTGGGAGGGAGGAAAGCGGGAGAATGTTTGGTTTCTGTCGCAACCAATTCGCGGGTCGCCGCCATCTCTAGGACAGTTGCGGCCATGCGTGTCGTACTCATCATCCGTCTCTATTTCGTTTCCGATGTCGATCTTCGGCGAAAACGAGCAATGAGGAGATAATGTGTGCGGCAAGATGGGCTTTCGCCATTCCTTCAGTAGCCGCCAGTGAGAAGGGAAAAGAAATTTGGCCAATATGTTGTCCCATCTTGTCGTGCAATAGTTTACATGAGCCTATCCGACCGATCTCTAAGGTTCCTCATCATTTTCCGGTTTGACTGAGGGTGCAAAGTAATTTTCACTTCCAATTATGGGTAGACAGGCACAATGGAAAACTAAGGTCAAAAATTCCATATGAAACACAAAATCAGGACCTTGAATTTTCAGATGGCAATTGGCGTGGAACGATTCCTGGCAATTTGCTCTCCGATGAGAATGCAAAGATTCTCTACAAAGACTACGGTACATCCGAACCCCGTGACTCTTCAAAGACGCCACGTTTCAGTTTCAGATTTCGGTACTTGCCAGTGTTTGGTGTGTGGCCGCCTGTTTTGCCTCTCCCTACTTTTTATACCAGGGCATCGTGTTCCACAAGTTTTATTTCTGCTTCTGGAAAGGGATTTCTCATAAGACTCGGTAAGCTGGAGTTTGAGCTGTGGCAAGATTAGAAGAAGAATGACGAAACAAAAAACAAAGCATCCAATCGCTCACGCACTTTTTTCGCTTTCAGGACCTACTTCAAGTACTGCGAACTGATCGTCCTTTACGCCATTCCGCTTGTTTTCCTCACCACTCTTTATTCCGTCATGTGTCACGTTCTCTGGGGAAAGGAAGGCGGTAATCACAACATCGCGAACCATAGTCAGCAAGTAAGTCGGCGCCGTGAAACTAGGTACCTAACCTTCCTGCCGTTCAGGAAGCAATCCTCAAATTGCGCCGATCGGTTGTCAAGATGCTCATTATTTCCATGCTCTTGTACTTTCTCTGTTACACCCCGATTCAAGGTATGTCAACTTTAGGGGACTTTCGAAAAACAAAAGTGAAATTTTTCAGTTCTGTTCATGCTGGAGAAACTGTTGGATCAGAGTGTTCAGCTTCCCCAATGGCTCCGTCTTCTTCTGAATGTGTTGTCAGTCATGAGGTTAGTCATCAAATTCCCACACCATTTCCCTATACCTGGAACCAAATGTGCGTGACTGCCATCCACATTTTCTAATTTCCCTCCAACTCTTGCCCTGCGGTCAAAAAGCATGTGCCAAAAGTAGATTGGCGAGGCGAAAAGTTTAGTTCCAACAAAAAAGGGCAAAGCAAACACAACTAGCCATGACCACCAGTTATTTGTTGCAGTTCGTCGACGAATCCAATCGTCTACATCATCTGCTGCCGTCACTTCCGCCTTCGCCTCCGAGATGCCGCCGCCGCACTTTCTGCCTTTTGTTGCTGGCTGTTCCCGTCGTTCCACAAGTCAGAGTATGAATGCGTTGATGAGACAATGACCACGAAACTTTCCCGCTCGCCTTATGTGTCCTTCCGCAGCTCCCGGCGGCAAAACTCACGCGCCAACCTTTCCACTCTCCTCTGAAAACGTTGTTTTTATTTCTGTCAACTCAACAACTTTCCCAAACTTTCAGTTCTGATCTGATCTCTATGGCCCTCATCGGGTACTCCCACAGTATCACATGATTCCTGAGCCCTGTCCTTTTCCCTTTTCTCTTTTTCTCTTTCTTCTTCTCTCTATCCCACTTTTCGGATCATTATGCACTGCTGTAGGTCCCCGATTGATCTCTGAACGCTTCTTGCTTTCGAATATATTTAAAGTACCTATTTTGCATTAAATTATTCAATAAACATTTGAAAAGCAAGCAATCTCAATGGTGATTCAAAAAAGAAGAATATTAAAGAGATGCGTTGATCTTCAGGCCTAGGGTCAAAGTTTGAACTCTCAGTTTTCTCGCCCTAATCATGCACAGGAAGGGTGTGACTGGCACTAGAAACGGAAAAACACAATTAGTCTTAAAGAGGAACAACAAGGAATGAGTCAAACCTGCAATTCAAGCCTCTTCCGTCTGAGAGGCACTCCTTCAACTGCTGTATTCGCGTTTTGCATGTAATGGGGATGCATTGGCACAATTAGGGGGTGTGTTCAAAGGATTCAAATAGTTGGATTTTAGAAGAAAAATCGTACGAACGTTTATTATTATATTGAAACAATTACACATCAAAATGTTTGTTAGCCGACAATCTTGGCAGATTTGGCGAGACCGTAGAATTTTGAGTTTTTGTTTTTGAGCAGCTCTCCAGGGATGCCATCTTCCACAATTCGTCCCGCTTCCATCACAATGATTCTATCGTAATCCATGATTGTGTGCAATCTGTGAGCGATCGTGATGATTGTAGAGTCTGCGAACTTCTCGCGAATCGTTGCTTGCACCATCGCATCGGTTCGGTTGTCAATTCCAGCCGTCGCTTCATCCAAAACCAGAACTTTTGATTTGCGGAGCAGAGCTCTGGTCAGACAAAGTAGTTGCCTCTGGCCAACACTAAAAACAGAAATTATTGGCCGATTGAATACGGGAACAAGTGTTACCTGAAATTCTCTCCTCCTTCCGCGACAGTACTCTCAAGTTTCTGTGGCAGAAGTTCGACGTGTGACTTCAGGTTCGAGTTCTCCAATGCTGCCCACAGCTGCTGATCAGTAAACTCTCCTTTCGGGTCAATATTAAATCTGAATTTTGTATTTCTAGGTTGGTTTTACATGCAAAGTCACAAACCTGAGTGTATTTGCAAAAAGTACATTTTCTTGTGGGATAATCGTCAATTTTTCTCTGAGATCGTGGAGTCCGATACTTGAAGTGACAGTTCGATCAATCTCAATGTCTCCCTCAGCAGCTTCCACAATTCGGAAAAGTGCAAGTGCAAGAGAAGACTTTCCTGAAAAACAACTTTGTTTTGAGTCATTTCCATTTGCTCATAAGTTCACCAGCTCCTGTTCTTCCGCAAACACCGACTTTTTGTCCTGGCAAGATGTTGATGCTGATCTTTTTAAGCACCAAATCCAATTCATCACGATATCTGCAAGAGTACTCCTCGATGTTTACAGCTCCGCCAGTCGGCCAGCCACGTGGGAGGTTTTGATTTTCCGATCGCCATTCTGCCTGTAATGAGATCCTTTTACGCGAACTATCACAATGTGATTAACCTCATTCTTAGTTTTAGTGTATTCGTCGATTCTCTCAACGGACACCACATTGGTCTCAACATCGTTGACTGTTCTCACGAACATGTTCAGCATAAAAGTGATCTGAATAGCTATTATTGAGAGGATACTGAAAATGGGAACTTACGTTCAAACTGTATGACACAGAAAGACCGAGCATACCAGCTGTGAGCCCGGACTCTTTACCCATGATAGCCAAAATAGAAGCAGCTGAAAATTTTCGCATATTACTTTCTCCTGGGGCAGTTGAAAGTTACCGAAGATAACAATATTTCCGAGAAGCTCGAGCCTGATAGCTAACCAGCGATTCGCCATTTGAGAATAGTAGTTGCACTTTACATGGGTGTTCAACTGGAAATCCGTACATAGAAAAACAGTCGCATTAATTTTTTGCTTACATGAACATCGTTTCTTCTGATGAACTCATCATTCCATTGGAATGCACGAACAGTGGAGATTCCTTGCAAAGTTTCCGAAAAGTTTGAGAAGATCGGAGAACGTGTCAATGAAGAAATTCTTTGCAATTGACGAGTACTTTTGATGGAGTACTTGAGCACAAAGTAGTAGATAATGTAGACTGGGATGATGATCACGATGAAGAGTGGAGTTGAGTAGGTCACGATTATCACTGTCTGGAAAACATTGTTTCTATGTAGTCCTCAATCAAAGTGTGTACTTACTTGAATCATGTTCATGAACGAGATGACCAGAAAACGGAATGAACTGCTGAGTCTGAGGTCGACAACTTCCATATCCTTGGCCAAACGATTAATGATTCTGCCGATTGGAGTCACGTCAAAGTATGACAGCGGACTGCGAAGAACATTGTGCAGAAGTGGTCTGTGAAGGTTTCTCGAAGCGGCCACTCCTCCAAGAAGTAGAAGAGACAAGGAGAAGAACAGGAACACAACTGAAATTGTTTTAAATGTAGTGTAGTTTTTTTTTGTCAAGTTTGAGAAAACTAACTTTCAGTGATACCAAGGCCTGCGTACACTCCCAATCTGGCTCCAACTGACAGTGTATCCGGATGAGTTATGTCAATGTTAGCATCCGACCAACTCGAGAGCCACAGACTTCTTCCCGTAGCAAAACCAACGTTGAGAATGACAGCGAGGAAGTATGGAAGCACGTATTTGATGAGGCCCATGGACTTGAAGTAGAGCATATAGATTCCTGGATTGACCCTTCCTGAAGCGGCCTCCTCTTTTGTTATCAATACATCCGGTTTCTTTTTCTGAAAAGATCCGTGTTGTTTGGATTAAGAGAAAACGAAAAAAATTTACCTCAGCAATGCTGGATTTCGCCTTTTTTATTGACAATTTAGAGATTCTGGATAGCCTTGAAAGCCTGCTGGACTTTCCGATAGAACCTGGCAAATCATCACCACTGTCATTGTCGCTACTACAATTAATATCTGATATAATGTACACAGAAATGAATGACTATACCTTTCCTCTTCACTAGATTCCATTTCTTCTTGATACTCCTTGTCAACTTCTTGAAGATACTCTCTTGCTTCTTCATCCGCCAAAAGATCCTCATACGTTCCACAGTGCTTGATTCTACCATCTGTAACATCATAAGCATACTGAGGCTTTGCTAATAAGGTTGAAAAATGCAACTACCTTTCATGACAATAATCTTGCCACATTCTTGAAGGAATGACGTGCAATTGGTAACCAGAATTCTTGTAGTGTGAGACAAAAGCCCATTTGGTCCGATGATGTTGTCGAAAATGTGTTTTCCGACATGAGCATCCACTGCAGAAAGAGGATCATCCAGGAAATAGACATCTTTGCTCTGATAAACAGCTCTCGCAAGGGCGATTCTCGCTTTCTGTCCCCCGGAAAGATTGATTCCTTTCTCTCCGATCTCAGTCTCATCTCCATCTGCCAACTGCTTTAAATCGTCGGTCAGGGCACATGCCTCGATGATTTTCTTGTACAAAACCTTTAAAAATATAGTTTTGGCAGTAACTAGAGCGGAAATCTTACGTCATTCATGTCAGCTTGCATCAAAATGTTCTTTTTCAAGGACTGGTTGAGAATCCATGGTTGTTGAGATAGATAGGCCACGGTTCCTCTCACGCCCACGTATCCACAGATTTTCTCCATTTCTCCGAGAGCAGCCAGGAGAAGACTGGACTTTCCGCTGCCAACTGAACCGACCACAGTAATCAGTTCTTTGGAGCCAACGAGGAATTCAATATCACTGAGCACTCTGGCTTCAGCGGTATCCCAGGAGAATGAACCGGAGTGAACCTCGACGGCGTTTTGGTAAACTGAAAATTAGATGAATCATACAAACATTCGAGAAAAGGCAAAATAAACTCACGTTCTCCTCTAATTTCTCGGTCAATTGCAGCAACATCGACTTCTTTTTCACACAGGAAGGTTCTTATTCTTTTGTTGGAGACAATCACTTGAACTGTTTGCGCCACTAACTCGGCAGCCATCATCAGTGGTCCACGGAGCAGATTGAAGAGGGAAAGAGAAACAAAGGCAATGTTGGGGGTCAACACGTTCTTTGGGTCGATCAGAACGAAGACAGTAAAAGTTGCGAGAGCTACAAACACTGGAGCTCCGACGTTCAAGCAGTCCGCAAATGTTTTGAGAAGAGAACTGCTTTTGATCATTTTTAGCTCTTTGTCTCTGACTTTCTCGATCGATTCTTCCATCGCTGTCTCCCAAGCGGATAGCTTTACCACTTTGATTCCATTCAGTACTTCATTGATCAACCGAATTCGTTCATCTTTGTAATTCATCAGTTTTGTCTGCCACTTTTTGGTAACGATTGAGACTGCCAAATTAATTGGAACAATACTGATCTGAAAATAATCTTGGGAACAAAAGTTAGAACAAAGGTGCTCACCATAACAATAATTCCAGCCCAAACAGCCACCCCGACAGTTTGCCAGAGGAGGACCATGCAAACGATAATCTGGAAGGGACTGCTCCAATATTGCTGCAACTGTGGAGTAATCATGCGGAAGCGATCCACGTCGATCGAGAGTATATTGACCATTTCTCCGACTGTCCGTTCCCTTCTGGCTGTGTTAGACAGCAGTATAGCCTTCTCATAAACTGCACAGCTGAGCATTGTCTGCATTTTGGCTCCCAGTCTTGTCATCACAATGAAATAGTTGTTCATGAACAGAGACTTTACCTGGCCAGCCAGAAAGAGTCCGACTGCCAGAGCGACTCCGTTTATGAGAGGGGCATCTGGAGTTTCGATGAAAGTGATCAGGTAACTGAAAATCATATTTAATTTTTTATCGTTTCTATTTTTCAGTTCACTTCAAAAACAGCGGATTGGCAAACTGGAGCAAATCTGATAAGAACTTGATGAACGATCCTCCGAGCAGCTCCCATTTCAAAATTTGCCACAAGGTCACAATCACAGACGGCAGCGCAATTTCCCTGTCTTCAAAAAAACGAAAGTAAACAAAATGAATGGCACAATATCACGATCACAACACTGACCAGTATCATCACGATTCACGGCACCATAGTTATTGAAAGTACCCAAGAGAGGAGCTTTTTCACTTCCTGTTCTAGATCTTTGGCGCTTCTCGTCGAGTTTGACCTGTTTTTCGTGGGCTTCTACAAATATTTGAGATATATTTCATCGTATTTTAGTAGGTCAGCGTACTTTCTGACTGCTTAAGCCACTCAGTTTTCCAGAGAGATTTCAGGTATTCTTGGTCCATTTGGCTGTCCAATTCGAAAACATCTTCCACTTCCAATGGCCGCTTGCTTCCAAGGTCGATTATTCTTGTAAACCACAGTAAAAGTTGACGACTAATAAAATTCGCATTTTCTTCTGGGCATTTCGAATTCTGAACATTGATGATCTTTCAAGATCATTGGTAATTTCAAAACCTGATATGATTTAGGCATCGGGAAGGGATCAGACACGAAATGGAGTACGAATTCGGCGACAACCAACGGGAAGTACGTTAGATAGGCGACGTACCGGAAGAAGTCTATTCGGGCAACAAGCTGCAATATACACGTCAGTTTACTATTGGGAAAGCCGCCACAGAAATTTGATAGCTTTGATAGAATCAAGGTTAGATGCATAAACAATTCAACAAACTTCTGGCTGGCTTCCCGTTGTCATCCATTGGTAGAACTCTGGTCCGGCGAGAACTGCAAAAAGCATCCAAATGCAGAAAAGAGGGCCGGATGAATGAATTCCAGCCCGTCGGACCTCATTGGTGGCGATCAGCAGGGCGAGCTGCAAAGAACACACGGTTTCCGATGACTGTGTACACAATTCATCATCCTTCTCCCCCTATTTCTCTCTCCGTTTTTCATTTTCTCACATTCTGGCCAGTCGGGTACAACTTTCACACAAAACCGATAAAACGGAAGGAAATGGACTTACGAGGGTAAAACTATGAAAGAACGGATAAATGAAAAGGTCAGCGGTGACATCTTTGTGTTTAAAAAGTGACTCCCAAACGGCTAAGAGGAACACGAACAATCGGTCGATGATCAGCAGACTGGCGACAAACTGCAAAGAGAGAACTTTGTGGTTTGGTGTGGCAGTCTCGACATTCATTAGAACTCACCCATTTCAAACTCATCAGTGTTGACCAGGGAAGAGGACTCGATCTGCTTGTTTTGCAGTCGTGGATGAGCACAGGGACCATTATCCAGAAGAATATTGAAGGAACCACGACATAACTGTTAGGTAGCATCACGCTTATAGGTGGTCCCGTGGAGTTGAGAAGCTCGCTGATATCCATTCTAAAACCAATCATTAAAAATATGTAGTTTGATAAATTCAAGAAAAAAGACTATGAAACGTGAGAACAGATGTTGCTAAAAAGATGTATTATCAGTAAATTTGCAAACAAGCCTAGTCAAAAACGAAACGCAATAGACACTTTGTGTCTATTGTGCCTATTTGGAGTTTTGAGATAAGCGAGGACCACAGCAGGATTTTGTGCTTAAGTTGTGGTTTGTGCAACGTGCATTCGGACCGAGTTGCGCAAGACTATGACATATTTAGAGGGTGCACCACATTGACACTTGATACAGGTAGCCGAAGGAATGTAAGAAGGATATCGAAAATGATGATGTCTTGACAAGGATTGGTGTCGATGTGTGGTGAAAGAGGAAAAGAGCGAAAAAGGGGAGGCGAAGCGGGCGGGGTCGCAAGTGCACGCTCTTTGAAAGTCGGCGGCTTAGCTATTGTTCAGAAAAAAAACATCTAACTTCTTTTCAAAAAATGCCCTTTCAAGGAATTGCATTAACCAAACACTTGAAAAAGCATAGATATGAAAAGTGTGACACGGGTGGGACCTGAAAGATCAGCACCAACACTCGTCTATGTGAGCGTGTGTGTGCGTGTGTGTGTGTGACTGATGTAGAACACGGAGTGAGAAAACAAAACAAGGTTAAGAATGGTAGGTGATAGACGGAACGCGCAGTGTTTTCAGTGGGTGGGTTCTGATCACAACACACTCATCAAATGTCTTTTGAAAACGATATGAATGAGCGACATCGACACCTGGAGACCGCCCTGCGCGGCCTTGTTCTCTGAACTTTTGGTTTTGCCTCCTCATCCTCTCTCGTCACCCTCTTTTTTATGAGGACTTCATAGTTTATGACGCTCGAAAAGATTTTGGGAATGTACCGGGAATGTTTGAATAGATCTGATGCATTGTCACTTATTGCGCTGATGTTTTCAAAGTTCTCGATCTTAGATGATGCGAAACTTCTTGAATTTAGAGACTAGATTCTATTCGTTTATCCTCAACAAGCTCGCGAAATGTCAACGGAAGTGTGCTTTCCTATTTTCAGAAAATTTATAAAATTTAACCGAAAACCTTTGGGTTTTGAGTTTTGGGTTTTGGGTTTTGGATTTCAAAGAAGTATCAGTAAGAATGACTGTTCAGTTCCTTTCGGCAAACTATATAAAGAGTTCTGTCACATGTTCCTGTTCTTCTTCTTCAAAAAAAACCGTTGGAAATTTACCGATAAAATCTTGACCGCAGAATTCGCGATCTTTTAACAACTTTCTTATGTTGACCGTGTTGCAATGAACTTGTAAAACTTGGAACCACTTCTCTTCTCATTTTTGTTTGATTGAACCCTCTGCAGGCAGCGAGTTTCGTTCCAAGATCTCTTGTCGCTTTCTCTCTCACTATGCATCTTCTCTATCATCCCTTTCGTTTTTCACTTTTCAATTTCAACTTTTCCAGACACTACTCTACTCCAATGGTCGGTTCAAATCGGCGAGAAAGTGGAAAGGATTCGCGTGCGTTCCGGAAGATAAATGAGATTCGGGCTGAAGGCGCCTGTTTCATAATGAGAGAAGAGTTGGGCACCGAGAAATGAAGAAAAATGCACTTGCATTACACTATATCCCACTTCCACTTCACAATTTTATGACCCTATATCATTGTGTCTTGTTTCAATTGAGAAATATAATAAAATGCTTGATTTCAAAGTAGCCACTTTTATTGATCACGCAGGTTGGTTAGGATCCAGAGCGTCGTTACACAAAACTTCTTCTAGTCTTCAGATCAAATTTCGAAGAAGCGTTTGCTTTGTTTCTGTCCACCCCGTTATTACGCGCCGTTATGCTTAGCCACTTCCGCTCTTAAACTAACAAATTTCAGATAGAAATGCGGCTGGCAATTGTGTTATTAATCAGTTTGCACGCCGCTTATTGTGCACTCGACACCGCGGCGGTGATTGCGATTCAAACTGAAATTAACAAACACAGCGCTGATATTGAAATGATTCTTGATGCAAGTTCAAATAACATCACAACCGTGAAACCTTGAAACCATTTCAGCACGTTAAAAATCTCAACGCGCGTGTCAGTGAACTTGGGCGACCGGGTCCTCCGGGTCTGAACGGCTCCCCGGGATTCCCGGGTTCAAAAGGAGAGAAAGGAGAGCGTTCGGAGGATGGTGAGCTTAACTAGTGGTGTGGATCAAATTTGTGTAAACATTAACACACTCGCGTGCTATATACTGATTGTCTTATCACAAAGTGATGTGCATTTGATCTTGCCTCGATCGCGAGTGAGAGTTTGTGTGCACAAGACTTGTTTTGTTGATGATTGGCAGTTATGACATCGAATTGAAATTGAAATTGAACTATCTTACGTGCACGAACTTTGAGAACTAGAAAAAGATGATTAACAACTTTTAAACGTTCAATACAGTTTGATTGAATCTTGTATTGAATTGAAATAAAATAAACTTTCAAGGAATGAATGGACGAGACGGAATGCAAGGAATACCCGGAGTAAAAGGAGACTTTGGACCAATCGGACCGACTGGAATGAAAGGAGATAAGGGTTCGATGGTAGGCTACATGTAGTTTGTATGTGACGACAATTGTTGTGTTCAGGGATTCCCAGGACAGAAGGGAGACACTGGAAACGGCGGAATTCCGGGACTCAAAGGAGACACAGGAATCCCCGGAAAAGTCGGAGAGCCTGGAGCGACCGGCCAGCCGGGTTCTAAAGGAGAAAAAGGAATGGAAGGACTTCCCGGAACCAACGGATTGCCCGGAGCGCCGGGATGGCCCGGAAACAAAGGAGAGGATGGTCTGCCAGGACGTCCGGGATCTCCAGGATTCCCAGGAAAGAAAGGAGATGTCGGAACAGGAGGAGTGCCCGGAGTGCCCGGAATGATTGGAGAACGAGGACTGCCCGGAGCGCCGGGAGCACAGGTACGTGTGACTTGTGGTTGGTCCAGACATAACCTCAGATGTACTTTGTGGGCAGCTTAGAGTTGTATTAGATAACAGAAATACATCGTTCTCGTGTTATTGAATCCAATTTATTAAAATAATTTAAATACAGGGGATCTGACATCTGAAAACCAACTTTACTGTAATTCACAACAAAAACCAGAAGTCAGTAGCCAATGTCCTACAAAATGTTCTTGGTCATTCTCAATTTTTGTTTTCTTGATTCTATTTGTTCGCTACCGCCAGACGATTTTTGTTGACAATAACCGATCATCAACCGCGCACATTTCCCAAATATTTTAACATCCAACTCTTAACCGTATTTCCCAATATATCGAGAACATTTTTGACTAGTAACTCGCCGGATAACCTATGTACACCATCTTTTGCATTCATGTTGTCCTAGTCATAGATCACAAAAGGAGAAAAAGGGGAATAACAAACACAGCTAGGCACATTGCAAATCAGAGCAGACTACAAATATGATCAGTTCCAATCTCAAGAATTATTGTACATAGTTTTTTGATTCAGGGAATGATTGGACCAATCGGGCCACCAGGACAATTGGGACTTCCAGGACCGAAGGGAGACACGGGACCGGCTGGACTTCCGGGAAGCAAGGGAGACCAGGGAAAAGACGGAATTCCAGGACTGCCAGGTATGCAGACAGATCTTACGCATCGAAAAAGAGAACATTAATCCCGTTACATCTGTCAGGTTGGATCGTGAATGACAAAGGCTACTGTATCCTGGCGCTCGGCAACTGTCCCCCAGCTTTCACTCAAATTGGAGCTTACCAGGTTCGCTCGTCCTTCAGACTTTTTTTGAAACTTCTCCGAAGGCATCCAGTTCCTAAAGTGCGTCAACAGATAGTTTCAAAGTTTTCCTCTTCCTCCTCCTCCGTGAAAAAAGCGTGCATAGCGAAACTTCGCACCCACTTTCACTTCGTCTCGGAACCTCTTTGTTACTCGAAAAAGAAATTGACTCATTGCGGTTGATGAAACACGTTTCAAGGAAGAACTGGGCAAATGGAGGTAGAAGAAACGAAATGGCAAAATTTTTACGGCGTCTTTCGTCTAATTATTTTCGAATTGTGAATTTGACTTGACTCTAGTGAAAAGTGAAAAGTATGTGTACATGTTCAAAAACCAAGATACCACTTCACTTTTCTCTCCGAGAAGACATGTCCAGATACAATATACACTCTCGTCAAAGCATTGAAAAAGTGAAACCAAGTGTTCTTCAGGCGCATGTTGACAATTATCGCTTCGGCGACTATTCACTGGTCAAATCATCCGGAATCGGTGGAAACGAAGAACAATTCGCGCTGAAAGTTCACGCTTGCTGCCGATAATTTGGTTGGTCTTCGGCCACCTCAAGTTTTATTCTCATTTCGAGAAAAAAAACGCTTCAAAATGTGACACCTCATATATTCTTCCCAGTATACCTCTTCTTTTCATAATAAATGTTTGTTTGGTCTGGCAGGTCAAGACAAGTGCGTTCTTAGGTCATTTTCAACAGTTTCCAAAATTTCAAGAACCCTTGTGTATTGTCCGTTTTTGGGTTGCACACATTATGTTCCCCGTTTGTTGATGGCTGTAGCTGTCTGTCCCATTCTTTTGTCCATATCCATCAACACGTTCCATTAATAATGTACATAGCGTAACCGTATCCTTATTGCAAGGAAAGGAAGCCGCGCGCGGAAGGCAAGCAACAAAAGTGAATTTCTTTAATTACGGGGCTGCTATAAAAAGACGTCCGTACCCGATTCTCGACAATGGCATCCACCCACCCACTCTTCAATAGTTTCCGGTATAAAAGCCTTCACACCCGACACCACAACTCTGTTCATTTCCTGAGAGTTCCCTCGTTCGATTTCTCTTCCTAGTTCACATTCCGATTAAAAATGCATGATTCCATTTGCTTCCGGTGTCTGAAACTAAGAACCGCGAGCATAAGCACAAGAGTTAATCCAATCACGTTCGTTTTGCACCTGTTCCTCTCCTACATCATTTGAATTTGTTGATGATGTCTGTGGATGTGAAGACCAAAACCAGACTTGGACTTTTGGTTAAGGTTTTTGATCCCATGTGAATGGTATTGCGTGCGTAGGGGGAAAAGAGTAAGCTTGAAAGATCTTTCAAGCATTGCCGAAAAAAGAAACTGTCCCACTCATGCTGTGATAATCCTCGTTTCGAATCTGGCCGCTATGGCTGGTATAAAAGAGATGAGAACTGAACACGGCAAGAATTGCAACTGTCTAGCCGATTTGCTTTTCCGATTTTCACAATTCTTCACAATGCTAACCAGTTGCTAATCACAAGTGTTTTCGTTTTTTTCTCCACTTCAGCTAACAGATTCTCTCCGTTAAACCATTGTCGTTTCCTTCCTTCCTTCATATTATTAATTCATGGATCTCACAGTTATCATTGAAGGAATGAAAACAGCGGAGAAAAAAGTGGAGCAGGACTTGGAGCTCGAGGCTCAGTCCCTTCGAAGGTTTGTATTAACTGGACTAAACATCCAAACCAGCATTTTTTTATAGAATTGCATTTCTCGGAGTTGCCATGTCTACGGTGGCCACGTTTGTGTGCATAATTACTGTTCCGTTGGCGTATAACAAAATGCAGCAAATGCAATCATCGATGCTAGACCAGGTGAGCGAGTATGAAACGTTTAGTTTGAGATCTTCATACTTTTAAGGTCGATTTTTGCAAGACTAGATCAAACCTCTTCTGGCGGGAAGTGACCAAGACACAGGTGAAAATTGGGGATGCAGAGAACCGGCTTATTCCTGGTTGACTTTATATTAGGAAAATTCGACTTGATGTCATTCCTTCTCCACTTTCTAATTACTTTTTTAGTATATGGCGAGTGCTCGTGGAATTCGAGTGGCAAGAAGGGCAGAAAAGAGATACAGCACGAATTACGATAACCAGAGAACGGCCTACGATAGGTTTTATCATGCACAACAACAGTATGACAGCAGAGACAGTAACTACGATAAATCTGCTAGCTATGGGATTTGGAATACGGAATCGCCTGTTGGAGTGAACTACGGTAGCACTGCCTCGTCGCCGGCTCCGGTGTACAGTAACAATTACGGAAGCAACACTGGCGGAGGATGCTGTGGATGTGGCCAGTCAGCCCAAGGACCACCCGGCCAACCTGGTCTCGATGGATCCCCTGGATCAGACGGAGAACCCGGAATTCCTGGCAGAGATGGTCCCGATGCACCAAGAGCCACTCCAGCTCCTAACTTTGTACGTCACCATTCTCTTCTTTCTTTAAACAAACGTCATAACTCGCTATGACACCCACAACATATACTTTTTCCATCTATCAAAATTTAATCCATCATGACAGGTTCTAATTTAGGATTGGTGCTTCGAGTGCCCGCCCGGTGAGCCTGGACGCGCGGGTATTCAAGGAAGAAAGGGGTCGCCCGGAAGACCAGGAGGAAGCGGATTACCGGGAGAAAAAGGAACTCCAGGACTCCCAGGATCACTTGGATCGGTTGGACCTGTGGGGCTTCCAGGAAATCCGGGTCTACCAGGAGGAAAGGGAATTCCAGGAAAACTCATCGAAGTCGGAGGACTTGAAGGGCCACCAGGACCACCTGGATTACCAGGTCTATCAGGACAACAAGGTTTGTTTGGTTGCACGACATATCTGTTTAATTTTGTATTGACTTCAGGTAAACCTGGATCCGATGGTTATCCAGGACGCGATGGAGCGCCGGGAGACCAAGGAGACGACGGGTTCCCGGGAGAGCCTGGAAAACCCGGTCAAAAAGGATACCCGGGACCTGACGGAAACGCCGGACTCCCAGGTGAGACCTCACAGATTACATCTCGTGCTTGAAAGTTGAAAGAGTAAACACATCGACCGGATATTGCGATTGCGTCCCCACGTTTTCAAAGTTTCCGTGTGTGCCGTCTCAAATCTTGTTAGTTAGTCAATCTGACGAGTGCGTCGGGAACTTTCCCGGCATAGACTGACATCAAGCGGTGTGTATGTATTTTGAGAGCGAACAACATGTTAAAGAATAATGATGCACTGGCGCGTAAAGGAAGCCTGAATATCTACGCGATGAGGAAATTCGCTGTGACGAGACGAAGACAGACAACTTATTCTCATGAACGGACATTGAATGCATTGTTATTATTTTCAGGCGGATGCGATCACTGCCCACCCCCGCGGACCGCTCCGGGCTATTAACGTCATCCGCAAACGCGGCGATCTCTCTCTCAACCTTTTATCTGTAAAGTCTTCTGCTGAATCACATAATAATGATTTCAAGTTCAATCCCAATACACTTTGTTTCTCAATTATACATAAAAAATTGTTCGAGTTCCTCAAAATCCACATCATATGAGGCGCAAACTGCCCATTATTCATGACGAGGCGTGGGAGGACAGAGTGGGTACACCGAGAAAAGAAGCTTCTAACCTACCGAGTCCACTCTATGTTTGCTCTTCATCTGAAAAAATGCTCGTTCTTTATTGGGTACTTGGATGTGCTTGAAGTTTGGCAATATCGGAACCTCTTGAAAATAGATAAAATGTGCGTATTCCCTCTTCAAAATTGGATGACGGAAATTATGGAGTTCCATCAGCGTCACTGGCAGATTGCTGGAAAGTGATGATGGTCCTACATAGAAGAAAATTGATGTCTTGACGCACATTTGTGACATTTTGCCCCCGCGCACGTCGTTTTCCGGATCCTTTTCGTTATCAGTCTATCATTTCTGTTCACCGGAAGGCTTGGAGGAAAACTACGAAACTTCCGCTTTCATCATAATTGATGACATCCAACTTTAGTTAACAGGGTTCACCTTTTAGCAAAATGAATATCGCTCGGAGTTTATAATTTTTTTCATGGGAGAGCGGAAGTGTCTGTAGGACAAAGAATGACGGCAAAGAGAAAAGCGATGTGAGCCAAAACGAGAGAGAAGGACAAAAAGAGAAGAGTTCGGGCGAATGCATTGTCTATGAAACACTTTTTGCAATACAAGTTGATGGCCACCAATATAGTGATGTCTGTCCCAACATTCTTGTCATCAACAATTGTTTGTATTTTCCCAAAGTCATTCCACAGAAGTTTTTTCCAGATAATAGATTTCTTTTGTAGGGCAAACAATTGGCACGTGATAATCTGTTTTTTTATGCAATTATTCTATTTTTTTCTGACCCCCCCATTAAATCTATTTTTAGTAAGTTGGTATGACTAAAATACATAATCAAATTTTTGAGTGTGCCTCCCCCCTCTTCTTTTTGTTTTTTTCTAAGCCTGATGCGTCAGTCCTCAGACACTCGACTTCATCTTTTGTCCCCGGAAACGAAACTGAATGATAGACCTGACAGCGACAAAAAAAAAGACATGTCCTTTTTTGACATTTACGTAATAGTCTCCTTCTGTTTCCAACGACGTTCAGCAGGAAGTTTGCAATCTGCCTGAGATTGACACTTTTCCCCATCCTGGAACTAATATATTTTTCTCGATACTACCACGCAAATCCCGGCGAGTTGTAGAATCGGCACGTCTCTCTCTCTCTCTCTTTTTCTCTCTCTCTTTCTCTCTCGGCAAGTGCGACGGCACCTCCCACCCACCAGCGTGGCTCCAGAAGGACTAGGCTCCGCCCACTTCTGAGGGAGAAGCGGGAACACGTGGAATCGTTGTATAAAACGCCGGAGCAGCACGGGATTCATCACTCTCAAACCACTCCTACCATTTCATAGCTTCGTCGCCGCTACTACAACCGACACTCCTTGTACGTAAAGTGATAAATCATTTGCACACAACTCCAAATCCGCCGAGAAAAACGCCCCGCCCATTTCGAGCCCCACGCATTCCATTTATGAAATAAGTCTTCACTCGGTCCGTATATAAATTCCTTATTTTGTTTTCACTCCCTCATTCAAAGTGAGTTTTCCGTTCATCCCACGCTCCATTGTTCATCTTACATAACCCAGAATTTGGTCGCCGGTCGTTCACGTCATATGGGGTCTTAGGTCCGAGGCACTAAACCATAACTCACCGGGCTTAACCCTTGATGTGTTGATGTTCCACACTCTTTCCGCTCAAGGGAAATTTCCAGAGAACTCACTTTACTTTTCCGTCATACCACTTGCTAATCCTGCAGGATTGCATACAAATATCCTCGTGTCTGAGTAACTTTTTAGTCTCTAGAATCCCTCCTATCTGAAAACTGAAAAACTATATACCGTATTCTTAAAACGAAAATTTTGAAGGTAAAATGCAATCAAAATCGCTCGTTTTATTGGTCGCCGCCATCATTGCCCTCTGCTCGGGCTCCTACGAGGACTATGAGACGCCCCTGGTAAGTGATAAATCAGCGATTCCTAATTCCGCCATCTTTTTTCAGGACAGCTACGAAACATCGGATTATCTACCTAAGGTTTCTTTTTGTCTAATCTTTTCCTGAAATTTTACGACATTTTACGAAATTTTAATCCCTTAGGCATTAGGCTTCGAATGCAATTAGTATAGTTCCTGTCAGGGTTTCCCCTTCCAAAAGGAAGCCTCACATGAACTCTCATCTCATTGTAGCATGCTGCGATTCTGATTCCACGTCGTCTATTCCTCACGCCAGGGGAGACCCATCTAGAGAACATCCAATCGAGAATACTGAAGAGACGAGCCTCGGTAACTATGCGCACCCTTTTGCACTTTTGCACCCTAACAACCTATTTTTTCTTGTTTGATCCCCAAAAATCAGATTTCCTCTTTAACCACTTCTACGTCTCGTTTAATCCTATCAATCGTCTCAATCAAATCATTGTAACATTTATAAACTACGTCTTGATATGGCGTAGACTAACCGTCAAGTCTTGAAAATGAAAACAAGGAGGATGATCAGATGGGAAAGGGAAAAGTAAAAGTAAACCGATTTGATACGAGATAGGCCGGTTCTCTGAACACTTGGTCAAGTCTAAAACACACCGGTCATTTTTTCGCTATTCTGATCATGTGGCTCTTGAGTCTGCGTTTGCATTTCATCGCTGGATTGTTCACTTTTTGGCCTGTGACAAACGGCACTCAAGTAACGTTATTCCAAGTGTTAAAGTTTTGCATACAAACTGTCGCCTGCATGACAAATCCGTAACTGATCATGAAAGATGTTTGATTTGAAAGGGTTTAGTGAGAGAACGCTTAGGAAAAACAAATGTATGATATCAGAATGAAGAAAAAATAACTATTATAGCCGGAAGATGGATTCACGAAGCGCGCCACTTCTTCCTCGGACCGTCTAGCCGCTATTCCCCGCTCTGGCCTCATGATCTCCGGACGTGGTTGGATGCCAGGATTTGTTGACCAGCCTCGGGTCTTCAAAAGAGTGAGTTCTCAAATCAGCAACAATCCTAATCAATATTCTTCATTTTCAGTCGCTGCCACTGCACAAAATCCTGATGCGACCGGTCAATGTTCCAGTCGCATAGACCCTCTCTTCCGCCCGTTCCTCCCTCAACACCATTCCATCTACGTCTGCCAGAGAGCTTCCCCCAATGTACACAATGATAACTTGAAAAACATCTGAAATCTTCATTGAGTCGGTTCTATTTATGTTATGAGTAACCTCGGGGTACGCCCCTTCCAATAAAATGTTCTGTTATGTGGGTTTTTAACACGGCTTTGCCTATGCGATGTTTTGATGTGATACACCGGAGCACGAGGTGCGTCGGAAAAGGGTTGGACGAAAAACAAATAAATAGCCGAAGATTTTTTGCTTTTCAGTTCAGTTTGTTATCAATCCTGGTTCTACTCGAGCTATGATTGTTCGCAGTGCTAATCAATTGATCCCTCTCTGCTTTCTGCTGCTTTCCTCGTCTTGTAGTCGTGGTCAAGAGACCACCGACATCGAATTGAGTCACGAGTACGCAAATCTGTCTACACAAGGCTACTTGATTCCAAATTTGTATCGTGTTCCTATTGATCCAGCCAGACTGGTGAGTTATTCTTATGATGTCAACTGATAACGCCCAAACGGAAATTAATTTTTCAGCCCCCGGCAGTACGAGTTGTTATCACGTCCGAACGTTCGATTGTGACAAACCCTTTGACAGTGGTAGCAGTGAAGGGAAAGAGTATTTTGAATGTTTATGTACGTACACATGAAATGATTCTTCAAGAAGTTTGAAATACTTTTAGCTCCCTAGAATTCAAGTTCACAATGGAAAACATTTCTCGACCTGGTTTTCAGCAGATACCATGTGTGAAGATGTTACAACTGACAAACAGGTACTGAGATACTGTATCTCTCAAAAGTATTTGTTGCTTCAATTTCTGTTCTTAACCAAATAGTACTTTGACTGAACGAAAAAAGTTATGTCAATATTTTGAAGCAGCTATTTTTCACATTTCCAGCTTCATGAACCAGTGAGAATCTCGATTGCTAGCTCTGAACCGGCTGTCTACACTCTTCGTGTCAAAGGTGTTTATGATTTTGATATCAGGTCCGTGAATGAATGGAAAGCCAAAACCTGAAAGGAGAGCATTGATATTGTAGAGATGCGGCTGTCTACAGTGTTGCCTCACCGCCAGAACCCAGATTCCATCGGTTCGATCAAATGTTCACTTTTTAGAACAAAATAACAAAAAAGTTCAGATACACATTCCCAGAAAACGTGGAACGAGTGGCAATTGAAGTCACGTCAGATACTGATTTATGCGGAAGAATATTGGCGAGACAGGCGGAAGTGAGCAGATGATATCGGTTTTTTTGGAACAAAACGTGTATTCCAGTGCCCAGTGTTTGATTCAGCTGGAATGGTTGAGATGAGCGATGTGTTTTACTTTCAGAGTTTCACAAAACGAGCAATATTTCATGTTCAGGTCCACTTGGGGTTTACAAGAAACGGTTAGAATTCAAAGTGTTCAGAAAAGCAAAATTGGCCCAACGTTCCACTTGATCTTCACAGTTTTCCCTGACGACTCGGAATGTGGAACGAAACCAGGTGACCTGTGTTATATTACATTTTTTAGAATTGATTTACAATTTCCAGATTTGACTAATAACGGCTATCGTGTCAAGAGCGCTTCTGTTAAAATTGTTCCAACGCATGGTGATCTTTGCAAGAGATGTCAATTTCAAACAAATTTAGTTTTTCAGTCGAAAATACAGTCGCTCTTTTACCCCTCTTTGTTTACTCCATTTGCATTTTGATTGTTTTGATTGCCAGTAAGTCTCAAAAAGCATCCAACAATACAAAATTGAACCCTTTCCAGCATACTATCACTCTAGATGGCTTGATCGTCAGGAAAACAACGAGCCAAGCATTTTTGAGGGGAGCGATTCTGAAGGAACAGTTATCGTTAACAATGTTCAACTTTTCGAAGCACCTAATAAGTTGACGGTCAGTCATAAACAGTACGAGAAGAAACGAGTTGTAAAGCAATCCAGATATTTCAAGTGAGGAATTACCGATCGCTGACCAGTTGATTACCTTTTCTTCAGTTTTTTCTACTTTCAAATCTTCGGTGCCATGCTCCCATCTATGACTACCCTCTTTCAAAACCGTCTTCTTCGCTTCAAAGTGTTGAACCTGGACGCCTGCAACAATAACTTTTCATGCGCATTCGAACTTTTCGGATTCGACTCGTTCAACAGTATGGCAAGCGCTAGCAGCCTTATTTTCCTGGGCGTCGTCAATCTTTTACTGGTTTTCCGAAAAACGATTTTCCGTTACTCCGACGACAAACGACAAACCCCTTCTACCCACGGACTTCATCAGCAAGATGCTCCGAAAGTTGTGTGCGTTCTGAGCATGATTGCACTCGGTGTTTTCTGGACTATCACTAGCAGTTGTCCTCAGAAAAGCACCATATATCTTTGTGAGTCGAAAAAAGTGTGAAAAACAGAGAAGAAGAGGATTCTTGGTTCAGATGTCTACACAATTGTTTGGGTGTGTTTGTCAGCAATGATGTGGATCTACTCGAAAAGACATGGTATCAGAAAGTGGCATCAGACCTTCATTATTGTTGTTTCTTCTATTTTGGCTGCATTCACTTTTAGTGAAAAAGTAGGGACTACTACAATAACAAACTGAAATGAGAGAATTCAGAATTTGGAAAACTCCACCACGATAACTTTTGTCATGAAAACTCTGCTTGGATTGTTCGCAAATCTTGCGACCGCTTATTTTTGCTACAAATATTGCTATGAAGTGAGGGTCAACACAATGTTTCATTGAAGATGTTACCTCTTCCAGAAACCATCCGGTCTGCAGGAGTACCAGTGGATTCAAACACCTCTGTATTTTGGTGAAAAAGTGCTTTGCGATGAGAAAGGAGTGTTCCAACCACTTGAGGTATAATCAAAATGAGTTCAAATTTCAATAGTTATTTCCAGTCCAAGAAGATGCTCGCTGTCTTACTTATGCTGTGGACATTTGTCTGGTACATTCTTAATCTTTCCTGTAAAATAGAGTACACTTCAGGTCTCTGGTTGTGCCACTTGTGGTCCCATACTTTAATCAAACCAAAGTGATACTCAGATTAGTTCAAGTGGATTTGCTGATTTACTTGTTTTACTATATTGGCCAAAAGGTATATGCGAATTCAATGAACATTGATAAGTTGACATTCAGATTCGTTTCGAATACAAGTCCTTCACTTTCAACTACCTTATTTCTATTTTTTCATTCATTTTGTTCTTCATGATTTCAATAGTGGCATGGGGAGCCAACATTGCTTACAAAAACCCGTCATTTGTTTCAGTCAGTCATTACCGTTTTCATCAGTTTTCATGAAACATCTTCAGTGGACAGCCGCGCGTTCTCGTGTGCTCAATAGTCCTTGCATTTTACCCGGAGTTGACTGGAATGATGTTCTTCATTATAATTCTTCTTTGATTTGTATTCTATTCATTTTTATGATGGACTACATTGATACAAATATCAAAGGTGTTCCCAAAAAGTTCATTTTTGTGTTTTGATTCCAAAGCGTTAAAGCATAAATAAAACTAATGAGAACGATCGTAACCAGTCCCAACCGAAAACAACATCTACAGTAGCGAGAATGCGAAACAACTGGGCCGACACCAAAACTGAATGTTCATGCCCTAAGACCCGTCATCCGTGCCGTCAGAGTAAAATGACGACATGGATTAAGACCAAATCAACTGCGAAAGGGTATCAGATTGTTTTAGAGGACGTTTTGTCTATCCGGAAAATTCATCTGGAAGCCCTTTGAGGAAATCCGGTGCAGAAAGCTTTCACGGACTTCTTGAGAACGGATGATAAAAACCGGTCTAAACTAGTGAGAAGTGTCTGTACTTTTGTCCCATTTGGAATATTCCGATCGGACCCAAGCTTTGCAAGCTTCTTGGACTTGAAGTATTGAAGTATCTTAGGCCCACGTTTCCAGTACTGTTGCGGATGCATCCTTATCCGAGACTGCACTTCAAACTTTAGCCGACTACTTCTTTCCCAACTCATCGTGCCGCCCGTGCAACATCTCATATCAACACCAAACGGACGGGCACCTGTCGGACGGAATCAAGCCAACAGGTGTGATAATGCGCGTCGTCGTGAAGTAGGAGTCGCAAGAGAAATAGGAGAGAAGCCCCCGTGTCCCTCCTCTTTCCATCATCCAATCAGTCTCCGGGACGTTTTGTTGTCGAGCCGAAGGGTGCCTCTCAGGGCTCTCAGGGCACATTAGGAGGTCATGAGATTGACGCTCGTCTCCGATCATTTTTCAAAATTCCATATAATGATTATTCCGCATTCAAACTCACCGAAACATGCTTATGCTCCTACTGGCACGCTTCCAGCGTCGATACCGCTTGAAGAAGTAGCGGCGGCGCTCCAAGCGTTTTTTTTTGCTAATTCTTTCTTCTCTTCTTTACGTTGCTGACGGATTCTCGTTTATTTCGGCCGCTGGCATTCTTCTGCGATTCGTGCTTCTTCCTAGTCCAATAAGCGTTCTTCTTCCTCCTCTAACAAGCGCTGCTCTTTCCTCTGCTCCTCGAGTGCTAGAACCCGAGCAGCTTCATCGGTAATTTTCTGCCTTCTCATCTTTTCCTTGCGTGCTGCAGTCCGCGCCGTTCTTTCTGCAATTAGCCGCATTTGCTCGAGAGCTTCTAGACGTTCCTCCTCCAGTCTCTACTTTTTCTGCTGCTCTGCAATCAATCGCATCTGGAAGCCAAGAAAATTGAGCGGCAAACGGACACACATGATGGGTGAGGTATTTGATACATTGATTGTGATGATTGTGTTTGAAAGAGTTGTATGGAATCAAATTTTAATGTTTCGTTTGAGATTGGATGGCACAAGAAAGTGATGGAAAAATAGAGGATTGGAACCTGCAGTTGGTAGGGAACAACACAAAACTAGCGGCAAGAAATAACAATTGGACCCTAGAAGAAAGGAAAACTTAAAAACACTACAAAAATGAAACATTGATTTAGAGGTTCAGGTTGGCAGCCTCGGCGTCAAGTTTCTCACGGTGAGCCTGCATGATCTTCCGGCAATGATCGGAGAGCTCGTCAACTGTTTCGAACTCGGACGAATCCACTTCCGGAAGCACGTCAATGATGCAATGACCCGTCGTCAGTCGTTTTTCGGCCTGAAAATCACTATTGTATACCACCGATTTGTAGAGAATCAACTCACGTGGCTGTAGAAGAATCCATGGGAAGAGAAGACGCACGGAACGATGGGAATCTGCAAAACAGTAGTTATGATCAAGTTCGGTACAAGTAAACAACTCACGTTGGCCTGTTTGGCAAGAATGAAGGCCCCTTTCTTGAACGGCAACAGTTCCGGCTCAGCGTTTCGGGTTCCTTCTGGGTAGATCCACACTTTTCTCTGAAAATCAAGGAGATCATAGGGTCGTTCAATGTTCGTGTGTTTCTATCATTCGTTTTCAAGTGAACTTAAAGAGATGTGCCCAGACGACCCTTCTTATGCCATGCATTCTAATCCAAACCAATCTTGCACGAGTTATCGAATGTTATGTCAAAGTAAGATTCCAAACATTTGCTAGTGACACCGAATTATGTTCCGTCAGAAGTCGGACGATTCGGAAGCGCTGCTTCACTCACCTAACTGATCCAGGAACGGACCGTCACAGACCGAATCTTTTCCTTATTACCTGTTAATTTCAACTGGTTTCTATTAGCTCTCTCTCTCTCTCTCTTGATTTAATCCCTGAATATTTTGCAATTTGCACTCACCTTCTTGGTAACGATCTCGTGGAGGGTGTTGTCCACCGTCTTGTGCGCTTTTTCTTTGCTGAACCGGTTGATGTAGACGGACTCGCACATGTAGGCGCAAAGGTTGAAACCCGGAAGATACTTAAGACTTGACTTGAGCATCACGACGCAGTTGACCGGCCAGGCGAACGACATTCCTGAAATATTGTCCTTAACCAAATGAACTTTGAAAGGTGACTTACCGAGAACATCCAGAGCGCTCTGATGGTTGGCGATGATGATGTACGGCTTCTCGTCGTTCAAAATCTCACTGTTTCTGAGCTCAAATCGGACACCCAACGGCCACGTCATCGTTTGGAAGATCTTGAACATCCGGCTGGAAACTACGTCCGTTTTATACATTGAGCGGAGCGAATGGAACTCACAAATGATTATTTGTAGACTTTCCGAAGGGGATAGATGCGATTCCGCCTATCAGTCCTCCGATTATCAGACACAGACCATAGTAGACGGATCGGATGTAAAAACCAAGGATTGGGAGCTGAGCAAGCAGCAGAAGGATGACCGTCGAAAGTGCGATGAACTCGAAACTCATTTTACCTGAAAACGGATATTTATTGACTTTTTGTCATATCACTCGGAATATAGAACTTGAGCGGAACGATATAACAGAAAATAACGAATTGAGAGAATAAATGAATGAATACAGACCCACCTGCTCGTAAATTTACACTAGTGGTGGCCGAAGTTTTTCACTAACTTTTATCAGGCAAAAATCGCCAATGGCAAATGAAATACTCGTAAATTTTCAGTCGCAAAGTGTTTGGAAGAGTTATCACAACAAGTACACAAGAAAAACGGAAGGAAAATAAAGGCCAATCAAGCAGAAATCCACTGGAAGAGGAATCGAAATCTGGCCGCTAAACAGAGACCCTTGCGGCGGAGTGTCGTTGTTCTCCTTTTCTCTGCACCCTCCACACTCTCTCGCCTAACGGATTGCGTTTTTATCATTCTCTGGCGTACGAGAAGCGTTTTTCTTGTGTTTTAACATCAAATACTGACAATTGCAAAATACACTTTTTATTTACCGATGTTTTTTTCCGATTTTCTCACCCATATCTCGTTGTTTGACAAAGAACCGTGTTCATTTCTAAAAACAGGTTTCTCGTTCGAAATTTGATCATTTTGAGGGCAAAACTAAATTCGCCTGATTCTCTACTCTCTGAACGATTCAGAAATCAATAACGAGACATGACTGATTGATGTATTCGTTCCGACGTGCCGAGTGAGAGGCCACTCGGCAGAAAACGATGCATTATCTTCTGTACCTATTCACGTCAAACCCAAGCTTTTATATACTAATATCGGCGAAATAGTTCGAGATTTTAAGAAAATTGCGTGAAAGTTAATAACAAAATGAATGATGAATGACCATTGACATTTGAATCTAAAGAAACCGAATGACATTTGAGAAGAGATGCAAGAGAAAAAAGTGGGAAGCGACAATGTACCCTAGAGGAAAACACGTGATATCGTTGGTGTGATTGATCATGTTACATTGCAAAGTGCAAAAGATTAAGAAGGACGAGTAATTCACACTTTTCGAGCGAAACTTTTTGATGAGTCATCCTTCCTGGTTTACGAACTATCCCACTTGCTAGTTGTTGACAACTCCTCATTCGCTCTGTTCTTTTTACGCTCCTGAGTCATTTCAAACATTTTCAGGAGACTTGCGGTGATGGAAACGAAATGGTACTGTTTCCTCTTCTGGTTCAGCTATCGGTTCACTCTCGCCTGTCTGGCACACTTTAACTGGTGAGTGGTCACAGTGCTTAGTCCTTCGAGTTCCGGTTCATTTTCCTTATCAAAGTGTGTTTCAGGTGTATGTCAATCTACACCAACTGCGTATACTTTACCCTATGGAAGAGTTACGATCTACTTTGGTTCTGGATGCATCTGATCCTCTGTAGTTGCTTTCCACAGTTGAGGTGAGGGGTCGAGTGCGTCCTATGGGTCCGATCAGAGAGAAATTCCAGACGAGAGAACTACTTGATCGTCTGGTCCAACCTAATCATCAAAAAGTTGACCAAGTACCCGGACTACACTTTCAAGGTTCTCTGACAAGCTTTTTTTGTTTAATGGTTTGAATTTACACTTTTAGCAACTCTACTATGCACTCTACACGTCCAGCAGATCATCTCACTTCACAAAACGGCTCATGTCACGGAAAGAGAAGAAAGGAGTGATTGAGTTAGGTTGGTTTCTATCAGAACTCAAGTAGACTTACTTCAAGTCGTCCGTTCAGACTCGAATAGTGACGAGGAAGAGAGAAACGAACCAACGAGCAGTCGCAGGTAAGGGAATGCGGGGATGTGATGCAAATATTGTTATCACTGAAACCTCGTTTGTGTGCATTTGGTATCGGGAAACGCGTCGAAATAGTTAACGAAGACCTGGAGATTACAAATCAAACAAAGATACCAATTTGGGTTTTCAGCGGAGGAAATATCGACGCGGAGGCGCCGATTCCGTTGAAAACGAGAAATGTGGAAAGAGTGAGAGCCATTCCAGCACCAGTGAAGGAGGTTCCGGAGGATTTGGATGGTAATTGCGAATTGTGAAGGGGGTTTTTGATATGTCAGCATGAAATCATCTTTTCTTTTCCTATGTTAGTGTAGTTTTTCCTCTTTCCTTCCAGACGATGCCGATGATGATGGCCAGAATGCGACGGAAAGCACGCCGCTCCGTCCGCCAAGACCGTCCAGACCGAGGTTTGAAGAGCCGGAGGAAGAAGATGAAGTCATTGAGGTTGTAACTGATGCTCAGCCTGACGACGGTATGTGGGGCGTATCTCACGGAATCAGCAAAGGGGAGCGTTTATTTTGTGTAAAAGCACCACTTCTAACACATGTTTTGTGCTCTTTTCTTTCCTGTTTTCAAATTTCTGGGTTCCAAAGCAAGCCAAGACTTTTTCAGAGCCTCAAACTGCAAGTCCGATGTCCGAGCAGCCAAAATGGAAATCGTATGTTCCGAATTCGGTGATCAAGTGAGGAACTTACTGGTTGAAATGGATGTACAAATTATACCGTTTTCAGACTGCTTCCCCGCCAAAACAGTTCGACTCCCTCAATTCAGTCAAAGGTGTCAAACCAGACAAATTCCACGGCTAACGCCACCGACGCCACTGGATCCACATCGGCTTTTGGAAGAATTTACGATCGTTTCAAGTTTACGAGAAACAATTCAAATTCATCGAGCACCCAACGCCCAGATGGTAAGTTTTTGCTACTAAAATTCAGGGGAAAATCGTAACTTATCTTTTTCAGAGATCGAAGTATTGCGACCGGACTACTCGAATCGCTACGACATCCACGATAAAGCGAAGCGAGAAGCCAGAGAAAGAAGGGACAGGAAAGCTCTCCGTCACCGTATTCGTCATGAACTGAGGATGCAGATGAAGGCTGATGCTGATAAGGAACGAAGGTGAGTCATTTTCAACTGATCTACTGTAGTATCAAATTAATATTCAGCCGCAAAAAAGTGACGGATGCTATCGAACTTCTTCTCCAACTGCTCCGTATGATGTCCTCGTTTGCGATGCTCATCGGAACCATCAGGAAGACGTTCATTCCCGCGTCGTTCAAGTACCTCCGACCAGGACAGCACGCTTATGACAACTATGAGCTGATTCTCCTGTTCCGGTGAGTGAATCCGTGATAGATTTTTATGATTTCGGCAAATTTCCAGATGCACAGCATTCCTCGATATTGCCATGTTCTGGATGAATGTGTCCTACGCGTATTGTTTGCAATGGCAGTTGTGTTGCCGTTTGGGATGCACCCGATTCATCTTTTGGGCAACTATTCTTGGACTGGTAAGGTTTTTCAGTCAGTTTTCGTGGCTTCGTAGCAATGACATCAGATTGACACGTGAATCTATTTGTTTGATCATTTTAGAGTTAAAACTCAGTGTCACGCTAGAACTACATCAACTGATAACAAAGTGCACTATCTTTCAGGTGTCGACGACAGTCATGTTCATCCCGATGACATACGTGATGAACGATCTGGACTTGAGCTGGTGCCGCCTGATGCCCAACACAACTCTCGCAAAGTATCAACCGAACTGGTGATGAACTTCGTCAGTGAACAGCTGTCGGATCAAATAGCGGATCATCTAGTAGTTTTTTTTATGTTTCTTCCTCTCAGCGATTCGACCGACTTTTTGCCTTTCTTTCCAAAGATTATTTTTGTATTTTGACGAGATTCAACGAGATCAAACACCTCCCCTCTCCCCCAAAGCGCTAACGGGTCTTGCTTAGACCACCCAAATCTAAATCTGCTTTTTCAATCTTGATTATGATTTCAAATAAATGCATTTATTGCTGACTTGTTTCGATTTTTAACAAAATGCGATAGAAAGAAAGAAAAGGAGAAATGTACTAGGTATTCGCACTAGCGAGAGGTTTCATATCACATTGATGAATGGGCGAGGGAGCAAACAGCCAAATATTTCTACAAATATTGAAGAGAAGACCAGTATCCGGGAAATTATTGAAACTTGAAGTCACAAAGTTGAAGATGGGGGACTGCATGGAGCGACGGAACATTTCGACTGGATTACCATCCCATCTTGACGTAGCGGATGATCTCGAAGACGGCTGAAAACAGTCAGAATTAAGAAACAATCTTAGGGACCAGGGGTATTTTAACTTACCGGATCCACAGACGACGAAGACAAAGAGTCCGATGAGCCATGGGGCAGCTGGGTACTTGTCGTCAGCCGGCTTCAGGCTTTTGGCGACGTTTCCTCTTTGGGTGACGTTCTTGGAGAATTGCTTGTTAGCAAGAGCCATACGCTGCTTTGGGGCCATGTTGCAAGTCAAGTTGGTTCTGAAAGAAAAGTAATAAGAAAGGATAACCTTGTAGATAAGAGCAAGAGGCCTCCACGGAAAAGAAAAGGGGATATGTGCTGGCTGCGGGCCGTAGTCTTTCTGCGGGCGAGCGACTGAATGTGAGGGGGGAACGCGGATGTGACCTCACGAAGCAGTGCAGCTGTGGAACCGACCGACACACACCCTCCTTCGCAGCGGGAACGTACGGTAGTCGACGACATTGAGAGCGTCGAGATGCGCCGAACTGCAAACACGCTTCACGAAAGACGCACAACTGGCCGATGCATAGAGATGGGATGGGAGGGGAGACGCAGAACAAGCGGGTTTGGTCGGTTCGTATGTAAACAGAGATGACATCGTGCGCGCAAACCAGGAAGTCCGATAGTGAGTGGAGAAAGTGGATTGCGATTAGCGATCAGTGAAAAAGTCTCTAGAAATAGCTTTCACTAAACTGAAAACAACAAATCTTTTTGGAATATTTGTATGTTTCATGAAATTTCCGTAATCTGTTTCTGGAGCACACCTAAAGGTTGCTAAAATTCTGATTTTTGTTTGGAATCTAAAAAGTAATCTATTCTTACAGAAATTTCGCAGATGATAATCGATTTGGGTCAAGCTTTTATTCTATCTCAGACGGATTGGCCAGTTTATGTGATTCCCGCACATTAACCAAATTAGTTCACTAGAGAGTGATTTGACGATAAATTGGGCTAAATGGATTGTGAAATCATTCCAAGAGGATTTGTTACGCGTAGTCCACCCAGAATCAGTTGAAATTCACCGGAAATTCTATGAAGAATTCGCTGAAATATCAAACCGGAACCGCAACAATAAGACGACACTGTGTTTTGGGAATTCAAAAGTTTTGGGAAACGGATCGATAAGGAGACTACAATCCAATCCTGTTTGAATACACAAATCTCTGCGCCTCCCTGACTTTTCGCATGTTTAGGGCTGATAACATGACTAAATGACTACAACGACGTATGTTTTATCCCATATTCAGTTGAATGTTTTGTACAGTTTTTATAATCATTGATATGCAAAGGGCAAAATTAGTATGGCGCGTTTTTGATAATAATAAGCTGTGAGATGAGATAGTTTCCGGAATATTCCGCATGTTTTACGCCCGTCAAAGTACACTACATCAGTTTCTGGAAAGTTTTGTTTGAACCATCTGCGCGCATTTCAAAGCGATGATTCGTAGTGTAGTATAACTGTCATTCGCTATCACTCCAGTTCCCCACGACGTTATCAAACCGTTGGCACGTACTGTCTAATGTAGTCAGGTACCCACTCTCTTTTCTATTTATTAGCACTTTTCAACATTGGAGCAGTTTAGTTGACTGTTTTGTACTGTGTCCACAGACTACAGTGGACTGAAAACACTTTCAAATACTTATAGATCTGTGAATGCTCCAAAATGTACGATCATATCGTTCAGTTTGCTTTTTCTTCTTCATTATTCTGTCATTTTTTAGGTGAAGAAACAATTCTCAAGATGAGCCGTTGGATTCAGCCCGGAGACAACCCAGACATTACCAATGAGCGGAAGAAAACAACTTTCGACACTGAAAGAATGTCGGCTTGGATTCATGGTGGCCCGGAAGTTTTGAAGGTTCGTGGGACTTATTGTAATCATAATTTTAATCAATTTTTTTTCTAGCGTCGTCGTGAAATCCTGGAGTTTGTGAAGAACACGGATGATTTCAAGGATCCGGTTCCGGTCGAGTTCATGTCTCGTGAGGAACGCATTATGAACAATTCCCGGAAGGTCGTTGCAATGACGGATAACACTGATCAGATTGATGGATCCGACTTTTTCGGAGAAGGAATGTACTATCAGGCGTGAGTTCTGTATTCCAAATGCTGTGAAAGTCGTGATAATGTTCTCAGTCTCACAATGGGTCGGGATTTGCATGCGATGTCCCTTCATTACGTCATGTTCATTCCAACTCTTCAAGGTTCGGAAAACATATTTTATTTACCCGTTATCTTTTGTTTTAAGGTCAAACTGACGACGAGCAGTTGGACGAGTGGCTCACCAAAGCCATTTCTCGAGCTGTGGTTGGAACTTATGCTCAAACTGAGCTCGGACATGGAACCAATCTCGCCAAATTGGAGACCACGGCGACTTATGACCCCAAAACCGAAGAGTTTGTTTTGAACTCGCCCACAATCACCGCTGCCAAGTGAGTTTAAGAGTCAGAAAGTGATAAGGACGGAAAGTTTTATTTTAGATGGTGGCCGGGAGGCTTGGGCAAGTCGTCAAACTACGCTGTGGTTGTTGCCCAGTTGTACACAAATGGAGAGCATAAAGGACCTCATCCGTTCATTGTTCAGCTCCGAGATGATGATACTCATCTCCCGCTCAAAGGAATTCGTCTTGGTGACATTGGACCAAAACTTGGGATCAATGGAAACGACAATGGATTCCTTCTTTTTGACAAATTTCGAATCCCAAGAAAGTCGCTGCTCATGAGATACGCCAAAGTGCAACCAGATGGCACGTATGTGGCTCCAGCCCATTCAAAACTGGGGTATGGCACCATGGTCTTCGTGAGATCCATCATGATCAAGGATCAGTCTACTCAACTGGGAGCGGCCGCTACAATTGCGACTAGATATGCGGCTGTTAGAAGACAAGGAGAAATCAGTCCAGGAAAGGGAGAAGTGCAAATTCTTGACTACCAGACTCAGCAGTTCCGTGTTTTTCCACAACTCGCCAGGGCATTCGCATTCTTGTCAGCCGCCTATGAGATCCGTGATCTGTATCTAACTGTTACCGAGCAGTTGACTCATGGAAACACCGAGTTGCTCGCCGAGCTCCATGTCTTGTCGTCTGGTCTTAAGTCCGTTGTTTCTTGGGATACCGCTCAAGGAATCGAGCAGTGTCGTTTGGCGTGTGGTGGCCATGGATACTCCCAGGCATCTGCTTTCCCCGAAATTTATGGATATGCGGTTGGAGGATGCACGTATGAGGGAGAGAATATTGTCATGTTGCTGCAGGTTGCCAGGTAATGAGAAAATAAGTGTAGGCGATCATTTTCTGTTGTCTAGGTTCTTAATAAAAGCTGCTGAGGGCGTCAGAAAGGGAACAGCCAACCTTGCTGACATTGGAGCATACATCGGAAAGACCGGGGGCAGAACTTCAAGACTCACTACTCATCACCACTACACCGATGCTCAAATTGTGGAGGATCTTGAGCATGTTGCGAGAAAACAAGTGTTCCGCGCGTACGACCGTCTCAAGAAGGCACAAGAACATCTTTCCCCGGAAGATGCCTGGAACTCAGTGTCTGTGGAACTGGCCAAGGCCTCCAGATGGCATGTCCGTCTGTATCTTGTCAAAAACTTCTTGCACAAGGTTTCGTTGGCTCCACAAGACCTAAAATTTGTGCTGGTTGACGTCGCGAGACTTTATGCCTATGACATCATCACTTCTTCGCAAGGAGCATTCCTGGAGGATGGATACATGCGATCCGATCAGATGAACGAAGTGAAGGAGGGCATTTACGAGTGAGACTGTTTCATTATTATCCATCTCAATTCTTCTGCTTTTTCAGATGCCTCGCCAAGATCCGCCCGAATGCGGTCAGCCTCGTCGACAGTTGGGATTACGACGACAAGGAGCTCAAGTCGGTGTTGGGAAGACGTGACGGAAATGTCTACACTTCTCTCCTCGACTGGGCTCAGAATAGTCAGCTAAACAAAACGGAAGTGCTTCCAGGTCACACGAAATACCTCGGCCCGATGATGAAAGAAGCCAGATCCAAACTTTGAATTTCTTGTAACTTCCATCTGGACAGTTTTTGTACATGATATGCTGTTTGTACTCGAATAAATGTGTTTGCGAATAATTTAAAGTGATTTCTTGGAAACTCAACGCAATTGTTTCACAGAATCATTCTCATTCGAACATCCAACAAAGAAGATGCATTTTCTTCAGAAATTTCCAAGCCCCTCCTTTTTTCTCGATCTTTGATGAAGAAGAAGGTCTACATACCCGTTCATCACCGTCTCAACCACTGAAAAATGATAATGGTGCGGAAAAACAACTGCGGATTAAGCCTCGATCGAATGATACGTTGTACTCAAAGGATGATGAAAATGAGTATTGTTTTGTTATCATGTTCCTATACTTTGCCGGTCTGGACCCCCAACTTGTTACTCATTTCCACACTTGTTTCGTGTCGTTCTTTGAGTCAATGACTCTCCAATATGCAGATGGCAAAGACGGTTGAATTCAAGGGTGTATTCAATTTTAATTGCTTATTAGCGTAATAAATTTTGAGGCGTGACCTTGGAGAGAGATTACATAGTTACTTGCAATCAGTTGGATTGAGTTAGACTAGATTTTCTAAAAGAAGAGAAAACCTCCATTATTCTGTTTTTTATTCGTAAATCACGTGCTTTTAGGTTGCCATGTGGCTCGCATTAGACGGTATTATGTGTGTAGGGGTCGGGCACCGTCGGTTGCTGACCTTCCCCAAAATTAGTGACTCTTTTCCCACTTTTTTTTTCTGTTTTTGTCCACTAGTTGGACGATGAAAACTTTTCTCAGCGCCCAAACTATACTATGAATCATACGGTTGTACTACGGAACTCTCTATTGTTTCGTACATACATACTGTGTTCACTTTCATCCAGGAACATTTTTTTGTCAGTTCCGGGGTTACTTAACAAAGTATACGTTTGCAAGTAACTTTCTGCTAAAAAGCAAACATTTGCCAGTGATCAGTTAGATGGTATTACTGTAGAACAGATAGATCAGCATTGCTAGGAAGAATTCCACAATTATTGTCCAAGGCCAAAGTTGGTATGGTGCGAAATGGAAAGCTTCAATAACAAATAAACACGGTTAGATTTGAGAAGCATAAACATGTCCCTCCCCCCGGAGACTTTTCCCTCTTCTTCTTCTTCTCCCGCTCCTAATGTCGTATTCTACCGTATTTGCGCATGAATAAAGAAAATCAACACAATTTCGCTTCTCACTATTCGACACACATAAACAACCTGAAAAGGGTTGGGGGGTGTCTAAGTTCGCTCACTTTGCTCCTTTCTTTTCATCGTTTTTTCGAGATTACTCTTTACAACCAAACCAACGCCGTTTTTTTCTTGGCTCGTCGAAATTCGTGTCTACTGTTGATGTTGACCGTATAATCTTTTCCACTCACTGGTCAGCATGTATTTACACAAACTGACCGCAGACTTTGTGCCCATTTTTATTCCTCCTCCCCCTTTATTACCGGCTTCTGTGTGTGCTTTTCCATTCACTTCACCATCTTCCTATTTCCGCAATCGGCTCCGCTTTTTACACAAAAAGAGACATTCGAATTTGCTACTGTATGCATTCTTGTAATTTTACTGTTTTTGACAATTTCCGCTGAAACAAATTGGACCTTCCTTATTTACGGTTGTGAAAATTGAAAACCGTTCGATTGTTAGACCGATAGACCGATATTCACAGCCAGCGCTCGGATTGAAATATATTTAATCACAACCCGCCGTCAATCTTCGTTTCCATTCTAAAATGGAAATCAGAAGAATACAAATACGAGGTTTTAGACAGTGGAGTAGGGCAAACAAATCACCGCGTGTGTTGATGTTAGTAGAACGACCAAAAAATGCCGTTGCCAATCCGAATCGAACTACTGTTTGAACCGACTAAAACGTGTACATATTTGCTCTAAACAGGGAGGCGTAGGTAAAAATCAAAACATGGCAAGAGTAGACAGAGTTCAAAGTGTTTCACATCAGCAACGTTCTGATAGCATGTTCGTGATCTTTCTGCTCTTTTGTGCCCGGCCGAGAACGATCTGCGAATCTGAAAATAGCTGAATCATCGTCATCATTTTGCATAGATGACCAGAAGAACCACACCCAAACGATGTGCGTAGGTGGGTGGTCTGGTCTAGTGGTTTGCATATTCTGGACATGAGTGGAACAGTTCAGTGTGTTCGTGTGTGTGGGGGAGGAGGAGGAATAAGAAAAAAGTGAGAAGAAGAAAAAAGAAGAAGATGACATCCGCCTTTCCTTTCAAATCATCATGGAACAATAAAAAAGTGGATGAAACCTAGGTATAAAGGTTAACGAATGTTAGTGTGTAAAATAATTGAACTCTAGTCAACCTTCATATTCCGTTCTGACAACACTTTTTGCATTCATACCATTCTGTCTTCTTCTGCACTTTCTCTTCTCAATGAGTTTGCATAAATTGAACGTCTGAACCACTTTTTGCTTTATGCAAAAAAGTCTCCTGAACGCCCGAAACGTTGCCAAACAACCTTGACTAGCAGTACAGTAGCAGCTTCAAAGCTAACCGGGTTGGTTGACTGTAGTTTTCTCAAACAATTCGTGACTCACGGGAGCATGATGCTCAGAAATAAGCATTCAAACTGGTAAGTGACGTACACGTGCTTTCATGGCCATGCTATATAAGCAAGTGCGTCACTTGTTACTGTCTGCGAAGTTTCGAAGCCTTCCGACAGCTTCCATTTCCGCAATTAGACCGAAAATCTCTAGAATAAACATTGCGGATTACATAATCCCGATGTCTCCCTTTGATTTGGGAGTGCTGGTCTAGTGAAAGTGTTTCTTTGAAGCGTTTCCAGTTACAATTCTTATTCTTTCTCATCCGGACCGTAATTCATTCGTGAGTGATGTTCAGTGAGTCACCGTACATCTCTTCTTTTCCTGCCTATTTTTTGTTTTTTAATCGCGCTCGTTTACTTTTTTTTGGAAGTAACAAGTTCAGTTTCGATCCCTTGAACTGTTATTATCAGGGGTGAGGTGCGAAGAAAATGTTCGAAACATTCCTCGAATCTCAGCTGACCTAATACCTATCCAAGTCTATCCTCCCACTACTGCCCGCGCGTTCGCACACATCTGATGACATACATCTGTTTATTTTTAGTGGACGACTCATACCACCTTTTGATACGTGACCTTTTCGAAACCCTCGTCATTTTGTTTGATATTCCAGAAGTTTGTTAATAACATTAGTGGCGGGTGGGAGAGAATAAACAGTTATCAATACAGTACACATAGGGGTCTCCGCCATAGTCAACAAATGGCGTCGGTCTCCCCCTCTCTTCTCCTAACCAAATCAGCCATCAATCTTCTCCACGGGTGTTCATCACATGAACAAGAAAGAGGCCCGTGAAAACATGAAGAACCCTCTAAAATAAATCGTTGTCTCTATTCCGGATAAGAATTTTTGAACTTTCTGGCTGTTCTTCTACCTCAACTATATCGTATTCCAACGGATTGAAAGGAACAAGAGAGAAAAGTCACGCAAAAAACACTTGAACTTATTTTATTTTATTTTCATCTTGCCTACCTTCCCTCCGACGTATCATGTACACATATACTACTAGTTGACTGTGAACCAACCTCTCTTTTCGTATCGTTCTCGAATTTTCCAGTACTTTTTGTGTAATGTGTGAATTTCAGAGGATGGACCCGCAAAAAGACTGCGTGTTCGTCTCGGAAAAGTCCAAAATATTCCCCTCGACTCGACTCTTCTTCTCGTTTCTATTATGCCTTTGTTTTGTGGCACTGGCTATTGGAACATCGAACATATCGCAATCCATGGTTTGTATGGTCAAAAAACCGGATACCAATTTTTCCTGTCCATTGGCTGAGCCCGAAGTTGAAGCTATACCATGCAACCACCCGAAACAGTTTGCCTGGAGTTCAATTCAACAAGGTAAGTGTACCCTAGCATGTGAATTATGTTCAGCTCTGAATTTAGGACTCATTTACTCTGGCCAAAACTTTGGCTCCCTCTTCATGTTTATCTCTGGCTGGCAGGCGGATCGTCTGAATGGCAAATGGACAATCGTGGCGGCGATGATCTTCATTATCATTTCCAACGCTCTCCTGCCCGTCTCCGCCGGCGTCTCTTTTGCCCTCGTCTTCTTTCTAAGGTTTGTACAACTTGAACACGAACGCCGTGTCGTCTGGATACCACTACTACACTCAATCTTTTCTTCTTATCTCTTCTTCCCTGACATGATTAGGCGAAAGCGATAACTTTTGTTTCACAAGCTGCGTTTCTCTGATGAGATGAGATTTATTGGAACATATGATTGCCGTGTGACTGATTTCAAAGGTCACACTTGATTGGGTAACAACATTTCAGAAGATGCCTACAAAGTCCTAAAAATATCATTTTTTCCAGATTCCTAACTGGCGTTGGAGATGCTCTCCTGTCGCCAGCGTCCTCTTCAATGATTACCAGATGGTTCCCACCAAAAGAGCGACCAAGTGCACTGGGAATAGTGACTGGAGGACGGCAAATCGGTACGACTACCTTATTTTATTTACCCATCCGGTTGGAATTGACAAAACTCACGGTCGCTCGCCATGACCCCCGTTTGTTAATCTGATTACAAAAATCGAACATCGAAATCATTGAGTTGGAAAATCGAGTCGAAAAAAAGAGCAGAACACAAATACAAACAACAACAATCACTGTTCTCAATTACTTACTAAATGATCTGTGTTTTCAGGAACACTAATTATTTTGCCAATTGGTGGATGGTTGTGTGGGACTGAAGGCGGAAAGTTCCTCGGTGGATGGCCAGCAATCTTTTATCTCTCTTCCGTGGTGGCCGCTGGTGTTCTGATCATTTGGGTGGTGTTCTCTGCCGACAAACCATCGAAACATTTGTGCATTTCACATGTGAGCACTTTCGAAACACTTGGATGGGCTGAACTAATGAGTTTCAGAACGAGGAGGCATACATCAGCCGGAAAATAGAGGAGGAGAACATTGGAAAGCGAAACAGCAGAAAGAACACTCCGTGGAGAGCGATTCTCACTTCAAAGCCGGTTTGGGTGGCCGTTGCGGCTCTCGTCTGCCACGAGTTCCCGCTAGTCATCATGCTCCAATTCCTGCCCAAGTTCTTTTCCGACGTGCTTGGCCTCTCCAACACTGTCAACGGATTGGTCTCAGCTCTTCCGATGGGAGTACTCTTCCTCTCCAAATGCCTTTCCTCAAGTCTCGCTTCTTATCTGACAGCCAATGGATACTTGAGTAAGTTTTTAAGGCTACCCGACCAGAAAACCGTATATTTTACTGGTTCCTGTTGCAGGGAAAACACAATCTTGTAAAATCTTCAACTTCATCGCCTCTCTTGGACTTGGTGTTTGCGTGGGAGCCACCCCATTTATGGGAAATCTTTCACAGGCCGTCTGGGCAGTCATCTTGTTGTGTCTAGCCAATGCCTTTGCAGGTATGCATAAAAAATTTTGAAATAACCCGATTTCTGTCTTCAGGACTTCACACGCCGGGTGTTCAAACTGCCCTCGTTCAACTCGCCCCAGCTTTCTCGGGAGTTATCACTGGAATAGCCTTCACGGTCGCCGCTTGCTTCTCCATTTTTAACAAATTGCTTATCAGTCAGATTCTAGTGTACGTTCCGCTTCCAACTTTAGACATAATATCATTTTTTATTTCAGGACCGGTTCTAAACAAGAATGGACCATTGTCTTCGAGATATCAGCATTTGTTGCAATCCTTCCGACCATCTTTTTCACTGTCTGGGGATCCGCCGAAAGAACGGTAAATTTCATTGGGTGCTCGACTGAATCATCTTTCTGTTTTAGGAGTGGGCATCGAACCGAGTGTCCGCCCCAAAGGACGCTGACCAGAAATCGAACGATTCGGGATCTTCGACATCATCGGCCGTTCAGGCGTTTGCCAAGTACAGCATGTTCTTGTCTCATGATCTCACTCATTCCGCTTAGAGTTTTCTTTAAATTGCTAGTTTTTGTCGTTATCAGCTTTAGTTGTAAATCTCGGACCGACGGGCGAACCCTCCACTCTTTACTCTGTAACTTTCGTAATTCATAATGTATTCCCCTCATTTCTCAGTTAGTCATATCCAAATCCCATCTTCTCTTTCGATTCTGTCCCTTTTCCTTCCGTTCTTCATCCCATCCTGTTCCCGGGTTTCTGTATGTATTTATTGTTTGTGTAACTTAAATAGGTTTAAATTTGCATCAGCTTTATCTGAAAGAATCCCACTTTTTCATAAAATCGTTTCTCATTCTTATTTTTCGCCAAGACAGGTGCAATCAAATCGAAATATCGGCATCGCCTTTTTCACCTGTTCAGAGTCTTGTGACTTTGTCAGCAATTTTCTCATTCCCAATTTACTTTTTTTTTTCTCAAACCACCCAAGAAATGAGCCGAGCATGATACCTATGCTAATATGGTTCATAGTCATTGTGCTGATAGCACTGCTAGCATGTCTAGCCATCAAATTTCTGGTAACAATTTGAAAACTAACAGTTCAGCAGGTCATATCTTAGGCTCTTCGGATCGTCCTTGCCCTTCTTCTCAGTTTGCCAATCCTTCTTTCCCTTGGTTTCTGCATTCTGCGTAAAAGTCCAGTTTCTGATACCAATGTAAGTTGAGCACAGTTAAGCTCCAAAATCACCAGAAATCATTCAGAAGGCCACATTCTTCAATGTCACCAGTTTGATCTCGGAGCGAGGAGAGGCACATGGATCAGTCCATGAAAACACAATCGCTGCTTTTCGTCAGGTATGTCAGAATCTTCAATCACTTTTCCAACTTTCTTGTTTCAGGCCAAAACCAACGGCGCCGACACGATCAAAATGGATGTCCGTATGACTACCGATGGTATGCTCATCGTGTTCCGTCCTTCGAGTGTCACCGACTCTGAAAATATCACTTATGAAGTCAGTGATACACATTGGATCCAACTGAGCAAGATCAACGTTTACGGGTAAATTGACTTCTTATTTTTAAATATTTTTCCCATCTGGTTCCAGTGGCTCAAACGGAACGATTCTCTCGTTTGACGATGCGGTGTCCTGGTGTGAGAGCAACAACATGAACATGCTCTGGCACATTCCCGTCTTCTCTTCCGATGTTTGTGCTTTTGGCCACCCGAGGCCAAACTCTCAGACCTCGTTTTAATCAAAAACTTACTTTTCAGCTGCTCACCTACCTCCGTAACAAAATCATGCAGGACAGCTTGTACGGCAAGGCTGCTGTCACAACCTACAACTTTGTGACAGCGCTCAAGTTGCGATGTGAAGACACAAAGTTGTTGACCGGTAGGATTTCTGCAATAGAAATGTTATGAGGGAAAAAATTACAGGATTGATGTGGAAGAGTACTGAATACTCGATTGTCAATGGAACGGCTGTTGGTTCTATCTACACTTCTTGGTATTACTCGATGATGGATACTTTTAGCTATTGGGGCGTCAGGTACAATTGATTTCCTCTTAATTCTTCTTTTTCTTTCCGAAAATGTCAAAAAAACGTAAAATGCGCCATGCGGGTTGATTGACACATCCCGTGTAGGCTGGAGCGCTTCGAGTGCATCCCAAAATCCACCCTACTTTCAAGTTTGGTGAGATAAAAGAGTGATATTGGTTTTGTCAACTAGGGGTCTTGGAAATGAATTTCAACAATATATTTTGGGCGTTTGACGGGTTAGCTGCGTCTATTACAGATCTCTTCTATTGCCATCATTCCTCGGAGTTGACTTTTTGGTCACAAGTGTCGATGATGCTGACAGGTCACCGGAAGCACTCTCATCTCACACAATTTTGTGCATTTCAGAGCTCTGATTGTGGAATGCAACTCTTACAACATCAAGACCGTGATCTACGACTTATCCACAACCCAAGAACGCAACTTTTTTGCTCGCCAGCTCGGTCTTCCCATCATTGTCGACGATTTGGTTGCTCTTGCCGGCTCGGCAACTTCTTCGACGTCCACAACCAATCGGACTGCGAATTTCACTCGTTGATTCATTTTTGTTCCGTATGAATGAAAATTCTGTTAAATCTAGTTGTAAAATTACATTTTTGTGCAGAAGAGAATAGAGAATGAACATGTCCGCATGCTCGGTGTAGCTGACAATGAAAAATGCTGAATTTCTGAACAATTTCTTGTCGTTTTGGTATCAAAATGCTTGAAATCAACTGAGGAAACACAAAAACGGTTCCATTATTCATTTTGTTCACCGAATTGCCAGATTTGGTGACTTGGATGACACGAAACACCCAAAACGCGCCATGTCGATGCTGACGCATTTGAGAGAAGTTCGCGCGTTTTACGAGACTCTACTTTCACTAAGATTTCCAGTCTTATTGCAGCTTAAAACTCTTCAAAAGAAGCCAAGAACCAATAAATTCACCAGGCAATTTATTTCTTCATGAGGGCAAGAATATGGGTAAGTAATCAACGAGTATCATCTGGTATTGGTACAACCGTAAATAGTCACAATAGTGTCCTTAGAGGAAATAGTGTCGGTGAGTGGGTTAGCAAAATAAATACATGCTTCTGAAGCGATAAAAATCTACTACAATACGATCCGAGAACGGCTAATTATTCTTGGCGCGGATAATGTCAAGGGTCCACATCTCAATGTCGTTGACCGATTTTGAGGCCTCGTAGAGTTCGCTGTGGAAGTTGAGCATTGCGTGGAACCCATTCTCGTAGTTGATAGTTGTGGTTGGCACTCCGGCAGCCTGCAAGCAAATTTACAGTTACAGACCGATCGGCAATGAGAAAGCGAGTCAACTAACCTCCAATCTGTGGGCGTAAATCAGTCCTTCGTCACGGAGGATGTCGAACTCGCAAGTGATCACCATGGTCGGCGGAAGGTTGGACAGATCGTCCCTCATGAGTGGTGAGAAGTCCGGGTTGGTAAGGAACGGTTCCATGAGTCGCTGCGCCTCGTGACTCGGCTCAACAGTCCATCTCTCCGGGATCGAGTGATTCTTGTAGGTGCGGGTCGATTCGACGATGCGCTCGTACGACATCATCTGCAAAATATTGTTCTTTCAGAGAACTGAAAGCTTCTGAAAAGATCCTCACCGTGTCCACCAACGGCTGCAAGTAATCAGCAACGTGTCCGTTTGACATCACACTCGGCACCAAGTACGCCTTCTCGTCCATGTTGATTCCGGCGTAGAACATGTAGTAGTAGGCCACAGATTCCGGGTCGACGAGGGCGTATCCATTGAGGCGCGAGTGGAAGTAGCGGTACGAGATAGTCTGCATGTCGGCCATTTGGAGCAGTGGGTAGATGAGAACCTGTCCTGCGAGCTTCGGAACCATATTGCGGGCCGCACGACGTTGGGCAATGACCGTGGCGAGGTTTCCTCCGGCAGAGTCTCCCATCACCACCGTTTTTGTCGTATCGATCCCGAATTGGGTGTTTCCGTACTGGAAGAAATGCTCGATGGCGGCTTCGCAATCCAGGATTCCTCCGGGGAAGACGGTTTCTGGCGAAAGGCGGTATTCGATAGAGATGAAAAGCGTCTTCATCTCGAAAGCCATCCTCTTCACCAACGAGTCGTACATCTCAACGTTTCCGAGGGCGAATCCTCCTCCATGGATGAAGATGACAGCTCCATCGGTGGACGTCTTATTGTCGACTGGACGGTAGACCTTAACCGGAGTACCGCTCCAGTTGTGCCACTTGATATCGATTTGGCCATGGGTGTTTACAAGGAGTCCCAGACTCTTCGACAGGATGTTGAGGGCACCACGTGTCCATTGCACCATTCTACTGGCCTTCGAGAACATTCGGCTCTGAATTGAGAGCGTTGCAAGATATTGATCTGAAATGCAAACGTACCGGGTAGTAGTAGGCGACTCGAAGGGCTGGCTCGACAATGTGCATCACGGTGCGATCCCATTTGGTGACGGTGAATCCCTCCGGCAGCGGTTTGTAGAGGGAGTATCCGGTGGTGAGCAATGCCAGCGTGGCGACACTGATGACAAACCACTTGACACGAACCGGCGCTTTTTCTGCTTTGAGCATCATTGTTATTGATTGAATGTATTCACAGATGACTATTTACAGGAATAGAGGTTGCCTGAAAGAAAAGATAATTGAAGAGCGTGTCAAGAAAGAAAGAAAAAGGCAAGAGATTGCAAATGAGCGATGAGGGTGGATTGTGCAACAGGTAATGAGGGGCCTCTCGCATGAGAAAGAAGGGCCACGCAAGATAGCGGAGAGGACCAACCGACCAGGACGGCAGCAGACGACAAGAATGACTGGTCCGCTGGTCGGGGCGACGCGTTGGCTGCCCTTGCCGCTCTTCTGTTGGTCAAAACTGTGCGCACTTTGGAAAGAATTTACGAGATCGCAACGACGGAGTGTCGTTTTTGCCGGGGTCAGCGAGCGAGAGAGTGTGTGCGGGAGGAGGGCGCAGACAGTGAGAGTGCCCGCCGAGCACTGTCCCTTTTTGGCATTGCCTATCGATTGAGACAATGGTGTTTCGGGCAAAAAACTGAAGAAATAGAAAAGCAAAGTCGGTAGAAACACGGTTCGGTATGCGAATTCAACGGTTGAGTGGTTTTGCCGACGAGAAATGTCAGGTGAACCTGTGAAATATCACACTCTGATACAAGAATACAATGGCATGAAACGAATTTTGGTGGGCAGGAAAGATTTTTGTACCCAATCAACAGATTTGTGGCTCGGGGGAGAGTAAGGAACAAAACGATTTTGTGATACAAACCGAATTTGAGGGTTTAATATCAGTTTTCGAAAAAAATAGCATGATTGTAGTTAGAAACTGAGAACAATGGGCGGAGTACCCGATGAACGTCAGTAACAAAATGACCAAATTCCAATTTTTCGATGTCAAGATGATTTTACGCCTACACTTTGAGTTATGATTCAGGTTTTCAGTACGATCGGAAGTCAATAAGGCAGTCGACCACAAGCGATAAGCAGAGGGATCCCATTCAAAAGTATACCCTGATGGTGTATAAAATTCCGAGAGAAAGCTGACATTTGCTCGGGGAAATTAGTCTTTATTGTGTTGCTCGTGGCTCTTGGCTCTTGGCATTTCATTTTCAAATGATGATGGCAGATGACGCGATTATTGTGTTTTGAGCCGGACAAAATGAAGAAGGAATATTGAGAAAATGAAACGAATGTTTGTGACAAAAAGGAAGGAAAATAGGAAACAAAGAGACAATTCGATCGAAATCACAACTCAATAACATTCTCTAACTTTATCGCCTTTTCTGTCAAGGTTACTGACCGGTAGAAGCGAGAAGCAGTGTAAACTAAAAGGGTTCTAGAATAAGGGAGTGAAAAAGTGGACATAGAGGTCAAACTGCATGGGGCAAGTGTAATGAGAAGTGTGAGAGTGGCAGAGAGAACCAGCCTACAGCTTCTAGTTTCTCTGAAACCTTACTAATTGATTGTTTTGCCAACGATTAGTCCAAAATCTATGCGAAAATCATGAGAACGATCATCTGCGTTTACTCATCGGTTGGCGGATTACAAAGCGTCGGATATCTACAAGCAACATTTTGTGTTTTTCGACTTTTCTCTCCCGTCGGATGCAAATGATTCGGTAAAGCCGTCCAAAGAATAATTTCTTTCACTTCTACATATCATGTAGTTACTATTTGGAGAAAAAAGAAATGCGTCGATACGCGAATTAATTCAAATGCATTCATTTATAGTTACAAACACGACGAAAAATGATAATACGAACAAAAAATGCGCACCCATTACGAGGAAGGTGGGGGAGGGACGGACGGGGCGAGATTAGAGACAAAAATGACGAATTGGTGGGAAACTTTTAGAGAAAATTTATGAAATTGAATTGGTAGAGAAGAAGAGAAAAACAAGATAAATAGAAATGAAGAACCCAGATTCTAGAATGGATACTGGCCGACATTGATGAGCACCAGGAAGTTGGTTTCTTTCGGAGCGTGCAATTCGTTCGTAGCTTGGTCCGAGTGAGCACGGACACGCACTTTGTGATGGGCTCCCGCTCGGAGCATTCTGTTGGTCCAAACCTGCGCGTGACCCGCTTTCACCGCCTTGATGGTGAACGGTCCGGAAGTCATACGTCCTGCAAGTTTCTTTTCCGTTCTTTTGTTACTATATTTAAACGTCTAATGGGCTTAATTAATTTGCCGGCATTTTTTTGCTAATTTGATCAGCGTAGCGAAGCAAATCATACCTTGAGACATTGGGCCCGCAACCGAATCGGAGATGGCGTACGTGGTGTCATTGAGAACCCTTCCGGTCTTATCGTAAGCGGTCAAAGTGGCAATGTGGGATTCTGAAGGAAAACGAAAGTTGGTATTAAATTTTCCGGTCCGAAACTCACTTGGCAAACCACTTGGTATAGCAAGCATATGAACTTGGATCGGGGTCAAAGTGCAATTGTCGCATTCCGGTTCGCAGTATCGGTCATCCACGAGACTGTAGTTGGCTGGGCAAGGATCATCGATACACTCGTAACCTCCCAGCTGATTGAAGCATGCTTTTCCTTCTTCACACCGTGTTTCCTCGCATTCATTCACATCTAAACAGGTTCTTTTCTTAATGAAATTGAGAGAAAATGTTCGCACCGAAGCAGCCCTCAGGAGTGAGCTCATAGCCAGGCGGACAGTGGCATTCGTAGCTGCCCTCCATGTTCACGCATTCGAAATCGCATGGCTGGTAGAAGCTGCACTCGTCGATATCCTCGCAAATGTGGGTGCGCCGGTTGAGAGCGTATCCTTCTGGACAGTTGTCCTCTCCGGCAAGAACCTTGACCCGATGGGAAGATCCATTGGGCTGAATGCACTCTCCATGCTCATCGATGTGTCCGTCACAATCTGAAGCTTCAACGACAACGGCATCCGAGTGAAGTTTGGATGGTTGCTCGTAAAGGTGGTCCTGAGTGGTCGGCTCGACTTCTGGATTCGTGGCACTTCCTTCATAAATATCGTCTGGCGGCGTGGTTGAAGGAGCTGAAAAATTGAACGTCAAAGATCATTTCATTTTTCAAAGTACACCTCTGGTTGTCGTAGTGGTCGTAGTGGGAGGTTCAAAAGTGGTTGGAGGAAGAGGAGTTGTGGTAGTAGTAGTGGTTGTTGTCGTTGTTGTGGACGAAGTTGTAGTTGGTTTAGTGGTCGTGGTCGTGGTGACATCATCCAACTCTTCATCAGATTCTGGACCTCCTCTCGTCGTTCCTACATTTGAAGGTTCAACAGGCTCAGTGCCGCTTCCTTCGAATCCGGTCAGAGGCATGACGTCACCGTCTAGAAACGTATTTACGTCTCATCGTCTTTGAGACACCCCACCGACCGGACCACCCGGAATTTCAAGTGCATCATCATCAATCAACAAAAACATCATCACAAAGATTTGAACGTAAAAATGAGTGTGGTGGACGGTTACGGTCAGTGTGGGATGGAGGGGAAATACGACAAACGTGAGGGCAACCAAGACTTACCGTAAACGATGACTTGCGTGTCATCGAAGGCTTTTCCGATGGAATTGGATGCAATACACTTGTAAACTCCCTCGTCATACTTTTCAGTAGAAACAAGCACCAAACTGTTGTTCGGCAGCACGTAAATCGCCTCGTCATCCAGCATTTTCTGGTCATTCTTAGTCCACACAATTTGCGTGGTCAGCGAGTCACTCTTGACTTCACAGTCCAATCTCACAGGTTCACCTGCATTCACTTCAATCTTATCAACAGTTTTCACCTCTGGAACGCCTTCAAACGTGGATTTCAAGTGAGGAATTGAGTGACGCCGTCTGTTGCGGACTTTGCAAGTGTAAAGATCAAGGTCTCCTGGTTTCAACGTGGTGGTGTCCAAAATGACGAGAGATCCGTTGTTCATGAAGTGGATTCCTGCCAAGTTCTTCTGCATGGGGACTCCTCTGAACTCCCAAGTGATTCCACGGCTGTAGGCTTGATTTCTCTCGTAACAAGTGATCACAGCGACGTTTCTCTTCTTGGATGTCGGCTTCGGGGTTGCCTCGATCATGTTGTCGACGGTGATGTGAGCAGAAGTCTGAAAATTGAATATTATTCAGACTTTATGAATGTCCCCCTGTAATGCAACTTACCGTACTGGTTCCAACGCTATTCTGAGCCATGCAAGTGTACTCCCCGCTGTCATCAGTGCTGTTCAGGATTACTTTCAGGTGGGAGTAAGCAATCTCCTTCTTGTTAGTCTCAATCAGTTTTCCATTCTTTGCCCATGTGATCAGCGGAGTTGGAGGTCCGGCAGCTGAGCATCTGAGCTCGACCACTGCTCCGACCGCAGCTGTGGTGTTCTTCGGCTGAACAATGAACTGAGGAGCGGCATGGAGCAGAACTGTTCTTGCAGATCTTGGTCCAGGCATGCAACGATACGAGATGGACGTGTTCAGAGAATTGTCAGTCACATCCTTCCATGGCAAAAGCTGGGGATTATCGTCAGGGGTGTCTCCTCGGTCAATCATATACTCGGTCTTCTTTGGCTTTCCGTTCTCGTCACACTCCACCCAAATCGGTGCGGGTCCGAGAGATGGTTCTGAAAAACCGAAAAAATGTACGCTCAAGGTGAATTTAAAGATCCTTACTGTTCACCATAAGCTTTCTGGTGGCAATTTTCTGTCCGGCGTCTGATTTTGCAATACAATAGTAGAATCCATCATCATCCTGCAGAACATTTCTGATCGCCAGGGTGGTTCCGAGAAGTTGGTATTCTGAGAAGAACAAAGAACATTGCAAACAACGAAATGACGGCTTCATTCGATGACTCACTCTCACTGTTTGTAATAGCGATGTTTGGATCTTTCATCCAACTGACAACTGGTTCTGGGATTCCAGTGGCGTTGCAAGATAAGAAGACTGTCTGACGGGGGTTAGTGGAGACGTTCATCCTTTCGGGGGTCACTTCCGGAGCAACTGTGAAGATGAATATGATTTATGAAGACATCGCCTCTTTTTCTTACTCATGACAATCAGGTCAACATCTTCTTCGGTGGATCCAGCCCAGTTCTCGGCTTTGCAAGTGTACACTCCGGCTTGCGATGGGGAAATGGAAGAGAAAATGACTGATTTCTTCTTGGTTGTAGCGGTCTCATCAACTCCAGCTGAAACATAAATATTTTGAAACCATGATGAAGTTGACAACTCACTATTAGTGACAAGGCTATCATCCTTATACCAGGAAATAGACGGTTGTGGAACACCAGTGGCTTCACACCATAATGTCACCTGATCTCCCTTGTTCACCACTTGCGTGTACGGCCGTTCCAGGATCTTCGGAGCAACTCCCACGTTAAGACTGGTTTTCTGAGTGGCATTTCCGGCTTTGTTGGCCACAGTACAGCTGTACTCTCCTTGATCGGTCAGTCTGGTTGAAGCAATGTTGATTGCCTTCTTGTCTTCTGAGAATGCAATGTTCGCAGACGGCAGGACTACAACTCCGTTCTTGGACCAAGTGATATCAGAGTCATCAGCATCAATGTCGCATTTGATAGTTGTCGTATCGCCTTCTGATCCATTCACGTATCTGTCACCAGTGTTGCTGATTCGTGGAGCATCTGAAAACAAATTGTAGATCTAATTTCTGTCAAACCAATTCGATTTCTAAAACTTACTGATAGTTTGAACCTTGTATTCAACCGTATCAGCGCCTGCGTCGTTTTTGGCTGTGCACTCATAGACCAAGCTGCGTCCCTCGGCCTTTTCGACAGTTAAAGTTCCATCAGGAGCAATGATGTATCCATCCTCTCCGCTGTTGATCTGGTCGCCATTCAATGTCCAGCTGATGTCAGGTTCTGGATATCCGCGAACCGCACACGGAAGTGAGAATTTCGTACCGGATGGTGGTGAGAGACTAGCTGGTGGAGTAGAAACAATCTTCGGAGACACCAAAACTTCCAAAGTGTATGCTTGTTGGGCAGAGCCGGCTTCATTGGTGGCTGAGCAGAGGTAGATTCCAGAGTCCAGGCTTCTGGCCTCAATGATGGTCAACTTGCGTCCTTCCGCTAGGTACCGTACTCCTTGAACTCCGGTCTCTACACGGTTTCCATTTCTAAGCCATGACACTTGTGGAGCTGGGTAGCCCTCGACAAGGCACTCGATCACGGCCAACTCTCCTTCGATCACTTGTTTCGTGCCTCCGTTGGAGATGGTTGGAGCTTCTAAAAATGACACGTTTGGAGTTTTAAAGAAGATCTGAAATACTCACGGACAACATCCACATTGTACATCAAACTGTCACTTCCTGCCACGTTGTCTGCAAAGCAAGTGTAGACGCCCTTATCAGAAAGAGTGACATTGTTGATCTGAATGAAAGTGGAGTCCGATGCAACGGTGATTCCCTTGGTAGCGTCTGTGATCAAAGTTCCGTTCAGAACCCATTTCATCTTTGGTGGCGGCTTTCCTTGAGCCAGACACTGCAATGTCAGACTCTGTCCGGCTGGAAGGCGTGGCGACATGTCAATTCCGTCTCGGTTGATCTCTGGAGGAACGAGAACATCCACTGAGATGGTGGATGCAGCGGTTCCGGCGGCGTTGACGGCTTCGCAAGTGTAGTCGCCGACGTCCGTCTTTTTGAGATGCGGGATGTCGAGACGAGCACCCTTCAGGGAAATTCTGGCGCCATCAGGAGAATCGAAGATAAGAGATCCGCCCTTAGTCCATTTCAGTTGTGGTTGCGGGTTACCGGAGGAGTTACAGAAGAGAGTGATGGTCTCTCCGAGTGCCTTGATCGGGTTTTCAGAATGGACCGAAACAATTGGTTGAGCTGGAAAAACAGGAGTTTGACATTGATAATAGTTTAAACTTACTAAAGACATCAAGAACCATCTCAAGTTCCTTGACGCCCGCGTCGTTTTCAGCGACACAACTCCACTTTCCAGCATGTTCAGAATCAGTGCGTAGAATTTGAAGAGTCTGTCCCTGTTCCACAATTCGAATGTTCGCGTCATCTGAATTTAAATATTACTTTTCAGAAACCAAAGAAAAATCGCATTCAAGTCATTACCTGTGACTTCTTTTCCATCCTTAAGCCATTTGATTGTTGGGAATGGATGTCCGGTGACTGGGCATCGCATGATCGTCGGCTGGTTGACGGCGACTTGCGGTTGGCCATCATTCCGGGACGTGTCAATGACTGGTGGGGCTGGAAATTAGGCCAAACTACAGAAAAAGCTCTGATGCCACAATCACACTTTGACATTCATTCAGTTTTATTAATTACACTAAGAAAACAGCACCAGGCGGACAAAAAATGAGGTAATATATTGAACAATTCCAAAAAAACACACGACACACTGTTATTTCATATCACTGCAAAGAAATGATGGGACAAGGGACAAGCCAGAGTCGCGAGGGTTCACAAATGAAAATTGTTCCTGGAAATGTGGTCAGATCAACTGAAAAAATAAATAAGAGGAGAGATACAAACAAAGTGACATAAATACAACAAAACGAATATTTCAGGTTCTCTTAGTTCTGTTCAGCGGGTACTTAAGGAATCCTTTTTGGGATGGTGGGAGAGTTTCGGAACTTTTTTCCCGGAGAAAACGGTGTCTTAAAGGGTCATAAAGGAAACAACGAAGCACGGGCCGGACTCTTTTGCTTCGGAATACTCTTTTCGGGTGTTGAACGGTAGCTTTCACTTTCATAACCCCACTAGAACCGGTGGGATGACCGAATTTCGGATTATAGACCCAGGGCAAAGGTGGTTGAGTGGTGGTGGTACTAGTAGTCGTGACAAGCGCCACACTCTCCCTCTGCCGTCTCATTTCCCAGTACGCGCTCTGCCGTTTCAAGTTCTCGTCCCTCTGCTTTTTCAGATTCTCTTCATACTTCTTCAAGTACTCCTCGTACTTGCGCATGTGCTCAAGATAGGAATCTGACTGAGGCGATCTGGTTTTGGTTACTGCATGCGGCATTTGGCGAGCAATATAGTTATTTTCGAGCTCACGGCACTTCAGGCTAGCAAGGTTCGTACACAGAATCTCCACTTTGAACTCGAGCGACGCTTCTCCGGCTCTGTTCAGGGCAATGCAAGTGTACATGCCCGCGTTGTCCAGGGCAGCTTGGTTGATTGTCAACTTGCGGCCGTCGTCAGATATCTGAAAGTTTTCTGTGTGTTTGTGCTGAAAAATCTAGCTGGTTTACATGAACGTTATCCGTATCATCGCCATCTAGTGCTCTGGTATCTTTTGTCCAGGAAACATCCATGACTTGATCAGCCACATCCTCGGCAAGTTTGATCGGACACGTCAACGTGATTGTATCACCTTCGCGTTTGATAGTCGGTGCAGTTCCAGTGATCTCAAACACCGGAGGAGCTGAAAACTATTATGAAATATAAATTTTTCGTTCATAACTTACACAACACGTCCAGACTAAAATCATGAGAAGTCTTTCCACCAGCATTGGAAGCCGTGCAAGTGTATCTTCCCTGATCGGACACCTGAACCTTCTCGATTCCGAAGGTCTCGTTATTCTGCGCAAAGACGACTCTGCTATCAGTGGTATCGATGTCAGCTCCGTCCTTGGTCCAAATGACAGATGGTTGCGGAATTCCGAACACTGGACATTCGAGGTAGATGTTTCTAGCGACGATTGCCAATGGATTGCCGATGATGTTGGACTTGTCGATCTTTGGTGGAACCAAGATTCTAAGGATGAGGTCGATATCAGATGTTCCTGCTTCGTTTGAAGCACGGCAAGTGTACTTTCCTCCGTCGGAAAGTCTCGCCTTATTGACGGTGATCTGCATGCCATCTGACGAAATCTTGTAGTTGTCCGACAAGTAGATGGGTTGGTCTCCGCGATACCAGTTGATTTCCGGAAGTGGACGGGAAGCGACACCGCAGTCCATCGTGATGCTCTCATCTTCAATTACTTGGTAGATATTCTCTCCCTTCCTTTCGAATGTCGGCTTTCCAATAACTTCAACAGCGTAATTGGTGTGCAACTCGCCGGCATCGTTCGTGGCCGAACAAGTGTAAGATCCTTGGTCGCCGAGCTCCGCTTTACTGATTTCGAGATCTTCTCCGCGTCTGATAACGTACTTCTCCGAAGGAATGATAAGCGTCTCTCCACGCTTCCACACAATCGTAGGCCTTGGATTTCCAGCCACTGGACACTTCAGGAGAACCGTGTTACCAGCGACAACCTTCGGAGTCTGGTCGATCGGCTCGTCAATGTACGGTTTCGTCCAGACGTTCACCTTGAAGTCCTGCTCATTTTCTCCGTATCCGTTGGAAGCCACACAAGTGTAAAGACCTCCATCGAATCTTTGCGATTTGAGAATCATGAGAGTGTCTCCTCTGGGCGACAAAATAACATTGTCCATTTGCAGAGGTCTTCCCCCCTTGAGCCACGAGATGGTTGGTTTCGGGTGTCCGTCCACCTTACATTCGATCTTAGCCACTTGTCCTTCAATAGCGTTGACCTCACTGTCAGATGGTTCGAATTTGGGACGAGTCATCACGTCAAGCACAAAGTCGGCGACCGCATTTCCAGCTTCATTGCTAGCAATACACTGGTATCTTCCTTCATCTTCTCTTTTCAGGCTTGAGATAAGCAGTGTCGAGCTGGTTTCGTCTGAAACGACAAAACCTGTTATGACTTTCTCTGAATGTTTCTTACTCGGCAGCTCTTTTCCATTCTTCTTCCAGGTATAAAGCGGCGGTGGGGTTCCAGTTGCAGCGCAATTGATGTTGAACGTAAAGTTTTCTTTTCCTTGAAGCACTCGTTCCCCTTCTTCTATCACCGGTGGCACTGAAAATGCAATGTTATCATTTATGCTTCTGAATTCTAAATTCTGAATTCTGTATCAGTCATTCTGGATGTCCAGAACTTTTCCAATGGCGTGCTGCACGCTAATATCTCACACCTCTGGAAACTTGCATAACTTACTCAGGACTGATACGTCAGTGCTCGTCTGGCTGGAGCCTGCTTTGTTGGTCGCTATGCAGGTGTATCTGAATTTGTGTTTTGAGCATAAAATTGCTTTTTACGATATAATTAATCTTACTGTCCGGCATCTTTGAGAGAGGTAGTCCTTAGGTGCAAGTAAGTTAGTTTTGTGGAGAAGTGAAGAAGGTCCGAAATAAAAGATTGGTTGTTCTTGAGCCACTTGACTTCTGGTTCCGGGTTTCCGAACACCTAAAGATCAATGTTAGATTTAACAAAACATTTCTGGAGGTATGGGGAATTGAACCCCAGCCCTCTCCCATGCTAAGGGAGCGCTCTACCACTGAGCTATACCCCCGCACGTTCCCCGAAGCTTCTCTTGTCATGACAAACTTGCCGCCCGCCCGGCCGCTCTGTCTCTCTGTCAATAGCAAACAATTTTTGTTGCAAAACGCAAAAAGGTGTTTCTGGAGGTATGGGGAATCGAACCCCAGACTTCTCGCATGCAAAGCGAGCGCTCTACCCCTGAGCTATACCCCCGTCCGAGTGAGAGTACAGAGAACACGGACAAATGTAAGGGGGAGGCCGCATGTTGTACGGGGGAAGAGAGAAAGAGAAAGAGAGGCGAGTGTTTGTGTCGGCGGCGGTTGCGGGGGTTGTTCGAATGGAAAACAGATGGGAATTCGGTTGGAAGGAACATACCTCACAACGGATTGTTGTCGGCCGTCCCTCGACTACCTTCATGAAGTCCGATGCCATGATTACTCTCGGCGGTTCTAGAATTCGTACTGATTGCCTAGATTTCAAGGGGTTTCCTACCGAATACTTCCAAATAGATGTCCTTTTCAGCTTTTCCAGCCTTGTTCTCTGCCAGGCAAGTGTATCTTCCTTCTTGGTTAGGCATGACATTCTGAATGTCCAAGTAGTAATCTGGGTACGAATCCTGAAGAATTATATTCAACACTTGTGAAATTGTTATCTTCTTTCTCACTGTCTGCTTGAATTTCAGTCCATTCACATCAAAGACAGGCTTTCCATCCAAGAACCATTTCACATCTGGCTTCGGAACTCCCGAAATATCGCATTTTAGAATCTTTGAGGTATTTGCGATAGCTTCATCTGAGCTAAATGTGCTTCCGGAGATGATCGGGGCAGCTGAAATTTGAAGATTTTCTTGTTTTCTTATTGGTATTGTTCTTACTGTTCACAACAAGATTGATTTTAGCCAATCCCTTTCCAGCCTCGTTTTCAACCTGACAGGTGTATTGTCCAGCGTCATTTCTGTGTGAGTTCATAATGTAGATCTTGTCTTTGAGGGAGGACATCTGAAAAAGTCACACATTTTGGAGAACCAATGTTTTGAACCAACTTGAATACGATCCGATTGAGTGACCTGTTGTCCTTTGTTGAACCAGGTGATCTTGACATTCTGCACGTCCTGCAAACATTTTTTGAGTGTTTCCTAGTCCCTCATTTCAAAATCTTTTCCCAATTGTCATAGAATCCTTCTCAAAATTCGGGCAGTCGGAATGCGTTAGCCCAATGCTTTCAAAGTGCACTTAAATATTTCATGTGCAAGTACTGCTCCCGTCCATTTTGTGCCCATTCCGAAAAAGGAGCTCTCGGAGTAAAAGGGAGGAAAAGAAGAAGGAGAATAAGAAAAACGGCGGTGGGCCCATCTCTAGCTATTGTTTAACCCCTCGTTTTTTCTTCCCTTTTCTTGCCCATTCTCGTTTTCGTCTCTTTTATAAAGAGGAAGACCGCTTTTTGAACTGACTGGCACCAGAAAATAGGCAAAGGGGACAATTGACAATTGAGACGATCAGTCTGAGAAATGGGAGGAGAAAGAAATGAGCAATGAGCACGAATCACAAGAGGAGCTCTGGAAAGTGTGTTTACCTCGGTTGGACACTGCAAAGTCACCGGGTCTTTTTCCGTCACTTCTGCTTCTTTGTCTTCAGCCATTTTTGGTGGACCTAAAAGAAGAATAGGTTGTAAACAAAAGTTCGCAAGTCAAGACTCACCTAGAATCGCCACGATCATATCCTTTTCCGTTCGACCTGCTTTGTTCTCGGCAATGCACGTGTACCGGCCGGCCACTGATTCCTGGAAAGAACACAAAAATGACCAATTCTTGTTTTTCTTTGATTCTTACGTCAGGATTCTCCACGACCAAAGTCGTGCCGATGATGTTCGCTTCGTCGCTTTCATTGAGTCGTTTGCCATCCTGCAAAAATGAACGGTTTTCTTGTGTTTTCTCTCTCTCTCTCTCTTCTGCCCCCATACACAATCAATCCGTTGCATCTCCTGCGGCCGACGTTTGTCACTTTACAATTTGGCAAAATGTAACACATTCAAACATATGTATTATTGTGTTCTCGGCCCACGCTCTTCCGCTTCACGACTAGAAATGCCCGACGGCGCTATAAAGACCCTCCTGACTTGCTCTGATTCTGATTATGCTCTCTCGAAGGCGGCTCACGTCAACTTAGATTCCCATCAATTCTCCTCCCGATGTTCCTTCCATCGGCTAGTTTTTTTTGGGGGCCGTACGCCCGAACATCTGTTGTGTTTGACAAATTATTCGATTTGAGCAATGATGCAAACTATTTTGACACCGAGAAAGTATTTTTTGTTGGTGAGTTTGGAACTGAGCAGAACAGCAAATTAGGGAAGAGAAATTGAATAACTGGCGAACAAAAGAAAAACGAGCTTACGGATTGTTAGTTCTACGGCGGCTGGACGAAGATGAGCCGAAATTGGTTTTTTTTCTAGAAAGGCTTACACAGTTTTCAACACAAACAGAGCGTTCTCCCAGAAATTTTTTGCAGCCGCCGTGTATCAGTTTGCTTTCGTTGAAAGTCTCAAGTTTTTCTCGTTTAGGTACTTTTGTAGACCCTCGAGCCGTTTTTGGACGTCACTAGAGGTGGGTGTGAAGCACTATAGAAGTCATCTTGAGCCTACCACTTGAGTCGGCCGTCTCTAACAGGAATGAATAAACGGGATTTTTGCGAAAGAGCTGTGTAGTAGCAGTAGCGCTTTGACTTTTTTCATGAATCATCAATCTTCTCGCCTTTCCATCTTCAGGTGACCTCATTTATTGGGCAGAACCTAAACGGCCAACGACCTTCTCAAGAAAGAGCCGAGTGGATTTATCGTCCGTTTTTTTTTATTGTTGAGTCATACTACATTCATTCATTCATGCCCTTCGTGTTCACATTGTGTTCAATCTCTTTCTCTCTCTCTCCCTCTCTTTGGTTCTCGCTTTCGTTTTCCTTTTCCTCCAGAGAAACCCAATAACAATACCTTTTGAATGTATTGTGAATTATATGTTTTCTTTTTTGCGTTTTCCTCCCTCGCCTCTTCCTGAGAGGGCTCTTTTCACTATTTTCCGCTCCCCTTTACCCTCCCTCTTATCCCCTTGAATGAACTTAAAACTAATCGAGTTTCTTTTCGGTTACATCTCATTTCCCAATACGGCTCGGTGCTTTTTTCCCTGACAGACCTGATATTTTGTTTTAAATGAATAATGGCGCGAGGAGTGAGTACGGAGAAAGTGTGAAGAGATTATCCGAGATTAGGGTAATCTCGCGTCGAATACTTCAAAAAACAACAAAAAGTGTCGAATCAGAAAGAGACAATTCAACTACTTCACACTTTCTTGTGTTGCTTTTCCCTTTTTGAGGAGGCTTTTTCTACGCCACTAAATGGGCGTCGGTCGCGATGGAGTGCTCAGATAAGAGAAGCAGTTGAAAAAATGAATAACGATTACTAGCAAACTGAGGATTAGGCAGCAGATTTTGAGATTCGAAAGAAAGGACATGTCCATTAGAAAGCGTCGAAAGTTCACTAGGTTCACTCCAAAACCAAACTGCTCACAGTAATCTCATCTTATCTCGGCTCTTTTGTTCATATTTATCCAATTTTCTCCGGATTTTCGCCAAATTTTTTTTCAACCTAATCCAAGGGCTTTCGTATCAATCACTGACCCAATTGGTATTCCGGTGTCCCACACAATTCTCTCTATTCCTCTTCTTCTCAAATGCGTGAAGGATTGGGGCGTGTCGCTTGTGTTTGCCACTCTGAGTCTCGCCGTCTTTCTCGATCTGCCAGGGCGCTTCTCTGTTGCCGGCCCCCGAGCCTCACATCAGCCATCTACTCTCCACATACACACACACACACACACATACACCCGCGCCTTCTTCTAGCCCCTCGTTTTCCCATGTTTTTGTTGTGCTCCGTCTGCACTCTCAATCACGTTCTTCTCACCTGATCCGAACAAGTTCAATCAGCCATCTAATCAGTGTGTGGGTGCGGCGCGCACAATATGATGATACGATGGAAGAAAGAGAACATGCTCGGCAGTCTGCTCGTCCTCATGCTCGCTACACTGTGCACGTGCAACGAACACGAACACCGTACCCACATGTGCTCAACGGAAGGCAACATCTGCTCCGAGAACGCTGCTACCGTATGCCGGAACAACACGTAAGTCTCTTTTGGCCCATAAACGCCCTTTTTACGAGTTCCCCTTATTTGCTCGTTTGTCGCCGAGCCAAAAAAGTGGGGAAGGGGGAAGAAAAGTGCAAAGTTGTCTCAATTTTTGACTAAATTGATGCACTTTTCATTCCAATGCAATTGCAACTTCAATGAATACATGAAAGTGCGAGTTGATTGATAACGTGTGTATAAGTCGGTCACACTGCTCTATAGCTTGACTCAACATGTACACGAATTGGTGGGAAAGTAAAAGTGAGAATCGAGTGCATGCCACTCCACTCGCACGTAAAATCAAAACCGTGACCAAAAATGGACTCTGAGGGACTCAAGGACAATTGGTTTGAAAAAGTCGAGGAAATTTTAGTATTAGTTTACGAATGCGAATTTGGCTAATCTTTTTCGCCATTCCTCTTCCGCACTTCTCCACTTAGTCAGCGCCCAAACATTCTCTGTCTCTAAACAAAAAAGGCTTTGGCTCTCGCCGAAAAACTGCTGTTTTTTTTCTTTTCAGGGGTAAGATGCGAGTTCCAGGAAAATGAACAATGTTCCGAGTTGTCAGTGCCCTTTCTCTTGTTTTTTTTTACTTTTTCTGGTTGAAAGTGAAAAAGGGATGAGTGATTGAGATAGATACTAGCACTTGTCATGTCAAACTCGTCATCGGCATCAACTTGGCCCTGGGGCCTCTTCTATTTGATCTTGTACTCTTACATAATCGTCTGTGCACTGCGCACCATTCATCGGCGTCGCCATTGTCCGGTGGAGCGATTCCATTCTTTGGGGTCCGACGCCTCACCGCGAAAAGAAAAGCGAAAACGTTGCCAACACTTTAGAAGAGGGTAGTGAAGTGCAATTGGCGCCTACTTTTTCTTTTCCTTCCCACAGCTTCCGCCGCAATTAGCTTCAACGGGGATTTTTGAGAGCACCCTTCGCTTTTCTTCTCTTTTCTTTCCTGCTTTGTCCCACCGAGAAGAAGAGAAAGGAGACGAGAAAACACCTAGGAATGGAGATGTTGTCCCATCGCTTCGCATCGTCCCGGTTGTCAGTTGCCAGTATTCGGGCGTCGGTTTGACACACAAAGTTAATGTGCAAAACGAAACGAAATGGCGAAAGCGAGGAGGAATTTTACGCATGAATAAAACTAGGAAGGAAGCACATGCGAGCAGTTAGGAAGCATGTCATGAAACATTGATCACTTCTGAGGCACATACACGAACGCTTTTCCAGCCGTTTGCGTTCCCATCGTTTACGATGAATCGTGAATCGTATAGACAAAGAAAGAAACCCATCATTTTGACTCGACTCTTTCCGTCTTTTTCTTTCTCTCTTTCTGTGCAGTCCGCCGCTCTCCCAAGGGCATATCAAAACGCGCGGTCCGGTCCCGAAGCCGATCATGAATGATAATTCTTCGTCCTCTTTCCTTTTCTTTTCAACTCGGTGCCCATTTGGGAGGGGGAGAAGAACCAACGAGGAGCGCGCACACTCTCAGTCACTCACCCACTAACCTCATATATACGCTCACTTACTGAGGGGCCTCAAGGCGGTTTTCTCTTGGGACCGCTTTAAAAATTGGGATCTTCTGATTTCGCAACTTCATACGGTTGGGATGATGAGCTGCTTCTAGAACAAACAGAGAGTCCACGATGTCAAGAAGCGTCTCCTTTCCGAAATTCGGTATCAAATTACTCCTCCCCCTTCCCGACATCATCATTTTTGTCCGCATCCCGTGCCCGGGTATCCGCATGGCTAGCAACAGGTGTTATTGATACTACAAGGACGATATTTTGTGGGTGGAGAGCCGGCTGGCACGATCGAGGTGACACATGACGTCCAGGAGAAGTAGGAGAGGGGGGATATATAACTTCAATTAATCTTTGACGAGAAAAAGTGTTGTTGGACAAGACGAGGGTCCGGTGTGTATGTGTTCCAGATGCAAAATTGATGTGTTCTCGTCAAAAACTCGAGTGGGAATGGGGAATCGAAACTTTGGCTGGTTCCATGTTATTCGCAGACTACCATAACCCACTTTTAAGCAGCAAAAACCTCATCGGTATTCAGACTCGAGTGAATGACTTTCGCTTTACATAGCAGTCATCTCGAAAACTTCATATCGCATTCCGTATATGTCATCATATTTTCAGCGGGGCCCATTCAGTGACTCTCTTTAATTGGCAGTCACCTCCCATCCATTAATCGTATTTTAAACTGAATGAATTGCGCTCTCTCCCTCTTCTCCTTTCCTTTCTGCTTTTATTTTTGACTTTTCCTCCATTCATCACAAGAAAAATGAGGATTGGCACAAGCAGAAGCAGAGAAGGGAGTGGCTTTGAGGGGAAGGAAGAGGCAAAAAGTTATAGTAAGGGGGTCGACGGCCCCGAAATTAGTTTTGCTTTTCTTTTTCCCGTCTCGTGAAGACTTCAGCTGTAGGTAACAGTGGAAATAGCTGAACAAACACCTGCCCAGAATGAAAAAATACGGAAAACTTCTAATCTAATTAGTAATAAAAGTCGTGTACACAAAAAACAACTACAGTAACCCATGGTCTCGCCAAAGAAGGGACTCTTAATAGGGGCTCTCTTCGCATCAATCTTCTTAATGAGAAGTTTTCTAATGAAAGGCCAACGTAATGGAATTGGCCGTGGGTCCCTCTCACATCCCATTCGATGTGCTTTCTATTTCCACATTATAAAAGAAGACCGATGACTTATCCTCGTCCATTACACCACCCACTTGTGCGGAGCAATGCCTTTTCCTTTTTTCTTTTCACAAAAGAAGATGCGGAAGAATGGACTATACATATATGCAAATATTGGGATCTCAAAACGTGAAAATCATCCTAAATGTATTTCAGGTGTGTCTCGGCGTGTTCACTACGTGGAATGCAGGAATGTGAATGCGACGCTGAGGAGGATAACTATTGCTATCTGTGTTGTGGCAGTTCGGAGCATCAATGCATGGCGGCCCACCATCACAACATTCTACGGTTCGTTACGTGCCTTTCCCACGGGTATCACTACTCTTTGAGGCTTCATTATTTGTTCAACTTTGTTATTTATAAAAGCCCGGGAACATAAGGCACCATCAGCTCGGGGGGTATTCCAAATTTTTAGACCAAACGGCGAGCGGTGGGAACGAGAAGCGTGCTCAAGGTGTCGAATGCATGGCGCCGAGTTGGAAGGTCTTCCGTGTGATGACACTGATTCCGCGAGATTGTGTATAAGTGAGTTTTGATCATTGACTTTTTTACGCATCAAAAACATTTTCTCAGGCGGACGTTGTTCAAACTCCGTTTGTCACACCAAATTGCCCGGATCAGTGTGTGATCGAAAGTACGTTATACATTTTCCGCCCCCGGCATTAGAAACTGATCTGCTACTTTCAGAATGGAGAAGCTGTGCGTGGATAACACTTGTGAGAACCCTTGTGCACGGTATGCGCCACATTTGATGGTATGCGACTGCTCGTCAATAGACCAAGACACCGGATTCGCTTCTGAGGATCGGTGTCAGTTATGCTGTTATGACTTTAACCTGGTGAGCTTGAAAACCGGACAAGATTAGCAAGACCTGGGCAGTTTCAGAAGCCAACAAATCGGCGATGTCAGAACGCGTACCGCAAATACAAAATCATGGACATATTCCAAAAGCCAATTTGGCGAGTAGGATTGGAGTGCGCCGGCGGCAAGGTGTGCAACAAGTACGGTGTCTGCTCATCTTCTCATATCTCCTACGCCATACCGTTGTTTCTTGTAATCCTCTTTTCCCTGTGCTAGGGAATTGAATCGTCCAACTTCTCCCAATTTTCAAACCGGTTGACACAAACTACGTGGAATTTCACTTATGCCCAATCACATCCTGACCATCCCTCTTATATTGTTTGACTATGTATGCAACAACTCCAAGCTTAGCTGTGATAATACTTTGTGAGCTGGACTTGCCTTCATCCACAAAAGGGTTGGGAATGGTATTCCCAGTGAAGAGCAATCGAGTTGCAGAGTCTTTCCGAGAATGATCGGGTATTCCGTTTGGGTGTCGTAGAATTTTGGAATGACTGAAAGCAATTCAAGTATTAGGCAAATTCCAACTAATTTTCTGACCATAAACTTTGAGCTCAAAGTTCTTTGCACTAGAACCAGCCTCATTGACTGCTTTGCAGGCATACCGTCCTTGATTAGTCGGGTCAACGTCAGTAATGTTGAGAGTTCTGTCGTTGTGCGCCCAGTTCTTTGCAAAAGTTCTGTCCTCCTCCCATTGTCCATTGATCATCCATGAGACAGTGACTGGAGCAGACGAAATCACGTTACAAGTGAGAATCACTGTGTCTCCATTGCGAACCTCCACCAGTTCCATTTCGTTGGTGAACGTGGGAGGGGCTGTAAAAATGGTTATTTGTGTCATGTGAAAAATGAAAATTTTGAAATACCTGTGACTCTGACCGAGAAATCTTTGACGGCTTTTCCTGCAATGTTCTCTGCCAAACAGGTGTACTTTCCCATATTGTTCACATTTGAATTTTGGATTTTCAAAGTTTCACCATTGTTCGGGAATGTGATCAACTCATTTGCTTCCATTGGTTTGCCATCGTACAGCCAGACCACCTAAACTTGTGTTATCATAATTTATTGCTTGCTCACTTACGGAATTTTTCAGTTTTCTCAATCTCTATCCCCAGAACCACCTCTCACAAAACCCCCGCAAATCCCAAATTGTTTTTTGTATCATGTTTGAACTGTGATGACTTTCTTTCATCGACTAAATTGACTTTCGCAAAATAAAAACGTTTTCATACTGTACCTTTGGATACGGAGATCCTGACACAACACATTTCAGTTCCAGATCCGTTTCAGGAATGATTGTTTGGACGTTTACAGACGAGAGGTCGTCATTGATAGTTGGCGGGACGTTGACGGTGAAGTCGATGACTTTTCTGGATTCACCAGCAGCGTTTCGCATGATACACGTGTATCTTCCCGAGTCGCTTTTACGAGAAGACAGGAAGCTCAGTTTCTTTCCGGATGATGGAATTTGGATGAAACTGTCTCCACGGAGAGTCTCCTGACTGATTGTCTGTCCGTTCTTCTGCCATTCAACATCCATACCGATGCTGCTGCTCTCACAGAGAAGTTCTGCCGCGAATCCTTCCGTCACCGAAATTGCGTCTTTGAGTTCTCCACTGATAATAGGCGGTACAATAACATCCAGCGTGTTCTCCAAGTCGTCAGATCCCACAGAGTTCGTGGCAATGCAAGTGTAGCGCCCTTGATCCGATTCCTCGGTGTTACTGATCTGAAGTTGTCTTCCTCCGTCGAAAAGCACGAATCTATCGTTCGGTTCGATTGTGATTCCATCTTTGAGCCTGAAATGAATGGAATGTTATTCAGGTTCGTTCTGTGACTTCATCAAAATTCTAGAGCCAATTCCATTTTCTATTTTCTAAATTCCATTTGTCTTTCAAATGAGGCAATTTGTTTTCGTCGTCGAGATTTGTCGGACGGCAAATAAATTTTCAATTCTATCCCTAGCCTTTCTTTTTTTCCAATGCCATTTAAATTGAAAGGGGACTTGAAAGAGATTCAATTTTCTCAGGGTTTTTCAGGAATCTCTTTTACCATGTAATTTTGGGGGTCGGACTTCCTCTGGCCGGACAATGAAGTGTGGACAGTTTTCCGGCGTTTGTGGTGATTCGACGGACAATGTTGGGCTCATCGAAGGACGGAGCAACCAGCATGCTGACCTTGAAGTCTCTCTTGTCCGTTCCAGCGTCGTTCGTGGCCACACACGTGTATTTGCTCGAATCGCTTTGTTGCAGTTTGAACAGATAGAGCTTCTGACCGTTTGCGCTGGTCTTGACGTTCTTGTCGGACTGCAAAGGCTTTCCGGCCTTGAGCCAGGTGATGTTGGCTGCTGGTTTCGCGTAAACTGGACAGGAAATGACAATACGCTCGTTTTGTTGAGACTCATAGTCCGATGGGATTCCGTCTTTCTCAATCTTCGGTACCGTCATCACATTAACATTGACATCCTGCTCAGCACTTCCAGCCACGTTGTCAGCTTCACAAGTGTATCTTCCCGAATCGAATTCCTTGATTCTGGCGATCTTGAGCTCGTTTCCAACAATTTCGGCGGATGGGATGAGGTCCTTGATGTTGTTGACATGGATCGCTTCTCCGTCCTTAAACCATGAGATGTCTGGTTCTGGTTTTCCGGTGGCTGGGCAGGAAAGAGTGACACTCTGGTTCTCGAGCACCGTCTTGTTCTTGTCCTTCTCCAACATCACAATAGTTGGTGGGACGTGAACAATCAGCTTGATGTCGAAATTGCTCTCTCCAGCATCGTTCTTGATACGACAACTGTACGGTCCTTCGTCGGATTCTGTCGCGCTGAAAAATTGGATATTGGGCATTCAATCTCTAAAGAACTTTTTTATACTTTGTGATTTGCAATCGACGGTCCTGGTGGGTAAGAGAGTTTCTCTTATCGGACCATTCAATCGGCTTCCAGTTGAACAACCACATGATGTTTCCTCTAAAGTTCTTGTCATCCTCGATAGGGCACTTGAATACGGCCGTATGACCCTTGATAACAGCGAGCGAGTCCTTGATTCCCTTCTGGATCAGTGGACGAGCTGAAAACAGTTATTACTTTACTATGACGATCGTTTTTTACTTACTGATGACGTCAACGTCAAAGTTGATTTCGGCAGTTCCAACGTCGTTCTTAGCACGGCAGATGTACGATCCTTTGTGATCAATCTCAGCGTGCACAATCTTGAACTGCTGGCCTTCGGACAGAACTTGAACGGATTTCAGATCTCCCAATGGTTTTCCATCTTTGGTCCAAGTCACAATCGGACGTGGTTTTCCGGCAACTTCACAGGGAAGAACGAGAGAATTGTTCTCAATAACTGTGTACTCTCCTCCTTCATTCACAATAGTCGGTGGAACTTGCACATGAAGGTTGAAGTTCTTGGTGGAAACTCCGGCTTGATTAGTGACAGTACAGGCATAAGCTCCGTGATCGGCAGTCTTGGCCGAGTTGATATGGAGGTACCGTCCACCACTGAGGGTCTGAATTCCATCGGTCTCTGCCAAAAATGGTTTTCCATGTACAGTCCAGCTGATTGTCACTCCAATCGCGTCGTCCACATCGCATTCCAAAGTGATCGATCTGGTCACGTTGACAGTAGCCTCCACTTCGGTTTCTCCTGTGATGAATCTTGGTTTCGTTCTCACATGAACGTTGATAGTCTTGACAGCCTGACCAACTTCATTGGTGGCATAGCACTTGTACACTCCACTGTGATCCTTGGTGACGTTCTTGATGACAACGGAGTAATTGTTGTTCACGAATAGGGCCTCAGATGGAAGGGACTTCTGGTTGAACTCCCAGGTGGCGGTTGGCTGTGGATTTCCCTCTGCGTCACAGTTTAAAGCGATTTCCTCTCCCTCATTCAGTTCGATTGTCATCAAAGCGTTCTCGATCTTAGGAACTGCTTGCACGACCACTCCGAAATCCTTCGACACCTGTCCCGCAGTGTTGTTGGCGACACAGGTGTACACGTCTTCGTGGTGACGGCCGGCGTTCAAGATGGAGAGACGAGTGCTGTCGAGAGTGAGAATCTCTTCTCCGCCCTGAATTTCTTCCATTTTATTTTCAAAATGCTCTTAGCTCTACTCACAGAAAGTGGTACTCCTTGCTTCATCCACGTGATTTGGAAGTCTCCCAGAGAAACTGGACAATCCAGAGTGATCGTATCACCTTCACGGAACTGAAACTCATTTTTCTAACACAGTTTACATATGCGCATCAACTTACGGTAGTGCTGCTATCACCGTCATCCTTGAATTTGGGTGGTTCAATATTCTGAACGAAAAATTCACGAGAGATGACGCCTGCTTTGTTCTGAGCCACACAACTAATCTGAGCCGATTTGCCGTCGATTTTCTCAATTCGAATGAGAGCCTCGTCGCTGTAACAAACGGGTTCTCAATTTAAAATCTAATTAAAATCGAGGAGAGATACAACTTTCAGATAATTTGCGGACTCACAGAAGATAGCTGCTGTCCGCTTCGTTTCCATCGATCTTCCAAGTCACTGCCGGCTTTGGATTTCCGGTCACAGCACAGGAAAGGATGAGCGGATTGTCACCGATCAATTTCTCGTTTGCGTTATATTCAGATTCAATGAACACTGGCGGTTCGAGCACGTTTAAAGTGGTCTTCCTTTCAGCTTTTCCAGCGGAATTTGTCACTGAAAAAAATGTATTGAAATTTCGCAAAATCTTTGTATATTTAGGTATACCTCTACACGTGTACTCGCCAATGTTCTCAGGTTTCGCCGCGGTGATATACAAACGGTGCCCGTCACTTGGAATTTGGACATTTTCTTGACTGATACTCTCAGAACCGTTCTGTAAAATTGAATAATACCCATCTGCTTTAAAAATTGCGAAACATACAATAGACCAAACAAAAGTGGTCTTATCATCAGATTCGGACAAAAGGTCGCATGACATCGAAATGTCCTTTCCGATCAAAACTTCTGCTTTCTCATCTTCACCAAGAATCGGAATAGCTGTAAAGGTCCGATTGAACGAGTTTCACGTAAAAACCCGTCAATTTTTGTGTACAACGCTACTCTCGAGATCATTTTTTTTGGTACTGATATGTGATTAGATTACTTTAGAACACTTCTACTGTTGCTGCTGCTGCTCGTGCTGGTGGTGCATGTGCATGTGCAAGAAAAGTGCATGTTTATTCAAGCAAAAGAAGGAAAAAGCAGGAGCAAAACAAATAAAACCGGGCTGGGAAGAAACACAGGGAGAAAACTAATCTGAAAGTGAAACTAATACTGAAGCGGGGTTGACATGTTACGGGAGAGCTGAATTACAACTGAGTTGCTAAATATATGAAAAATTGATTAATGACACTGGGGGAGTTGAATAAAATAGCTATACATTCTCGGGCGGACAAGTGTCGGACAGATTTGAAAACATGCACATGCAGTTATGCTTGAGAATGGGGAATAAGTTAGTGAACAATGGACTGACAAAATGTTCCAGAAATGTTTTCTGTTAGTAGAAACGCTCTACGAATCCGTTACAATGTTGATCTGGCGTGGTTCCCAAACTTTTCTTGCTCCTTTCCCACGTAATGGCTTATTTCTCTTGGCCGGCAGCTTTGGCGAAGGTGTGACGACATCTTCAAGTGTCAAATCAATCCTATATGGTTCAAAACGAGGCGCAGGTGTGGTTTTCAGATTTGGAGGAGGTAATGAGTGAAACTTAGGTGTATAAACAGACGAATCATCAAAGTTTAGTTCAATTTGATGAGGTAAGAAACCAAAAAGTCTCGATTTTGATGCTTGCGAGAAACGTTTGAGAGAAGCGTTGTACACATAGTTGCGGTTGCGTGAATGTTTGGTTTTAAAAAGTATACCCAAAACGGAGAGCTCCACGTCAACGTCCAAAGTGCTGCCTTTGCTCTGCGCGACACAGTGGTAGTTGCCGTCTTGTTTGACACTGACGCTTGAGAAATGGAGCTAAATGTATGTCACATCGAGAAAAGTTGCTGCCGATCCACTTACCGTTTGACCATCATCAGAAAGAGTAGCGCCTTTGTACTCGGTTCCAGGAGCAAAGATGTTTCCATCAATAACCCAGTTAATCTTCGGTGCTGGGTATCCGGAGACGGGGCACCCGAGGAACACTTCCTCTCCTTCTTTCGCGTACACTTTCTTCTTGTATTTCGACTCGTCAAGATTAAGCGGGACTGGAGAGAGACACCGAAAAAATAATTAGAAAGGCCGGGCGCGAAAACAGCACAATTTTCTCACCAATCACCTCCACTTGGAACGACTTGCTTCCCTCGCCGGCAGCATTTCGCGCCACACATTTGTAGACTCCCGAATCGGTGATCTTGGCCTGAAAATGTTGAATGTATGAAAAAAGATGTTCGCTGAAAAAAATTTACCTTGAAAACGTGAAGTTTGCGCTTGTCATCGGACAACTTCCAACCGCTATCGTCAAGAAGCGGTTTCTCGTTGAGGTACCAGGATATCTAGAAGAAATTATTGTTTTTTCTCTGAAATTCTTCTCAAATTTACCTGTGGCAACGGAGTGCTGAAGACTGGGCAGTAGAGGGAGAATGGCTGTGTCTCCTTGACCGATTCTTGAACAACCACGTCTTGGTCAGGAATATCCGGAGCAGCAATGATGGTTACTTGAAGGTACGCTTCAGTTTTTCCAGCTGGATTAGACGCTTTGCAAGTGTAGATTGTGGCATCTTCCAGAGAAGCTTGTTGAATCACCAAGGTTCCGTCCGTCTCCACCATGTATCCCTTAGTGTCTTCTCCAATCGCAATTCCTCTTCTGAGCCAAGTGATCGCAGCAGGTGGTGATGCATCCACGTAGCATCGGAGTTCCACTCGATCTCCAATGACTGCCGTGTAGTTGACTTGGGTGTTTGGAAGAATGACTGGCGGCTCTTGGACAACTACGTTCGTGCTCATCTCGCTTGTTCCGGCTTGATTCGTGACCACACAGTTGTAATTTCCAATATCGTTCTTGTCCGCTTCATAGATTCTCAGAGTTCCAAAGTTGTCGACCGCAAACTTCTTTCCGTCCAAGTTGAGCTCAATTCCGTTCTTGGTCCAGGTTCTGAGAACTTCTGGAACTCCAGTAGCTCTGCAAGGAATCTCGATGGTGAAGCCTTTGACAACATCCACCGTTCCGGGAGTTTCGGAGATGATCTTCGGCTTTTCATGGACCTAAGCAGGGTGAACTTTTGAACATATTCCAAATAAAGACAACATACTTGAAGGTTATAAGTGAGAGAGTCTTCTCCGGCCAAATTGGACACTTGACAAGAAAACAATCCAGTGTTATCCAGTTTGACATTGAGCAGAACCAACGCTCCATCTTCACGAATTGTGTGCTGAAAGTAAAATAAAAACAAATGTCGCGAAAAGTAGAAAAGGCGTACTGGGATAAGCTGCGAGTCAATCTTCTCTCCTTCATACGTCCAGGTTCTGACAGGTGGCGGAAGCGCTTGAGCCGGGCATTCCAGAACGATTGTCTCGTTTTGAAGCACGGTCTTTTCTTGGTTCTGCAACAAACAAAATTGCTTTAAGGGTTTTAGTTTCTATGTATGTGATACCTCAGCATTGATGAATGGAGTTGTGTGGATGGTCAATGTGACGGCGCGAGTATCGTTTCCGGCGGCGTTTTGTGCGTGGCAAGTGAACACTCCACGGTGTTTCTCGTTCACTTCCGGGATGGTCAGTGATCCGTCGTCGTTGGTTGTTCCCTCCACGAACGGGTTTCCATCCAAGAGCCAAGTGATTTTTGGTTTTGGATCTCCGAACGCATCGCAAGGGATAGTGACGGATTGATTGACGACCATGTTGAATGAACTTTGTCCCGGCGAGATGAGCGGGGTGCTCATGATCCGGACGGTCGTTTTTTGCTCATTGTCACCTGCGCTGTTGGTCGCTTGGCACGTGTACACTCCCGAGTATGATTTGTCAGCTTTCTTGACAAGAAGTGTGTTGTCAGCCTTAATTTAGAAATGGAAATAAATTCAAAAAAAGTTTTAATATTCTTACCAGAACCACAAAGTCCTTGCTGTTTGGCGCAATTGGTCTTCCATCCAAGTACCACGTGATAATTGGTGGTGGCATTCCGGAAACCACGCAAGGAATAGCAAATCCTTCGCCGTCCAGCACATCGTGCGTAGTGTTTACAGTTGCCACGTGGTTTTCTTCCATTCCCGGAACCACTGGTTTGACAGTGCCTCCCTCGATGGGCATCACGAACTCTGGCTTCTCTGAACAGTAAAACACCACATCATGCAATGAAGACAAGTAAAGAAGAAAAGTGGGAGGTTGGTCACCAAAAATTGGGCAGAAAGTATAGGAGTAGAAGAAATCACTCGTCATCGTGTTTCATCTCTTTCACCCATGCATCATGCGGTTTTTCACTTACTTATGAGTTGCACATTGATGTGAAGAGTGCTGTTTCCAGCTGGCGACACGGCGATGCAAGTGTACTTTCCTTCGTCCTTCGGGTTTCCTCCACGCAGACGGAGCAACGAGCCCCCGCCTTCAATCTGAAATCAAATCTATTTGATTATGTTCCCCTTATGAAATATGCACCTTGATGGTTGGTCCTTCTTCTACCGTTTTATTATCCTTGATCCAGACAATTGTCGGTTTGGGTGTTCCCAGCACGACCACACATGAAAGAGTCAAATCTTGTCCCTCAATCAGTTGCTCCTCCGGCGGCACGTGTCCCAAAACTGGAGACACAAGACCAGTAACCATGAGAGTGGTGGTCTGGGATTGCTGCCCGTAAGTGTTCTTTGCAATGCAAGTGAATTGTCCCTGATCTTCAATCTGAGCATCTGTGATCAGAAGATTTCCATCGGCAAGTTGAGTGTATCTTGCGTTGTTCAAAGAAGAGACCAACACGTTTCCCTTTTGCCATTCGATTTCCGGCGGTGGAATTCCGACAGCAAGACATTGAAGAGTGACTTGTCTCTCAATGTTCACGCGGACAGTGTGTGGCGACTCAATAATAGTTGGAACTCGTCCGACGGACAGATTGGCCACTTGAACATCCTTTCCAGCCATGTTCTCTCCGACACAGGAGTAGGCTCCAGCGTCTTCATCCTTGGCTCCCATTATGTGCAACTGTCCCTCGGTGATTTTGATGTAATCATCTGGTTTGATGAGATCTTTTCCATTCTTGAACCATCTAATCTTGGGTAGAGGTTTTCCTCGGATGGTTTTGCATTCGAAAGAGACTCGGTCTCCTCTTCCGACCATCATCTTGTTCTGAATGATCTCGACCTTTGGCGGAGAAGCCAACATCAGATCGGTAGTGTCACGTGCTTGGCCGGCTGGGCTCATGGCTCTGCATTCGTAGGTTCCCTCGTCATGTTGAGTTGCGTCACGGATGTACAGAGATTCTGAACAAAAATGTATTCCTGAATATCCGGTGAAGATGCAAACTAACTAGATTCGAATCCGACAATATACTTGTAGTCCGAGGTAATCAACTTTCCCTTGTGATACCAGTGAACTTCAGGTTTGGGGTCTCCGATAGCTTCACAGGTGATGTTGACGCTGTCTCTCATGTTGAAGTATATTTCCGACGGTGACACTTTTACAGACGGCGGTTCCATGATCTATAATGAGAATACCACGCATTGCATATTTTCGAAACTTTAAATTTCAGTTCACTTACATCCAATCTCATTTTCTGTGTGCTCATTCCCCCTGCATTTCTAGCCAAGCACTCGTACACTCCCGCATCTCCTCTCGTCACGTGATGGATCTTCAAAGTTCCATTGTTTGGGTTGCGTTCGGTGTTTGGTCCGTTGAAAACAGTGGCTCCGTATCTTGTCCACCTGACTTCAACTTCTCCTGCTGAACGAGTTGGGCAGTGAAGGAATGCGGTTTCACCAAGAGGGACCGAGACATTGCGGGCTCCAATGATTAGTGGCGGTGATTCTCTAGTTTCAACGCGAGTTTTCACACTGTAGTTTCCGTTGTTCGAGAGTACGCGGCATTCGTATTCTCCTGCATCTTTGAGAGAAAGTTCAGGAATTGTCCAGACAGAAGTATCGGTGTTGCTGAAATGATGAAGTGCTTACTTTTCTTGCTACCTGTGCAACTTACTGATAGAAAAGTGGACCTCCGATGAAACCTTCTCCAGATTTGACCCAGTAGATTGTGTAAGGTGATGCGCTTTCCACAGTGCAACTGAGATTGAGATCCTTTCCAACGAATTCTTGATGGTATGGTGCCAAAAATGCTCGTGGCCCTCCGACAACAACACTTCCAATGGCTGTGGGAGCAATTCGACGAAACTCGTAATTTTCCTCATCATATCCACTGACACGGACAAAGAACAGTCCTTTTGGCGGAACGAACGGTCCGACAAAGTACATATTGGGGTTTGTACGGTGCGGAGAAGCAACTGCGTTGTAAAGACTGTGGCCTGAAAAAGAATAAGTTATTATCACCCGAAAACGAATATATGATACCATGATAATCGACGAGATCAATCTCTCCAACAGTGCCGGGCGGAATCAACCCCGTCATGTTGACCAGCAAGTAAGTATCTTGATTGAGAACTGGTCTTGGACGAGTCAGCTCAATCCGATCCAGCGGACGGGAAGCAAAACCGTACTTGAAGTCTACGGATCCATGTCCGAACACACGGATGGTGTGCTTCAGTCTAGAGTTGGTGTTGACTGTCCAAATTCCAGGAGTCGGGTCTTTCAGACGGATCAATTTTACGTTTTTTAAGTCGATTGTTCCTCCCTCCTTGCTGTACAATCGTTTGTCAACAGTTCGGCCTTCCGGATCACGGAGTACAATGTCCAAGTTATCAGAATCATCTTTATCTCCAGAAAGAGAAATAGTGAGTTCCGAAAGGTGCTTGTCCACGGGGATCGCTCGAGAAACCATACCTCCACGCTCACGGGCCTCGTACATCATGTGCACTTTCTTCTGTTTCACAGCATGTCTCACATACTCCAAAACAGTGCTGACGTCACTTTTCTCCAAGTGAAACACTTGTCCGAACGAGGCGGCGGCAATTTTTTCGTAGGTACGGAATCCGGGATGGGTACGGTTTCCGCAGTCTCCGGTCATCACGAATACCACAGAAGATTGTTTTTCTTGAATTGTATTGAGCACATCATCTTCTAAGTGATAATCTTTCGAACGGGCGTCCGTGAAAACGTAGATGAACGAGGAAGGCAGAGCGATTTGAAGGGCTTTCAGAATACCTGGAAAAATGTTTTTTTTTAAATAATATGTACGAGTCCCGTCTTGTTCTCTTTTTCTGTCCTCCATCCCGCCTACTAGAGTTGCGCAACACTAATATGCCAGACGCAGTTGTAAAGCGCGCAAATATTATGATAGCAGCGGTAGGATTTACAACGCCGCCTGTTGTCCAGTGGTGTTCCCCTTCTGTAAACTTCTATCCCCCCCACGGTACTTTCATCTCGAATTTCAATAAATTTACACAAAATCAAAATCCCAAGGGGGTTAGAATTCGAAATGCAGAAGCTGATCAGTTACATCTGGTGTTATATTTCAATCATTCCGTGAGGGCGCCGAACGAACGTGCAGCAGTTACTATAATAACTACAATATGCGAAGAGAAAGATCAGAGAAAATTGTTAGTATGCTATGGGAATTTTAACGATTTGGGGTCACCGGATTGCGGGCTGCGGACGTTTACGCCATGTGGTTTTCATTGGACACCGTGATAGATGGCACTTGGAAAACGAACAAAGCGAACAGAACAAAGTCGTTTTGGTCCCTGACAAATATGCTCTGTTTCCCCTACGTCAGCTTCACAGCTATACTTTTCTGGTTAAAATCCAATCAAAGAGAAACGCTAACAAAACCGTCAATTAACGTCTTGCATTCACTCCGAGCCCCGGTCCCGCTTGCTGACTCAACACCTCCTTTCACAGACCGTTTTCGGCAGTCCAGCAGGTGTCAGGGCCCATTGCGTCAGACCGCTTCGCTTTCAACGAAACGAAGCCCAATTGCGCGAGACGACGCGCATTTCACACACAATTCCGTCTCTTCTCACAACTTTTGGCAACATTTTGACAAGGAAAAGGATCTGCTAGCAAAACAAACAATGCGACCTCTAGGTTGAGTGTATAAGGAAGAGGAAGAGAAAAGAGGGAAAATTAATGAAGAACTGAAAACTAAAAGCATACCGGTCAAAGTTTTCTCTGGACAATCTCCTCCTCCGTGAACGTACACTTTGCTGAGCTGTCGCATAAAATACGTCGAGTCGGTGGTATTGATGATCTCGCCCAAATCTGAAATTCCATTAGATTTTCGCTTTATTTCTCAGATCCCCCGTGAACGTGAGTGTTTGACCCCATTTATCTCCCAGTTGCTCCAAAGGTGAAGGAATTGATGAAAAGTCCTTCGGTTCCGATTCTTTTGCTCCGCGGAAGTGTAACACGGGCGCCAGAGAGCCTGATGACACTCTGCTCTCCGCCTGTTCCGCTTTTTTTTATTTGGCAGTGAGGTTCGGCTACTGGACAGTTGTTGTGGCAAGGCTATATTTCAAACGGCACGATTGATGGCGTCTCGTCAAGAGTTTGAGACCCAACGAGTTTCAAGAACCGATCGGAATCTGAGAATCTGATCAAACTTCAACTAATTTGTGCGCGTTTTTTTTTCATGCTCCACGAGCATGTGTATGCAGGCGATGAATCAGAGAGGGGATATCTAATCGTCGCAACAAAACGCCAGTACGAGGAGTCCAAGATTAATTGCAATCTGCTCACGTGAATCACAATCACAAGCGTATCGTGTGTAAATATATTTTTTTTAATTTCACAACCCTCAGAATTCCCCCTCCCACCAAAAACTTACATGGATCGTGGAACGGTACCATGATGTAGTTGTAGATCAGTTTTTCTCTCTGGGCCATCACCGTTTTGAAGATCTTCGCGGCTCCTTCACGGACTTGCACCAAATCGTCAAACATGGATCCGGTGATGTCGAACACGAAAGCCAATGAGGACTTTCCAGTCGGGTCATTCTTATCGTCGGTGGTTGTGTTGCAAAAGTTGAATAATAAAAGGAAACCGAAGGCCGCAAGGACCCACGGAGGACTCCCGCGTCCCATTTTGTCGCACGTTGAGAGACTATTGAAGGTGAATGGATGTCCGGGACACTTCGGGCTGAAATATTCGAACATTTTCAGAAGTGGATAAGAAAATATATTAAGAATTGAGACAAGAGTACAGGCTCTCTGCGAAAAACGAGTCGAACTGAAGTTTGAATGGCTGATGCCCCGGCGGGTGGGCGGAGCTTCCGGAGAAGTAGAAAGAGGGGCTGTGTTTTGTATGCAGTGAGGGAGGAGGTGTGCCTGGTCGGCGAGGGTGCCTGTCTGTGGAGCAGAGCGGAGGTGAGAAGAAAAATGGATGCACGGCGCAAAATTCGGGGATAAGAAAACGCGCTTGATAATAAGAGAGATATTGACTGATCATCAGAAAAGTGGGAGAAGAAGTGTCAGAGGCGACACGTTGCATCCAATCGCAACAGCAAACCGAACTCATTAATTACCATTCGCCCTGCTCTTCACACTCTCCTATCACACACACATACACACACTCACACACGTATTTCTTTCTGCTTTGTCGCGGAGTCAGCACCTTGTGCCCTGACCGCTGATCCCAACACTGAAAAGTTTCGTCTCGTCCCCTTCTCCAACCGGTATGATTCATCACTTCGCGAAGCTCACTAGATCTTTGCGAGGATGATAGGTACCAATAATAGAGGATTTATGGGAGTCGAGGAGCCATAGCCAATGAAAAGACGGAACACGAACTGAACCCTTGATCCCAAAGCACTCGATAGAAACGAAAAGTATGAAAGCACTCAGCTGCGATTCATCTGGACAAGAATTTATGGTCAAGAAATATATGAAAAGACAAAAGCGTTCGGCCTTTCATGAAAGTTCGTCATAGTACAACCAGATGTATCGCAGCCGGTATGGAAATTGAAATTTTGAAAAAAGCATGAAATGGGTTGGGTAAGGTCAAAGCGAGCTCGGAAAAGAGAGACAACCCAGTCCTCGTCTTGTGAAATTCGATCTGAACTTGAGGATAAGAAGATAAAGATAAATGAACCGGATACTGGTCAGTCTTAGATAACATTACCGGTGAAAAGCGGGGGAGAAAGAAAGGAAGGAGGAATCCGGGCCTACGGGGGGAAACTTGAGAAGAAGTGAAGTGAAGCGAGGGCGACGACCGTCTTGCGGAATGCATCGAAAAACGACACGAGCATTTACAACCACTTAACGCAATCATTAGATCTGAGAGATTTATCGGGGGCACCAATTTGTTGCGTTTGAAACTGAAGAAGAGGAGTGGGGGGAGAACAGGGTCCAAAAAGTCTGGATCCAGAGCTGAGCTGTGTGTTCTAGAAACAACCTGAGATCAGTTATTTTGATTCTGTGAAAAAAAAAGCCTGTAAAACAAATCAATTCTTAAATAGAACGAGCCTTATTATACTATCGGGGAATTTCAATGTGAATGCGCTCGGTTGAGAAACCCTTTGTGACGAAACGAGTTCCAGTTGTTTTTCATTTAAATCCTGGAAACATTTTCTCTGTTTTCAATTGGCGCCGGGCTGGAAATCACACCTGCAAGAGAGCGCATTCACTTTGAAATGCCCCGATAGAACACTGATAATTTCAACTTCCACTCAGACTCTATTATTTTTTGCTCTCCTGTCTTTATAATTTATAACCAAAATCTGTCTGTTCTGGTCTCTCATCCTTTTCTCCCATCATTTCTTTTTCTTTTTTGCGAACGAGATTTGTCCTCCTCCCAATGCTCGGACGTACGCCGACCGGGCGAGCAGCTGCCACGTTTTTTGAACCGGATCTAATTGAATCAACCTATTTTAATCGAAGAACATTTCGTCCGTCGCATCGCCGTCATTTACACTTTTGCAAAAAGTGAGTGAGCACGATAGGATTCCGTTTTTTCCGGAAAACGTAGACAACGTAATGGTGGTACTTAGTACACTTGTACCTATTGGAAAACGGGTCTAATGTGAACTAGCACCTTTTTGCGCTAGGGTTTCAAATTTCGGGTCTATTAGAAGATGTTGTGGCTCTCGACTTCCTGTGTGAAATGTTCACTACCGGAAACTGGAAAAAATAGTTTGACACCTTACGCCTCACCTCATTCAAGTCCCCCCGCGAGCCATGAGTTTCCCCAATTCTCTGCTAAATCTTTCGAAAATTGACGACTCCGAACCGACAACTCGCATGAATTCGGAATGTTTTAGTGAAAGATCTGAGGTCAACTGACATTCGATATTTTCAAAATCAATTCGTTCCAGACAGTCCCGAAACAAGGTCCAATTGTCCGTTCATCCTCTGAAAGCGATCTAATCAAAAGTTGTTCTTATGACGTGGCGGTGGAGAGTATGCGGCGTAACTCGTTGGAAGAAGTTCGTCAGCCTACAAAAACCCCGATTTTTTCAAGAAAACATCAGTTCAGGTGTCGGAATGTATGCAGAATCGGCTTGACGCGGAAGCCGAGAGCATTTTGGAGCATGGCGAGGTGGCTGACGGAAATTCTTTGAAAAAGTGAGCCACCAGTCGTCGTTGTCCTCCAGTGGCCGACATTTTCTTCAGAAAAACGTTTTTGATGAACATGTTCCGAACTGCAGTGATGAAGGTGATCAAGGACACATCCGGCGATGATTTTGAAGGTATTTCTCTGAATGTCCCTTGAAAAGTTCAAATTAGGGCCTTTATTCCGAGATGTTTTCTAGTCACAAAATAAATGATAAAAAGTCATTGAGTCCGATGATGTAGGCTGTTGAGGGAAATAGGATGAGAATAAGGGAGAGAGAGAAGGAGAGAAAGAGAAGAATTCGGGAATTATTCAGACAATTAGACGAGAAACGGAGCGAATTTAAAGAAAAAAAAATGGAAGTGGGTGGGGTGGACTCCTCCAGTCAAGTAAGCGGGCCAAAAAAAGAATAGATGAGTCAGTCTGTCACCGTGGATCTTTGAGATGCCCAAAAATGTGATGCATATAAATTACAGAGAAGAGAGGGAGTACTATAATTTTTTTGTTGCAAAATATCAATAGTGCAATTTGATGTGTTTTGAAAAGGAAGACAAACCTTGAAAAGAAGGGCATACGTCATTGGGCGGAAGCGAGAAGGAGCGAAAAGTTACAAAGAGCAAGAGCGAGAAAGAGAGCAATACAAGAAGAGTGTCGATGAAGTTGTCATACTATAGTTGAACTTGAAGCCATTCATGGGCGGATCGTGAAGATTGTCTCGTTCTCGGGGTTCGGTTGACGGACGGTTCCACCGCTGCACCAGCCAAAGAGACGGCTCCAGACGCTCATGCGTGCGCGCACATCGGTGCGGGTGACGAGACGACGGTCGCGGTAGTACGTCTGTTTCGCGACCTGATGAGGAATCAAGGTAACGCAGGTAATAAAGCGTGTTACTTACCCAAGCACAGTGTGGGCTCACGGAGCTCGACGCAGAGATGAGAGCCGCTGGCACCGATACTTTAGTTGGCTCTGAAGGCGTTGAATCCTCTGGGTGTGTTGTGAAGAACTTTCCGAGTTTTGCCATTCCTAGAAATTTTTGTTTGAAATTAACAAGCCAAAAATCAGAACACGCAAGCAGTGACTCGGTGGATGTTAATTATTTCAACATTGACCCATGAAAACAACCGGGAATTGTCTACTGGACCTTATCCGCTCCCAAACAAAGGTAGCTCATTAGAAAACGTTTCCGAGAATAGCAAGAAGAGAGAAATGACAGAGTGCATAGCATGAGCGGTGACTATGCATTCCAAGCTCAATTTCAGACAGACGTCATATCTAATCCCTACACAGTCTGCAGACTCATTACCACACGTGCTCCTTCTAATTACACCCAGTTTGGGAGCATTGTTCATATAGCTTCGGGTTGAGAAACAAGTGAGCAAGTGGTGATTATCAAAGGATATTTCAAAATTTGAATAACCATAGATTTTTAATGGGAAAGGGTAGTTAGCGGAATGTTCGCAATTGGTAGGTAATAAAATCCAAACTGTCAATTTCCAGGTCTAATTGCTCCTCTACCCGATGATCCTTCCACCAACCTCACACTCCTCCCCACCCAGAAAACAAAAGCCATTTATCTGTCTCAAGTATTCAAAGTTAGTTACTACGTGGCAAAACAAAACCAACGTCATAGTGATTTTTCCTAGTACGCTGTCAAGCAAACCATCATCACTCGGAGACAAGAAAAATCGAATGGAGACCCTTGGGATGAGTTTTTCTACCGGATATACAGGTACAAAACACTGAAAACTCTTTGAATTAGTGAGTTTCAGCGCTGAAAAGCCGAGGATGGAAAATGCGAGGAGGTGCGTCAGTGCCGGAATCAAACTGAACTTGAACCAAGGTGAAGAATTCAAAAATACAAAAAGGGGAAAAGAGGGCGATAATGTAGGCACAAGTACATTGAACATCGGTTTTTCGGCGCACCACTTTGTATTTTCAAGCCATTCCAAATACATTTTTCGCCTTTTCCAATTTTTCGTTCGTATTTTCCAGAAATACATTTTAAATCTGGGAAAACCGAGATAAAATTCAAAGTTATCTGAAAGTCACATCTGAAAATGTTCAGAGCTGCAAGATAAACTGAACCTGACCAGCTACGACCACAGATTGCAGGATAAACTGACACCGCATGTAAGTGAGCTCCCATCAATTCCCCTTCGCATTTTACCGCCAAAAGTGCCATAAAACAATCGGGGGTGACGTGTTTTCCTCGACCGCGCCAGCCAAAACAAATTCACCAAATACCGGATATTAATTTCAGAGATCAAGCGCGCACGGCGGCTCGGAACGCGGCAAACGGGCGTTCGACAATCTGAGCCGAATCTCGAGTAGTATTTCAAAACGGCGACAGCAAGAGATTAGTGAGAGGGAAGGTTAGTTTTAAACTTTGGGTTCCTTCTTCTCCTTCTTCTCCTTCTTCTTCTTCGGAGGGCCCAAAAAACGACGGAGAAGAAGATGGAGTGGAAGGGTGGAAGAGGAGAAGTGCAAACTTCCAGGCGTCGAGCACTTGTCTCAACATGCGACTCTTCCGAAATTGCCGCCCCGACGTCTTCGTGGCGAAGAACGGACCGATGAGCGTGGTCGTCGCTTCAGAGTCGAAAAAGTGAGGAGGAGGAGCCCAAAATGTCTTTTATTTGAGACCCCGCGCCCCCCGCCACCACCACCATTTTGCCCTCTTTTCTCGTTTTCTGGCGGCGGTCTCGTCACTCGGAAATAGTGGTGTTCCGGTGGCGGATGGGCTCTAGGTTTCTATGGTACGCGGCGGGCGAGGAGCGACATGAAAAACGACGAGGGGGGTCGGAGCTCAAACAGATCTCGACGCGCGATTGTTCTTTTCGGCTTTCGGATGTATGGTTGCCGCCGCCCCGCCCATTGTTCTCGCGCTTCCCTCATCCCATAAAGATCAAACGAGGGTGTGAAGGGTGCGTTTAAAGAGGTCAACTTTAGAATGCGCACCATTTGAGCACACTATGATGGGTTTGGGCAGTACCGAACTCACCCTTGATGCCCTTGACGGCCTTGTCGAAAATTCCAGCGCAAAAGATGCTGGATTTGAAGGAGTCGGACATGATGATTGTTCAAAAGACGCTACGATATTTGAGTTGATATCCTTGTATGATCGAAGGCACAAAAGTCAGTCCGAGTTTGGGAGAAATCGATCTGAAGAAGGAAAAAAGTGATATAAAGTGAAAAGAAATGAGAATGCGGTCAGAAGCATCCAGCTGGGGAGGAGGAAAAGAGGGGGGAAACGATTGATAATAGCGGAGAGGGGAGTCCGAAGACAACACACAAGAAAGGTACAATCTCGCGTGTCTATGTGAGTTTTGGTGCAGCAAAAAACTCGCTGGCATCATTTCCAATTGGGCAGGCAAGTCAGTTCTCCTCTTCAGTCAAAACTAGAGACCAAGTCGGTCGCCCCGAGCCGTTTTTGGTAGAGGGGTAGTGCGAAGAAGGCAAAGAGGAAGACGAAGAGGAGGAAAATGGGTGAAAGCGAATGAGAAGGAAGCGACGAGAAGTGGCCCGAGCTGTGCACTAGATCCCGCCCTTTCTTGCGACGTGGCACAGAAACCAGGCACGTCTATGAATTATGACTACTTCAGAGATTTCTTGCCGTCGGGAGGAGCCAGCACATGTTCTTCTCGGATGTTATGATGTGGCAGAGACGAAAAAATTGTAGCGTTTTGTGACGTGTTCCGGTTTGCGTCACAGTCCACGGGGTTCTGAGTGCGAAGTTGAAGAGGGAAAAGTGGGCAAAGAGATGGGTTCTAGGGAGGGAGAGTAAAGTAAGAGTTACTGTCGTTTTCACAGTCCGCACGTGTCACGTGTGTACCCAGAGTGTCCACTCGAAAATCTGCTCTCGCTATCCGCGCCTTTTCACCTTTAAATTTGCCAAATATTATGAGTATTGCTCTCTATAAAGTACAAAAACTGAGCAGTCAAGGTTTGAATTCTGGTGTTTCGTTCTCAAATTTCAATTCATCCCACCTTCTCCCTCATTTTGAACAACTGATTTTTGAGTCAAAAACTGAGAAAAAAGTTCACCTATCTTGCAGGTTCGTCATTCTCCGGATGGTCGCTCCCCTTTGAGTCGTCTCTTTTACCTGCCGCACATTCCTTCGAAGCCATCCAATTGAACACTTGGATTTCGTAAACGTGTTTCAATAATTAACTTTATTCAAACAAGAGTTCAAATAAATATGAGTACCAACAATTGTTATCCAGAAGTTCCCATGCTTAAATAGAAAGTTAAGTTAAAGTTGAAGATCTAAATTGTGGTCTCAAAAGTCGTACAAAAAAGTTCAAGAATATATTGTTTTGGGTGATAAATACTTATTAAAGCAGTTTTTCTTGGATTTTTCAACTGAAACAAGAGCGAACTCAAGCTGTCAGTAGATCAATCCACTTTTTTAAAGAATAGGTTAATGAAATTCAAATTCAAAAGCAAGAGCAAAGTGAAGGCAAGGAGGATTAGTTGAACTTGTGAGTCTGGACCTTTCCGACGTTGGATCCGGCCCCGTACTCGGCCTTGTACGCCGCATCGTTCTTCTTCGACTCCTCAATGATTCCGACGTTGAAGCGAGCGATGAGGTCGCTGACGCGCTCTGAAATTTAAACAATTAGTAGATGTTGTTGTATTTCGATCGATAAAACTCACTCTTCGGGACCCCGTCGGTGTCCGCAGCGTCCTTCTTGATGTCGGCGGCCTTTGGCGGCCACGGGATTCCGCCGAGCTTCTGGAACCACCAATGATTAACAACCGGACTAGCTGAAACCAATGATCGTACCTTGGCGTTGAGGACAGTCGGGCTCGGAGTGCGGTTCTCCGTCTCGCTGCGGTTCTCGTTGTCGAAAACGTCCGGAGCGAACTTGACCTCCTTGGCCGGAGAAGTGGCCGGCGAGCTCTTCTTCGAGAGGATCGGCGAGAGGATCGGCGACGGGCTCGGCGAAGCGTCGCGGATCTGGGTGCTCGAGGCGAGCAGCTCCTGAGCCTTGCGGACCTCCTCGTCCTCGTCCTCGTCGACCTGCGAAGACAGAGTCAGCTTGACCTCCTCGATCTCGGTCGGCTTGTCGTCATCCTCCTCGACAAAGTCGGAGATCTGGCTCTCCTGGAGCACCTCCTGCGTGGCAGTGATGACGTCCTCGATCGGAGTGGTCGGCGTCTTGGCTGAAAAAGAAAAGATGTTTTGGGAACGAGGGAAAGGAAACAAAAAAATTGCGAAACACACTTACCATCGTAGGACAGCTCTTCGATCTCATCCTTGGCGATGGGAGCGGCGGTGTAGTTCTCCATTTCTGAAAAAAAAGACGAATTAGGAAGGATATAATTTAGAACAGATACAAGCAACATAGAAGAAGGAGAAAGCGGAAAGCCTGGAAACCGTGCTTACTATCGTTCGATTTTTTCGAGTCAGCGGAGTACTTGCTAGCATAGCTAGTATACTTTGGGTTCGCGGTGTAACGGGACACACTGCCGGTGTCACGATCACGATCGCGGTCACGAATGTAGCTCGAGGAGCCGGAGCCGGAGCCGTAGCGGGAGGTGTAGGAGGAAGAGTAGCGAGACGACATGATTGAGTCAATACAAGTGAAGAAAATTTCGAAACTGTGCACCGCTTTTATTCGGTTTTTTGGAGGCGGACCGCCTCACAATGCGTCATTTTATTGTTTTTTCGCCTGGAACAATCCTTTTTCCGCTTTTTTCTTCCGAACACGACAAAATTCATCGGTTGACTCATGTTTTTGTTGGCTGGCAAGCACCAGCGAATCACTTTTTGGCACGGAGGAAGAGGGAAATATCAACGAAATCGAACTTTTCACAGCTCAAGGGGGACAAATGCGCGAATTTGGCACCCATATGTATTGTGTTACCTATTATGTTACAAGCGGGAAGGCGGGAAAGAAGGGTATATCCAATTTCAATTCAATTAATCAACAATGACCAGAGGCGAGAATGAGACGGATTGAGTGAGGTTGAGGAGGGGAACAATAACAGAATTATTAATGAGCTGTACTATTTTACGATTCCCCCTCGCATACAAATATTTGGTGGGTTTAGAAATCTGAAGCAAAACTTCACCCACTGATTCTGGTTTCGGCAGCAGTTTTGTGGCGGCGAAGTTTGGCGAATAGTTTGGAAGTGTCGAAATGTTTGGAAGATATACTGCCGTGAATACGCAAAAGATGGGAACTACGTTCCATTGTTTTCACAGAATCCGGAATGTTCGGAAGGGAAAAGACGGAAGGCTGGAGAGATGGAGGACTGACTACTCGTCAGTTATTCATAAAACCGCCAGGCCCCAAAGAGAAAATTGTTCATTTATCAGGTTGCAAACGCACTAAATTTCCAATTTCCACACCGACCGAAAAAAGGCGCGCCTGCCTGCCACATCATAAAACTGAAGGCTAGTAAACTGGGAGTAGGAAGAAAGGAAAGGAAAGGCATGTCGAAAAGAAGTCTATTCTTTCACAAAAAGAGGTTTCGTAAGCTTTCAAATATTCTGGGGCAGCGGCGGAGGCAAATCACGCGCGCGCTGCCGCTGACCAACTTGTATTTCGTAACCTTCATCTCCGGTCGGAAATACGAAATACTCATCCCGCTGTTTTTCCGCGCAAAACAACACGACTCCTTAGCGGTGACTCATGTCGGTATTGATGGAATGGTGGCAGAAATCTGTACGGGATAAGAGAGAGGAGCAGATGAGATGGGAGGGTGGCGTGGAATGCGAATGGAATCGATTTGGAATAATAATAACGGTCTGTGGGAAAAGGTCGGGTCCGGACAAAGGAGAGAGCATCGATGATAAAAGGTGTAGGGTGACCGGTTATCATTGATTGTACCATTTGGCAGTTTCGCACGGACGTGGGATGTATGAGCAACAGTACTAGACGGAAGAGACCAAGAAAGTCTACTTTCTCAGAGAACCAGCGACTTGGAGAACAAAACAAGTGATTTTGAGACCATAATTGTTGCGATATATTATTATGACCGGCCAAAAACGGCAGAAGATTTAGTATTTAGGCAAATGAAGACCGGAAAGATGTGCGCGAGTGACAAATAGGCGATTAAGTCCACTACATTGGTGAAAAGAAAGAGAAGGGCGGGGGGTGTTTTGGGTGGAATGGGAATGGCATCGAAATAAGAGTGACCAATTGTGACGGAAGAATGGAGCGTTCGACAGGAGCGAGTAAAATGAAAGGACAAGCGAGAGTCTTGGCTGGCTATGAGTAAATGTGTGTGTGTGTGTGTGGTGCGCGAAGAAGAAGAAGAAGAAGAAGAAGACGAAGAAGACGGACCGAGAACACTGAGGAGGTCTTGGAGGAAACGGCAACATGCACCACAAGCCAGTCTTGGAGCGGAGAGCCCAATCGTTCGGGAGGGCTCAATGCTCACTCGTTTCCCGTCCGTTTGCTTCATTCCTTATTCGGCCTCCCACTCCTCCACATTTGCATTTGCATCTCCATTCATTCGTTTCGCTTCGATGATGGCAATCGAAGAAATGGGTCAAGGGTTGGGTGCAAGTTTAAAGAAAAGCTCAGGCTCAGGCTGAGAATTGCAAAAAAGGTCAGAACAGGACAAAGAGAGTTTCTGTCTGCAGCAGGCGAGGGGTGTTTAGCTGATGGTCAAATAAAACTGAATTGGGTTAGATGTCGGGAAAAGGTGTGCACTAACAAGAGCAGCTCGTCCGGCAACTTTTTTTGACGGGTTTCTTGAAGTCAATGTCGGTACGAATGAACCGCTCTGTCCGCTTTAAATACTGCCAAGCTTCATAGAAACGTGGGCGGAGCGATCGAGCTATGATTCATTACCGTATAAACTCGAGAGATTGTTTTTCCAAAACAAAATGTGTCATCAGAGAAAAGTGGTCAGCTTGTAAACTTTGAACACTTTCTGAGCGCTTCCGGCAGCAAAGTATAATAATGCAAAAATGAATCGGAAATGAAATAAATAGAGGAGAGAATAACGAGATAAGGGGGATGGAGACCGGACCCGAAATGAATTGGTCAGAGCGCGTTCATGACAACAACATCAATCTTGAGAAAGGAGGCAAGAGGACGTTGGCTGATGGCGGTTAGTACAAGAAAGTGACAGATGGCCGCCGCTCCGAAATTGGGTTCTCTTCACTTGCACCACCACATTTGGACTTGGCGCCGCCATCGACCTTCTGTGCCGTCGATTCGGTTATCTTTTGGCAGATGCCTTAACGAAAGCGAATGTCAATCGCAATTTGAGACCACAAGGGAATTGCAATTATCATAATGTGTGGGCTGGAGAGAACCTGAGAAACAATCTGGCAGAATTGGAAACCTAAGGAACGGCAAAAGTGGAAAAGAACGCACTTGAGGATGCCTGCGCGACTACCTATGGTCGGTCGCCTAACTTTTTTTGGCTGTACATACGTCTGAAAGTGAAACAGAGACGGAGAGGTACACACACATACACACCACAGCAATGCAATGCATATTTCATCGATGTCCACTTTTTTGGCCGAAATGTCGGAAGGAAGAGCGACAGATTAGTTGGGAACGTCAAGGACGTGTGTGTTTCTGAGAATATCCGGAAAAGAGACGGGATTGTTGGGGACAGAAGGTGAGAGAAATGAAAAGGAATTATAACAAGCAGAAAGAAGAAAGAAAGCACTTCAATTACTAAATGACCTCGATTCACTCGCTTAGTCGGAGAAAACAATAAAGCGAGGAAGAATATCTATGTATGGTGTTCCGTTTTTATATACTGACCCCCTCCCTTCACTGTTTCATAGTTTGATAAACATCTGATGACTAGACGATTCTGTATGAGTCATTGAGTGATAACGGGCGATGCGATGACGTGTCAAAATCAACTTTATTCAACAATAGACGATTGTTTTAAGATATAAACGAAGGTAATAGTAAGATAGATACAAAGTGGAAGATCTGATACAAGTAATCAGAATGAGATAACATGCCTGAGGAAGTAAAAAGAACGAAAAGTTACGACGAAAGGAGTTTCTCCACGGAGAACACCCATGCAACTGGTCATTCTCATTAAATCAAATGTTTAATTGAATCTGAATAGTCAGAGAGAGAGAGAAATAAATGGAAGGAATAGGATGCTGATACTTTAAATTGGGAAAGAGGGGAGAGGAAACTAAACAAATGACCGTGTGCTGTTCATCAGAAAATGAAAGAATTGAAGGGCGTAAAAGATGAAGAGAGGGACAAGGACAGGAAGTGCGGTATTTCAGCGGTAGACGCTGTCCATGTACGCGGATGCTTGGTAGTGCGAGTAGGTGACCGGAGCCGGGACGTTAGGGTTTGAGAACGCGGACATCATATCAAACGAGTTCTTCTGAAAAAGGGTACGCATAGCTTCATTTTCCAGAAGTGCCGTTTTCCTACCTTATTCATGTTCCTCAGTTTGCATCCAAAGTAGATGGCAGCTCCGGTGGAGATCAACAGCAGACCGGCCAGCACCGCCATGATCGAGACCGGCACCAATCCGAATCCAGAACTCTTCTGACAGACCTCCGTTTTTTGTGCGCTCGGCTGTCTACTTATAGGGCTCGGGACTCCTGGTCGTGCCAGGATGGAAGTATCTTTGACTGGCACTGAAACATGTACTTTTCTACAATTTTTCTCGTTTGTCTTCTGCCCACATTCTAAAGCTTCTGTCTTTCTGACAACGGTGAGAGAGTTTGTGATGTCAAGAGAGCCCGTATCATCCTTTGGTGTTGATCTTTTTGATCTCCACTTTTCCGCGGTGTTGTTGTTCCCATGGCCGGTGATGCTACGTTTGTGTCGGAATCGCAGACGCTCCGCTGTCAAATTCGATTCAGATATTCTTTTGTAGCAAGGCTGGAAAAAAATGACGAATTTAACCACAACATTTGTCGAGCCGATGATTCACCCTTGAGCATTCTTCCTTTTTGAGGCAAACTTGAACCTGGCAATGTACGAATACGGTGCTCTGGTTGCCGAGGCGGAAAGTGCGGAACTTGGTGAAGTAGACCTGAACGTTTGCAAATTACCCTTTCCGATTGAGTTCACCAGGAGCAGGACCACGAGCCAATAAGGCCATGGAGCCCCCGGGGGGAACATAAATCCAACTCACTTGGTCGTTCACGTTTGCCAATGGCTCAATTATCTCGCTCATGCCATTCACTGGACACCTGCCAAATTTGCACCAAATTTTTATTAGGTTCACCACAGATTGGGAGAAGGAGAAGGGGCCAGCTTGTGCGCGCAATTTAATGGCATGCAGTATCACAAGCAGAATGGTAGAGAGGACGGGAGAATAGGAGGCCAAGAGAAAGCTATGATGTCGAAATTAATGACACGTGTTCTATTTTAATTTTCGGAGGAAAAGGAAAGGTCACAGGAAACCGCGAGGCAGATGAACTCACCCTCCTTGCACAAAAGTGACTTTCTGAGCATCTGGAGCACTGATGTCTTCTCGATCACTGAACGTGCACTCTTTCGGGGAAATTCCGTTGTAGGCGGCTGCAATTAGATATTATACATCATAAAATCAAGTGTAAACGTACAATCTTTCTCGAGTGCAATGAAAAACTCGACCGGATCATCTTCCCTGACTGCTTGGAGTGTCTTGCCGCCATCAATGCTTCGGAACAGCATTTGGACCTTCGGCTTTGGTTTGCCTCCAGTAGATGCGTAGACTTGATGACCACTAAACACGTGTATACGGTATACGGTATAAGATATAAATTATACGATACTCACTCTGATACATCACTGAATTTGATAGTCTTCACACTACTCGAATACAGGCAAAAAACGTGGTTGAGTCTGGTCATTTTTCCGAACGCCAAGTCCGCATTATCCTCCAAGACAATAGTAGTCTCGGCGTAGCGATGAGACGGCTAAAAGTGAAAATGAATGAAAGTTCCCCCCTATTTGGGTCAATTAGTTAGCCTACCAAGTTGGTGAGCGGCACATCACACTCGCTTCCATAAGGAATCGTCAAGTTGTAATTAGTGAGTCCTTTCTCATTTTTCATGGATGTTCCACAAGGATGACGGGTTTTATGACCGAATACGTAGACCTAGAAAAGGAAAATGTGAGAATGACTTGAAAAGAGAGGGATCTTTTTACCACTGGCTGGGATTTCGGATCGGCTATCATACGCATTACTTCTGGATCGGATTTGTTGATCACAACTGTGATTGCTTCAGCGATACATTCTACTCTTTCAACTGAACAAAATCAGATATTTTCAAAAACTTTAGGAAAACTGTTTTTACCAAATCGTTCATCGTCTTTTGCTCGACCCTGGTGCACTAGCAGGAACGATATAAGCATTTGTAGGCATGCTGCCCGCCATAAATTGCTCATGACTTCTGAAACTAACTAAGGTTTAGCTTAAGCAAGCTTTAAAGGAAGAAAGAAGGAACAAAGGTTGCTATGGTATCTCGGGAATGGGTAGCTCGTCAAGCCTTTAGGATAGGTAGAGTCGGAAGGGGGGGCAGCAAGGAAAGGTGGCCGGTCGTGCCAACCACCCAATTAATCTTGGAGCGTCTATTGTCTCAAGCATAGAGAGGTAAAGAGGTAAAATGGAAGAACGGAAGGAACGAGAATATGCGGGTTTAAACTGAATTTTACAGAAAAATGGAATAAATTCAATTCTGATAAGAAAGCTGAACGCGGTTATGGAGCATTACGGGACGAGTTGCAAAAAAGTGCTCATCTGATTAAGAATTATGACAAACTACAAAAAAGCAACGTTGCAGAATGATAACAATAAAACGGGCTAATAGCCAATGCAGTTAGGACAGATCTGCCGTGACCCGCACGCAAAGACAAATTAGGTTAGACTCTAGCTGACACCCCAACCCAGAAAGAGTGGGCGGGAATAAGGTGAGCACGAACCGCGAACCCCCTTCTTTTTCGTCCAAACGCGCACAAAGGCACCTGCCACGGAAGTGGCGTATGCCAACAGATGGTCGGTATGGTGGAGGGGTTTGGTCGAGAAAAAGAAGGCGAATGGAGAAAAAGGGAAGAAAATGAATAAGTGAGGTGTTCGCGAAGCCATTATGAACAAGCATGGCAGGCGGAAAGTGGAGCAAAACGAGAGCGGACTGCAGACAGAAATGATAGATGACCGGGACGTTATGTGGCCCCGGGGGGAGGGTGCCTACCTGCTAGTTTCCACACGCACATGGGCGGGACCTGTGGATCACAAATACCTTAAGCGGCTTTGGATCTATGAAACGTAATGAATAATTAGTAAAAGGACATGATAAGTGTTTATCATGAGGACCACCCCCGGCGCGGTCCTTGTCGATCCATCTAATTAGAATAATATGCCGCTTGTTAGCATATTCAGGTGAGCGGCAGGGTCAAAGAAAAGTTGTATACGAGAAAGGAAGCTCGAAATAAGCGTCGATTACAACCATCGGCTAATGAGCACCACCTGGGTGGGCAGAGCGGTGCCGGCAAGCCGGATCATCTCGATCCCTTAATTAGGACCGGCCCTGAACGCTCATTAGAAGCGGACCAGGTGTTTGAAGAAATGTTGCGGCAATCGGGACGTATATTTTATTTAAATAAAAAAATTGGTTTAGGAACATTGAAACATAAACATGGACAATAAATTAGACTGGGTTTCAAGATTTGAGATCAAAACAGGGTACATAGTTTGGCATTCGGGGGATCGGAAAGCAGAAGCGAAGGTTACGAGAAAGCGAGAGAAGCGGACGATTATAGTAAAAAGCAGTAAAAAGCAAAAGCGATTTGTGATTTGTTTGTAATTTTTGGTAAGTTTTCTAATAGTTTCCAATGGTTATGAAATGAATCGGAATAAGAGTAAGCAAAATCATTAGGAGGTAACGTTTACAAGACGACAGATTCAGTGTCCGGCGTGATCCAGTTGAAGATGTCGCTGCTGTCGACGGCGACACGCATTGGAGCCGGCACCACTGGAGGAGACTCCTGGCAAAGTGAAAGTGACGAATGATGCAACGAAACCACAGAAATGATAGGCAAAGGGACTGGTGTGCAACTACTGATGACAGCTTGAAGAAAAATGTAAATGGAAAGCGAAAAAAGTTAGCAAGACAGAAAAAGTTGAGAAAAATTCAAACTCGTTTCGGTGCGGGCGATAGACGTTGCGGAGCCGAGGAGTTGTCGGAATCCTTCATTGTCGAAACACGGGAGTCGAAACGGCAGTTGGTAGCTGAAAGTTTTTGAGTTTCAATGTATTTTAAGAGTAGACCTACGGATTGTGATGAGTTCGCTGCACTCCGGGCGGGTGTTTGTGGTAATAGCGTGAGATTGTTGACGAATTCCAGGCCCCGAGCGGGTGTACTTACGTTCTGGGGCATTATGCAACTGAAATGAACGAATTGCATTAAGACAAAGATCCCAATATAGAGCTTGAAGTACCTGTCGATTGAGAAGTCCATAGAGAATGAAGTTGGATGCCGAGTTGATGTATGGCAGTGCGTGTACTCCATACATAAAGTAGATGAAGGCGTAGGTCGGAGGAGTTCCTGTGCTTTGCTCGGTTTGGTAAAACTCATCGTAGAGCGAGTAGAGAATTGAGATCCAGTAAGGAGTCCTGAAAACATCCGGTTGCTCCCAGACTTTTAAAATTCACACGATACCAGCAAATGAAGTGGAACGAGCAAATGGCGAGCGTGTAAATCGCAATGTGTCCAACCGGAATGGTCAGTTTCTTGTCCTCCGCGCTTCTCCGTCCCACAAGAGTTTGCTTGATGGCCTTTGCCTGTTTGAAGAGTCGAATGAGCATCTCGTAGTAGAAGTAGATCATGAAGAGCAACGGCATCAAGTACGCCTGAACAAACTTTATTCTTATCACACCACCCACCCACGCATTCCACCCACCAGCACGAAAGAATACAAGGTGAAGACTACGAACAGCTCGCGGCCCAGATCATCAACGCACTTGTAGAGGTGCATGCGGGTGATCACCTCTTGATCCAAGTCGAACTTCTCATGCATGACAAGTTCCTGTAATCAGATGCGCATGACATATCCGCACTTGATTAAGTCCCGTGAACACGTATGAATTATTAATAATGAAACATGAATGCGAATGCCTTTTTTTGCCTTTTATTTTATTTTTTGATGAGCGTTTTCTGACCTTGGAGTGAGCGTAGAGCAGGATTGGCGAGAGCATTCCACAGGTGACCAAAAACATGATACCCAAAAAGATGAAGACTGTGCGTTGATTACGTACACGGACCTAAACGTTCTCAAAATCCAGATTATCCGGGGATTGATGCCAATACCTGCAAAGGGTGACAGACGGCGCAGTAGCGGTCAATCGAGAACGCAACTAAGATGAAAGTACTGAATATTTTTCCTATGTGCTCGAGGAGACGGAACAGCTTGCAGGCAAAAGTGTCAAACATCCAGAAACCAAGAATCTGCAACAAAAGATCGAGTTATGGCTTCTCAGTCTGTTTTCCTCCAACCTGATCAATGATGGTCATCGGGATTGGAAGCATGGAGAGAAAGTCAACAATGCTGAGAATGCAGATGTACGTCAAAGTGGTATTGTGCCGCGAACGGGGGTCTTGACCCTTCACATGGTGCACCACAGCAAGAATCGCAGCGTTGCCGCAGGTTCCGAACATGAATAACAGGGCGTAGAAGCCGGCGATAAGCATGAGAGAGCTATTGTCATGGTTGGAAAGCGGGAGAGCGTACACCAGAGTGAACTGTAATAATTTCCTGTTTGTATTGAAACAAATCCTTATTTTTCAGTTCGTTGATCAGTTGAAGATCATTTATTCCAATTCAAAAGGTTCTTTTGTGCGACGTCGACGTCATTTCCCACTCTACCCACGCATGATTTGGTGTTGAAGATTCGCAAAAGGGATAAAGTGGCCGGGCTTGGGTCGCGCATGCGATGGATTTTCACATCATATCGTATTCATGGCTCGAGTCGGTCCCTAGGCCCACTTGACCAAAGTTCAATTGGATTACGGTAATAGCACATGCCCTTAGCATGCATGTCTGACTATGATAATTAAAAAAAAAATCATCGTCAAAAGCAGGCGAGATTAGATTAAAAAGAAAAAGAAATCTTGGCCTAGTACTACTACTATTGAACCCTCATTCTGTAAAAGTGTGTTTTGGTTTGACGTTTCCCACAGAAGTTTATGGTTCCGCTACACGCTTCGGAGGGTCATGACGTCCACAGAACTAGTAGTTTTCGGCTCTAACACATTCAAATGTAATCTCAAAAGCTGGGCTTGAGCAACCAAATTCTCAGGCCAATATGTTTTCCATATTTGTCTTTTCGAACAGGAAGAATGAGAAACCGTCAATTAACAAGTTTTCAGTGGGAAACAAACTTTGTGATATATGCTCTTTGATATATGTTCAATTGAATTTTGGTTGTACTCTGGACTACCGTAGTTCATCTCGTGTAAAAACCTGGCGTGTGGTACCAACGCGATCGCCCAACTAATTAAAATCCAGAACTGAAACATCATATCGCGTGTCACACCTCGTCTTTTTCATTTTCAAAGAAACGACAACGCCTTCGGATATTCATTCATTCGAGGTCTCTTTCCTTTTCAAATTAATTTGCGTCGGTCGGTCCATTCGATCGGTGAAAATGAGAAGAAGAAGAAGAAGAAGAAGAAGCGAAAGAATCTGAGAGCAAACATCCAAAAACCACATCACATTTTCTCAGTTTCACACTCATGCACACAAAAAGTCATGCCCCTAGTGAAAAATGAGAATGTTCAATTCTCAAGTGCTTCACGAGGCATCCCCCACTTAAACCCGATGATTTTCAGAATCCAACTCACATTCTCATAAATGGTACCCTTGAACGACTCGGTTTGTTGCATCGTTTGCCGTCCTACAGCATATGTATCGATCCTGGAACATGTATGATTATTATCCGATCCGATTAAAAAATGTTTTTTTCAAAATGAACACTTTCCAGCACACAATTGATTTGAATATAATTTATATATATATAAATAGACGGTGAGAAGGAGAACAGATTTGTTAGATCGGATAAAGTGCAACCCAACAAAAAAAGAAGAACGAAAACGTAAACCGTATGAATTATTGACTAGTTTCGCTTTCGCCCACGGAGTTGTCTTCAACCCTCCCTCCTCCCACTTACCGCATTTTATCCCCGTCCGATATGAGAAATTGGGCCTCATGATAGAAATTTGACATGATTAAATCGAGATAAATGCTCAGAAGGCACTGGTGTCAGAGGATTGAGGAGAGGCGTCGCGCTTCTTCTCGGCGAAGCGAAAAACTGGGCGGAGCCGATTTCCTCAGGCGGCGTGAAACAAAACGAGGCGCCGGAGGGGAGTGAGGAAGAGAGAGAGAGAGAGAGAGAGAGAGAGAGAGAAAGAGTGCGGGGGTTTCAGACAAGATTTTCAGAGGAAAACGCTTGGGGAAGGGCAACCTTTGGGCTGTTGGTTATTGATGCGAGCCGGAAGTTGGAGGAGAGTTGAGTTGAAACATTTGCGACCGGAAATCTGTCTCGGGATTTTTCAATTACCTATGCACCTCGTGGATATCTTTTTTGGGAGTCAGCCCACGTGGTTGCCACTAATCACCGGGGAAATGCTGCTAGTTCAATTTCAAAATCAACCCAGACAATGATGACTGTCTGATTACTTAAAGTCCATCCACTCAAAGACCATTTCTTCTCATCCCAGAATTTCTAATAAGACAGGGGTACTAGTAATCCCGCACACGCAGGGCAAAAAGACAAAAAAGAGTATGAGAAACATTTGGCTTATCCACAAATCCTACGCGTGAAAGAGTGAGCAGGAGGCCATCGATCTTTTACTAGAGCTTTGATCCGTTTTGGATTAGGCGCAACTATTTATCTTTCGGTTTCAATTTGCAAGCAGAACGATGATACCAACGGACCAGGAAGGAAAACGGAATTGTTTTTTTGAAGTGTCTAAAGATTTTTTCTTTTCCGAAGTGGGTTTTAAAGTGAAGAGTTGCATTTCAAAGGCAAAAGACAAAACACAGTGGTGGGAACCGGCAGAACGAAATCGTCGGATAGATATGTGCCTCGAAAACTGACTGACTGAGTCATAAGCTTCCCTCCCCATTTTAAATATTCCAGGTCCTCGATCCATCCTGCCAATAACAATGACACAAGAGACCAACCAAATAACAGCAATCCATTAGGATTCAAAACACATAGGGGCCACCCCGTTTGGATATAGACCTGGACAAACCCGATCATTTTTGATTTGCACTGTTTGGCCGGTGACATCACCTTCTGTTCTCTTCATTTTTGGAAATGTTTTTTACACAACCATTCATTAGTTCAATGTTTATGCACCGCTAACTTTTTTTCGAAAAGTATGGGTCAGAGCCGTGAAAGGTTCTCTTCAACTTGCCGTTGGCTTCTTTTAACTATAATCTTTTGAACCGGAATGAAATGGGGAGATGTCGTCGTTGTAGGACAAGACGAGACGTGAGTAATATCAAAATGATAGACGACTTCATTAGGCCTAGACTTGACAAAAAGGGGCTGATTTCTTGTACGTGTCTGCCTAGACATGAAGATGAGAAAAATAGGTGAGCCGAGTACACAATGTCTTCTGGATCCCGAGGCGAAGGGGGTGGAGCTTACTGTAGAATAGAGGGACCCTGAGGACACCTCATTCTTAGAATGGACAAGAAAATGGAAAACAAGAAAGTCTCTTCTGCTGGCTTCTAAATTATGATTATTGATGCACTGGAGAGAAGGAAAAAGGAGGATCCGTCTCAAATCGGCCTACTATTTCCTGCCAGTCATATAAATGCCGGGAAAGAGGAACAAGGAAAAAATGACGAACAACGATGGTTAGGTAACAAGTCATAACAAAGGCCCCCACCGCATTTTCTCTTCGACTCTCGGCTTTTTGATGTTCTTTTCACCGTGTCATGTTCGTCGTTGATGAAAGAAAGGAGGGAATTTAAAATTCGGTTTGCCGCTGTCGGTCGGGGTTGTTTGAAATGAGAATGGAGAGCCGACACAGAGAAAAGAAAGCAAGAATAGATAGATAGATGAATGCGAGGTTGGCGACAACGTCGTCCCGGATGTGGATACTAATTTATCAAAGATGAACGAGAGCAGATGAAGGTGATGATGTATCGCCCCCTATTTTCAATCTTTATTTCTTAGATTCTCTGCTAAGCAGTTGTGTTATTAGTATAATGAACCTCGAGAACTACAGGAAATCATTGCATACAACTACCAAAACAAAAACAAAGAGAACAGTTTCTATCAGCTAAGTTCCAGATTGAAATCAAAACAAGAACAGAAACCACATACCGGACGTTACGAGCCACCTTACCAATTTAATGAAAAGGACGTTATGCCGAATATTCTTCCAATTGTCTCCGGAAGCTCTTCGAACATGGCAGAATGAAAAGGGCCCTTTCAACAAAAGAGTCCCATCAGGACCGTGACATTTGACGAATGAGCTCCGCCTATTTTGCGCTTTTCTTAAACGCGCCTGCCTTTTGTGTGGGTTGACCCATAAAAGTACCGTATGCCTTTGAGGACTCAATGGAAGATGCGAGGGGAGGGTGTCGTTTGCAAACACTACATTGTCATATGGTAAAGGTTGCGTGACAAGCTTCTAACAGAATCTAATTCTTGAAGACTCTGAGGTTAGGAGTAGGCTACCAACGAATAAAACGTTATGTCACACTTTATTTTAAGAGGTCTGAAAAACGTTATGATTTTTCAAGTCTGGCCAAAAAAAAAACCACAGACAAACCGAAAACACGCTTCCACAGAAAAAAGTACACGCGACGCCTAAAAAAGCGGGGCTGTTTTTGCAAAGATGGGATTACGCAGAGAAAAGGTGCCCAGAGGGAAAGAAAAGGTTCGAGCTTGAGTTCTCGAGTTCGTTTTGAGATTGAAAAAGTCAAAGATAATTGGTTGGAAAACGGGACCATTTGTTTGTTCGTGTCTGTTTTGCGAAACGCAAAATCTTATTTTACGATCATTTCACTTCTTGCTACCAAAAGATTCGTCATTGGTCAAAAATTCTGAGAAAGCACGCGAGAAACTAATTTCCGGGATGCTTCAATAGCACATTTCATTTCCAATTTGACATCGTTTTTCAGAACTGAATATTTGAGTGTATTACCAGTACCAGTTTCTAGGTGTTAATTGGATTTTTGAGTAGCTCAATTACTCATCGTGAAGAGAAAGAAAGGTCACGCATTTCTGAAAAAGAACAAGACCAAAGTCATGACGCGAGAAAGGCTATGGACCATCGGTTTCCCATCCATTTTTTGCCGCTCCCTCCAGTCCGTGTCTTGCTTATTTTGGGTTTCGGGTTCCCTGGGAAAACCGATACGCAAATCTCTTTTCCGTTGTTTTTCGAAGAATCGGAGGCAGAGGAGCAAAAAAAGTTCCTTGTTAATGATTGTATTGAAAATCACTAGGTGGGAAGGGACAGGGATAGTTGAATGTTGGTTGGACTAACCTTTTCAACACTATAATTGTGTCCATCGGATTAGCGCGTGTGATTTTCAAAGCTTTTGCAAAGAGCGAAAAAGAGATGAGGCAAATTGCATACTACCAGAGTATGTGATGTGATGTGCTTTTTGGTCTTTTCAATCACTTTTTTTGCGAAGGGCTTTTTGGGTACCTCACCTGAGTCGTTTCAAATCCAGACCATTTCTTAGCCATTTCGTATGCTTTGACAGAAGATAGTTGGCGTAAAAGTCCATAATTGTGGAAAATGACGCAAAAGTTGCGAAAGTAAAAAAGTTCATTATAGGAGGAGCTTCATTTTCTTTTTTAATTGGATACTTCTCCTCTTCCCTTTCCTGCCAATTTAAAAAAAGGTTTAGATTAATTTTTGTTCACTTCTAGCTCAGTTTTATTACAAAACTTAGAGTCACTGTAGCTTGTGACAACTACAGGCCCAGAATTCGTTCTGTTTGGTCATGCATTTGCAAGTGGACACCGATGGAAAACGTGGAATAACACTTCTAGCGAAATTAGCAGTTTTTTAGGGGGGGAGACGAATGGAATGGGCCGAACTGGACGGGTGACGAATTGAAAACGAGCTCGGAACTTTTCCGGGAGCAACAGATGGACTTTTCCGCATTCAGAACTACAACTTTTCCCATTTGGAAATGAAATGAGGAGCAAAGATGAAGATTGTTCTGTTTTTCAATCAACCGCTGAAAATAAAAAGAAAAGGGAAGAAATAGCCTGGCCACGGGACCCTTCCAAGGCAATCCGATGCCTTTATTGTGTTGTTATCCTTGCATTATCCCTCGGACACCCCAGACACACATAAAAATACACACATAATGGGAAAAACAAGGGGAAACGCTCCTACCAGGTGTGATATCAGTTTTCAGAAAACGATTGTCCTTTTCGGGGGGAAATGAGGTTGGCAAGAGAAAAAAGTAAATGTGGAAGAAGAACAATGAAAACTTTCTGGCTGTTTTATCATTTATCAAGTGATGTTTTGACAGACTTTTCTCTTTCTAATCCAAAAACAAATATTCCGCCAAAAAATGAAAGACCAGCCAACTTTCAACACCACCAAAGGTTTCACATATTTCATTGTCTACACATGGTGAACAACAAGAACGAATTAAAAACAAAACGGTTTTTTGAAAGCCTAAGCGCAAGCTTAAGCTAAAACACACAACGCAATCGGTTACGAATACTAATTTTCGTCTGCACAATGCATTGTCGTCACCGAATTCAATGGGCCTTCTCTCTTCTTCGTCAATGAGCCGAAGCAGAAGAATGGAGAGCGGGCGATTGAGGAAGAAACTGGAGAAAAGTGCGATGGTTGGCGTGGAATTGCGTTGGAGTTGCTATGGAAGCAGTATATAGTGTACTTTCGGTGTCTTCTCGGTCTCCGGGGACTCGTCTGATTGTCAAGAGATGTTTACCCGGGTGTTGTTGTGGTTTGAGGTGTGGGGGAAGTGGGTAGGTGAGGTGATGTTAAAAATGGCGAAATTTTCAGTTTTTAATGCATTATTCCATTTCTTTTTAATGTTTCTATAATTATGAATAAGTCGAGTGAAAAAACCAAACAACTTTTTAAAAATATTTCACAGTTGACCGGACCAGGGAAACTGTGTCCATTGGCCCGGCCGTGACAAGTTTATTTTTCTGTTTTTAACTTGGAACCTGAACCCGGATCGGTCAGCGAAAAATCTGGAAATAGTGCATTTTTCAATTGATCAAACGACTATTCACACACCAGAGCAACTGTTTTGTTTCCAAATCTTACCAGAAAATCACGACCCACGCATTTTCCAGTCATTTCTCACTTTAATGAATCACACAGTCCCTGAAACTTACATAGTTTCCTTCTTTCAATGAGTCAACACTATTGTCTATACAATTCCACAACCCACCAGCCATGGTCATGATCAGTCCTTGCTTGCCCGCCTCCACACCTAAAACGCTCTCTCTCTCTCTCTCTGGCAGTTGCCAACAATGATAAGATGCGTGCTAAAGGACCGCCATTCAAGTGAAACACACACACAAACACTTACTTCACCTCGCACTATCGAAATGGCATTGCATGCCATCAAAATTATTAGGAAGAAGAAGAATCGATTCGCACTTGCACTTTTTCACCTCCGCCTCTCGCATTGTTTGTCTCATCTTTCATTTCACACCGATAAGACGGCCCGAAGTTTTATTCACTTCTCACGCACATTTTACTATTGCCAGTTTGAGCTGAAAGTTGTGTTTCAGAACCTGCCATGCCACATCCAATATACAATCAACCAATGGATTCGGCCAACGCCAGAGATTGTCTCACGCACCTCGCGAGAGTCAAGTTGACCGAGAGAGAAGATCTTGCTCAGCTCAACGACAAGCTTATCGATATCATCGAGAATGTAAGGATGTTTTTGTGGGGCTCATAGTTCATTTTCGTTCAGGTCCATTTCATGGAAGCCGAGCATGCTACTCTGCTGCACGACTGCAACCTGCTCAAGACCGGAATCCAGACGGACAGCAGCGGAATCAATGAGATCTTCGAGTCGGAGATCAGAGTAAGCCAATCTTCTTTGTTTCATTTTTGCTCCCAACTAATTGATAACCGCCGCACATAAAAGTCATGACAATGGAATGTTGAACATGTTTGTTTCAATAGAGTTCTCTTTTGATCAAACACAATTGGTTTGGTTTCAGCGTACTGATAAGTTCTGCGCGTCCGCTTCTTTGTCTTTGCAGCACCCCCACAAATAGACTTGTGTGTCGGTTTTATGACAAGCGCACTAATCTTTACGAGCACTAGTTTTCAACGTGAAATATAATTATTATCATTAGGGAGTGGCAGCTGGTGCATATCACTAATGTTGCTGCATTATAGTTTTCGAAAACGGGTGCAATTGCTTACGAAGAAACTATACACTGATAACGAAAAAAGAACAAGAAAGAATTGAGGGCAAGAGATCACATACACAAGCAATTTTTTTCAGAGTGTCAAGGTTGTGGTGGAGGGCATCAACAGAAACCGTCAACAGCTTCTGGCCGAGCAAAATCATCTGGCTCCGCAAGTGAAAGAGGCCGAGCAGCAATGGAGACACTCTGCCAAGGCGTCGCTGGGAATTCCACGCGAGGTCGAAGAGCATTTCGAGCGGATTCACAAAATTCAGGCGGAGGTATCAAATTCAAATCACAAAACCTTTTTCTTAAAGTGTATTAATTTAGAACTGCCTCATACTCCGAAAAACTAAGTATCTCGAGAAAAAAAACCTTCTTACCAAGCAGAACAACGGAAGAATCTACGAGCAGATCAATTTGATGAGAATGAGAAAAGATCAGGCTGTGAGCCTGCAGCAAGAATACGTTATCCGCAATAAAGAACTTCTGAACAGCATCAGAAACATGGAGGAGGACAACAAGAGAATCATCATGAATGAGCACAAGTACTTTGTCCGTGATCGCACCGTAGATCGTCATGCGTTCCGCGACCAACTCCGCCAGGGTATTGCTGACATCCGTGCCGACTATGAGTTCAAGCGAGTCAAGACCGAACAAGAAATCCGTCAGTACGCCGAGAAGCAGATTCGTGACCTTGAAAACAATGCCGGAGAAACTATTGCTAGAGACCGTATGAGAGAAGAGTTGACGATTGTGAAGAGAAACTGTCAAGACCTTCAGCAGAGGGTGTCCGACACCGAGATTCGGGTAAATCCAGTTGTTGCAGGCACTTCTGAACTGTGTTTCTGTTTTAGAACTCACATCTCACTCAACAAATTGAACTGCTACGTTTGGAGATCTCTGAGAACCATCATTCCTTTGAGATCAGTCTTGACTCGAAGACGAAGGAAATTGATAAGCTAAGAGAGCAGTGCACTGCTATCAGTTTGGAATTGGAGAAACTTTGCGATTTGAACATAGTGAGCGAAAATTTTGTTAGTGCTCTTTTTTAACGTGATACTTCAGGACCTGCAAAAGGAAATCGCTCAATACCGCAGACTTCTTGACGATTCGGCCCGAAGTGCATCATCTGTCGCTTCTACTTTTCAATCAACCAGAAGCACTGTCATCCACCGCCCTCCAGTTGTACCGCCACCGGTCTTCATTCCACCTCCACGAGCCCCAAGCCCACGTTTCCCGAGCCCACCCCGTCATGCTGAAGACATAATTCATGACAGCTCTCCACCCTCTCCACCCTCAATCTACAAACCCTCTAGAATTGACTCGCCCTACCGCCCTCCTCGTGGCGACATCACCACTCCATTCTATTCGGGATCGCGTTCCATCTACCCATCTTCTGGTGCTGATACCACTCGCCTTCCAAGCCCAGCTCCTCTTCCTGCGGTCTCTCCGCTGCCACCAATCGCTCCTTATCAGCCATATGAACAAACTAAAAAAACGGTGATCGGAGGGAGTTCGCATGATTCAAAGATTCATTTGGACGGAGGGGTTATTGGCTACGAAGAAACAACCGGAATTGTTACCGGATACGGTTCCAACCCTTCAGCCACTGCGCACAGCTCATCTGGTCATTACGCCGCGACTGGTCAAAATTCGCAACCTTATAACCATCGTCCATATGAATCTAGCAGCAGCTTAGATAAGAGTATCCAGATTGCCCGCTACTCTCCATACGTGATCACATCTCCACTCCCTCAAGGAGCTCGAGATATCGGCAGCTACGAAACGAGCAGTAAGTTGAATGAACTCTGATCTCTCAAACTTTTTATTCTCATCACCGCATTCCTGTACGGCACTAAGAACCCTAAGAGACAAAACTTTTTTAATGCTCTATCACATCACATTGTCCAGATTAGTGTCAAAAATGTTTGGTTTTCGGGGTTGATAAGAGTGATGCGTGCGTACGCAAAAGCGGGCGAAGCGCAGCATACGTACAAACTTTTTGGCAAAAGCTCTTAAAAAAATTTTTACGATTCTTGATTTTCACTCTGCGTTTCATCAACTTGCAAAATGACGGGAAAAGGGGAGAGCAAATCAAACAAAACAAAGCGGTTTTGGTTTCAGGAACTGATAGCATTGACGATGAGAACTTCCAGAGATTCACCAGATGGTACAAGGGAAGAGTGAAGATTACGGTATCGAAAAAATTAGAGGAACAGTTCACAGAGTGATTTTATAGGATGTTACCCCCGAACACATCACCCTGGTTAATAGAAGCGCGACGAAAAGTGCGGCAATCGGAGGATTCAAGATCATTCACGAGTACGGACAAAACAGCGTCTATGTCGACCTTCCAGCGAACTTGGTCCTTGCCCCCAAGGAATCTTTCAAGGTTTGTTTTTTTTTAAATCTTTTCGGTGTTTACCTCCAAACTCTTTCAGATCTATGCTCGTGGCGCGGCCCACGAGCGCGGATCCGTCGTCGCTGAAATCGACTTGTTCGATACGACCGTCCACACGAACACGTCAATCAGAAATACCAGCAATGAGGTACGTGGAGCTGGAGCACAATGATTTGTAGCTTTCGATAAGTGACACCCTGTCGTCGCTCGTGTCTATTCCTCTCACAATTCATAGCACAAAAAGACTGTGTATTTCAGGTGAAGTCGTGGTTTGTTTACATTAGCAACACCGAAATCGGCGATCAGCATCATTAATAATTTTTCCTGATAAACGAATGTGAAAAAGTGGTTTTTGTCGTACTTATCACCCTGATTTCTTCTTTCGTTCTTCCCCAACTTGCACTATACTCCGTTGAAAACATACATATTTCTTTTTTTTTAATTTCGTCCCCTGGCACTTTCCTGAACATTCCCCAACGCCTTTTCTCCTAATCTGATTGAAATTCGATTTTCTACCTAATAAAATACTATTATTCGTGCATTTGATTTTGATTTTGATTCTATTGTAAACATCTATTTTTGGAGATTGACAGGTTTACTCATTTCATTTGGAAATTTGGGGGAATTGGGAGTTTGTCACAAAGAAAAAAAGGCGTTTTTAGAAAATGTTACTCGCAACTTCTGTATGTCATTCATTATCAGTTGTCTCTTCTTTATCAATTGCAACTTGAAAATGAGTTACCTAACTTTTGCGTAGGTGTTGAGTGGGCTGATAGACAACCCCCTTTTCAGCTTTTTTTTTGTACTAAATGTGTGGTAAGTGACAATTTCAATCCTTCTTCTCCGCCTTTCTTCCGTTTCATTTCCCCCTGAAACATCGAGCCACGTTCAAAAATTCTTGTCGCTTCTCAACCAACCCCTTCAATTTATTTCCGCTCTGACGAGCAGATTCACATAGTTCTTCTCTGACTAATACATGTTATTGTCGTGTATTATAGAACAGAAGAACTTGAATTTTGTGCTCATGACGAAATGCCAAAAAGACTTCCTGCTTACTACGGAAAATCTTGAGAAGATTCTGATGTTGGGTTCTGATCAGAAAGGGTAGATCGCCCACCAAATTCAATTTCCGCTTCCATCCGCCAACGCATATTTCATTTCCGAACACCTGCCCACTTCCTTTCTCTCACTCGTCATAATCCGAAAGGAAATGGAATTATATGCCTTACAGAGAGAGAGACTGATCCTGCAAAATGTGCGGCGGAATGTCAAAACTGGTCAAGCTTCTTGCCAAACGCGGTTATTCAAGGTCGCTAAGGCGCTTTGTTTGAAAAGGTATAAACTTTGGGTTTCAGGCTAGCTCTTCAGTCGGAAATTGTCACGGAGGACATGCTTGACGAGATGTTCCCTGAGGTGGACACGAAAATGAATTCACATAATCATCATCATTCAAAATTCGACAGAACGGACCGGTGCATACCGACCTATGGTAATTAGCTCTATGGATTGGGACCAGATGGGGGCATCACATTCCTTTTCCAGCAGATGGCAAACCGTTTGACACCACGCCGACGCTGGTCGCGTCTTGCAACTAAGCATCTTCGGAACACACCCCAGGAAGCGGCATATGCTTCAGATAAGCGCATAATTGCATTCGTTTGGCTTGTGAACCTAATTATTTTTTTCCTTTTTCATTTACACACACACACCTTAAATTTGGAGCTTTTAATATAAGGGTAAAACCGCCCATTACTATTCCCCCGCATCGTGTTTATTATCCGTCCCCTTTTTGCTCTGGTCTTTAAACCTCTCGAACGGTTCGCTTCTACCTAGAAGAACTTCTGTAAATAAACTCTCAATTGGATAGCGGAGCAGGAGGCAAACTGAACCGATCTTCGCCCCTCGAAAAAGACGCCCGAATAATTTCTTTTTCTCCCGCAAACGTTGTTTGCATGTTTGAGGAGTTCGTCCCTCCACGACCGAGAGTATGGAAAAATGACTCGTGTGTAATGTTTATTCAGTCAGAGTTGTGCTCCCTCTCCCTCTCTCCCACCCTCTGAGCGCTTAAATATTTTCTGCGCCAGCGCCCCCATTTCTGCCAACAACACCTGCTTCTAAACATTTCTTCTCGGATATAAACATTGCTTTGTAGGGATGGAGCGTGGGACCTCGTAAGTTGCCGCTGGTCACTCGGCGCTCTCCACTGCTTTCGTGTTGTTTCTCTGGAAGTTTATGCATAATTCAAATAAGATGTTTTCAAAACGACATCTAACGGCTCTCTACTTTGTGCCGATACTAGCCTCTTCGTTCTTCTACACATTTCTCTAGACTTTGGTCTTCTCCTTCTCGCATAGATAACGGGAAAACGGGGACAAATGCGTGGCGCCAGGTGCGCTCCCGTTTGCATGGGTTTATGAGTTCCGCCCGCGAACAGCTCTTCAGAGATCTTGGGCACCTGACCCGGCCGTAACTATTACACACAACGGTTTCAATTTCATTTGACAAAGTGAAATTACTGGCAGATGTGATTAGCTTTCTTTGTGACAGTCGTTGCTCCTAACTCGATTACAATTAGTGTGACTTCCTGCGCCTAAGGGGAGCAACTGCTCCTCCTCCTTTGTCCCTTTATATTATCCATCTGCCACTTGCGTGCGTCCAGTGGTCATTTGCGCCCCCTCCTCTCGGCCACGCGGCTGTTGTTGACAAAATCTCCTCATCCTCCTCTATCCGTCTAGGTCCCGAAGAGAGAGAGGGAGAGGAGCCTGACCCCTTGTTTACTAGTTTCGGACTCTAGTTTCAAATTACCCTGCTACGTCTTTTGATGTGGCGTGGCCTTCAGCCCTTTCTCACATTTCAAATTTCTCATTATCCAAATTGAAATCTGACTTGTTTTGCATGGTTTGGTTGGCGCATGATTCGGGTAACTATGTCCTACCGTAACCGCACGCTTTCTCTTCTCACTCCCTACTTGGCTTTTGTCTTGATGAAAACCTTATCAGTTGAAATGATTGTATCTTCTTTTCTCACAATTCCAGTCCCTTCCTTCTCAAATGTCTAGCTTTCCTCTCCGCTCAGCGCCGAGCGACCGGAGCGGCGGCAGGCACGCCTGGATTCTATCCAACTCGAAGCCCCGCCCACTTTGTTCTCGTCTCCGACGCACCCTTCGCATCCTGACACCGCCTGTCTTTTTCTCGAGGCTCCCGCTGGTTTGTTTACGCACTCACGCGGCTCGCCAGCTTCCTCGCTGAAATGGACCAGCACAAGTGAGCGAGGGCCCCTCGCTCTCTCCTCCTCCTCCTCCTCCCGCTTCTTCTTCCCCTTTTCCTATTTCGATTCCTTTCTGAGGCAAGCTTCTTTGTCTCTACTACGTTGTGGTAAGTCCAGTTTCTCAAGTGTTCTATCTACTAACCATTCTTAACAGAATGCCAAGGTTTCACTTAACTAACGGGGGCTTATCAAATCAGCCAATTCTTATTAACTATGTGGTCGTCTGATAAAGTCAGAGGTCAAAGAACATGGTTTTGAATGCGTATTCACCACAAAACCGCGTCACAGTTTCATTGTCTTCGTTCTAAAATTCAAAACAAAGATTTATGGGATTAACTAAATCCGCATTCATTGATGACTAGGTCTTCTTGGAACGCGAAAACAAGATTCCGTTGGCTCTAATCTCTCCTCAGTTCCCACATCTTCTTGCTTTTCACGCTTTCCGACAACGGCTCTTTTCTTGTTATTCAATGCGCCGCCGTCGTCGCTCTCACCCTTCACAATTTAGTTATTATTCAATTTGTTCTACTCTTCTATATATTTCCTTTCTGTAGTGACCGTCGACGGAGAGGTTCTAGTGGTAATCCTCTCTCACTTCTCTCTTTTTCACTAAATTTTCATTTCATTCACTCGCGTCGCGCCTCCTCTTCTCTTTATTCTAAACACATCCCAGATTCCTGCAGCCACCGCGCAGGTTGTAAACAAATACCTGATGTGTCGAAACCGTCGAAAACGGCCCAAAATTATCGCCATGTCTCATCTTATCGCTTCTTTTTCTTTTTTCTATCCCTTTCCCAGTTTTATCATCTACCCCCGGCCTTGTCAAACGTGTCGGAGAAGGGGGGAAAAGAACGGTTCGCAAACCGTTTTCTATCGCGTTTTTGAATGCATTCCGTCGCGTCAAAAATGATAGATAGCATCGGAAAGTTGCCATTAGCCAGTACATAAATCAAGGCCGCGCCCCCTTTCGTCGCCATTCCTATCTTTATTCGGGGGCCTCTTCTCTTCTCCCTCCCGACCACCTCCTCTCCTCAACCTATGTATTCGTTCCGCTTGACGTGTGCTACTGTATGTTTCCTACTACTACAATCATTTCCCCATTCCATTTTCATCTTATTATTTCAGCGCAATGGTCCGCGAACAGCCAAAGGACCGTTCCGAAGAGCCAGTGGCCAAGAGAGGTCGAATCGACGAGCAACCGGTTGAGAAGAGAGAGGAGGAGGGAGAGGAAGAGGAGTCGGAGCTCGAGGAGGATTCGGAGGTCGAGTCGAACTACGACGACGTGATCCTCACGGATGAGGAGGAGATGGACGAGGGCGGAGAAGAGAACGAGGAAGTCGTCGTGGCTCCGGATGCAGAGGATGCGAACCCAGCCGTCGACGAGGTCGCCATGAACAACATGTACGACAAGGTGGTCCGTGATGCTATCAACATCGTCCCGCACCGTGCTCGCTCGAACGGAAGCGTTCGCTCTTCTGGATCAGGTAATATTTTGATCGGTTGGGGGTAGGTACCCAACTCTTTTCAAATTGTTTACCGCGTGCTTTCTCACGCTTTTGGAGCGCAGGTATAATCCGGATGTATGATTCCGTAGTCAATTTCCTTCCCGCCACCAACAATGACTCAGGAAGCGGGGGGAAAGAGTACAAACAGCATGAGCAAACGTAATTGAATTTGTGGGTGTTTCAGTTCTGCGCTACGATGGCATTAACTATCTGATGGCTGAGATGCAAGGGATGTGGCAGGAGAGAGATGAGGAATCGTATGCGGAGAGGAGACAAAATCTGTGGCCGCTTCTTCATGATGCTATCCAACAGCTGCGGGCTTCTGGACGCGTGAACCATACCAATCTTCTGGACCAAACTGTCCTTCCGCAAGACTTCCTTAAGGATTTCGAAGATGCCATGGAGCTTTTCCTGAAGACAAAGAAGAAGGAAGGCACTCCTCAAACTTGGGAGGAGACCCAGGCTCGCATCAAATGTAAGGAAGCCAGTAAGGCAGTGATTTCAATTCTAGCAGAACGTTTTCAGACGAGACGAAACGCGTGAAGATGCTGCAATCCAAGGCGATAAGCTTCCATAAACGTAACCAGACTCGTCCGGGATGGCATCACAAGTACGGAGCATTGTTCCCAGTTCAGACCAGCTACGACATGATCGAGTTCTTAATGTACGCAATGTCGCTGACCGGTTTCAATTTTGAGAAGAACCTCGAGGAAAACACGGTCTGGCATCCCGAAATCACTGAACTCAACGATGACGGACGTCGTCTCATGGAGGCTTGTTACATCATGGATCCGAGCTTCCGGAAGGAGTTCATCGATACCGTCAAGTCAATGCGTGTGTCTGCTGGAGGTGTGCTCACTGCCGAAGAAGAAAAAATCGCCACTTCGTTGTTCGGTAAGGAAAGTATCTTCTGACGAGTGCCTAGTGAACTTGTTTCAGACGAGATGAATGCTGTTTTTAACTTGAACTTCGAGCACTTCATTCTCGACGACGCTGCGGTCATTCGTCACAAGAAAGAGCTTGCCAGAATCCGTCGCGTCAACCTCCAACGCTTCCGTGATCTGACTGCTCAGGCCAACGAGGCACATCGCGTTCTCGAAGAAATGATGGCCTCACGATTTAGACCAGCCTAACTTTTTCCATTCCAAATTTCTTAGCTCTAGTGGTTGTTTGTTACGTTTGTAGCTTCTTAGCTTTTTCATCCTACCTCGATATCTCCCACCGTGATTTCATAATCGGCCCTCTACCTCACCACCGAATCGTCAGGATACTCATCCTCACTGTTCTACCTCACCACCACCTGCACCTACCTCACCATGCACCATAGTTCTACCTCCACCCACAGTACCACTTTGTGATGAACAACCCACCAAAGCTACCTCTCATTTATCTTTGTGATAACCCCCCACAATATTTAACCACGTGGCTGTCAGGCCGCACCCTATGACCATCGTGCAAAAAGATGTCATCCTGGAACCTTGGAATCCTTGACATGGAAGAGGTTGTCCAATTAGGTCTGAGCTTAACTCAGACCTCCCCTCCCTCCCCTTCTCCTTCTTGTATGTCCCCCCAAAAAACAGATGCAGATGAAAAGTTGTCATAATGGGAGCCGAAAAGGTCTAAACTCTTCTAGACCCCGGTTCGTCCAATTCTCATAGTACTCAAAAATTTCCCCTCCCGTCCCCACCCCCTCCCCTTTCCAACTCAAATCCCGCTGATATTGTCAGTTACGCCCTAAAACGTCATACGAGACTATACAAATTCATGGTGAAAAGAGGAAAGAATACGGTATTCTTCCTTGAAACTTTGAATATTGAATAGTTGTTCGGATCCGCCTTATTTCTCCCATATGTTAATCACCGATTCGTTGACTCGCGCTTACCGTCATAACAAAGCTGTTCATGTTTCTATGTGAATAGTGTTTTGTTTCATTAATACTCTTCCCCACCTCCCCCTCCCCTCCCCCTCTGCTTCTGTTTCCGTCCCTGACCCATTTTCTTTAAGATCGCCATTGACCTTTCAACCTTTGAATCTGCTTTCAAACTCTCACCTTAAGTGAGATTTTCCAGCCCCTGCCCGCATTTTAACCCCCGCTTTCCTCAAAAAACCACCTCATCACATCTCCAACCTACCTCAGAAGTGACAGGCGTTCTGATACGGGAGTAGAACCAGAATCGCAAGATTTAGAGTGAATTCCCTGTCATTGCCTGTTAGTCCTTCACCCCTTTTCCATATGTTTCTACCTCCCTCCCCCAAAAAAAGTAAGACATCAATCTTTTTCTTTAAATGATTATCTTCCGGTAGATTACTGTTTTGATATCTCTCCCTCTCTCCATCTCTCTGTCTCTATGTCCCTTTTTATTCCATTCTTTCGTAGATTTTTGGTGTAAGCTTCGGCATTCCACATTCTAATTTCAGTTATTTTTTCTATATCAGTTCCAAAACGATTGTGTTGTGTTTGTTCAGTAAATAAAGTTACTCTCGTGCCCAAAAAAATGGTTCGTCATTTGAAACATTTTCCAGTTCAGCTCAGCTTCCGGTCCAGTGAACTCGGTTCGAGCACAAAAGGAAAAAAGAAAAGTTTGACAATGAGTCGTGACAAGAAAAGCTCGTCAAAAGTCCAGTATTACCACGTCGGCAGCACAAAAATGAAGGAAAAATGAGAGAGGCTCATTGTTAGCGAGTTCTCGGCTGCTCTCGCTCCGCTGATTTCTGCCTTTTTATAGGACATTCATAGGACAAGGAGTGGCAATACCTAAAAACTGATCCCTGGCTTTGTTTTTCCATGATATTGTGTTTCTTCCCAAAAAGTAAATTGATACTCCTGGCCCTCTTCTGGTTTTCAAGTGTCTCAGGTGCCTTGTTAACGAGTAAAGGACCAGTAAACCTCAATGATCTTCTTATTCTGAGCATTTCTCGTTTTTTAGGAAACCGAAACACGTAGGAGGATGCCTCTTGCCCAGAATGACGAGATTCTATTGTCCGGTTGGCGCCAGTGAATGGCCAGGTGTCAACGAAAGCATAAAAGTTTCATTCGCTCTCAAAAATAGGGATGAGCCGCTATCCACGGGCAAAAAAATGGGATGCACGTGCGGAACAAACGCTTTTGCGCCCCTCCTTTTTTGTGCCGTGCCATCTCTTCATGAAAAGTCAGTATGCGCTCATGTTGTTTGCCGGGAACCTTCCTTTTTTTGGCCAGGATAACAACTTCGTGTCGCCGTTCCAGCTGACCCCTCTCGGACAATTAGTAATAGGAAAACGAGTAGGTGACTAATTTCCCACTTCCTGTCTTCATTTTGAATAAGCTACTTCGCATTTTTGAACTGATAAGACGGTTTGTTTGTGTACACGTTATCATTGGTTGGATAGTATCATCATATAATGCTTTTTGAAGAAAGGGACTAACCGGTAGAAAATTTGAGCAAATCTACAATTTACATATCATGTATGCATCAAATTTCCCCAGATTTGCAACAAACAAACTTCCTTAATCTTACGTTTAGTACCCTGAGTTTGGGTGCGTGTCAAACTAGAGTATCATCCGTCCTTCTTCCGTTTTCGTGTGTTATCATTCTCGCTGATAACTAAATCTGTTGGCTCTTTCTCTCTCTCTCTGCATTTGGCATTATGCGAGCAAGTGAGATATCCTTGTAAAGAGCACGCAAAGTTTGCAAAGCCAGATTTGAAGAGAGATAGGATTGAGAGGATTCACGTGTTGCAGACGAGAAACTTCTGGCTAGCCAGTGCCGGGAAGTGATAGCTATGTAAATCGACTTATTTTTGGAAGATCCGATATAGTAAGAAGTGATAAGCGCATTTGGAAGTAACTTCTAGATTTTCATTTATTTGATTGGCTTCGGGTCAGGTGAAATCCTACTTTGTTCCAGACACTTCTTCACTTTCTAATATTCATCTGTGTACACATGTTGTCTTCTTTTTTCTCATGTTGAACTTTTGATTGTAAACGTTCAAAAGCTTGTTTTGATTCTCGTGGATGGGCACTATAATTGCTAGGAACGGGCCTACATAAACAACTGAACGACACGAAACCCGCCGAGCTTTGTAGATATCTTCTTGCAGCGGCCCGAACATAAATTTCGGTTTGCATAAGTTTGACGTGGCTTCAAACCCCCGTTTTCCCGAAATTTTGAATTCCCGGTACTTGTCGTGAGAATTCTTCGAACTTCTGGCTTCCTGATTCTTATCACTGACAACCATGTTTTCCTTTTCGTGAGTGTTCTGTCTGGTTTTGTCTGAAAATGTGCGACCGACGCTGTTGTAAAGCAGGCAGCCTGATTTGATTTCCGCGTTCAAAATTCGATAATTTGTGAATACATAGTAAAGTTACTTCACTTATTCACCATGTTTTTCACCTTTTCTGAAATTTTTTGTGTATTTTCAGCTTTGAACGGAGCCACCCACGTATTTTGACCACTTTTCATATTTCCCATTTATTTTCAAATATTTTCATAATTTACCCGGTTCTGTTGGATGACAACATTAACCTAAAATGTAAACGTTGTTTTCGTTCTTTTTCATGCGATCATGAGCATACGGATTAGGTTATCCATCTTTTCTCTCTCTCTCTCTCTTTCTCTTTCTCGAACACCACTCTGAATCCGATCCCATCTCATGCTATTCATTGCCTTGTTGATGGGATGAGTTATGTCGAATGACACAGAATTATATGAAAAGGGAAAGAGAAAGTGCACAAACATGTGATGTTCCCACACTCCTTTCAAAGGAATCGTTTGTCATCGGACCAATCCAATCAAGTTCTCTTTTTTCTCACGTTGGGCTTGACTTCCTAGTTTCATACAGCTCGAAAAGTTATTCTTAGACTAGGCCCTTATCGTGTCCAGATATCCAGAATCGTTGTGTCGTGCGTCACACTCACTTGAACTTCAATTGGCGTCTTGCCTCTTCAAGGGCAATTTTTGCGGTTTCATTTGTAATTTTAGCACGAAAAGAAGGAGAAGAAGACGAAGAAGAACCTGATACCAGGGTTGAGAGTAGCCACTTGAACGAATGCCCCCGGATTGTTAGCTCTTTCTCTCCGGCGCCTGGCAGACATTATTGCCAATTCTTGATGTGTTTGACGTCGGAAGCGGCGACGACATTCTCATTTCACCAAATATTCCCGTCCCTATTGCTCCTCGCTTTGGTCCGAACCTTTGATCACGCTTTCTAACCGATGCAAATTTTTGTTTTTGGCCGATCTCTGAAAAACTGCCATGGTGCCGGATGTCTCGAATCATTTTGTGCACATAATAAACATTAGCAACTTTAGATTCAGATTTATTTTTCCTCAGGCGGAGGGACGGAAGGAAGTATGATAGATAGTGGCATCATTCAGCTGACTTGTCCTTCTCATGTAATCCTAATATTTATTCATCGTTTGGTTCACCGGATCTGATCCAGATGTGTCTTCCTTTCGCTCCTATCCTTCTACTTCTGGTCGGTTTTCATAGCCATGTAAACTTTGAGAAGTCCGAAGGCCTTCTGTTTATCCCGTGTCCTCCTGGCTGGCTCCACTTTAACCTCCCATTTCGCTTCGGCCATAATTTTTATTGCTCACATTTAGAGTAGGCGGAAAAATGAAGGAATTTTTGTCTAGTTTTTATGATAAGTCGGAATTGTCTCCACTGTCCCAGAGAGACAAACGAAACAGCACGCAATCAGAGCTGTTGCCGTGGACTAGAAAAATCCTCGGCCATGTAGTATTTTTCACAATTTTCGGACGTTGTCAAACGCGTACACGAATTAGCATCCAATAATAGCGCAAAGGCACCAAATTGCGTGCAGGGAAGAGTTTTCACACTTGCATTTCCTAGGCCACTGCCTCAAGTTTGACTGCGCGCTGTTCCGTTTGTAAGCGTTTCTGAAAATTCGGACTTGGACAGTGGATGTGGCAATAGGAAGCAATTAGATAGAGACTTAAACTCGGAAGGTTCCCTGGTCCTTTAATGTCTCAAAAAAACTTGTCCACCGAGGGCACCGGGAGGGCCATGTGTATCTTTCTAATTACGGGAAGTGGTCTCGTCGCGAATCCTTCCCCCTGAATCTTGTCAGCGACCGAATGGAAGGCACTAATTGAATTCTTTTCCCTTTTACCCGTACACGATGATGGTGTTTGATGGAGACGCCGACTCATTTCCGTCCGCCACGTTTTTTCTTGTTTTACATGCTTGAATATGAGCACACAATGCGAATTAATGGTAAATGCCAAAAGACGTGGCTGTTCCATAGTGTTTTTGTTTTTTGCGTAGGAGGATTGGGGGAGTAAAAAAATAGTGAATTAGTTATTCATGGTGCTCTACTCTACATTGTTTTGTCCGTTCTGTTCCTTACGAAGTGAAATTTGAAATTGGCAAAGACCGAGTGGGGGCGTGCGGAATTCCTCGTCTCTGTTGTTATTCCAACCTTGCCACCTCTATCTGTTTTTATGACGTGTCCATTCGGGGTGAGTTGCATGTTTGCATTCGTCTTTCGGGTACCCCACACCCGTTCTCACACCAATTTCCGTATCAGGACCCAATTTGAGCGGAAAGTTGCTCGCCGAAATCTCTTCTCGATCAATTGCTTTTCTTTTCACACACCCCAAATCTCCAAATAGACGGTTCCCACGATCAGGCGTACGTTGCTATTCTGATGAATAAGAAAATGTCAAAATAGATACTTGGCACCCGAAAGGTTTCACATGACGGAGCTCATGACGGGCGGCTCCTCCCCCTCCTTTTTTTCGTTTTTTCATTTGGCTCATTTGTGCAGAGCAGGCAGCTGAAGAGAGGATAATATAATCATAATCTTTAGTTCATTTCTTCTCGAACATGTTTATTGCAAACGTGCCAAAACATGATTTTAGGATGGATTTAGGGAAGAAAAGTAGTTTTTGGTGTCGATGTCAATAGAGAAAATCCGGATAAAAGTGATTCGTCTGGTCGATCAGAAAACTAAACAAATGAAAGATTATTTGCAGTTTCTAAACGTTTTTTCGTTTGGTCCTCAGATGATTTCATCCTGTCAAAAGTCAAACATACTTCTAGAATTAGAATTCTTCTGAGTGGTCAATCCCCCAACATCCTTCCGATTCGAATCAGTCTTACTTTTTGTAGACGTCTCCTAGATAGAGTAAAAATCACACGTACTCCCTCCCACCTCATTATTCATTTCCATTTTCATTTTTCATCACTTTTCTATTTTCAGCAGAGAAAGTCTTGTGTGTGGGTGCTGAGCACACCTCATTAGGCTGCAATTCAGTTCATCTCTCGCTCCCGTTTTGCACGCAGCACTTCTCAATCACATAATTACGGGAGGGGATCGGCTCAAAACTCAATGTCCGACTGCCTAGGTCCTTTCGAATACATTGTGCGAAATTTGATTTCAGTTCGGAAGAGAGACGGAGGGTAGACGGCTCGCAACTTCAGTTCTTCTTTTCTTCTTCCTTGAGTGTTTCCCAAAAATAGAGCAAAAGATCGTGTTCTGTTCATTCTGGATCCTTCTCGTCATTGGATTCTCTCGAAGTGCGTCAATGGGGGTGTATTGTAATTCACTTTTAATGACGTGGACCTTTTTTCCATTCAAATTCAACGTATAGCTCCCCGAATCCTACCAAAATTTTAAATGAATATACCCATAGAATATTCCAAATCACGCCATTTCCTCTGCAACAGTCAGTCCGCCAACGCATCGCACTTTCTCTACTTCTCACTTGAATTTCTAATAGGTCCGGAGACGACGTGCTCGTTAATACGAAGAAAAAAGTATGAGAGAGAAAGAGAGAAAGGCCAAAGTAAATATGAATAGAATCATCGAGGTCTTTGTTCTTTGCGCAATGAGAAGGTTATTTTTGAATGCATCTATTCGTTTTGGTGAACTGAAAACAATTGGCTCCTTCTCCTCCATTGGTCGTTGATGTGCTCGAATTGCGACAAAAGTTTTTTGGCCCTGAAAGTCCTCCCCCCGCCAAACCTCCAGGTCCGAAAAATCTGAGAAAGTGAATGAAACATTCATCAAAAAAGTGTTTCAGTTTTCAACCCCATCAAAATGCACCCAGATTTTTAAATTTTCTCCATTTTCCTAAGAGGCAACAAAATAAAATGTGGGGTCTCAAGCGCGGAGCTCAGGGCCATATGTCCCAAACGATCAGTTCTTCTTTTTGAATCCCAGACGATTCTAATTAGAAATTTCGCTCATTTCCCTCATCACCCCACGACGGCAGAAAGCACGGGGTCCTGAGTTGAGTCCACATTTCAATCTAGTTGATGACTACTCCCGAGCATCGCCATGCATTCATAAAAAATCTTGTTTTCCGCCTTTCTTCTTAATTTTTCTCGTCTTTGTTAATCAGTCTCAATTTTCTTAGTTTTCACCCTCCGTATCGGCTTTTTCCGTAACTTTACTTTATTGTATAGTTAGTCATCTCAAAAATCTTGCACCGCACGTACTAATTAGGCTAATAATCGGTGCGCGTCAGCAGAAAAACAAAAACGTCGGTGGCCGTGAGTTGACCAGAATGTGTTACTGGTCACGTGTATTCCTGCAAAAACTAGCCTTTCCCCTTTCTTCGCATAAAAAAGGTCCACTACAACTTCTCCCGGAGCTCAAGTTTCAGTTTTCCCTCTATTTCCGGAACTTGTACCTAATAATGATGTCACACAGTGCATGGTAGTCGGCTGAAAATTCAAGAAGCGTCTATCAAAGGGGAAGAGTAGGGGTAATCCAATTCTTCCACCCCACGTTCTCTTCCTTTTGTTTCTGACACCCATGCTGTCTTTTTTTTACTTCCATCTATCTCTGAGAATGTTTCGATTGCAAAATGCATTTCAGTATGAACTCAACGGCTCTGATGACAAATGGCACGACGGCCAAGGCGTTTATCGAGGATTTCACAATGGGGGAAACCATATTCTATGTCAGTTGTGGTATTGTGGGGACCATCTTCAATTCCATCGTTTTGTGGATTGCGCTAAGATATATTAACACAGAGGATAAGCCCAGACAGGTTAGTTTCTCAAATCAATCTAAAAAATATAAAACGAACTATTGTAGATAATTGTGATAAACATGACAGTAGCTGACCTGCTAATGTGCATAGTTTACATGAAAACTCGTCCTTGGCTTTCCCATTTCCATCACTCACTTTGTCATCCGTACTATCTCATCATTTGGACCTGTCAAATGTGCAGTTGTCTGAACCTCGTGTGGCTCAATGTCGACAAACTCATCTTTATCCAATTCCCTCTTCACTATTATCAGATTGTGAACCGAAAACGTCTTCTGTTTGTGTCTGCTGCCACGTGGGGAGGTCTCATTGCCTTGAACATTGGCCTCGTGAGCTTTTTGGAAGTTCATGTAAGTTCGGATTTTAGAGAGAGGATAACAACATGTTTTTTTGTTTCAGGGAAGCTGTCTGATGACTAAACTGAACCCCTACGTGTATCTTCTCAATCCAATATTCTACGTCGTCATGATTATCACTTCATTTTCATTGTCCGCTCTCATCTACTGTATCGCTCATAACCTGACCCAACTGGAGGAGAGGCAACGATCGGTACCCATTTTCTACAGTAACCGAATCAATTTTCCATTTTATTTCAGAAACTCTTCCGTCGTCTCTTCTTCCTCTTCTCAAGTACCCTCTGGACGTTCTTCACATGTCTTCCATATCGTCTTCTCTACTTGTTCAGCAACTTCTGCGGTTCCATGTGCTACAATTCAGCCTATTTCTTCGCCACTACTCTCTTTTTCCGACTTTTGATCGTCGGCATCATGATCAACCCGATCATCACAATTTGGACGCAAAGAGTGAGTGATTATTTATTCTGAGAATTGAAAGGAAAACCCATTAACCTTGCAGTTCTATCGGCTCCGTCTCATGCGCGTGTTTGGTCGGCTCCGTGAGAATAGCTCGACGGAGGTGTTGATGGTGTCTAACCGACGTTCTTCGGAGCGACCACCCGAAAACACTCCGCTCCGATGTGATATGTAGCAAAAATAAACTTCAAGTTGCTGTAATCAACCCCCTTCCTTTCCCCGTGTCAATACACCCTGATATGACTTGTTCGACGGTTCCTTTCCCTATTTCGCCCACCCAGCCATACTGACCAGCATCCCTCACCAAAAATGACAGCATAATTTATATTGCCCACCCCGAGAAAAACGAACTTCTGAACTGTTTCCATGGTTCAAAGCATTTTTTTGAAAATTGGCATGAACCTTTGACGGTCACGATGTATCATAATAAAGTTTTTATTTTCCTGCAACGCCTAACACAAACGACTTTTTGGGCTGACTTTGCTATCATTAGAACACTTGTTCTTTGTGTACAAAGCAGTTAAATGCTGGAAGACAATTCGAGAGTAATTAAGCAGTAAAAAAGTAAAAAATCAGCAGGTGGTTTGACAAACTCAGTGTTCGAGTGGAATAGGAAGAAAACTGTCAAGGCACATAGAAAACAAATCTATGAAGATCAAAGGCATACAGAAGTGCGGGTAACTGTAGGCTTTGTCATGCTATTAGTTGTGACCGGATAGTCAACAGATATAAAACTTTGGGGTGGTCACGGTAGGCACGGGAATACAAAACGAAGCACAAATAGTAAGCGGGTAATGGGTGGTATTACGATTTTTCTTTTGGATTTTTTGAATTTGAGGCATTCAAATAAATTGGGGACAACATTATGGCAAAAGTGGGAGGAGTGTTTACGGGACTGGAAAAGGGGAAAACGCGGATCATTTCAGAACAGGACAATTCCGAATCGGATTAACATTATAACTTTTAAGATGAAGTAGAGATTCTCTCTACTAGAGAATTGGAATAGAACAAGGGAACACGTGATTTTTTCCAATAGTGGTGGGGGGTAGGTCGTTGATGCATTGATTAAAGAAACTCACAAACTTCATTGGCGAAGTGCAATATGACTTTCTGAGCAATGTCAGTCATTCCCTGAAAATAAAATGGTTAAACAGTTTTTTTCTGTAAAGTCTAACATGGAACGACTCCATCGTGGGCATCCGGCAGAAGGCGTTGTTGATGATAATCGTTGACTCGGCCAGCCTATTCAGATTCTCTCGATCATCGGTCGTGCACAACTCGGCAGCATCGTACAGAAGGCGGGTCGTGTGACTCATTATCTCCTTGAGAATTTGTTGCTTGTCCTGCAAATACGACTCTGATTGTGTCTTTCGACTCACAAATGACTAACCTGCACGTTGTCTGGAGTGGTGATGGTGTACTGTTGGAAATACTGACACATGGGGAGCGGACATCCGTCATGGTTCTCTGCAATCACTAATTTTTAGTCTTCCTTCTCCTCGGGCGAAGGAATAACAACAGTAGTCCAGTAGAGATCATAGCCGAAGCCTCAAAACAACCCCGTCTTTTGCCTACAAAAGTCTAGTCAGAGCGAACGCTTATTCGTTTTATACTACTACAACAGATATCAGTCTACTGACGCGTGCATTAATCCTTTGCTTGTGTGTACTCTTATCTCAAAAGCAAGTACTCCGCCCAACTAACCTTCAACTTCATCCTCCTGTTCCGGCAACTCATGCTCCGCTCCGTTAATATTAAAATTGAAATGTTCTGCCGGAATGGCACCGGCTGGCTCGGGCTCTAAATACATGTTGTGTTCGTTCTGCAACTGATTCGGGCTTGGCGGCGGCGAGTGGAATGGTCCATGAGCGAGACCAAGCGGAAAGTCCATACGAGCTTGCAGGTCGAACGGAACCATTGCGACCGGAAACTGTTGGAATGGATGCAGTTGGAACGGAGGCATTTCGAAAGGATGCAGTTGGAACGGATGCAGTTGGAACGTAGGCATCTCGAACGGTGGCATTCGGAACGGAGTCAACCATATCGGGAACTGTGGAACATGGTGCACATGGTTCCCGCGCACATGTTGTTCTTCTGGTTCCTCCAATCCTTCATTCTCCAGCTCTTCGTCCTCCAGTTCTTCATCTTCCATTTCCAGCGCTTCCAATTCGTCCTCGTCTGAATGTTCCACCACAATAACGGAATCATCCGAATCTTCCATCTCCGAAACTGAATCCTCCGAGTCTTTGACCACCACAACTGAATCGTCCGAATCTTCTACCACCTGAACTGAATCCTCCGAATTTATTTCCATTGGCTCTCCGTCGTCGTTCACTTCTGCGATTCTGCCAGCATAAACATCGTCCATCTGACGGTCGTTTTGGGTTTCCCGAGCATTTGTCATACATTGACCTGAAATAAAACTGTTTTTGTGAGATTTTACAGACTTTTCACTCGATAACAACTGTAAATTAAAAACATTCAACCCCGGCGCTCTAAATTCCAAAGGACTGATCCTGTAACTCACATCCGGGCATATGGCCCTCAATAATCTGCATCATCGAATCGTTCGAATTCGGAGTGTAATTCAGAAAGGAGGAGCTATCGTCCGACGGTCCAACTCCATTGTCGTTGTTTGAAGATCCACCTACCACGCTTTGGCTCTCCATCGGAATGACAAAGTTGCCACGTGCCCAGTCTTCGTAAGTGATGCCGTCCATTGCCGACGCCGTTCCGCTGTTCGTACTTGCTCCCGGTTGACTGTCGTCCGTCGAACGGTCGTACAGCTCAGCATTGCGGGAATCCCTGATCCTTATGACTGCTTCGCGGAAAGAAGTTCGATCGTACACCAATGGTTCTCGTTGACCGCGTTGTTGAAGATTGTTGACGTTCGGATCGGTGACGTCTCCAGGCGCGAGCTCACGGTCCAAAAGTAATTCATTCAGTCCCCGAAGTGCTGAAGTGTCCGGGGCGGAGTGATCTTCTTTGAGGTAGTGGTATACGGACATCATATGCTTCCAAGCGTCCAAAACATTCTGCCTCCACGCGTTCATTTCCCTGAAAATTGTGAAAGTTTGTGAAGAAAAATGAGAGAGGAGAAGAGGATAGAAATGAGAAGCTGATAGGTCAGTAGTGCAAAGCATTGAAAAAAGAACGCATTGTATACGTCCTTGGGCAGAATTTTGATTTGATTAATACTCCTCGCGCCTTCCTGTTCTTCGTGTTAGAATATTTGTGCTGCAGCACATGAGGCCCCTAATGGAACACCAAGATACATGCACACACGAGAGTGCAAAAACAGAAATGAGGAGGAAAAAAGGAGACCAGGCCCCGAAGGCCAACAAGCTCATTTTGGAGAAATGAAGCAAGACGGAAAACGAAAACGTCCGTGCGTACACTTTATGAGGTTCTGCTCCTCGAGCCATCCCGTTTCTCCTTTGCCACGTGAGGATCAATACGCAAATGCCGTGCTCGTTTATTATCGGTTCATGCAACAGAGGGAAACGAAGAAGAATGGGTCTCACTCTCGCCATTTCTACTCGCTCTCTTTCGAAAATGAGACTGAATGGGCAAAGGGGAACACTGGGGAATAAGTGGAACTAAAGGACAGGTGGCGAGCGAGTCGGCAGGGCGTGTGGGGTGTCGGGCGAAAAGTTAGAATGACGAGGAAGGCGCTGCCCCTTGTCTGGTCGACATTAGAAAAAGGGGGGGGGGAGGCGCGGCGCCCTCGTGGACCGTTCGAATATGTTTGCTCAGACCCATTGCGGGCGGTGGCCACCTCCAGCGCTCTACGTTATCACCCAGCGCGTCATCCTCCTTCAACGCCGCCGATCCTCCTTGACGGACATTCAAAACTGTGTAAGACCGGGCGAGGGCGCTACGAGAGCAAAATGGGGACATTTGGGAGGGGAAAAGAAGAACAATTGGTCACTTTTTGAGGGTCTCTCTCTTACACACACGCACGCATCCATTTATGTACAATAGATGTAAATTAGCCGTTGTTTGACACTGAATGATGCTCGCAACAGACAGAGCACGGTTGGAAAACAGAAAATTTGTCCTTTTTCACGAGAGACTTAAGTGAGCCAATTTTTTAGATAGGAAAGAAGAGAAGAAAGGGACTGGGCGCAATACTATCAGAAAATGTCTGGAATGATGTAGTGCCATTCTGTTCGAACACACGGACGCACACGCGTTCTCATTGTGACAGATGTTTCAAGAAACTTAAAGAAACACAAAATTTACGGTCTCGTGATATAATCGATCGTGTCGACGTGTGAACAGGGGGCGCAACGTCCAGGATAGTTTCGAATGGAGCGCGCGCTCATAACCACAACTCGACGATTATTTGCATCTCCATCTTCGTTTTACAGGCACATTCGCATAAACCAAGAAGAGAAGAGGGCGAGAGCGCCGCGCCGGGGTCATTTTCAGCGATAAAAGCGAGGAGAAAGTGTCGCTGAGATCAATATTCGACGTAAAACGAAAGGAAGCGGTCCGCCAGAGAGGACTGTCTGGCGAGGAGCACGATGCGATGAACTCCTAACGCGCTGTTTGACAAAACGGATTCGCAATGGACTTACAGTTAAAAAACCGACGATTTGCAGAGAAAAGCAGATTAAAACAGAGATGATGACAAGAACGAGTGGCGACTGGGGTGTGCGAGGGTCCCGTTCGTCAGAGCGCGCTTGAACGTGGCCGCTGGAAACCCACGGCCACACTGTTGGGACATTTTAAGAAAATATACCGTTTTTCGAAATCTTCAGCGGTGCGGGGCCAAATAAATGTGGAAGATTCTTACCGTTTTTACTGAAAAAAATGAAACGCTTTTCGATTTTTGAAAAACTGGTAAAAACTCGGGTTTTTCTGGTTTTGCTCCGGTTTATTACCCGACTGAATAACATGAACCTTTGACGGTCATGGGTTCAAGGCATTTTTTAAAAATTGGCGTGAATCCTTGACGGTCACGGGTACAAGGCAATTTTTAAAAATTGGCATGAACCCTTGACGGTCACGGGTACAAAGCATTCTTTGAAAATTGGCATGGACCCTTGACGGTCACAGGTGCAAGGCAATTTTTAAAAATTGGCATGAACCCTTGACGGTCACGGGTAGAAGGCGTTGCTGATGTTAATCGTTGGCTCGGCCAGCCTATTCAGATTCTCTCGATCATCGGTCGTGCACAACTCGGCAGCATCGTACAAAAGGCGGGTCGTGTGACTCATTATCTCCTTGAGAATTTCTTGCTTGTCCTGCAAAACTCGCATTGTGTCTTTCAACTCACAAATGACTAACCTGCACGCTGTCCGGAGTGGTGATGGTGTACACCTTCAACTTCATCCTCCTGTTCCGGCAACTCATGCTCCGCTCCGTTCATATTAAAATTGAAGTGTTCGGCCGGAATGGACCGGCTGGGTCAGGCTCCATGTACATGTTGTGCTGGTTCTGCAACTGATTCGGGCTTGGCGGCGGCGAGTGGAATGGTTCAGAGCAGCCCAAGTGTTAGTGATAGATTGACCTGGAATAAAACTGTTTTTGTGAGATTTCGCAGATTTTTAGCTCTTTAACAACTGTCAATTGAACAACCCCGGTGCTCTAGGTCTCAAAGTACTGATCCTGAAACTCACATTCGGGCATAAGGCGCTCAATTATCTGCATCATCGAATTGTTCCGAAATGAAGAGCTATCGTCCGCCGAGCGACTGTGAACCTCCGCATTGCGGGCTCACGGTTCAAAGGTGGTTCATTAAGGTCCGGAAGTGCTGAAGTCGCCTGATCGATGTGATCTTAATTCAGGAAATGGTATACGGACATCATAGTCTCATACACTTCCAAAAAATTCACTTTCTACGCGTCCACCCGTTTCTCTTAATGTTGCGAAAGTTTGGGAAGCTGAAGAGGATAAAAATGAGAAGCTAACAAGTCAGTGCGAGGCACGAATTGTATTGAAGAATTCAACGCGCGTTGTTTGACAAAAAATCATTAGCTACGGACATACATTTGAAAAACCGACTATTTGCAGAAGTAGATGAAAACAGAGATGAAGACGAGAACGAGTGGCGACTGGGGTGTGCGAAGGTTCGTCCCATGCGCTGCGTTGCTGCAAAGCCACAATATGGTCCGTTCGTCAGAGCGCGCTTGCACATGGCCTCTAGTATCCCACAGCTACATCCTGTTGGAACATTTAAAAAAAAAACATACCGTTTTCGTAATGTTTCGCAGTGCGGGGTCAAATGAAAGTGGATACGCGCTAACAGTGTTTACTGAAATAGAAGTGAAACGCGTTTGAGGTAAAAAACAGGTAAAAACTCGGGGTTTTCGGATGTTTTTCAGATTTCTTACCCGCCTGAATTAATTCATTTGATTATCAAACTCTGCAAAAAGATTCGTTAAGACATACGTTTTCTCCCACCGCCGTACTCAGACGACAATGATGCTTTAGGACAGAGGAACTTGCGATAAAGTGGAATTCAAAATACCGGATTGGCTGGGAGCGTGAACCATACAACTTGCACAGTTTTCTGGCGCCGTTTCTGCCGTTTCCGAGCTGAAAGCAAAGTATTCGTCCTTTCCTCTAATGATAATTATAGATTTCAGAAATGCTCACAAAGTATAGGGTTTGAAGTTTGAAGCGTTCAAAGCTGCAAATTCTTCACTTTGCATCACTTTCTGGCTGCAGGACGAGTGTTAGAGCTAACATTTGAAAACATAATTTTGCATTTTGAGCCAAATGTCTGTTTCCAAAATCGTGCCTTTCTATAGGTTTGAGTTTGCAGAACAAGTTTTCCGGCTCGTACCAGCTGATTTTCCGAGTAAAAATCTAAACAGTTGACAAGTCTGTCTGAAACCGTTTCCCGTTATTCCAGCAACCTTTCGCTTTCCACCCGCGCCTTTCGCTTTCTTTTCTCTTCCTGACTTGCAAACCCATAAAGTGAACAATGTCCAGTTCACAGTTCACTTGATGTGTTCACGCGCACGCAAGCACTGATTTGTGAAAATAAGTCACATGACGGACTGGCCGACAGGTATGATGTTTTCGCCCTCCTCCCCATCTCTCCGCCTCCTCGCGTTGCCCGTTCGTTCGTCAGATACTCCTGTCAAAAAGGGTTTCTCCGAAACATGACGATGACATGTGACCAACATGCCTGGTTTTCCGTCCTTCTCTCTCTTCCACCCTCTTCATCGTTGCCCGGCGAATTGCAAAGCGATGGAAATGGACTTTGCGTGGACACTTTTCGGTAGTTTCACTTATATTAACCGTGGGAATCGTTGAGTCGTGCGCGAATTTTGTGTTCACAACCTTTCAATTATGGTGATTTTTTTATGAAGAGAAGTTCCGTAAGGTTTGCGTAAAAGTTGCGGACTTTTACCGTGTGGGTCAAACGCTCATGCCGAAAGACGTACCGAACTGGTCATTTGATTTTTACTGGGGACCAACCCCAGACGCACCACGTCAAGTAATATACATAAAACTGCACAAACTAGGTCGTTAGTCATCCGCGCTTCTTTGCCTCAAGACGTGTGCCAAGCCGCCGCTCGCTTACACTTTTCTGCTTTTCTTTCCGCATTTGTCTTCCTTCCCTTGTAATCTAGTGACAGTTCGAAGCTGTGCTCAATCGAGGTTTCCGACCAACCGCGATAAATCAATTGAGCGTTTCGTTCCAACATCCCATTCGCTCATTTTGTGGTTCAATGAACAAACGAACGATTCCGTCGGGCTTTTTTTGATGAAATTCAAACGTTTCGCCCTACATTTTGTCAGTTTTTCGTTTCGCTTCTTTTCTTCAATAGAATTTTATGTTGGTTGAGTTAGATGGATAGATGTATACACGTTCGGTCCATTTCTGATGAAGAACTTTGGCAAAACCCGGCGAGCTGTGTCGGTCATTCTAAAGGTTGGTTCAGTGATGCCAATCTTTGAAGTTTTTCGTGCATGTTACGCGTAAAATGTTTTCGAAGAGACACGTATTAGCTCCAATTCTGGGTGATGAACTGAGCTCGCTCGGGCTCTTCTTATATGATTGCGCAAAAAGGCTCAGCTAGTTCTGAGTTTCACATTTCTAAACAAAAAATCTGGCCCTCGATTGAGCGGAATTCCGCCTTCCGCTTTCCGACTTCTCAAAATAGTTGATCCTCTTGACTCTGATTTAGAAAATCCAGAACATTTGGAAAAACTAGAAATTTTCCGGAGTTTTCCAGATTTTTCCGAGTTAGTCACAACAGACACATCTGTTTAGAATTGCAAGATTTCAGCCCGGAAGTTACACCTTGAATGAGTTTTCTGCCAAAAAATGAGAAACACGCGCGACACGGCAAAGTCTCTAAAAGTGCGGTAAACTTGCAAAAAGTGGATGCTAAGGTTGTGATTTATCGCACCGCCAACTTTCAAACAAAATGTAGAAGTATTGGAAGGCCGAGCCGGAGAGCCGTTGCCAGTGGCCGAAACTCTAAAAAAAGGCAAACGAATCTTTACACCGGTCACTACTGACAATCGGCTTTCGTTTTCCTCTCGTCACACCTGTTTGCAAACTGGCGCCGGGCAGTGGTTTGTCCTGCGTCCGTTCGGTGGTTCCTATTACAATACACACCGCAGGCAGTGGTTTGTTACTCACTCTCACTCCTCTTCCCCCTTTTTTCTTGAGTCTTCTTTCCCTCCGGTTCCTAGTATAACGAAAATTTGTTTATTTTTCAAAGCTTGAAGAGCTTGAAGAAGAACGCACAGAAGAGCACATCATGTTCCTTCGATTTTTCTCTCAAAATAAGAAATGTTTTTCCTCTTTTTTCTCGGAACGGTGGCAAATAGCAAAATTAAAGGGTAGACGACTAGCGGAAGCGTGTTGAAATCTGATGGAGGGGGATTTTCTGTTTTCTTCTCTTAGTTTTTTACGGAGAAGGAGTCTTCCATGTTTTTAGTCTATCCCCTTTGGTTGAAACGTTTCCGTCACATCCTGTTCATGTCTTAATTTGATACTCTCTCTCTCTCTCTCACTATGTCTCCAAAAAAAACCGAAATAGGATTGTACCCGGAAACCCCGATCCCATGGAACCTTCCACATATCACCCAAAAAACCAGACTCCAACTAGTGTCCATCCAGAATAGCATAGCGTCATATTTCTGCGTCAGTCGGTCGGTCTGGTCGGTCCGCGCCTGCTCGCCTTCTCTCTTCCTCCCAAACGTCCGTCTATCAGTTTATGAGATGAATCTAAACAAATGGGGTCAAATGACATTCGTTCGCCGCTCCTCCACACATATCGCTATTACTTTTACGATGAAACAAACGCCTTTCTCTCGCAAAACTTCATAAAATGACGGTCTGAGTTGAACGGAATTCCGCCTTCCGTAGATTCTTAAGCTTAACTGTTCTTTGTCACACTACAAAGCTCGGAAATCAGTGTGTGGCTGTTCACCATACGATTATTTCTTTCGAACCTGACTTTGACGAGAAAAATTCAATTTTAGCTTCCGCCTTCCGCTTTCCGCCGAAAAGATTTCTGTTCTGCTTTCCGCTTTTTCGAAACATCTATTCCGCTCTACTCTGATGACGTTTATCCCCCCCCCCTCCATCAAAACGAGAAGACGTTTATCTAAATTTTTTCAATTTCCTGTTCATCCCGTCTTGCTTTCGCTTTTCATTAGTTTGTTGCATTCATTATTGCGTTTGCTCCAAGATTTTCTGATTTTTCCGCTCAAAAACATGTTTTAGCCAGCGTATCCTTCAATCAAACGCTTTTGTGCTTTGAGCGGTAACAAGCAATAATCCGTCGGAACGGGGATTATCAAAGTTCGGATGTACGCTCTTTCTCTCGCCAGCCTACGCTTTATTTTGCTGTTTTTGAATCCAAAACGCTCCGTGCAATATGCGAAATAAGATGGGAATTAGGTGGTAATAAATTCAGCGAGCTCCTCATTTCCGTTTCCGAAAAAAAACGACATCATCGCGGAGTGAAATGAATAGGAGAAAAAGAAGAAGAAGAAGAAGAAGAAGGAGAGGAGGCTAATGGCTTGCCTCTTCTATTCAATTTGTGCCCTTTATATTCCATCCGATGGGCCTCACTAATACATCTCTGGTTTTTTTCGTCTATTTCTGTCTCTGGACCACGTTGGTGGGAGGGAACCGACCTCTTGGCACGCTCTTTCTTTTCTGCTACCACTTTGCCCGGTTCAGCCCGTCAAAACATCTTTTTTCATCCTTTTCTAACTTCTGCTCTCCTCACTTTTGCCCCCCCCCCGCCCAGTTCCCCTTCCTTTTTCCCCTTCCGCTCGTGTATTCCGTTCTTTTTTCTAATTCTCATAATTTTATTTTCAGCTCGCAGTTGTGTTTGACTGCGACCGGAAAAAAGGTGATTTTCTTTGTAACACTCGAGGAAATGAAAAAACATCACGAGTATCATGTCATAACAATATTTCTTCCCGACCCTCCGCGGGCAGCCGGTCACTTGCCCTTGTTCTCTTCTCGCCCAAAACAAATAATGATGTCATTCCGACCTAACCCACCCACACCACTCTATTTTTCCACTAATTATGCGTTTTTTTCTCTGCATTCGACTAGATTTCCTGAAAATCTCCTTCATTTCATCCTCACCCTGCTGGTGGTGTCGGTGACCGAATTTCTTTTCTTTCGGGCTTGTGAAATCCAATCCTTGGCGCGGTTTTTGAGATGTGTTTATCACGCACATGTATCGTCGGCTCAAAATTTTCCATTAATGTTTTCTTCGTTCGTCACAGCTCTCGGACGGATGACTAGACTAGTTTCTCGGGATAAACTAAAGTTTTCACAAGTTATCCTTTACCCTTTGTACCATCGGTGTTTCCTAGTAGACATTTCGTATTGACACTATTGTTGCTCTAGTCTTGTAACGTCTAGGTCATCAGAAATAAGAACGCAGACGAGATGAGAGCGAGCAATTAGCACCTCTCACAGTCATTGTCTGCATTGCCGTTTCTATCTGTATCTTTTGAGCATTTTCTGACCACAAATATTTTCCGTTATCAAAAATGCGATGCCCCGCATGTATCATCCATTCGCCGAACATTACAAATGACCCGAGAGAAAAAGCACAAGGCCCACATCTGTTGATTGACCCAGACGCACATCACTTTCGTGCGAGCATCATCAACATGAAATGACCTCGAAGCCTGGCGTTCAATCAGATGTTGAAAAGTGGTCGCTGCTCGCACTTTCAGCTGTTCCTAACCTTTCTGTGTATTTATTTGGACGAGAAAGCGAGCGAGTTCTCCTTATCGCCACCACGGACGCATATTGTACGCTTTATAGCTACTTCTCCATTACAATGATAGACGATCAGGCTACTGATAAGTAAAATGTCATGCGAGCGGAGGGTGATCAAAGTCTCCTGCTTTGAAATGCTCTTCTCGTTTTCGAAAATTGCACTCTGTTCTCAATGGAATTTTTTTCGAAAATTCAAAAATAGACTTCAAAAAATCATTCCCGCATCTGTTTGATAGCCTTCCAACTTTCATTTCGTCACAGTTTCCTCTCCTTTCATCATCTTCCTCACAAGCAGATACCAAAAAAAAGGAAACGTGTTTCGTAACAGAAATAGTCATCGATCCAGTCGAAACCCAGTGACCCTCTCTCACATGGTTTGATTAATCAATTAATTGAGAGCAGGACGATATGTGTTTTCTTGAGGAGACCCCTCGCCCCGTCCTCACTTGTGCGTGCTGCGTCTCTCATGTTCGAACGGTTTCTAGTCACGCGGGCCGTTGGTGGCCACCCACCAGCGCGCACAGTCGGTCACTGTCATTCTTTTCCGCTCATTCCCAAATCGTTCGCCTGGGAGGTCGGACCGCCGCCGTTCAAACGGCCGGTTGTGCAACCAGCGACACCCTCGGCCACCGTCGATTGTACGCACACACACAACACTTTTTCTTCTTCTTCTCTTTTCCGCGCCGTTCTCTCTATTCCGCTTGTTTTTTATTCTATCATCATCTAGCCGCTTGGCATTTCTTTCCGCGTGTTCTATGCGCGCTTCCGCCGGTGTAATTGCAATTGCCACTTGTCACTCTTCTTTCCGCTGATCTGCGAACAGCTGACCCAACCGCGCTGCTAAAGTTTACATTCATTTCGTTCGATTAATAGATCACAAAAGTATCATAAAAGCGTCAAATTTAGCAAGTTCATGATGCCTACTTAGGAGTTCAGTTATTTTCCAGTGTCTTTCCATCCAAAGTCCCGTCGCAAACTGGCGTATCGAGTGGTGGTGGTGGTGGGCGATTGTGCACCGCGATAAAGAGTTTCGTGTACTCGGCGATCATTGTCTGGAGACCCTCCTCGTACGACTTGAGATGTTTCTGCAAAAAATTCCGTTTTCGATATGGCGGTGTCCCCAGCGCCTGTGAAAGATCAAAGCGCGTGCGATCCCAGCCTCCCAAAGTACCGTGACGCAACTGTCGGCGCCCTCTGATCTCTTTCCACATCGCAATTATCATACATTCGCGCCGTGCTATTATTCCTTTCTGGTTGCTCGCAAAAACAGCTTCATTCCTGCGAGGGAGTTTACCTCGAAAGTAGCGCGATCGTTGCGGATCATGACATTTTCGATGCTGTTGGCAGTTGCCGTGATCTTGGTGTTGAGAGCGCAGATCTCGGACACCACGGTGCTTCCGATTATGCCGAGGCACTGTACAGTGGCCCGAGAAAGCTCGCGGTGCTTGTAGACCATCGAGTTGATCTTTTCCTGAAAGAGCATTGTTAGTACATCCCCTAATCCCTATAGGTTAACTCACGATGTGGCGAAAATTGAGAAGCAGCGGCATAACTGGCTCCATCACTTTTTTTGCTGCTGGAGACGGCATCGCTCCTGATAAATTAGAGTTACGGTAGCTTCCAGTGAGAGACAGAAAAGTGAGTGAAAGAGAGAATGTGAGCGGAACGGGGGACGTGTCGTTTTTATCGATGGGAATGAGGTGGAATGGAATTGATAGACACAAAAGTCGGAACGGAACGGGAAATGTGTTCTCGACCTCCTGTATCGGCAACTTTCTCCAATTTTCTTTCCACCTCTTCACACCCCCTATAACACACTTTCTGAGCGGAAATTGAGACCTGTTGTGCTCGGTCTCTCTAGACATCACCCCCACCCAGTCATCAATTATCATATAACAGCTACTTGATGCTGGAAACAAATGTTCAGTTTTTTTGGCCTTTATGAGAAGCTCGTGGAAGTAGCAAATGCCACGACTTTCAAAGTAGTAAGTGTCGGAAACCTTGGAAACACAAGTGCTTGGCTTGCCGGTCGGTCGTTCAGCCGAACTCGCTCGAAATGAGCAAAAAGAAGTGAATAGTAGGAGGAGCAAAACTACCGTCTCCAGGATAAAGAGCACAAATGTATTGTACTCGATGCATCTATACATACAACAATTATTTGTGCGCGTGATTGCGAGGAGGGCGCGCGCCCATGGGACAGTGAAAGCGCGTGATTAGTACTTTTAGTTTTAGTGATCCCCTGCACTTCACAAATTTTAGACGATTGCTCATTGTCTTTTACGCTCGGCAACTGACATTTATCGCCAAAAATGAGAAACGAGACCAGTGGAACTAAATCTTTTGATTGCAGTGTTCAACAACATCATGGAGAACACGGACATTAAGAACGAGGAAAAGGAGAAGGAGGTGAAGGTGAAAGCGAAGGATGAGGTGAAGGCGAATGATGACGTGAAAGAGAATGATGAGGGAAAGGAGGCGACTACGGAGGTGAAGGCTCCGAGACCGAGACTGACTCGAGCGAGAAACGACGACGACGGAGCCCCGCCAGCGAAAGCGCCGAAGCTCGAGCAGCAGCTTCCGTTCCCCATCGAGATCATCCAGACCATTCAACAGCTGACGTGCCCGAAGCCGACCCACAACGGACTTCCCGCCAGAACTCAGGTTCTGATCATTGAGAACGGAAAGCCGGTGCTCACGGAGCTGCAGCCACTCCAGCAGTGCCAGCAGATGCAGCAGATCCAGAACCTGATCCAGTACCACGAGGGACAAGCCAAGTACCGCTCGTACTTGCAGTTAGAGCTGCTCAGAAGTCTTCGCAAGCAACTCTCAGATCAGATGATGACGCACCCGACGCGCAGCCACTACGAAGCGCTCCTCGACGACGTCAAGCACAATCGTCTGACTCCGTTGTCGCCGGCCGAGAAGGCGCAGCTCGAGTACTTCACCGCGATGGCTGAGTGGACTTTGGAGGCTCGTGTAAGTTCGCGAAAGAAGAGTAAAGTGAAGGGGCTGAATTGTAGGAAGAACAGGGGAAAGGCACGCGGTAAAAAATGTTCAATTTCCCGTTTTCAGGCGATTCTGCAAGACAAAGAGACGCCGTTCTATCTTCTTCACTTCGGACGTCAGGTCAACGACTACAAGACGCGTCTCAATGAGATCACGACTCACGAGCAGTTCCAGGTGGGAAAATGATCACTTCCAGATAAACGGGAGCATTTTAACGTTTCAGATGTTCGCACCAATGCTCGCTCAGCGCATCGACTATCACCGCGAGCTTATCCACACTCTCAACCGTCGCTCGTCGGTCAGCATCGCCTAAGCATCTCGGATTCCGCTCCAATCAAATCCATCAAAAAGTGCCCATTCTTGTTGATATGTCCATATTCAACTGTTTTCTCTCTCCACGTCACACCACTTATATTGTTCTAGTCCACGTAGAATTCGGAATCTCAGTGTCACGTGATCTTTGACGAACTTTTTACTAGTAGGCTACAAAAACCACTTCAAGTTTTGAGAGTGGTAGTGGTAGCACACTTGTAATCAGGAAAGTTCGCAGCGATCCCGTTCGGTCAAAGATTGACACCCGTGTGTTTCGAGCAAAAATGCATTTTTTCATTACCACACACGTTTCTGTGTTCCGGTACTGTGAAAATGTTATTTCAACCTCAACCCACCTGTCTCTTTTGTGAGACTCAGTCTCCTAGCGCTCCAATGTTTGGATTCATTCTCCTTTTGTGCATTTGCCGCCATTTTGTGTTCCTGAAATATGAATCTGAGGTTGACATTGTATTATTTGCTGTAAAACCCAAAAAAAAACCCCAAAAAATGTCCACGGTTTTCCTTCTTTCTTCCGAGTTTTCTTTTCAATTTTTTTAACTTTCTGTAACTTTTTTTCTTCTCCCTTTAGTTACCCCCTCCCTTTGTACTATCTCCTGTGAGGTTAAACCCCTAATTCTCAACGTGATTTTTTGACAATGGGATGTTATCCCTTCGTTTCTTTGTGAATATTGCCCATTCTTAAAAATTTCGCTTGCCTTAACTAGGTCAACACCTGTAGTCCTGTCCTACCCGTACTTTTCTTTAAGTCCCCCCATGCTTTATTCTCTCTCGAACCAGCCTTAAACATGTTCCCATCATTCATTCGAAAATGTCAATTTTGTGATTTTATCACCTAATTCTATCGTTTTTCGCTTCTCGTTGCACTTTTGCGTGCACTTTGAGTGATAATAAAGCGTTTCTGGCAAGCAATATTTTCTGATTTGCACTTTTAAGTCGGACGTGTATGATCAGAAAGCATTTACGTCAAATGAGTAATGAATAAAGAGTAAAACGGTTTTGTAACATATCATTTGAAAAGTAGGAATTATTAAGAGAGAGAGAGAAAGGTCTTTGTCGAAATCCAGCCGTCGTTTTGGAGTCTGCGTGATTGGAATCGGGAGAAGGGATTAGTGAATCGGATTACAATTTCATTCTGAAATACAAAAGACGGAAGGCAATTGAAGAAGTCAGAAGCACGTGACTGGCGGATACATTTATTCGTGGTAGCACAAGTCGACGATCAACTGGGCCAGGTGATTCCAGATGCCGACGAAGACTTCACGATTTTGGGGGATGCTTGCCTGAAAATTTCAAAATTCAAAAATTTGGTTAAAGCTTTCTAGAGAAAACAGTTATAAGGCGGGCCGGGAAACATGTTTTTGAGTAAAATGTTTTTCAAAAATCGAAATATGGACAAAAAGTGATTCTACATTGTCTTATTGTTTGCACAAGAAAACGTAATTTGTTACCTTCCTACAATATTCTATACAACCCACCCACCCTGAATCTTGTCACATTATTGCTTCGAAACTCCCCGAAGAGCTCCTGCAGTTGTATCTGAATTTGACGTTGTATGACGTCGCAGCGTGTCGACGCACTCAACGGGAACCGCTGACGAATTTTGAGCTGCAATGATCATTGACGGAGCGATTGTCTGGAAATGCTCACCAGGACCGCATTGCTCTCATTGAGTAATACAATCATTGCACGAAGTTGGTCCTTAACAAACCAAGATGAAATAATAAACAAAAAAGAGAAAGAGAGAAGGATTACCCGATCGGCTAATGCGAGCGGTGTCCGTTCGAGCGGAACTTGGGTTGTCATCGGAAAAGTAGTCGGTGAGCAAGTTACTGTAGTTCTTGAGCATTCTCTGTAGTTCATGGTTACTGAAGCTGCGGAGTACACCACTCCAGATGTCTCAAGCCTTGTTGATAGAACTGTTTCGACGTAGGAGAGCACAAAGAATTGAGAATCTTCACCCCAAACATCGAACTGAATGTCAGCGAATTCCTCTTCTTGTCGAGCTCTCAATTCCAAATCCACCCCCACTCCATTCGAATCAGTTGTTTGGTCAAGAACTGATTCACAAATGGAATCTTCTAAATGCTCGAAAATCGGCTCCGGAACTGACATGTTGATGTGAGCATAGATTGGAGCTGGCCGATCAGCAATAACAACAACAATAGAAGGTTTGGCAAATTGAGGAAGTGGCTCTTGAATCTCTTGAATTAGAAAGTCGTCTACTCGCTCTAATGAACGCTCCTCCATGTTATTCACGCTGAAATTAGAACAAAGAATGAGAGATTTGAACACAATGAAATGGCAAACAAAACAAGTGGGATTACAAATGAAGAATTTATTCGGTTCGTCGGATCAAAGCGAATAAAAAGCCACATCACATTTGATTTGGATGGTTTCCAGCTTGAGACCACACAGATTTCAATGGGAAACACGCGGTGATGAGAGAGAGAGAGAGAGAAGAGCACGCGGCTGCATGTTCTGGGCCCAATAGTTTGGTGAGATGGAATTATGGAATGGTTGTGCGAAGCCAGAGAGTAGAGGGATACGGTATGGATTATCACATGAATAGTTGATCAAGGTGGAATGATCATAGCTGAGTGAGTTCGGCAAGACGCAACTTCAATCGCTCGCCGTAGCGCTTCTTCTCATCCGGCGCCATCGACTGGAGGACACCTGGAAGCGGATAGAGACGTTTCCACCGGGAAACACTTTTCCTACTGTAGGTCCGATACTTGCGGAACTTGTTTGGCATCGCCCGGTTTACCCAGTACATCTCGGCGCTCCGACGGGGCAGTTGGATCGCAGTGTCTGCTTCCATAAGGCTGGCACCTAGAAACATTAGTGAAGATGTAATGAACAATAGTTATGGAATGTGTGTGACTCACTTGTGATCTGATGGCAGCATAGAACGAAGAGCAGTGCGACTGCTACTGAAGTGTGGCACATGACTGAAATGTAAGCGTGGGCATTGCAGAAATTGTTTTTATTGAGAAGCAGAATGGAAGGAGATAATACGGTGGAATGGATCTTTATCTTTCGCAGATTTCGAAGACAAGTACGCGCGCTTAAACTTCGTCTGAGCCCACGTAAAACCGTCTTTTCTGGGCTTTGCCGTCATTCAGCATTCGGCATTCGCCATTCCGAATGACCTCATTTTTCGTAGACAACACGAAAAAAGAAAAAAGAAAAATCATCAGTATTCAGAATCAAACCGCCTTCCAGTTCCTTTGGACCAGAATGTGAATGGGTGTCTCGGAAGGTGTGTAAATCAAAAACTAGGCAGAGCTTTCAGAAATGATCTGGTTGCACATCTACATCTACGTCCCACACAGAGCACAACTAGCAGCCGATAGTTCCATCTGATTGCGTACTCATCAGTTTCCAGTTCAATCCACCAATAAGCATCAAACTAAAAGTAGGACGACTTGAAACTTTGAGAAATACACGTTTTCTGCAGTCGGTGCCATTCGGTGCCGCGATTCACGCAAAAGCAAGTTCGAAAATAAAGCGGATTGCGAAAAATGGGTGTGTAATTGGGCCGAATAACGGATTAGGTTCTCACGCCGACGAGCAGATTTTATACCCAAGCTGTTTACGGGGATCACTTTCGTTAATAAGAGCCCTGGGGGATGGTCCGACGCATGTGCTCGTCAGGTGCCAGACATGTCATTAGTCATCCGGAGAATGAGGAAACATGTTTGAAAATAAATGAGGTTTGATGTTAGCGGCGTGTCTGTCGGATCTGTATATAGGAAAAATCCAGACACACACAGGAATGCTGTGATGCGCCACGTTCGCAGCACCATTAAGCCCCTATTCATGAACTTGTTACGTCAAAGGGTTCACCTGAATCTAGTCTAATGAGTTTTTTGAGAAAAAAACTGGAAATGAAGAGCAGAAACATGTTTGTGAACTCTTCTTGTTTGCACCTTGTAGATATATAAGAATCGTGTGAATATGAAAATGTTTGTGAGGTGTGGAGTGAAATAAAAAATGAATATGACCTGTCGCGCCTACATACACTCAAATTGGTCGTGAAACAATAGAAAACTTCTGGGTGCCGGCATTTTTATGAAACGTTTTTGTTGTTTCGAAATGACACAGACTTTAAACTGGAGAGGAACGGAAACGCGGAAATGGTGTCCACCCACTCTTCTACATAATATCCGCTCTTGTCTACCTTTCGGTTTCATAATATCAGAATAACATATAATTAGGAGTGAGGGTGGGGTTTAGAAGATGAATTTCTAATGGCAGACTGAACTAAAGACTTCATTTTCTGGCCTCCTCTGCAACTGACATGCATGTTATTCGAAAATAGTCAAAATAGACCTCTCTGAGCTTTCTAATACCGGGTTGGAAATGAAAAAGAAGATTAAAGCGTGAAACAGAAATCAGAGCAAAAACAAGGAAACAATGATGGAGGATTTGAAAACTGACGAGATGTGATTCACAATTCACAACTTGTGGAAGATCGCTGCTCCCTTCCGAAAATAGACGGATTATGGTAGTGAGCTTTGGATTCGGGGAAAGCGAACGAGTAAGAATGTGATATGTGGGAAGGGGAAGGGCATTGCATATACATGCACACAATTGGAAAACAGATTTTCGATACGACTTATGGCCAGGAACTGGGGTAAAAAGTGTAGCAGCAGCAGGTTCAGGAGTCGAAATCGAAAGTTTAAGGACGACCTGTCAGTGATAGCGAAAACTGTCAAGGAAAACCTTTCATGTTGACACAGTTCTTACTTTCAATAAAAATTTTGGAACTGAATAATAAGGTATACTCGAAAAGGTCGCTGCAAAGTGGAAGAAACATTTCGTGGAATCAAGGTGAAATCGAGAAAGGCGACGTGAATTATTCACCCGCTCACCTAACAATCCGTACTAGTTGCTCTTATTTGCATTTAATTCACATGGTCACCAATCTTTTTTTTCTTGTTTTGTTGGCCCAGGTCATGTTATGGGCTTAACTGAACGATATTCTAAGAAAAGGGAAGCAACGAAACGTAAATGACGCTTTCGAAAATCTAGATTTGGAACGAGAATGCTAAGTAAGTGGGCGAAGAATAACGTTAATTCAATAAATGTTACTTTTGCGCAAGTGTCTGGAATAACAAAACGGGCCAGCGTCACAGATATTCATATAGCCTAGCAGACTCACTTATTGGGATCTTCGAAGATGGTGAGATGAACGATTGCTCTTCGTGTTTTGGCAATATAGGAGTAGCAGCGATAAGCAGTATAAAGGGCGTAAGCTTTGAGAAGAGTGTAGGTACCCGTGAATACCATTTTCACTATCAAAAAACGGTGAAAGAACCGGTCGGACTCGATGAGATCTTCTTCATCTGAAACGAAATCCTCAAGTTCCCTAGAAAATACTCAAAAAAACTGACCTGTTATGATGAAGAAGAATAAGAACGTCAAGAAAAAGGATATAAACATGAACATTCGGCAACAAACACCAATCATGTACACTTCAATGTATGCCAGTCGGAATTTTCGGATTCCTTGAATTAGAAAGAAGACCAACACTGAAACATTTTAAAAGTTATACAAGATTTCCGATAATGTATGGGTTACCCAGTTGAATGCAAGTGAATGCGAATCCAGCAATGATAATGTACGGTGGGAACGCTTCCCGGACCACACTTTCAGCGGTCCAAAACGAACATTGAGAGACTATCCACATGATTTCACAATATGCAATCCACAAAGTGCCAGTCTGAAACGAAATTTTTTTTTCCTTCATTTTTTTAGAGACTCACTCGAATGTGCATAACTTTGAAGCAACATAACGGTGACGGTAGCTTTTTGACGACCGGGTACACGCCATTTTGATTGATGTGCAGCTCTTTCTCATGCGCGATACTCATCTGGAATTTTGGCAAGCATTTTTTAGATAAATTCGTGAAGGTCTTTGGGCTGGGCACAGAAAAATAGAAGAATAAAAATGAAGAGTGACGCACATCTCGTTAATCTCGGCTGCAAAATTGAGGAATAAGAAAGGAACCCATAAATTTGGCTCTTCTGAACGAGCCAATTTGTTATTTTTCATGAGAGATTCTTCCATTTCCAATTTTCTATGACGTGTCGGGAGGACTGCCTACGCGCTGTGCAAATCACACTGGCCAGCGGTCTTTTGTCCGCGGCCAATAACACCGCCCGTGTCATTTGAGTCAGTTGGGATTGAGACGTGCGGGGGTATAGCTCAGTGGTAGAGCGCTCCCTTAGCATGGGAGAGGGCTGGGGTTCAATTCCCCATACCTCCAGAAATGTTTTGCCAAATTTTATTATTGATTATAAGTGTTCAGAAACACGTCAAATGGCTTAAGAGCTACAATTCTCGAAGAACTTCTTCTGTTTTGCTATAAATGGAAAGATTCCGGTCGTTCGGCTCGAGAATATCACGTTAAACGATTTTTGCTGAAAAATGAGTAACACGAGCAGTAAAGTCTCAAAAAGTCGACAAAGTTGCTGAAACCACCCGGCTCATTGCAAATTTGGTGACTTTAAGCAACTTTTGGAAGAGAAATATACCTTTTTAAGTTTAGCGAACGACAGAATAACAGAGAAAGGCATTTCGCATGACGGGGGTGTCTAGAAATGAATGTTAGGAACAAAAATACTTCCTGATTTTGACAGCGACATTTACAGGTCACTTCCTTTTTTTTATTGCAATATTCTTTTTTGCCTGGCATCATTAGCACGTAAAAAAAGTGCACATTTTTGTGGTGCTACGTGAAACTGACAAAATAAGAAGAAGGAGGAAGAGAAAGAGTAGGAAAGATGGAACGTGAAGATCACATTTGACAGGGTTGTGTCAACTCTGAGGAAAGTGTGAAATGTGATGGAGAAATCCATTGAAAGATAGGAACAAAAATGCCAGAATTAGGAGTTTGCACTTTTTTTGCTGAGAAAACGAGTGAGCAGGGCAGGAGAAAAACGAAAAACGACGGGGGGAGTGGCATGACAATTTAGATTTACCAATTTGAGTGTCTATCTGAACACGGACCACGACTAGGTCCCGCTTTATCCTAACTTTCAAGGACCAAAAAAAGCTCAGCTGTGGACTTGGCGAACTAGAATTGGAAAAAAGATGTATTGTACATAGCGAATACATAAAATCATCGAATATGTGTACGCAGTAGGGACTAATTTAGAAAACGGAAATAGAAAAATGTGTGTCGTAAAAAGTTTATTTCCAATTTTCCATCAGTCCCCAGTCCCATGCCGGAACTTTGAAGTTGTGTGTCTCTCTGACCTTGCGAAAAAGTGGGGAAATGGAATGGTGAGGCATGGGATGAAAGAAGAAGAAGAAGAAGAAGCAATTGGGTGCGGATAATAACATTAAGCATTGGTGTGATGTGATTCTTCCGACCGAGGAGCTGCCTTTTTTCTCTTTGTTTTCTCATTCTTCTCCAATTTCAAACTGAGCGGCAACCAAATAATTGAATAGCTGAATGGAAAAAGGGGAATTGCGAGGCCGCCGTATATTAGGGCTTCCAGATTTTCAGCGAATCATCCATCATTGTCTAACGACCGACTAACCTTTGCGCGAAAGACGTGAAGCAGATGTAAGCAGAAGACGGTGAGTTGACTGAAGAAGTTAGTGATTGGAGCAAACGTCCGGACAAACATCTCGAACAGAATAGACATCAAGTGCGTTTTGGTCTTGAACACCATTCCAGACGTTGTTTCCAATGTTTGAACGTCGAGATTTCAGAAGAATAATGCACTTGTGGTTGAAGAATACTTCAACTTCATCCGATGAAGAGACACGACCGAGCACAAGTTATTCTGCGTATTCGTAGACGTTGTTGATCAAGTTGATGAGTGAATTTAGTAAATGACCGCCGCCTTTTCCCTTCCCTCTTTTCGAAAATGTTCATCTATGAATTTTGACTTGTCAGTCATAAATTATTAGTGTTTTGGTGGATGAAAGCAGCAGCTGACGACAGCTAGTCTGAAAGACGGGTAGTCCTACGGCGTATTTTCAATAACGTTTTATTCGAGTATTCGAAATGCATATGTATATCCTACTTTAATTTTGAAAACGTCGTTGGGTTATAATTCGGTTCCAATTAATACTTGAACAGCACTCATTCCTCGTGGTCGGAAAGTTTCCGCCTTTTGAACCAGAGCACTCACAATGTCGTTGGTCGATGTCTGAAAAAAGCTGTAAATCTTTTCATATGCGAGACTGTATTCACCATTGTGTTCGTGCAGAAGACGTACACCTGCAAATGTTGGGATTTTTCGAGGTAACATCCGATTGCGAAGAAGTTCTTGTCCACTGAATCAAATGCCAAGAAAGCAATAGTGAGAAAATGGATTTTTGCGGGCTGAAATTGATGAATTGAATTATTGTTTTCATGTTGTGCGTACCACTTTAGTCACGGCTCTCGAAGTATGAAAAGTGATTTCCTGAGCATTTACAGAAAGCGTGATTAATTTAGCACCTCTTTCGTTTCTCGATTCGTTCTTCATATTCTGAATCACCGAGTTGATATGCTCAGCATGAGTGGCTCCTTCGCCAAAACCGAATATTTCTGTGGTACCGATGTGAGTGACGCTGTACATGGTCATAGAGTAATCAATAGGTTGTCGATCTCTGTAAAGTTAACATTTCAAAAACGTGTCAAGACTGTATGTACTGCTGTACCTGGAACGTGCGTTGAATTCGATATACGGGAATACGAACGCCTTTCCCGTTGATTTCAACCGTTTTTCATTGGTCTGAATGAATAATTTCAAACGTTAAGTTAAACTACTAGACCTACCAGTACAGTGACATTTCTTTGCAAACTCATTTTGTCATTCTGCAGCTGATGAATTTGTGTTTTGTACATGTTTTCGAGAACCATCACTACGGCGGTCGTGATCACGTCCATTCTATCCGTGTACGAGATGTGATTCAAGTGCATGTCCCCGGATACCTGAAAAAACTATTCGCGATCCAACATAAACGATTTTTCTTACCGATTGGTCATTGTTCTCAACAAAACATCTTACGTAGTAGAACATGGCCAATTGGAGAAAGAAGTCACGTTTGAACTGATTACTTTTTGCGTTTGCGTCCAAAGTGACCTTCACGTTTCCGTGGAACGAGTGAACAAAATCAGCCCAATCCTGACAAATCGGCACTGTGAACATGCTCGGATTCGGGAGCTGCGTAATGTCAGCAATCAGTTTGTTGTCTTCCTCGGTCAGAGGATTCTCAGTCGGGTTTGCCAGGGAAAGCTGAATCTTTTCGGCGAGTTGAAGGTACATGGTAGAGTACTGTTCGTGCACAGGATTCGGGATTAGCTGGATGTCGTTGTCGAGTCGAATTGGAACTTGAACTGGAACTGGAACTGGCGGATGCGATTTGGGAAGCGGGACGTTCGAGATGTATGGTGGCGGTGCAAAGGCCGGCGATGGAGCGGGAGACGAAATTGGAGCGGAAACCGGGACCGGATTTGAAAAATTCAAGGTACCAGACGCTTTTACAGGTCCCGGTATCATTTTCAATAAAGATGTCAAATCAATAACACATTTTTCAGAAGAAGAAGCCTCGTCATTGTGAGTAGGTGTTCCAGCTGGATTCATTGTTAGTGTATCTGAACAACCGATTGGTGATCGGAGATAACTTAAGCCTCAGAGAAGATAGAGACATACCTGTGGATCGTAGAGAGTCGAAGTGGGCAACAGCGGCGGGGATACCGTCTAGCGGATCGTTCTTATCACTGTTAAGGCAGGGGAGATGTTCAGCTACTCCGCAGAATTGATAATGATCGTTTTTGACTTGGCCTTCCTCTTTTTATATCAGCACCGATGGGAGGGTCCATCGCTCGTTCAAAGGTTCTGGCGCTCGTCTCACCTCGTCTCCCCTTTTTTTCGGTTTCGAACTTCTTCTCTCTGTATTTAGCTGATTTTTCGTGTTTTTATTTCGCATCAGAAACCTCAAAATCTCTGTTGCCTAGCAAAAAAGAGAAGAGAAGAGAAGACGCGGTTGATAAGGATCGGTTCGCCATTTCATCTCTCATTGCTTTTTTCTAACGGAAAGCAATTTAGACAGCACAACGACGTTTATTTCATTGAAAACGGTTCTCGAATAGTTGTACGGTAGGACAAAAAGATGAAATGAGAGGAAAGATCAAGACAAATACTGTTTGCTGATCATGAATCTGTGGAAGGAGAATGCAAAAACTGGTTGAATAGGAAAAATGCAAAAAGGAACGATTTGAAGGAACGGAATGGAGACTTCACGACTACGGGGGGACTATCCAGGGCACATCGGGCTAATAATTTCAGCTAAGTGGGAGGAATCGGATTAAGTAGAGGTACCCATAGAATAAAAGACCAATCTCATTTGTTGCTGGGGGCTCAGAGGGATGATATGAACACGGCAGAGTTATGTTTGTTCTTTTTGGCTTATGGCTTCTGATGGCGACACTTGACAATCGTTCCGTCGATCGGCAGATTATTATCCATACGGCTGCGTAGTTCGAACATCATTCCGATGGTCGTTATGATTTCGGAAGCGATTCCCTGAAAAAACATTCTCTCAGTTTTCGAAAATCATTCGTGTTCCAAACCGATGTCAGCACGCAGAACGTATGACAGTAGAAACGGTTCTCGGGATCTCTCGCCACAAAACAGAAAAAATTGAGATCTTTTCTATCCTGACACACCACTCGGATCGTGTAGACACCGTACCCATCAAGAAGAGTCTGCAAAAAGTGATGACGTTCCAAAGGCAAAGTCTATCTTGTTGTGAATGACTACAAAGACGACAAAACGAGCGAGGAATCGCAAGAAGGAAGAGAAACGAACAAAGTTACCGTACCTTGAATGTTTCGTCGAAGATGGTGATACCATTGCATGTCAAGTCGAGTGTGACGCGTGGGATTGTTTCCCAATCAGAGATCGAGTCTTTGATACTCGTCATTGCCGAGTGTGCTTCATCCGAGCAATCCGTCTCGTTCACCTCGAGAACTCCCAGATGATGTGCACGATAGACGACGTTTCCTTGCAACAATTTGCTCTTGATCTTCTCAAAATCGCCCGGCGGACATTCCGCACAATTGTTGATCCTACAAGTTTTTGTGTTACAAAAAAAAACGAAGGAATTCAGTGTTGTGATACAAACTTTCTCATCCTGGGCGGGAGTGGCGGTGGCGACATGACAGGTCTCAACTGGATTCGGCTGGTGTATTCCTTCTTCTTCTCATCCTCGGCTTTTTTGAACGATTGGAGAATGCGAGCGACGTGTCCAGGACGAGTGACGCCAATTTGCTGGAAGAAAAACGTGAGTTGACTGGGTGGCTATCATTGTAATCATGTGATTATATTATTTGATTTTTCATATCCTAAGAAACACTGAATAGTCCGAGTTTATGTGTCTGTCTGACTTGTCTTTTAGCGAAACAGCACACCGTGAAAGTTGTGGCCGTGGCCTAAGAAATTCAGTTGTGAAAGCTATTCGTCGCTAGCTATGTATTTGGTGCTTTCTCTCTGTTTGGCTCCTGGTTTTTAATAATGATTGGCAACGGCTGAATTGGGATTCGAACAGTTACTGTTCCTATGTATTATATAACAGGTAGGTCATACCATAAGCTTGCTGGAGTCCCAATCGATTTCTGTCAGCTTCTTCATGTGTTTGTAACCGTTTGCCACAAAGTTCGAGATGTAATCCTGCAGTCCAATGTAGTTGAGCCACTCGCTCGCGTAAAAGAAACGACCTGCAATCAGAATGACTTTTTGGATTCATTTTTTGAATGTCAGCATACCGGCACTGGCAACTCCATCGGACATTTTTTCAACTTCCGACATAATCTTGAACTTGGTCACTTCATCAACTCCGATTTCAGTGAGAATGTTCTTGTTGAGAGTTCCTCTAAGTTGATCGATTCTATCAAAGCCATTACTTTGAAGAATGGCTCCCACGGACTCGGCAACTCCCGGGGCAAGCATCACGTCGCACTCGAGCCATGCTGTGACTGTTCTTGGTTGCTGAAATGAAATAGTTGGTTTTTGTCAAAAATTAAGCAAACAGTTAGAAACTTATTAGATTTGCAACTGAATTAACTAAATGCTTTCGTACCTTCCTGGCAAGAAGTGATTTCTGATCTTTCTGCTCGTCATCGAACATGGTGACACTGAGCGCTTTCGATCCACGATCACGCAGATATACAGCGACACGTTGACCATATTCACGTTCAAAAACACTTTCACGACACGGAGCGGCACCGAACGAATCGAACACGCTTTCCACCTGTTAAACGTAAAAACACTTTATTTGAGGAACGTAATTCACGAGATCGAGAAATGCGCCAACTCGACGGTTCGAGTTGCGTCACGCATTTCTCACATGCGTACCCTGTCCCAACTGGGCTCCTCGCTTGTCGTGTCTGACTTCTGGTCAGATGACGGTGACGACAAGTTGTCGGTGGGGGAGAGCGAGTTGAGCATCAAGTTGGTGGTGCCGTTCTGACGACGGATGCGGACCGGTTCCGCTGCCTCGATGCCACTGTTCATCTGGACCTTCGACGTCGATTCGTTGCTTCCATTGCTCAGAGTGGACGGGGAGGAGAATCCGGAGAAGAAATCGGCGTTATTCGAATCAACGAGACGGGACTTTCCGTAAAGCGCGTCAAAAATGAAGGCTTTCGAAGTGTTCGGAGATGGTGGATTTTCTCCTGACGGTCTCGTCATGTCATCGAGAAAAATCGCGGTCACATTGTTGTCCTTCTCGTAGTTCCCGTTTCCGTTGAGGTTTCCATGACCATAGATAACGCTTCCGGTCACTGATCCGGTGATCTCCTCCGGCATTGCCAAAGGCGCACGTCCATTGTCGCGGTCTCGGATGTATTTGTCTGAAAACTCACAATTTAGAAAGGTCCTCTTGCCAGACTCGTCAAAAATCGGCCCGGCCGATTCCAAGTCAGTTAGTACTAGCCGGAGAACGTATTTTTTTGGAAAGAAATTAGACTCAAAAATCATGCTCTGAAGTATTAGTACTAAAACCCGGGAGGTGGTCAGACCTCGATCAGCCCCGCCAGCGGAAAGTCTTTTTTTATAAAATTTCAGTAGTACCAACCTTTGTCAAGCGTTGAGCATGCGTATGTTAACGACGATGTCACGCTGCTGGCTCTGGTGTCCAGTCTCGGGCTCTGGGTGAGTCCCAGAGAGTCCTCACGGTCACAAGTCGTGCGGGACAGCGAGAATTCTGTAAGCTGGGTATTTGTTTTGATACGACGAATGAAAGTTATAAACGTACGGTTTCTCTGCAGAGAACGATCGAAACTTCTGTCCATTTCCGGATTGTACCCTTCGTTGAGGAAAGGGCGATTATGTTCCGGAACGCGGGACGAGTAGTTGGCAGCAGATAGCTTCGGCAAAGTACAGTATCCGGGCTGTCTTCTCAGAGAAGCCGAGCGAGACGCCATTGGTGACGTGGCACGAACGTGCATGATCGAGTTATTCGGGACGTTGTCGTATGGCGCCGGTGGACGGGTGGACAGTTGTCGCTGTTGCCACTCGTTGTACTGAGGTGGAGAGTTGTAGGCACAATTGTCACCCGGGAGTACTGACGCTGAAACCGTCTATCATCAGGCCTTGTACCTAAATCTGAGAAATCTCACATATGTTAACCATTGGACGGCTTCGAACGCTCTTCAATTTAGTGGGCAGAGTGTCACTGGACCTCTGGCACGAGTAATGCTTCGAATGATAACTGGGCGACGTCAGCGGGAATCTGCCGGTTCTTGGAGCCTTGTCGTACATTGAACTATTCCAGGTGCGGTTGATGGTGCTGCTGGTGTACGGTCCTTCTGAGCGAACACTATTCAACGCTTCCGGAGATTCATCTGGAGAGAGGTCACGGAGTCTGGCGGACAAGGACGGCGGCTTGTAGATGTCGCGCTTACTTTTTCGTTGATCTGGGAACACTTGCACTGAATTTGCAATATTCGACGGTGCAATCAAAAAAGACGATGAAAACTTACCACTAGCCTGGCTTGGAAGTGGCTGCCAAATGGCTTCTCGTTCATTGTCGCTCTGACTGCCTTCCGTTTCTCTTCCAGAGTCTCTACGATCCATTCCCTCGATGATCGACCGGCACTCCTTCCATCCTTCCGGATTTTTCACGAACTGGGCAATTTCTGGACGACGATTCTCCTGCAGATCGATTATCATCTCGAGCACTGTCTGGCCATGCTGGTTCTTGATCTCCGTGTTCACTCCGATTTCCAGAAGGAATCGAACGGCTTCGACTTGGCCACATGCGGAGGCGACGTGCAGAGCGGTTCCATCTTCTGTCGTGTAGTTGATTGCAAATCCGTGTTCCCGAAGAGCCTAAAATATAGATTTTTTAAAGTGTTTCTAAGAAAAAAAACACTAGGAAAACAGGAGAACGGAACCGCTATGGACTGTTTTACATTGCATTCAGAAAATCAATAACTGGTCAGAGAGAGGGTGCATCGTTTGCACGCAAATAGATACGCGAGACACGGAAAAAAGAGGTCACCCGCCACGCTATCGTAATCATCTCGGTCGTGTCACAAAACTGTGTCAAAAACTACTGATCTTTGGAAGTCATCAACCCAAATTCTTCGACATTGCTAAAAACAACCGTTTTGTTATTAGAGGGGCACTTTAAAAACTCTGCCAGATCAGGAACGGAACGCGTTTGGAGAAAAATGTCCCTACAATAAGTCCCCTGTGTTTTCTGTATCTGAGTTAGCAGTCTCACTATCAGTCTAGCTATTGTTCTGTTGTCAATAGGACCAGAAGCCCGGTCACTTGCTCACCCGGCACCCCTGAATAGAATAGAGCCATGACACACTCTATTCGACATTAAACCCACAACTGAATAATGAATAGAGAAGGGTGCCCGGGGGCTACTCACTTGCATGCACTCGACGTGATTATACTTGGCCGCCAGGTGGAACGGGTAGATTGCGGGGAACGCGCGCTTGATATCCGGATTTCCGATTCGTAGCGACTCGTACGAAGATTGTACTGGAAACGTGGGCCATCTTTTGCAGAGAATACGAATCGCCTTTTCGAATCCGATGCGAGAGGCCACGTCGAGAACATTCTCCTTATTTTCGTTGCGAATGAACGGATCCGCTTCTTTCTGGAAATATTTAGATGGCAATTGAATAGTTTCAGACATTTAACTCACTTTCAGAAGATATTCAACCACTGGCAGGTGACCTCTCTGGACGGCCAAATGAAGCGGCGTTTCGTTAAAAATATTCACAGCATTCACATGATCCTTTGTCTTTAAAACCGGCAAAGTTTGCAGCAGGAGCATTTTCACAATTTCTAGGTTTCCGTTCCATGCGGCCAAATGGATAGGCCAGATATTTTTCGTGCTCTTACTGAGCATAAGAAGCGGCTCATAGTCCATAAGCAGCTTGCTGATTTGGTTTTGATTCTCCAAAACAGCATGGTGGAGGAGTGTAAAGTCGGACTTTTCATCTTTGTAGTCAATGAGCCAGTGGGACTCTCCGCGCGATGTGAAAAACCTGAAAAGGGCAATTACTCTTCAGCTCGCCGGGATTGTAAAAAGTAAAACTCACTTGAGTCCCGCGCGGAGCTTCTTCCCTTTCTTCGAGCTTAGGAATAGGGCGACTTTGTCGTACTCTCCCTTTTTGCAGGCTTCGATCACCTCCGCCTTCGGGATGACATAGTCTTTCAGACTCATTTCATCTGTACGCCTGTAAAAATGAATGAGGATGAAGTAGGCAAAACGGAGATGATTACAAAAAAAGTTCAGAAAAGAGTTAGTAGGAAGGAGATTTGTGCTAACAAAGTAAAAATGGTGACAACTATATTACTCGCACGCAAGAACAGCTTTAATGCTCCGACGAGTGCGCATAAAATGATTGGAAGTGCAAAACATGGCGGGAAAGAGGGTGGGGGACCCTTCCCGCTCTCTGAAGAATTTCTCGTAATGTATTGCATTTTACTCGCCTTTCACCAAAATCTCGACAAGAGTGTCTGGGCGGGCGAGCAAAAAGGGGTCGGTCACTACTCGGAGAGGGCCCGGGGCTTCCTTCCTATCCCATTTTTGTTGGTCGCACGGAGTGCAATGGAAACAGCAACAGCAACAACAACAACAACAACAACAATAGCTAATACTACTAATGGTTGTGACATCTCGGAAAACTTGTTGCGGAATGTGAAAGTACGAAAAATGACGGGGGTTTTTCGGCGCGAATGTGCACAAGAGATTTTGGCGAAACGAAATTAGAAGAAAAGGAGAAGTAGAGCACTTTCGAAAATAGAAAAGTAACACCCCGCAAAACGCGGTCAATTTGATACTTGTGGTAGAATGCAACTGGCAGCACTTTCGGGTGGAAAGAGAAGTGGGAGGCGCGGATTGATAAACCCGTGCTGTCAAGTTGTAATAAGTATGTGTGTGTTGATGTACATGTCGACGGGTAATAAACACATCAACTTGGTCGCCTAACTTTATATTCGGGACCAGATCCGGGAAATGGAAGCGAAAACAAAACACAACGTTTGTTATGCTGGTAGGTTACGGGTTCTCATGCATACTATTCCGTTTACTATTTCACTTCTATTTCGCAAAGGTGCGAATGAGCCGGATAATCAATCGCATGATAGAAGGTGATATGTCACCGGCCGGGCTGCCATCCATCTTTCCGCCGTCTCCCCAATCACTTTTGCCTATTTTTTGGCAATTATCAGCCCACTATCATCATCATCATTCCTATCCGTTGTGAGATCCACTGGCCCCATTTCTGTGACCAGGATAAATGAGAAGGATGTTAGCTTTACACACACACATAAGACAATTTTGCTGTATTGGAGGTCGACAGCTTGCAAATTGTTTTTTGATGCGTAGAATATGAAAGAATAACTGGAAAAGATAGCGAGTGAACAGGACGGTGCGGAAATGATGATGTGATGGGTCATCACGTAGAAGTGACACCAATAATAATAATAACGCGGGCGGCACCTTTTTTTCAGTTGACTGAGTATGTCCTGCTAACTGGTAATTGCTACGTGCTGGGAACTGTGTCAATGGGAGACGCTGATGAAACGGAATGGGGAACAATAAGACAAGTACATAATACGGTCACTTCCGTTCGGTCATTACAATTAGGATGGAGTACTTTCAAGGATTCAAAAGATTTCAGAAAACTAAAATCCTAAAGGGTATTTCAATGCAAGGCCAAAGAGCCTGCAAAGTATGGTAACTGTAGGATTAATACAAGTGGTCCGAAAGTTCAGACCCTGGAAACGTCTGGGCAGCCTATTTCCCAGCCCTCCTTTTGCCGATGAAACAAGAAAGTGATGTCATGATATTGAAATTTTACATCTCCCCCCTCCCCCTCTCTCTCTCTTCCTCTCGACCAGTCAATTTTAAAATTGCCTCAACTTACCAGATGAACCATCCGAGCATCCCTCTTTTCTTGCCCTCCGAAACAAATTCTGGCTCCTTGTACTGGTAGAGAGGGTACTTGAACTCATTGAATTCATTGTACCAGTTATCTTGGAATGATCCGTCTCCGTCCGTGACGAACATGGTTTTGTACGTTAGCGGAACGACCGGAGAGAATATCTTCTTCCATTCCATAAGCTCCTCGTACGTCTTCTCAAGGCGCTCGACGGGTTTGAAGACAGTGAACGTCTCAATGAACGCATCTTGAGTGAGAGTATTGTTGCCTTCTTCGAAGAAAGTGCTCGAGTATTGGGTCCATTCGGATTCATCTTGGAACTGGACCTCCAACATATCCGAGTTTGAGGTCTCTTCAACGATGATAGAAAGTGGTCGCTTCATGACACTTTAGCAGTAGGAATACAGTGGTGACTGACCAGGGTCCAACCGAATGCCGTTCTCAGGAAAGTGGAGAAGGGCGTGGCCTACAGTCGGGCGCTGTACCCACCCAGACAGTGTGTTGTGGTTTGGCGGGGCCAGGTGGTGGGTGCCCGGTGGTCGAGAGCAGAAATGTGTTTTGTTTCGAGGACAAGGGAAAGTATTGGGCTGGGGACTCGAAATCGAAAACTTTGAATGTTTATTCAGGTGGCTTCCAGTTATGTTTTGCAACTATGTTTCGAATTGCACACGGAATCGCTTTCCTTCCGAGGGAACTTGGTTTTCAGCAGATTCCATTTCGCAATCTTTGCTGAGAAGTCGAAAATCGACGGGAGAGGAAATTGTAGGGAAATGAGATAGGGAACCTCACACAAAATGCACAAACCCTTCAAATTATAGACTTTAATGAAAGTTCAGTTTTTCTTTAAAACCTGATCTCTGATTTCCGATTTTCAAATAAGTTGAGAACAATAAGATGCAGCTTCCACCCGATTAAGAGGCCCTGTCTACTTGATGCTCAGAATTCGGACCCGTCTACTTGTCTCTCACGAATAACACGGAGTCGAGGAGAAATTCAAAAATTCAAAAAAAAGGATAGAGTGACATCAGAGAACAGACACGGCAGTCGATGATATTGCTGACTCAGGATCGGCAGGGCTTTGAGAACGAGCGGTTCTAGGGGAGACCCACTGACGCATTGGAACTTGTGTCATTGATCTCGGCGGCTATCATTTAGACGATTCAAATGTTTGAATTGATGGAAGAAAGTATTAGGGGTCAGGCTGATGCGGGCGTTTGTGGAAATTTCGACGGCCCCGACTGGTCCAGAGCCCGCTTGTATCTATACGAAAGTCTGTTATTACATATGAATGAGTTGAAAAACAAATGTTCGAAAACATAGTTAAAGAACTGAATAGTCAATTCAAAACAGGGAAACGTCGATTTCGATCATAAAAACACGTGCCCGCTGGCAATATTGTCCTGTTTGACTAGTCAATTACATGTTGCAATCTATTTGTCAAAGTGTTTAGTGATAAGAAGTGGCGGGAACATGTCTCCTCCTCGTCTGCCAACTCATTTCCGTAGATTACAGAAGGTTCAACGTAATTGAGCCAAAAAATCATTGCAGATGAGGGATTAGTTAGAATCGTCATCGTTTCAGGCACTTCTCGATAGACTGGCTGTTTTGAAAAAGTTTGGAGAAAAAATGGAGACTGGAAAAACAACAGAGATTCTTAAAATCTAGAAAACTCCTAGAGCGACCCATGATTGAGTGTACACGATGTACTATAAAAATATGTGAAAATCGCTCACGAAAACACATGCAAATGTTGACATTCCAAAACTCTCGGTGCCTTCTCTTTCTCTCTACCATTCCCGATGGCCTGTGCATACACAAACACGCGCACTTGTGCATTTCCATCCGTCCAACACTCCCGACAAAGGATGGGCGCGATTCGGACGGAAGGCAACGCATTTTTAGGCGCGAAGCCAGCCTTCCTCCCGAAATTTGATATCTTCTCTTGTCGCCTTCCAAAACTACCAAAATTCGCTTATGTGTGTGTCCCGACAAATTGGCTTACATTTTCCGAGATTTTTCATTCTTCACTGATGCTGAACTTAATAATGAGGCTTGTTAGAGATCGAAAATTGAGTGCTGTGGAGAGAAAAGGAAAAGAGCACAATTTATGAACTGCATACGTGATGGTTAAGCGATGTGACAAGCATCATCTGCTTCTGGTTTCCGATCGGGACCGAGAAAATCAACTTACTGTCTCAGCGGAAAGTGTTGTAATATCCCTGATAGACGGTTTAGCATGACAGGAAAAAACTAGCTTTCTCGAATAATAACAGCGAGAAAATACTAGTCTAGTGTTGCCGAGATGTGTTCGAAACCAAACAAACAGTCGCCAAATAATTGGTTTTGTTCGTTTTCGCTTCGCTTTTGTCCTCCTGGCCGTTTCGCACGAGTACACGTTGGCACAAATGCCACGTCACGAAAGATAGCTTTCAGTTTGAAATGAGATCCCAAAGTAGAGCCAAAAATGTGTATAGAGAAAAAAGAGGAAGGGAAAGGGAAGAAAGAGGTAGAATAGGATGGCTATGTACTCACGAAGGAGATGAATGGCTTGGTGCTCTTCCTATAAATCAACTCGGTGTTCAATAAGGCCAGAATTTTTGTGAATGAACTAGAGAAGAAGAAGAAGAATGTGTATCGAGGGATTCAAATGAAACAAGAAAAAAGGAAACTAGAAACAGACGGCGTCATGAATTTTTTAACAGAGAACTGACGGATAAGAAATAGGAAAAAGCGCAACGGAGAGGAAAAGGACAGCTGTTTTTCGCATCTCGAGAGCAAAAGTGACAAGTGTTGCTGGCTAGGTGACACGTCCGCAAGTAATTACCAAACAATGTTCCGAAGGAAGGAAAGAGGTAAAAGGAAAGACAAGAAGTGGGTGGGTCGATGCTTTCATGTAGTTTTTCGCGTTATGACATGCTAACATAACCGCTTCTTCTTCTTCTTCTTCTCTTCCTCTTTTCTTTTTTCGGTCTTTCTGTTGCACCCGCCGGAAAGTCCCACGGGGCCTTGCAGAGCTCAGACACTGACTGTTATGGGCATGGGCGGAAAAGAGACGTTGCGACAACGAAAAGTCATAAAAAATGGGCTCAGAAGTCGGGGGCCAGGGACAGAGGAATGAGGATTGTGTAGTAATCCTGACAGAATGATTGAATAGTAAACAGACGATAAGGAGAATGGCTTCAAATGTTTCATTAGGAATCAGTATGAGGCAAGCCCGGATGTTTCACTTTGACCAAATTTTTTTGACCAAATTGGAGCTTGTCAGTTACAAACGAAGACGGTAATACTGACTGACTGTTGTTGACTAAATAAGCACTAGAAACCGTCGACATAACTGAAGGTGGAAGGTGGCGGTGTTGAGATGACTCATAAGGCAGGACAAACGAAGTAAAGTCGTATGACAAGACTGTTTGGTTCTCCTCCCCCAAAAACCGTACTAGGACATGAAACAGAAACAGAAGCGATTTCCGAGTTAATGTCCGTGTTAATGTTCCTTCCGAATGGGTCACTATCAAAAGCATGTTTGAGAAATGGATAAGCCGGTGAAAGAAAAGGACATTGGGGAACGAGAAACAAAGCAGCGGCTCGGTGTTCATATAATAATAAGAGGGGCGGTGTAATGCGGTTGATGACAAACGACTTGCGTAATGTGAGGTCTCTCTCTCTCTTTCTCGCGGAATGTCGGCGGAACGAACGCGGAAAGCTCTCTTATGTTTGATTGTTGCACATGAGAAGACAGAAGAAAAGAGGAAAGGGAGCCAAAAGCCGAGATGTAACGTAACATTGATGAGTTTCATGGTTCACTCACCACTGAATCGGATCAACTAAGATTTGGATTACAGCAGACTTATCAAATTCAAAGTCAAAAACCGAGACAATTTTTCAAACTAGTCTCCCTAAAGATGATAAGTGTTCCGGGCTGGTCCGTAACAATTCTGGACTACATAGATTCAAGCGGTATGCATAAATAGAATAGGCGTAAAACAAAAGTTCCAGTGCCGAAATCATAAAATACCAAAAGTGGGCACGCCAATTGGGATAATGTCGTAAAATGTTGACAAGACGACTATATTTTACGACACAACGGTATTCTCTCTTTCTCTCTTTCTCTCTGCTTGTGAATTGAAAGTCGGATATATTTCAGGAGATATTCGAAATGACAACACTCCCTTCCTTTCCTACCCGACACATAAAAATGTGATAAGAAGCGAGATCTACGTCCGGCGCAGCCGCCACTGATCCCTTTTTATGAGATATTTTTATTTGAATTTAAATTGAATTCAAGTTTTTCCGGAAATTTGAAAATGTTAGAGGTGCGGGAACGGGAAAAAAGAAAAGCGTAGTAAATGAAAAAAGGAAAAAGAAAACCACTCGAGCCACCCAACCACTCGCTGTTTTGTTTTCTCAAGACTGCTGACCGTATGAAAGGAGAAAAAGAAACGAAAAGACAGGTAGGGCGAAAACTGTTCGCAAACAACACTAATTTGTCTCGGAACAGGTTAACAACTGGTAACCCGACAAACCATTTTTTTTGTGAAAACTGGAGATGAGAGGAGGGTGGCATTGTTATGAAATGGAAATGTTTGTGCTCTTTTGAATTCTGAGCTTTCAACTTATGCAAAAAGTCAACATGGAGGGGGGCAGGAAATGCGGGAGAAGAAAATTCGATGCCCTCAGACACTCGCTCTTGTTTTTTTCCCGCTTATTGAAGACAGGTTTCGCAGGGCCGATGGATGGCAGCAAAAAAAGAAGAGGCCACTTTGTTTTTTCACTTGTTTTGGTGAGATGCATGAAATAAATAAATGCTGTTTTTTATTGGATTGAATGAGATCGGAAAAGAAAAGAAAAGCGGTTCGATATCAATCAATGTATCACTTCTTCCTACCACGGCCCATCCTTGTTATCGCTATCAAATCACAGAATAATTATCTTTACGGAAGAAGAAGAAGAAGAAGAGGAAGAAGGGAAGAAATGTTTACTAATAGAAATAGAGGAATGAAAGAGAAAGCTGGTCCCGCCAGCTGATAGAAACTGATAGCAATTACAACTCTCCTGCTGAAAAACAATAACAGCCCCCGGGACCGATAGCCCGCCGATCAGTGCGAGCACTTGATTTATTTATAAAAAAAAGAGAGAGAGAGAGATCCCATTCCCGGGAGAAGCCGAAAAGAAAAGCGGACGGGAAGGCAGAGAGAGAGAGAAAGAGAAAAAGCGGGGCGAGTTGGCGGCAGGAACAAGAAGACAAAAAGCCGATGGGATGGGATGAGATTGAGAGCAGCAACTGTTTCCTCGAGAGCCAACACATTAGGCAATTTTTTGAGCCACTTTTTATTGAATTGCAAGAAAACTAGCGGTTTTGAGAGAGGATCACGAAAACTTTAGCGGAAGAATAGTTGATGAATGAGTTGACGTCCGTTGAATTTGAAGAAGCAAGCCAAAACTTTCAAATTTTGCCGAGTGTTAAACACGAATTAATAATAGTGGCAACAATCCGGAACGATGGACGCCGCGTACTCACACTTGAGAACTAGTGCGTGGTTTGAGTGGATGGTGCGCGAATAATGGGTGCACACGGACGGTCAAAAGGCGTCTCTTTTCTGTTCGGACACAACCATATGGACACGGATAAATGCGTGTACAAGCACGTGAATGTTGACCTACGAGTGGAGGGGATCCAACTGACGGGAACAGACTGTCCGTTTTGAGTGGAGTGGCCCGAGCATGATGGGAACGGCAGAACGGAAACGACGCAAGACGATGAGTGACGGGGTATACAATTTCCGTCCACGCATATTTTTGTTTATTATTTGTTTGATGACGGAAATTGGATTGAAATTGCAAATACGCTTTATTTCAGATGAGCTCATGAACGGGATAAACATTGAGTACTTACATGTGGTCCAGTTTACATAAATAAATAGCATTATGCATTCATACAGCTGTCTAACACCGGATTATCGAACTGTACTACGTTTGTATGTATTTTTTGTAGGTTTGTTGTTAATGTTTGTTGATGAAAAGTGGGTTTTCACGGGAACGATCGACGTTCCGGAGGCCCCAATGGGGCGGCAGATCAACCGAGTCAATGACGGTCGAAACCGGACTCGGCGGACTGGTCGTTATCACTCGACGGCTCAAAGTGGCAATATGCTCTTTGGGGAAGCTCTTTTCGGGCGGATAAATGTTGGTGGAGTTGTCAAAAGTCATCGTGGAACGGGGATCTGAAATGAATGCTGAGATAGTTTTGAGCTACCAGACAGAACTCACAATCGTCGGACGGGTGAATCTTGCAAAACGGGAATTTTCGTTGAATATGCTTTCTGAGGAACATGAACGCACTGTGGAAGCCGTAAAGAAGCATTTGGACGATGGTGATGATTGAGAGACCAAGGAAGAAACCGAATTGACCTAAAAATAAAAGACGTTTGCACTATTCGTTGCTCCGCACTCACCTCCAATTTGGGACATAAACCCAGGGATAGACGTTGTGTAGACTTCTTTCACGTATTCGTACTGAAATTTTCAAAAACTTTGAGTAATAAGTTATTTGAAACCAAAACAAAACCTGTAAATCGTTGAAAGAGGCTTCAAGATTGAATGTATATTCGTCGAAAGGCGAAAGTGTTTGACTCTGCTGGACGCTCGTCTGATAATCCCACCGATTACAGCCGGGAGTGCACTGAAAAGAGAAAAGGGGGAAGGACTAAATATAAGAGTGATGACTGTGTGCCCGAGGCGCACGAGCCCATCCATAATTTTGACATGAGCGCGGACTGACAGCTCTTTTTCCTCAACTGAAAATATGTGGGGTTCTCTCTCTCTCATCCTAATGAAAGATGTGAGGTTCCCATGTCGCTCGATATTTTATGAGCTCCCACTAGAACACGCATGAATGATAAATGAATGACAAAAACAGAGAAGATGAACGGAAGGAACTATTTCAAGGAGAAAATAAAAATGAAAGAAGCTTGTCTTCTTCTTCTTCTTCTTTTCCGCCTGGGGAACAAAACGTAGCCGGAAATAGGAAAAGCGTTAGGAAATTAGGAGGAAATAGAACAAAAACAAACCTCTTCATTAACAGCCGCACTATTCCAGACATACTGAATCTTGTCCAAATAGTTGTCAGCGATCACATCTGGTTTACAAACTCCGTTAGTCGGTGGTAGCTTGGTTATAGTTTTGAGGTACGGTAGAGTACAATTGTACGGAATGATGATATTCGATAAGTACCATTTTCGGACCAAGCACTCTGCGTCTCGACCGAAAATCTACAAGATACATATGAATTTAAAGTCAGAAAAACATCGGTCACGGAGCTAACTTTATCCGTGCAGACATCCTTATTCTGAATTAGTTCAATGAGTCTGGCTGTAAATCTCATCCTGTTCCACTCATTCGGATATAAATAGAATCTTGGAAACTCTGTGACGACGTCATGGTTATCAGTTATGTAGACAATCAGTTGGGACTGTGTGTAATTGTTTTTGACGCTGGTGTAACTTGACGGAGCTTTCAGACTGAATACTATCCGGCCAATGTCATCAGCTTCGGACTAAAACTGTTATTTGCAACGTTTTAGTGTTCTAGATACCATCCATACCTGATTCACATTCCTTCGTGTCTGGTAACAGATTCCTCTTCTCATAACGACTCGTCTATCCATCAGGTCATTACAACAATCCAATATCTTTCCAGCCAATTGGCACTCATAAAACAGATCTTTGCACTGGTAACCGTACTTTTGCTGGAATTAACTGATTAGACGAGCCACGCACAATCTCTTCTTATCAAAACAAAACCTGAATAATTTCGAAAAACCCGTCGACTGAAAATCCTTCCGACCAAATTTTATACAAATTGTTGAGGTGACTTAAGTATGTCCGATTGAAGTACGTCACGTCATTCATGTTCTCTAATCCACTGCCCGCGACGAAATACCTGAAAAGGTTGTGATGGGAGGAAAAATAAAAGAACTGACTCACTCTAAAAGATCATCAGCCACTTCATTAGGGATATCGGGAAGACTTTCTTTAATGTCGCCTCTAATCCCGGTGATATTAAATGAGTCAGGGACTTTTGGACAAATTGTGATAGCTGGAAATTCCAAAGAGTTCACCTGAAAAGTTACACTCACAGATTTCTTACAGGTTTTTCAGTAAACTTTAGGGCTGGGCGAAAGACTGGCACATTCTTTTCGAGACCCCATCGGACCTCAACTTTACAGGCTTTCTGGGGGAACAGTAATATATGAAACTTGAGCCCAAAATACTTCAACTCAAGCCCAAGCAGCCTGCAAAGTTTAGGTCCGGCCAGAACATTGCAAGCGGATCAAAATGATCCCAGAATTGGTACACTTACAAGTCTGATAGTGGTAGACGTGGCTGTTGGTCCTTGAATGTACTCGATTATAATGAGAATAGTGAAAAATGCTCCGAGACTTATACAAATGAGTATGACGATCCACCAAAAGATCCTCATCCGCAAAGTCTTGCTCATCAGAGCCTGACTCAAACCGTGCACTTCTCCAGTCCATGGAGGAGGATCATTTACATGACAATCACATTGTTTTTGAGGTTTCGGAAGGTACATACGGACCTGAAATTCAAAGTTACAAATCAAATCACAAAACGTAATAGAGCCATACCCTTTTCCATCCTGCAATTGTGATATTATCAGGCATATCTAGCAAAAAAGTAATAAGAGTTTCAAAAAAATCATAGCCTGTAAGGTATAAATAAGATCTACTAGTGGTCTGCTGCGGAGGAATAACTGATGAATAATTAATTGTGCAAATCAATTGTGGGCAGACTTGTAATCCGATATCATTGTGCCCTCTGTGTAGTACTTGCAGGTGGACATGTTCAAAAAGAAGTAAAGTGTTTGGTTCTATCTGAATAATCAGGTTTCAAAGGCAGGATCCAGGTCCCATAACAATAATCAGGACACAAGTTTATTATAATAGAAACTGTAAGTCGACCTTCGGTCCTGATTATTATTATGGAACCTGAATCCTGCCTTTGGGACCTGATTACTGACGGTGATTACATGACGGTCACGGGTACACGGCATTTTTTGAAAATTGATTTGTACCCTTGACGATCACGAGTTCAAGGCATTAGAGCCAGATATTTTATTAAAAGGTGTATTCACATCAAACATTTACAAAACTTTCAGGGTAATAATATAAATTATCTTCTGCTGGTGCTGTTCACTCTCTCAGCCAAAAGTTGCTCAATGAATGGGGTCACAACTTGTCCGTGGCTCCAGGCGGTCGGATGGAAGCGGTATCTCGGCTGTCCGTTTCTGTCGATGAGGAATTTCTCAAAGTTCCAGGTGATGTCGGATGCACGGATTGGGTTGTACATCATTTCGTTGGGGTGTCCGATTTTGTCGACAGTCTGTGGACAGGCTTCCTGAAAAAAAACATTCATAGATCCCCATTGAAAGTAAAATTATTGTATTACCTTGACAAACTCATAAAGGGGATGGTGGTTGTCTCCATTCACATCAATTTTTCCATAGATATGCAATTCACGATGCGGGGTCCAGCCATTTCCAGGTCGAACATGAGTCACACCATTCAGAATCTCATGATTCTCAGCCGGTTCTTGCAGGTAGAACTGATTGCACGGGAACGCCACGATTGTGAGTCCTTGTTGTTGGTATTTCTCGAGTAGAGGATTGAAGTCGGTGTACTGTTGAGTATACGCACAGAAAGTGGCCACATTCACCAGCATGATCACTTTTCCACGGTATTGGCTGAGGTCCGTATAGTTTCCGTCGAGGGTCTCGACTTGGAAATCGTAAATTGGCTGGTTGATAGCCAGGCATTGCTTCCACCGAGTAGTCTCATCAATAGTCGAGTTTGTAGAAGCTGGAATCAGATTAGAAAGTTGGAAAATGTATTTGTATCAGAACTTAACTTACCACTGTGTACATCAGCAACAAACGCGAAAGCAAGAGCTAGGATCAAATAAAAAGCCATTTCTTGCTTGGGATATGTTCTTTCTCTGTGGTAAGCGACACTTCTTTTATACTGGCCCATCATTGCGCGGGAGGGGGGCGTGTCCGGCAATAATTACAATGTTTGAGCAAGTACCTATCGGAGGGAGGACTTTGGCATTTGATATTTACATCTTTCAAAAAAACCATTTCGAGAGCAAAATGTGATCAGCTAGTTTGAGAACACGGTTAAAATACAGTTTTCAAGTTTTTTCCGGTGCCAACAAGTTTAGAGAAATGGACATACTTTTTCGAAAGTCAATGTTCCAATATAGATAAAGAGGATCTCTGGTTTACGAGAGTTCTGCCCTCTATGTTTTGTTCAGGATCGTTGAGAGGAGTCAATTTCGGCGCCGACAACTGGCTCGTCTTCAAAAAGGTCACTGTCGACCAGGTGACCACTGGCGCCACCGACAGTTCCAAAGAAAAGGACAAGGAAGAGACGAATAGCAATGGGACCGCAAATGGGAAAGTTGACACCGAAGCAAACTTGATCCCGGTATATAATGTAACTGTATCATTATTTCAAAGTTACTGAAAGTTTGTTTAGATCGCCGACATCAACAATGTTTGCAGTGGAGAGAATTGCTTGGCTCGTTTGGGATGGAACAAATTGATGACCGTCATTGTCCGTGAGATGAAGAGAGGTTAGGTTTCAAGTTTTCTCAAACAACTCTTTAAATATTTTAAAGGATTCCTGGAAGAAGCGATGCGTAATTGCAAGGAAGAGGACAACAACGGACTTCTCGGCGCTTGAAGCTCATCCCGAATTTCTTTTTTTTCTGTATTAACCCTTACCCTACGCTTTTTACACACTCTAACAGTCATAACACTCCTACTCTTTCTTCCTCTCTTACATAATTTCGGCAGAATCGCGAAACATTGTGCGATCATAGTTTGCTTTGTTATCAGGTAGCCTCCTCGTCCCTCCCAAAAACGAAATGCATTTTATCGGGAAAATGGAAACGAAATTTAAAATATTACTACATTATTAAGTGACGTGAAACTTATTTTATGAAATTCGAATTGAAATCTGATATATACGTAATTTTTTTTTTGGCTTTTTACTACTATTTTGACATGGCGTGAATAAACTTATAATATTGGAAGATATACTAGAGAAGAATCACAAAAAAGGTGGAATGGGGATGACAATGAAAGAAGGGGTTGCAAGTGAAGTGCAAATGGACAAAAGAGCTGAGGAGCAGTTTTCAGACATTGACGGTGATTACATGACGGTCACGGGTACAGGGCATTTTTTGAAAATTGGTTTGTACCCTTGACGATCACGAGTTCAAGGCATTAGAGCCAGATATTTTATTAAAAGGTGTATTCACATCAAACATGTACAAAACTTTCAGGGTAATAATATAAATTATCTTCTGCTGGTGCTGTTCACTCTCTCAGCCAAAAGTTGCTCAATGAATGGGGTCACAACTTGTCCGTGGCTCCAGGCGGTCGGATGGAAGCGGTATCTCGGCTGTCCGTTTCTGTCGATGAGGAATTTCTCAAAGTTCCAGGTGATGTCGGATGCACGGATTGGGTTGTACATCATTTCGTTGGGGTGTCCGATTTTGTCGACAGTCTGTGGACAGGCTTCCTGAAAAAAAACATTCATAGATCCCCATTGAAAGTAGAAGTATTGTATTACCTTGACAAACTCATAAAGGGGATGGTGGTTGTCTCCATTCACATCAATTTTTCCATAGATATGCAATTCACGATGCGGGGTCCAGCCATTTCCAGGTCGAACATGAGTCACACCATTCAGAATCTCATGATTCTCAGCCGGTTCTTGCAGGTAGAACTGATTGCACGGGAACGCCACGATTGTGAGTCCTTGTTGTTGGTATTTCTCGAGTAGAGGATTGAAGTCGGTGTACTGTTGAGTATACGCACAGAAAGTGGCCACATTCACCAGCATGATCACTTTTCCACGGTATTGGCTGAGGTCCGTATAGTTTCCGTCGAGGGTCTCGACTTGGAAATCGTAAATTGGCTGGTTGATAGCCAGGCATTGCTTCCACCGAGTAGTCTCATCAATAGTCGAGTTTGTAGAAGCTGGAATCAGATTAGAAAGTTGGAAAATGCATTTGTATCAGAACTTAACTTACCACTGTGTACATCAGCAACAAACGCGAAAGCAAGAGCTAGGATCAAATAAAAAGCCATTTCTTGCTTGGGATATGTTCTTTCTCTGTGGTAAGCGACACTTCTTTTATACTGGCACATCATTGCGCGGGAGGGGGGCGTGTCCGGCAATAATTACAATGTTTGAGCAAGTACCTATCGGAGGGAGGACTTTGGCATTTGATATTTACATCTTTCAAAAAAACCATTTCGAGAGCAAAATGTGACCAGCTAGTTTGAGAACACGGTTAAAATACAGTTTTCAAGTTTTTTTCGGTGCCAACAAGTTTAGAGAGATGGACATACTTTTTCGAAAGTCAATGTTCCAATATAGATAAAGAGGATCTCTGGTTTACGAGAGTTCTGCCCTCTATGTTTTGTTCAGGATCGTTGGCAAAGGAGTTAGGTAAACAGTGTCATTCAGTGCACGTGAATGTTCTTGAATCAGATTTTTGAAACTGTATACTGATCTATTATGTTCTTGGATTATGTGATTTTGTGAACGCCCAAAAACTAGCAGAACGAAATGCCATCTGCTGATATTTGGCTTAAAACCACGATCTTGTATATAGTTGAAGCAAAAACCAAACAAAACTAAATTCAGTTTGCCAAAAAGTGAAAAGAATCCAGTTGTTTCCCTGAAACCATCAGATCACCTCATATTCCATCGTTTTTTCACATTTTTGTGGTGACACTATCTTTTCTCCCTTTCAATCGTTCCATTTTGATGTAATTCTGAGCTTGATGTTTGATTTCTTGTTTTCCAATAGAATTCACCGAATTAGATAGATGGAAATGTCTAATCACAAGGAATGTCAGAAGTTTTTTGAATGCTTTCACAAATAGCTGATGTTTCATCTTCAAAAGTGTCTTTCAAAGCAGTTTTTAAACGCATACATAATTGGAAGAAAAACTACTTCATTTTCAGTAAGCAGTAAATACAAGAATGAAACCCGAAGGCGATTAAAACGTCGACGTACACACAATAGCTTATCAAAGTCCGCTATACAAGACAAGGCAACCCCTGGTTGACATGTGGGTCGGTACTACAAAAGTATACACACACAAAGTTTGGAATGAGAGGAAAATTGTGGAATTCGTAAGGTTTTTAGTTAGCTGGCTCGGCCAAGAGTTGCTCGATGAACGGGGTCACAACGTCTCCGTGGCTCCAGGCGGTCGGGTGGAAGCGGAATCGTGGCTGTCCGTTTCTGTCGATGAGGAACTTTTCAAAGTTCCAGGTGATGTCGGATGCACGGATTGGGTTGTACATCAATTCGTCGGTCTTTCCGATCTTGTCAACTGTTTGTGGGCAAGACTCCTGCAAAACTTTATGCATGATCTTGAGAAGGGAGGAAGGAGGAAAGAGGAAGACCATCTACTCGCCCCGGCCGATTGGAACTGAACACAATGCCACTCTTTGTTGTGTTCTTGCCCCCTTGGCGTCTATTGTTGTTGTTCGACCTTGGCGATGCCAAGACGATGGAATGACCCTTTGCCTCCCTATTGACTGTAACCCTTTGTGGGTACCCTTGACTGACCTTGACAAACTCGTAGATTGGATGCTGGTTGTCTCCGTTGGTGTCGAGCTTTCCGTAAATGTGCAAGTTCTGGTGTGGCTTCCATCCGTTTCCAGGCCGCACGTACATGATTCCGTTCATCAGTTCGTGGTTCTCAGCTGGCTCCTTGAAAAAACAGATTATTTCAGATTTTGATAAGTTCTGCTTTTTGTTTCAGTACCTGAAGGTAGAATTGGTTGCATGGGAAGGCGATCAGAGTAAATCCTTGGGACTGATACTTCTCGATCAGAGGGTTAAAGTCGGTGTACTGTTGCGTGTACGCTAAAATCAAAAAAGCGTCCGAATGGCGCCAAACGCGTTAGCCATTCAACTGTTCAGACACTAATCATGGAATGTGTCACTTCTCAACACGGAATCTAGATTCATATCATCATATCTCTCTATCCGTTTGACCAAGTTTCTATGAAAAATGATATGGTTTTTGCGAATGGTTTTGCAGAAATCCTCAGACGCGAAAGATGGAAAACTTGAATGATGCAAGCTTACCGCAGAAAGTCGCGACATTGACCATGAGAAGCACCTGTCCGCGGTATTGGCTGAGATCCGTGTATTCGCCTTGGAGGGTTTCTACCTAAACTCCAGAAATGTTCAAGGAACCGAGTGATGGTACTGCACCTGGAAGTCGTAAATGGATTGGTTGGTGTCCTTACACTGGCTCCAGCGGGTAGTCTCATCAACCATTTTGGGACCTGAATAGATTCAGTTTATAACTTTAAAAAAAAAGCTCTTTTAAAAGTGCTTGCCTGGTTGAGCAACCGCAAAGGTGAGAAGAGCCGAAAGAGCAAGCTGCCAGAGTGCCATTTTTCTCGAGGAGACGATTTCGAGACTGATGAATGCCACCTATCATTCCCTTCACTTTTATACCATCTTTATACCTTCCGTACAGTATCCATCTCGAAGAGGGTACAGAGAAAAAGAAGGCGGGAGATGGAGGAAATTTGTTGATGCGCAGAGACGAGACAGGAGGGCGTGGTGGAAGAAGAAAGGGGGGAGAAAACGAAGTGTTTGAACAAACACCTACAAGCTACTGGAGTTTGTATTTGATCGCTCGAATTATTGGACACTTTGTTGTCACCTGGCCCATGTTTTTCGATTTCCAACTCAAAACACTCGAAATAAAAAAGTCTGGAACGTCCACAACACCGTTAAAATCACATTGAATTCGGAGTGCCAAAGAAAGAAATGCAATGTTTGCTTTATTAGCCCCCGTGTGCAATTTATTGTCACTTGTTTACTGTGAAAATAGTGCAGGCTCTGAAGTGAGAAAAGTAAAGTTGAAAGTTATAGCTTATAGTCACAACTAGTTTTGTCTATTTCTTTTCTTCCCAGAAACTTCAGAAGAGTGGATCGGATCGTTTCGAATCAGTGTCAACATCAAGAAAAAGGAATGGAAAACAAAATTGACTTAATCTCCGACTTCTTCCAGAAAGAATGGGAAATGATGGATCGCTTTCGATTTCTGATCACTCTCTCCGAGGCTTTAGTCTGATAGATCAGTTGATTAGTTCGAACTGTGCTCATTTCATTCTCCAGATGATTTCGATCTGTCAAATAATTGAAAATTTTAAAAAAAGATGATTAATTGTTGTTCCAGATGTCTCAAGATCCCAACTTTTCAAGGATCGAAAATCCTCGTCGTTTTGTTTTGTCGACACCAACTAGACGTCATTTTCTTTCTGTTTCATTCCGCACGTTTCAACTAATTTGTGTTTCTCAAACTTCTCCATAGGCGAACAATCGGGTAGGCAGTAGGCCCCTCCAAAAAAAACTGGATTTTTCCTTTCCCATTTTGTTAGTACTACGTGATTGTTGTGGTTACTATCCTTAGTGTATAGTCACCTGTTTTTTTGCGAAAAAAAAGGGGGGGGGGAAAGGTCGAAACAATAAATAAAAAACGGAGGGGCATCGGGGCAGCGGCTTGTCTTAGCGCCCAAGGTTTCGCTGTCCATTGACAAAAGGAGGGTCATAATGTGAATTCTCTTTGTGTTCCCCAATTCACAACCAATTTTCGTTCCGCAGCTAAGAATCAGTCGTCGTCTCGAACTTACAACTTTCCCAAAAAAAGTTGAGAAGGGAAAACTGGAAACGCATTGTTTGTCGGTCAAACGGTACATAGTGTAACTGTTTGAGACACTACTACTTGAGAAACTAGATGTTCTGTCTGCAATTGTTGTGAGGGGGAGCAGAGCACAGTGTTTGCGGGATGGGTGATTTGAACCAATAGGGTATGAATGATATATGGGTCGGTCCGTTAGATGACTTTTTGTGTGTTGGCTAGTTTCTTTGAACTTATGTCGCTTCTGCACATGTTTTCAAAGCTCCTTAAGAATGTGCTCATTGGTATGTTCTCCTAACGTGCCGTACTGTTCAAAAGATCGGGCTCGATTTTCGGACTTTCCTTGAACTTCACCAGTTTGCAAACTTTTCCTAATAACAAACAACAGAAAAAGGCTTTTTCTGCCAAAAAACTGTTGCTGTCAATCAAAATTTTGAATAGGTAAACTAAAATAAACACTGTTTTCTTATTCTTTTCCGCATCTTCCAAAGTTCAGAAGTTCTTTCTTCGCAATTCAACTGTTTACAAGAGGCGAGACAGTAGGGCAAAAAACGCAAGTCCAGAAATAAATTATCCGTGCAAATAGAACTGTTATATTGAGAATCGAGAAACACCTCTCGCACAATTCGATCGGAATATTTGGGGGAGGAGGTGATATTTGCGTTCACGCTGGCTGCAAGCCTTGAGAAAAAAAAGAGCACAAAAGTGCGTGTCGCATGGCACGTAGTTGATATTGTTCGAGGTTAACAAGTTATACACCATCTCGGAGGCATGCTTGACATCTTGTGTTTACAAAACGAGATACTGTTTGCATGAAGTGGAGAAAACTGCTTTCTGCCCCCCTACAGCTTGTTGTATGAGATACTCTGCAGATACTACCCGAAAATCAACATGGTTTTTACTGACACGGGGGTCCTCGTGTTGAGGGACTTTCTATATCTGCTCAAAACTAGAGAATTGCGTTCAGTTCAGTCTTGCTGGAAAACATTACCGATTTTTCAGATGTACATGCACTAGGAAGATCGCTTTTTTCATAAAAATTAGCTAGTACAAGCAAAAAATGTTTTTTAACTTTAGTACTGAAACCAAGCAAGTTGAACTCTATAATCCTGGTCCTGGTTCTAAAGGGACTAAAAGGACCAAAAGGACAAGAAAGTGCAACAAATTTGAAATGGTAATGAAAGGAAGGAAGAGCAAGTGAGACTCACCCGGAAAACAAGTATTAATCCCATTTATGCGCCGGAAATGTTGTCTTCTTTATCGACGTCCAAGTTCAATTCACTTCCAAAAATAGTCGGCCTTCCTGTTTTTCCAATCATTTTTAAAAAACGAAACAAGAAATAAAAGTGCTCGATTCGAAAACAGCTTAATTGAATTTCGAACATTCTTTCCGGCTTTTTCTTTCCGGCTTTTTCTTTCCTATTCGTTTTTAATTAGACTCCAAAAAGAGTGCTCTTTAAGTTTCTCTTTAAAAAAGTTTGTGCTCTTTTTTAGAGCATCCAAAGATAAAAAAGTTCATCTGAAACTAAAACTGAAGCACTTGATCATTCATATCAAAAGCGCATTTCTCCAAGTTTGCAGCCTTTTTCTCCCTTATTTTTCATGTAAATTCCAATGCATCTCAAAGTTGACACGTATACCCATGAAAAATTGTCATGTACACCACTCGCATCCACCACAAACTCGTAATATTCTCACATTTTTTGAGTAATGATCATCATATCTCATTTGAACGTTGAAAGTACGGAAACAGAATAAAACGTGCTTGAACTTTTGCCCATCTTTTTTTAAACCGCTCCTCTGTTGACTCGTTTCTTTTTGTCAGTGATGCCATATTTACAAAGTGGGCTGAGGTTGAGAGGAATTTTTGGTTAACAGTATCATTTCTCAAAAGACAGGAACAAACCAAAGTGACGTTGGAGAGAAACTCAAAACAATAGGGGATGAGAGTGACTAGAATAAAGTTATGAGTAGTAAAGTGGGCTCGATGGGTGGCATCAAAAGTAGCAAACTTAATTGTGTTTTTCCCGACCCCTTTTTGCGAAATTTCACATTCAAATTCGAATTCATTTCACTTTCACAATTACTTACAAGGTTGCTCTTTTTCGTCTTCTTCGTCACAATGTAATTTCCGGTCGCAACTTCTCTTTAATTCCCCCTCCCCCTTTTTCCTTCTTTCCTTTTCCACCAAAGGTCGTAGAAATTGAAATGGAGCAACAGAAACCGTAATGAACATTCGGAAAGCACATTTTGAAAGAGAAGAAAGAAAGCAAAGCTTCTAGAATTACTCGATTCCGAATGAATGGCGTGTGACGTTGCTAATCCTTGCGGTAATTGGCTGACAATTTTCAATTATTTCTGGAATTAAGCGCAAAGCCACGCGGTCAACGAACCCCGCCTTCCGGATGATTCTCGAATCTTTTCATTCTTATTTTCTCGTCTCATTCCTCGGTTTTCGATCAAAAGTGAGTTTCAATGACCTTAGAAATTGGGTGGGTCTCTTAAACTGGCTTCATTTCTACAATTTCAATTCATTTCCCCGACCTTTCAACGTCCATCCTCTTTCCCAAAATGCAATTGGACCACTTTATGAGATTGCTCTTTTCATTTTCAGTTTCTTCCACTTTTTCACTAGTTAGGTAGGTAGCCAAGAATGTTGTTCTCCAATCTGAACATTGATTCCATAAGAACTATAAATAATTTACGAGTTTTCCGTTAAAAAGATTCAAGTGCATTTCATTTTGGGCTTTGGTAAAGCATCGAAGCAAGCTTTTTAAGTCGATCTCTCACATTTTAGCCTCTGTAATTCGATTGGCCACCGAAAGTTCAAAGTTTTAATACGACTTATCAGAAATTCCGCCTCCACCAATAACATGTCTATGGCATGGCATGATGCCATCGGACGTTCATATTCTTTTCACTTTTGGGATAGAAGAACGTGGCTTTGGTAGTTGTACCTGAAATAGTTGGTTCTGGTTCCCATGAATTATTCATCAGGATGTGAGGCGGGGGAGATTCTACCAAACGCACCTCTCAATTTGCTCCTTGTGACATTTCCGTTCTTTTCTTTGAATCTCTATGCATATTCAAGCGTTAATTGCTTTTTTAGACTATCGAAATTCTCAACAACTTCCATTCAAAATGGGATTGTGCAGCAGCAAGAAACGAATGACGACCGAAATGTCGGATGAGGAAGTGTCAGCGATTCGTGAAGTCTGGATTCGGTAAGACTCGGGGAACATGTTTGACTGATTGGGTTCTATTTACTGTTAATCCCTGACAGCATGCAACCAGACATCAAACGGGAAAAAAGAAAGTCACAAGAAAATGGAATTCCATTAAGCGCCCCCGTCACGCGTCAGGCACATTGCGCGCTCTGATCACTGTCCCACGGATTCTTGCATAATTCTTGAAGACCTCTTATTTTTCTTGCAGAGCTAAAACAGATAATGTTGGCAAGAAAATCTTGCAAACTCTGATCGAGAAGCGTCCAAAGTTCGCCGAGTATTTTGGAATCCAGAGTGAAAGTTTGGATATCCGGGCGTTGAACCAAAGCAAAGAATTTCATCTTCAGGTAGCAAAACAGAAATAATTTTTTTAAAAGTTGGTTTTTTCCAGGCTCACCGAATCCAGAACTTTCTCGACACTGCAGTCGGATCTCTCGGATTCTGTCCGATTTCTAGTGTCTATGACATGGCACATCGCATCGGACAAATTCACTTCTACAGAGGAGTCAATTTCGGCGCCGACAACTGGCTCGTCTTCAAAAAGGTCACTGTCGACCAGGTGACCACTGGCGCCACCGACAGTTCCAAAGAAAAGGACAAGGAAGAGACGAATAGCAATGGGACCGCAAATGGGAAAGTTGACACCGAAGCAAACTTGATCCCGGTATATAATGTAACTGTATCATTATTTCAAAGTTACTGAAAGTTTGTTTAGATCGCCGACATCAACAATGTTTACAGTGGAGAGAATTGCTTGGCTCGTTTGGGATGGAACAAATTGATGACCGTCATTGTCCGTGAGATGAAGAGAGGTTAGGTTTCAAGTTTTCTCAAACAACTCTTAAAATATTTTAAAGGATTCCTGGAAGAGGCGATGCGCAATTGCAAGGAAGAGGACAACAACGGACTTCTCGGCGCTTGAAGCTCATCTCGAATTTCTTTTTTTTCTGTATGACCCCTACGCTTTTTACACACTGTAACAGTCATAACACTCCTACTCTTTCTTCCTCTCTTACATAATTTCGGCAGAATCGCGAAACATTGTGCGATCATAGTTTGCTTTGTTATCAGGTAGCCTCCTCGTCCCTCCCAAAAACGAAATGCATTTTATCGGGAAAATGGAAACGAAATTTAAAATTTTACTACATTATTAAGTGACGCGAAACTTATTTTACGAAATTCGAATTGAAATCTGATATATACGTTTTTTTTTTTGGCTTTTTACTACTATTTTGACATGGCGTGAATAAACTTATAATATTGGAAGATATACTAGAGAAGAATCACAAAAAAGGTGGAAAGGGGATGACAATGAAAGAAGAGGTTGCAAGTGAAGTGCAAATGGACAATAGAGCTGAGGAGCAGTTTTCAGACATTACAGATGGACATATGGCTCTGGAACCCATCCGGTTCTGTTGGAAATCGAGTCTCTCACAAACACCCATCCACGGGAGCCGCATTTCAGAAGGATTACCTATAAAACACTGTTTACTACTTTCTCCAAATAAAAAGCTACCTTATCACCGCGGTTCACAGTCATTTGCTCTCCGGAAGATGCGTTGAAGTCATCATTAACTATCAGAATGCTGCCGTACTGGGATGGATTGAAATAGGACGGCACGGAGATGTCAAAGCTCTCCTGATGACTGTGTCTTTGACTCTGATGGGATGGAGCCGTCATTGGGAGGTAGTTCGAATCCACGTGGAATCTGAAACGGGCCAATTGCGAAAGCCCCTATTCTCTAGGCGTTTATACTTCTTAGCATTCATCTGCTCTTCAGTGATCGGATTGTCAACGACTCTTCCGACGCGAATGTGATCCGACGTGACCACTTGATAAGAGCCTCCTCCATTCTGAAACAAATTCTCGGATTATTTTCCAAAAAAAAAGCCAAACCTGAACAATGGGAGTGTAGCGCACATTTGGCTGCGGGTCCGACTGATTCGCAAAACCAAACACGTTGACAGCTCCTGGAATAGTGTTTCCGGCACGACGGACCCCGCCCGGAGCACTGCTATTGGGTTGTTCGGGCATTTGCTGGAAGGCGTATGGCATGATTCATAAAATGCGATGCGAAATGCTGATTATCACACTTTCACTCACACTGGCGACAACAATCTGTTGTTGACGAGAGGTGTAACTGGTGTCATCATGACGTGCCGCGGGAATTGGACGAGGTGGGACATGGTGTCTGTCCTGCTCATCCACAATAGTTTTAGAAGCAGATAGAGTGCGGTCCACGGACTGCGGCGGAAGTGGTGGTACCTGAGCGATCTGAAGGCTTTGGTGTTTGAGAGCAAGAATTAGGGGGATCCAACTAGCCTCGATCGAAGTACGACGGTTCTTGCTGACAAGAGTAATTCCAGTAGCCTCATTCGTGTAGCGACGAGCCGATGGAAGATCCTCGAGAGTGGTGGCCACGGAAGAAGTGGAGTCGCTACGTGTTTCCGTAGTTTCCGGATCAACAACCTGTGAAATTGTGCGTTTCAAAGAACATGCGGATCAACTCACAGTCACATGTGCCGGCTTATTTTTGCCTTCATCCGCAACAATTACAGCCGCGTGCTCATGAAGTTCCTCGTGCCAATGTGCGTGGTCATGAGTTTCCTGTTCGGAGGTTTCTTCCTTCTCCACAACAACAGCGACAACTCCGCCAACCACAGCCTGGGTCACTTGCTCCATCGGGAACAGTTTCCCGATGTCAATGTACCTGTACACATTGTCATTGATGAGTGGCCAAACCAGACTTACCCCTGGATCCACGCGTGAATCTTGTCATTGAAGAACTTGTATCTCAGCTCCTGCTGTCTTGACCAGTCGGCCGCAGCTTTCCGGTAGAATGCGGCGACGTCCTTCTCGGTTTCTCCTCCTTTCCGCTTCTGAATCTTCTTCTCCTCCTTCTTAAACTCTGCAAACTCCGCCTTCAGCTTCTCCTTATCCTTGTTGCTGTAGTCATGGACTTTATGAGCCAACGCATCAAACTCCGTAATCTGAAATTCCAGCAGTCCCAATAACCGAAATACACTTATTAAACTAACGATTTTCTGATGCGCATTGACTCCTTGAACGAACAGTTTGAAAATTTTGGAAAGTTCTCGAGCCTCATTCTTCGACTTGTGTCCCGCGGAGTCCGCCGACTTGATCAGCTTGTGAGTGGCGTCACAATACGTCGACAATGCTTCTTGGAAAACTGAAAGTTTACTATTAGTACAACTAGGAATAGGAATTTCGGGAGAAACTAACCGTAGTAAGACTTGAGCAGATGCATTCCGGCTTGCCCCATATTTTTTGCCGCTGAAATCAGATTTTAACTGACACTAGTTCCGAAGCCAGAGGAATACCTGGCAAAAATTGAGTGGCAAGTTGATCGTGGACCAATTGTGGAATGTTAGCTGCCATCGAAGGCGAAATTTCCGGTGGTACCACTTGTTCGTCGACCGACATCGGAATGATTGGTGGCAACCGATGGGACACTGAAATCAATCAAAGTTGCGAGGAATTTTGTGCGGCGAAACATTTCAATACGTTTTTAGAGCCCTCCTCAAAGAAAGATAACACGCGGGTTTTAAGAAGGTGCGAAATTTTTGGCATTTTTGTGATTTTCTCTCTGAACATCTAAATGAATTGACAGAAATTGCTAAAAAGTAAGCGAGAGGAAACGTCAGAATTTCAGTGGAAAATGCCATAAAACAGAGTTTGTTTGCCAAGTCACCTCTCACTCGAAGCGATTACAAGTTATCATTCCGGGACATTCATGTTTCACCTCCCAAAAACGGATATTAACTGAATGCGGAACAGAATTCGAGGATACAAGTTTCAAGTGAATTGGCAACCAAACATGTCACCTAAAACCCATTCAGACCTTAGTACAATTGCGTAATGACATGTGTGCGTGCATGAGAATTGAGCGTACAGTTCATACTGCGGAGAGAGGGGGGGGGGGGGTCTCTCAAAAACGTTGTGCAAGTGATAAGCGCCCGACTTTGGTATGTGCTTCGCCTTGTGATTATGTACATTACCCGGCGCCAGGCGGCGGGTGTGTGGGAGAGAGAGTGTGAAACAAAACCGAAAACCGCCTTCAAGTTTGTGCCGTTTCGTTTTCTGATTGTCTCCATGTTGACATTTGCCTGCCAGTATCGTTTGAGAGTGGGGGAGTGAGGGTGAAAATACGAAGACTAAAAAATAAAAACAGGAACAGTCAAATAGAGCACTATGTGAGTTGAATAAGTATTGTTATCTAACAAAAATTTTCTTGCACACGGATACTGTTTGTGAGTCACTTAGCAATTCCAAAAGCATGAATCATTCCGGTCAGTTTAGACATGTATGTAGGGGGACTAACTCCGGTCTACGTTGAAAATTAAAAAGATTTCATTTTTCAGATCGAAAATTGGCCGAACTCATAATAAAACCCGCAACATGTCTGACATTTTTTCATCTCTCCGGTTAGATTAGATTAGAAAGAAAACAGACACTCCTAAAACAGAAATTCCGGTGAGAATTTTAGAAGAATCCGAAAACCTTCAAAAAATAAATAAACACCAAAAGTTTAACCGACGAACCTTTCAACATCTGGCAGCTTCCTACAGCACACGCGTGTTGAGACTGACGACAAAACAAGAGACAAGCATGCGTAAGTTTTCCCCTTCTGTCCTATTCATTCACAGACGCAAAAAACGCGCGGCAGCTGACCATACTCCGCATAAATAACAACGTTCAATGTTTCGAGGTCGTTTGGTAATCACCGGCGCAAGACTTACTAATTCTGATGTGTTTGAAGTGATTTCGGAGAATGTACTTGTGGCCGTTCACTTCGACGACTTGCGCCGGCAGTGCAGGTGGCTCCGTTGGAACTTTCGAATGATAAATGAACTCGTCCGTCGCAGACTCCATAGTTTTTGGGTTTTGGGGAAAGGAGGGACGGGGACGGGGACGGAACAGTACAGAACAGAAAACAAAAATGTTTCAGAAACCAACGCTTGTACTTTTCGAGTGGGCGGAGGGCTCTTCTCTTTTCTCTTTAGTTTTCCGAATGAAAAAATGCTACAGAACAAAAAAAACGTCTTTCACTTACATCTCCAACGCCATATCTTCATCCCAATCGTAGAGGATAGTCGCGTGGTGCCCAGATTGAAGATGCCAGCTGTAACAACTCGCACCAACTAGGCGTGATGAAACGTTGTAAATGTATCGGGCCCTCTTCGTCTCAAACGGTCTCTACTCTATTATACAACGGCCCAAATTACAGGGGCCGGCGCGCTAAGAGTACACAAGACAACATGTGCGCGCGCGCGGCTGGCGCTTGACCGACGCAATATAGCTAACGCGCTCCGCTTTTTTGCAGAAGGAGCCAGTAAAGTGATGGAAAGTGCGAAAGTTAGGAAGAGGTCAATGCACTCACTCATCTGGTGTTGAATATTGAACAAACTTGTTTGTTAGTGTTAGTTGGAGATCTGGAATCTGTGGAAAGTTAGTGGAATGTGAAAATGGATACGTTTTCGGAAGGTTCTCGATGAAAAAGTGTTTGCTGTTCCAATGCTTACAGGTCTTATGTCTGAAAAAGTGTCGTATCGCCTAAAAACATAAGGCCCTATTGTTTACTATCATGACGAATTCGTGCGATGAAAATAGTTTTTAGAGAAAATATCTGAATAAAGTTTTGATTGAAACTGATTAACTCAATTGCTTTTTATTCTTCTCTGTGTCATCGGTCAAATAAATGGTAATCTTCAGAAGTTCCTAAATTTGATAACATCATTTTTCAGAATGAATCTCCATCTCTTTTTTTGCTTTCAACGTTTTACCACTTATTTGTTGTTCATAACTGATCGTTTGAATGCACTTTAATAGTCAATATGTAAAATTCCAGTGGGTCAGACATCAAACCTCTTTCTGTCAAATGTCCTGCATTCTTTCTCTGCTACTCTTCTCATCTTTCATCTTTTTCTCCGTTTAATTCCTCCGCTGCACAAAACTATTTCATTTAAAAATTGAATTGCAAATCAAGTGGTGGCGGGCACGGTAGGATGACAATACATTCCTCTCCGCACCGTTCGCCCCCACAGACTCGGATTTTCCTCTTCTCTTACTCTTCTATTCTTCTCGTCGTTTTAAAGCACTTCTCTGAGCACTTTACAACAAAAGTTTCGTTTCGGCGTCTATCTCTCCTTCTACTCCGTTTTTTTCCTTCTTCTAACTGCCGAAATGATTGATCTATGAATTAGGGCTATATTTAAGTTTAATTAAGTTTTTTTCCAGAGAAATGAGTCATAAACTCGGGAAGAACTTGTTACAATGGAGCAAAACAAATGGAAAATCTGCCACGGACAATATTGTGAAGCACCTGACAGTGCCATTGAGGGAACACGCAAAACCACTGACATTATTGACGCCACAAGAGAAAAGAATGGCAGTTCGGTTGAAAATTCAAGAGGTTTATCGTTTTCTTTTTCTTTCTAATGATATTGTGAATCCGAAAACTTTTAGATCGAGGAAGGTAAAGGTCAACCTCCGTTTTATGACATGTTTATGAGGGAACACACCTATTTACGCATTTCACTCACAGAAAAGTGCAACTTCCGATGTGAGCGCTAGAATTTTGACTGGAAATGCAAAACAACTATTTTAGGTCTTTACTGCATGCCCGCAGAGGGAGTTCCCCTAAAACCGAAAGACAAAATGCTGACGAATGATGAGATTTTGAGACTTGTCAAGTTGTTCGCCGCTCATGGAGTGGACAAAGTTCGTTTGACTGGCGGTGAGCCGACGATCAGAAAAGATATTGTGCAAATTGTCGGTATGTGGCATACCTCCCTCGGGAATTTTTGAGATCTTAAAACTTCAGAGGGAATCGCATCAACACGAGGAATTAAGGACGTGGGAGTCACTACAAACGGCCTGGTCTTGCCGAGATTTCTCCCGGATTTGAAACTGGCGGGTCTCACAAAGGTTTATTGAACTAAGACTTCACAAAATTCAACACACATCAAACTTCAGATAAATATCAGTATAGACTCTCTGGATAAACAAAAATTCGCGAAAATGACCAGAAGAGACGGGTTTGATAAAGTTTGGAGAGCAATCGAACTGGCCAGAGAACATTTTCCGAAAGTAAAGGTACAATCTCTTATCAGACAGATTATTATTTGAAAATTCTACAAATTCAGCTAAATGTAGTCGTTATGCGAAATCAGAATGAGAATGAAGTGGTGGACTTTGTGGATCTGACTCAGGACCGCAATTTGGATGTGAGATTCATCGAGTTCATGCCGTTTGGAGGGAATCAATTTGCGAATGATCAATTTTTTGGGTATAGGGACATGTTGAAGATGATTGTAGAGAGATATGGAGGGAAAGTGATCAGACTTTTGGATTCACCTAATGATACTACCAAGGTACTCGTTAGGATATTGCTTTTATTATAACGTTTCTCCTTTAGGCCTACAAAATTGAAAACTTCAAAGGACAGTTCGGTTTCATCACTTCAATGACGGATCACTTTTGTAACACTTGTAATCGCCTCCGCATAACAGCCGACGGAAACTTGAAAGTGAGTCGGATTGGATTGTCTCTCGTTTTTTCTGCCACATTACCCCATCAAATTCTGCCAGCTGCGAATCATGAAATCTCGGCGAGACGTTCGTTTCCCTCCACCACATGACATCGTTATTCATCCCCTTCTCTTTCTCATTATAGCTCTTTCGTCCTTCCGCTCAAGGCCGCTTTCTTCCCCTCTCTCTCTCTCTTTCTCGTTTTCTCAGTTTCTATGTACATGTTGTCTTTGAGTTCTCCTTGGTAACTAACATTTGGAGTTAGATAGAGAAGGTGGAGACATTTTTAAGCGCAGATAATGTGAAACATAGCATTTTTTCTTCGAAGCCAGCAAAACTGCGAAAGCCGCCGCGATCCGTCTTCCGTTCGTCGCCAGCGGCACACTCTCCCTCCACCTGCCCCTCTATTTTCCTCATTTTCGCTCGCTCTCTCCCTTCCAGTCATTCTTTTTCTTATTTTAACATCATGTTCCGCCCGCTTCTCTCGCCGCCGACTTGCTGGTTAGCACCCCCTCGGATACTTATTGAAAACAAACTTTTCATTTAAAAATTGTTTTTTTCAGGTATGTCTGCATGGTAATTCAGAAGTGAGCCTCCGTGATCGGATTCGAGGAGGGGATTCCGATGAGCAGCTCTCGGAAATCATTCAAAAAGCGGTTAATAACAAAAAAGCGAGGCATGCCGGTGAGTAAAATTTCTGTTTTTCCGCCCATTCTGTGAAATATTTCAGTTTTCAGGTATGGACGCTTTGAAGAGCATGCCCAACCGCCCAATGATCCTAATCGGAGGCTGAGCACAGGTACTTGCAAGCGCCTCCTAACTTTTAAAAGTTAAAGACAAAAACAATTTTCAGAGCTCCCCATCACAGCTTGCTCATATCTTGGTCACTTATCATCTAGTTCGCTTCAAAATAGTCACTTTGCTCTACCTTCTCACTTTTCAACTCTTCTTCACTCACCTTCAAAAAATTTCCTTCAAACTCGCGCATACTCCACATCATTCACAGGTGATATTTGGTTTCTCCCATTTCTGCAAAACATCGCATTTCGCGCACCGCCAACTCAACATTAATTAGAGTAGCTTTCGCATCTATAATTTGGGTTTTTCAGCAAACTCCGCGCTCACACATGTTGACAGCAACGGTCACGCCAAACAAGTTGACGTTTCTGATAAAGCGATAACTACCAGAACGGCAATTGCGAGGGGAACTATTGTTGTGAGGAAATAACATTAAATCCTTAAATCCTCGAAGTTTTTAGTTAACTTCTGAGGTTTCCCGTCGAATCACCGAAAATAACATCAAAAAGGGTGATGTGTTGACTGTTGCAAAGGTGAGCTCACACTTTCCGTAATGAAATAATTCGAATCGGAAGCTTTTACACACCACTTTCAGATCGCCAGCATCTTGGGTGCAAAACAGGTTGCAAATCTGATTCCATTATGTCATCCCATACGTCTTGACTTCGTCGACACCGTCTTTGAACATGACACCGATAAAGCTCAGCTTCACGTGACGTCTACCGCAAAATGCTCTGGAAACACTGGAGTTGAAATGGAAGCGCTAACTGCTTGCACGGTCAGTACGGATTGAGATTTAATTCTAGAAAAAGAAAAAACATGTCGTTCAGGTCGCTCTTCTCACAGTCTACGACATGTGCAAGGCAGTGAGCCAACAGATGGTACTCACCAACATCCAACTCGTTCACAAGTCGGGCGGCAAGACAACGTATAATCTTGACATTGATAATCAGATTTGAGCTGCTAGTCACTTTCACTTTTATGCTTTGAATGAATATAACGTATTGAAAGTGTACATTCAAGTACGTAGCTGTTAAAAAGCTAAAAATCTAAAAGTCAAAAAAGTTTGATCTCGGGCGGGCTCGAACCGCCGGCCTTCTGTGTGTTAGACAGATGTGATAACCACTACACCACGAGATCGCTGAGCGAAAGAAGCTACACGGGGGAAGATAGGCTGATTGAGGAGAAACGATGAGGTCTGATAGATGACCGGCCGACAGAAATAATTTTCCTACCCGAACTAACAAAAGTGATATACGCGCTCCGGCCAGCGGACCCTCCGATTTGCACTGACCGCCGCCGATCACTTGGTGGCGCCATAGTACACTGCCAGGCAAGTGGAAACTTATCATCTCTGTGTGATCAGTTTTTTTTGTTCCACATCCTTCGTTTCTACGCATTTTTTTTCTAAAACTCCTCTAGGGCTGACAATAGAATTGTATTTTTTGAGATGTAAAAGCCGAACGCAGCGACGGACCGTTTTTATATGACAATGAAAAGCGAGGAGCGAACACATTATCGTATTAATCATAATGGTTTCCGTGTTGGAAAAGAGGGAGAGCGCATTCATAAAAATTGTAATTCTGCTTTGTCAGCGTGTCCTTTTTTGTTGGAACCAACATTTTCTGCTTCAAATAGACTATCAAACGTCAGAAGAAAGCATACAGACATTCACTTGCCACTTTGCGATAAATTCGTCGTATTTCATCTGTCTGTCGTAGGAGGTCAGAAACGTTTAGGAAAAAAGTACTCGCGTGTTCCGCTTCTCTCTCCATATCACCATTTTTGTTTAACAAAGCGTTTTATCACAAACATCAGAAGATAGACTACCTAGCGAGGGGCGTTTTATCTGTCTACCCAGAAGTTATCCTTTTTCACCGCATCATGCTCCACAACAACCCCATGCCTGTGCCCTGAGTAGCATTCTGTCACGATTAGAGAAGTGTTAATTCCGAGTTGCTAGATGATGCAAACGCGCTCTATTGAGAAATCTCTTGCACATTGGAAGGCGGATGCGTTGTGCGGTGCGCACGGCACGCTCATTTGACGTGTTCACACGTATTCCAACACCGACCAAGTGAGAAGGCATCTGTTTTATTTATTGGCTCGTCAGGTACCGTTTGCACCACGCCTCTACCGTGTTGATCGCTCATACTCTTTTTTGCGTAACCGTCCTGTTCTCCATATCTGCATTTACATAGGGTGACATGCACCTTTGTCGCTTCGCTCGTTCAACGTGTGAAACATTCTTTTTACGCAACTGACGGCCGTCTCTAAAGTCGATCACATCGATCATTACTGGCTCGTAAGAAGCCGCGCGCACAGTTTGCATTCTGTACCTCGAGCCAACTCTTCCTCTGACCGTCCGTTTCTCTATATTCACTTTATTTTGTCTGAAATATGGTCTTAATACAGAATAGGACGACGCAGGTTTCTTCTTTTCTGCTCTTTCCTTTATTTTCAATCTTCTTAGCCAGCTCCCGAAGCACAGTAAATAGAGCAGTGTCTGACCGTCGATCGCTTCAACTTTCTGGAAGATTTTTGAGTTATTCTCTCCCCTTCGCGTTCATTAGTCATTTTGTCGAGAATTTTCTATGCGTATACAAATTGAGCAGAACACATTCGCTGCCTATGTACAGTGTACACGATGCGCCGGAGCCGGTCGTTCACTCCATTCCTTTATTTTATGCGTTTGCTCGTCGACCCCTCCATCCTATCTGTTTTTTTTCTCGTGATAAATCGATGCAAGTACAGGGCGCGAGCGTCGATAGCCGGCAGTGCCTATATTCTCTTTTTCTGTCAGATCATATCCATCCTGAATTTTCTTTTATTTTCTCTCTTCCGCTTCTTCTCTCTGTCGATCCATTCGTACTCTTGTGAAGCTCGATCGACAAAATTATGCTTCTTTGTCCTTGCCCTTGATGTACTTGTTGCGTGCACGGTCGGGAACCCGGGACCGAGAACGGCTGGTGTTTTTAGTCTCCCATTCAAATTTCGAAAGCTAACTCCTTACTCATCGCGTTCCCTATTTCAAAATTGATATTTTCACTCGTTTTTTCGCATATTACACGCAAAACTGAATATGATTTTTTTTACAGGATGAGCTCCACGGCTTGTGCTACCGGAAAGAAGGACAGCAACAGTTCCCGTCCAGGAAGACACCCGACATCTTCTCGCTCCAGTCTGGCAAGGCCAGAAGCTGTTATTTCAGCATCTTCCTATTCGCGATCTCTTCCCAAGAAGCGAGCCCGCGCTCAGAGTGAGTCTTCTGTTCCAGTTCAGCTTTTTCACGTCGAGAATCTGCCTTTTAACGTGTGTCTCAGCACCTAGTTCTTGGCGATTCCGCTTCCTTCCAAAAGTCCGATTCTTCTTGAAAAAGAAAGCGTATTGGTCACGTCAAGGCTTAAAAAAAGACAATTTTTTAATTTTATTCTTTTTTAGGAGACAGAACTCGCGAAGAAAGCGATGAATTTACGGACGAGGAGGAGGCGCCGCCTGTGAAACGGGCTCCGGGAAGGCCGACATCGTCGAGAAGATCAGATCTTGTAAGAACGTCGAATGCGGGTGCCACATCAAATGTTCGCCGCGTTCAATTCGAAGATCAGACGGACGAGCCCACCGACGATGAGGCGTCAACTCCCGTGAAGCGAGACGGAAAATTCAAGAAGAATCAGATGTTGATCAACAATGAGACCGGGGAGTCCAGCAGAAGATCAGTCGAAAACATTGATGCGGCTGATTCCAGTGCCAACCATATCGCCGACGAGACGATCAGCGAAGCAGCGGAGGATCGAGCGGCAAGAAAAGCCAGAAGAGAGTTGTCAGTTCAAGAGGGAAAAGCAGTTCCAGTTCCGCCGGAAGCCCGCATCGTCAACACTGATCCGAATCAGATCCCGCCGTTCTTCCGCAACAAGAAGGGAAACGTGCTCGGCGGTCTTTCGCTGGAGGCTATTCAATCGCTCACCCCCATGGCCCAGCTCCTGCTGATTACAAACCAGAAAGATGCACTCGCGTGGGCTGGTTGGAAGAATAAATTCAATGACTATCGTAACAAGGTCAAGAAGATAGGTAACGGAGCGTTCGGAGAGGTTTTCAATGCTCCTCCTCGATTTTCCCACATTGGCGAATCCGTCTTGAAGATCGTTCCCTTTGAGCCGGACGGCAACAACCGGATCTACCGAGGTCCGTACCATGCCGTCATGCAGACAGCGGAAGAGATTCTTCCTGAAGTAATCATCTCGCGGGAGTTGAAAAAAGTCGCAAACGATAAGCAGAACGCAACATTTGCTTTCGTAACTCCGAAACGAGTGGAGGTGGTGAAGGGAACGTATCCGCAAAGATTGATCGATTGCTGGACCGCGAGTGATGCCATCAAGCCGTGCGGTAACACTTCGCCTGCTGTTTACAGCCACCCGGACCAGCACTACATTATTTTCACGTACGATGTAGCAGGGCGCGATCTCAACAACATCAAATTAAAGTCGATCGATGAGGCGCATGCGATTGTCGTGCAGGTCATTCTGGCGATGATTGTTGCGGAGAAAAATCTGCAGATGGAGCATCGTGACTTGCACATCGGGAATATTTTAATTAGCTCGACAAAAGGACAATATGAGCGTTTCAAACTGGATGGAAACGAGATATTCGTGCGCACACATGGAGTGAAGCCACAAATTATCGACTTCACTTTGAGTCGTATCAAGACCGGTGAGTTGGACTAGTCTGGTTTTGCGTTTCAAATTTTTTTCATTCCAGAAGCTTCCATTGTCTACTCGGATTTCAATACGAGCCCGCATTTCTTCAACAAGGACGTTAATCCTGTCTACAGACAGATGAGGACCGTGAACAAGTGAGTGGAACGTGGAAACCTAGTAAGCTAATCATTACGCATTTTAGGGGAGAATGGGCGGTGTTCCATAAGAAAACCAACCTACACTGGATCGCGGCCCTCGTGAAGGCAATTGCTCAGAAGCAGCCGTGCTTCAACGATCCGGATCTCAAACAGGTAGGTTAAACATAATTTAAGTTGGTGAGATTCATTGAGAACCTTTTTTTTCAGAAATTCATGACGTTCCATAGGAAACTGTCGAAATTCGAATGTCTTGAGGCTACCTGGAATGATCGCACATTCTTCAACGAGTTCTATCACGGCCATATTCTCACCGCCGACAATCAAATTATGGAAATTTAAATTTTTGTTCTTGTTCTTCTGTTTTTCTCTTCCGAACCTCAAAATCATTTTCTTTACGCTATTTTCTCTTATTTTTCATATACTAACACCATATCTCCATAGCCTTTTCTCCACGCCTTTCTCAAATTTGAATCGGTTAGTTTGAAATAAAAATGATAGACCTGCGAGAAATTGGGACTTTAACAAACTTTATTACAAACTTGAAGCCGGTCAATGAGCAGCAGAGTGCAATTCTGAGAATAAATCGCAGTTGCGCACACAGAAACGCAGAACAACAGGTAAGCAAGGACGAGTGGAGCCGACGTTTGAGTCCTAAGAGCCAAGGAAAGAAACGGTCGGAGCTCGCATTTCTATACAACTACCAGCCAAAAATAATCAGTCGCCACACAAAATGAACAGGATAAGGAACGAGGAGGAGGAGGAGGAGGAAAAGGGAGAGAGAGAGAGAGAGCGCGGGGGGATAGAGAGGACAAACCGGTTGCTGAAAAATTAAACACACAGATGTCAACTAATGCATTCGTACGAAGATATTCCGGAGCAAGGACGAACCTCGTAAAAGCTGTTAGAGTTGAGTTTCTCAGTTGGGGGTTACGTGGTGGTGGCATGGAACAGAGGATCTATGGTGCGCTACAAAGAGATTCTGAATGTGGGTGGGCGGGGTTCGATGTGGGATTAGAAAGCAAAAATGCGTGTAAAATTCAGTTTAGCATCAGGTTTGTTGAAAGAATAAAAAGAAAACGGGAGGGGCTCCGCGTAGGGCAAGAGACAGAACAGTCGGGGCATGTTGGAGGGTGGGGGATGTTTTACGGGTCAAGGGGGATGGGGATACATTCCAAACTTAGACATGAAAAGATAAAATAAAAGCGGGGGGAGGGGGGAAAAGGTGGCTGAAAGCTCATTTATCGCGGCGGCTGTTTTGTCGGTTATCCATTGCAGACAGAAAAGAGGAAACGAAAAACAGTAGAAGTTTGAAAACAGTAAGAGGAAATGAATTTAGGAATTTGTAGCTGGATTGCAGTGACGGGAGGCTGTACTGGAGGGGACAACAAGCCGACGTGAAGATCAAGGGAATGGTTGCATCGGAAAGCTCGAGAGCACGGCGTGAAGCAGTTTAGTGAATCTCGGCAGCAATCACATCCTCGATCGGTCGGTTCTCCTCCTTGGCGCGCAGGTAGGTCTGGTAGTGCGGCGACTCCTGAAAATGAACAGTTTGTGACAAAACTTGGGCTTTTGATACCTTGAAGATACGGATCTTTCTCTGGAGAGCACGAGCCGTGTCCTTGAAAATGTTGCGCTCGTCAGCAGCCATAGCCTGAAAGATTCCACTAGTTTCGTTCTTCAGACGGTTAACTTACAGCGTAGTTCTCGCCGTGCGAGTCGATGAGTCCGGCGCAGAAGAGAATGTCCTTCGGGAGCAGCTTGTAGACACGGTCACGGCTTGGAGTCTGAAATTTTCATTGTTATGATAGTACAGACACGCGGCGTGAAAGTGAGAACTGAGTGAGAACTGTTTGTCTCTAGAAAAAACAATAATCAATCTCATTAGTACTAAATCTAAAAAAAATACGCTACCGATGGGCGAGAGATATGGAGTTCCATTGGCAGAGGCTTGATGTAGTTGACGTGCTCCATGACCACAGCCGGCACCTTCTTCTCCGACAGCTTGATGAGTTGGGCGTCAATGCGCAGTTTCTGAAGCAATCAAAACCAAATACCAGGGCTTCTAGGCTATGTGAATGGAAGTGTTCAAAAAGAAACGTGTACTGCATCGCACCACAACACAATGAATAGCACAAAATCAGAATGATCTGGATACTGTACTATGGGGCAAAACTCACCACGGTCGGGTCGATCTCAACGATGTCGTGCTTGGCGAGAGTGGCCTGAACGAGCTTCTCGACGTTCTTCTGGAATTGAGTTGGCGAAATGTTGCTATCCTCAAGGGTCTGGGTGATCTCGATGGTGGTGCTCTTCTCGACTGAAAATGAGCGTTTGTAATACTTTTCTGCGTTTTGAGAGTGCTTACTGGTAGTTCCGTTGGAGTGCTGCTCGGAGCTAGTAACCTCGTGAACCTGGATTGGTGGCGAGTGCGATCCACCGGTGATGGCATTCACTTCGTCGTCAGCCAGCTGATCGAGATGATCCTGCTGAAGCTGAGCGATGACCTGAGCGTTCTCCGAGATCGAGTTCGAGCTCGAGTTCTTTCCCTTCTTGTTCTTCTTCTTGTTCTTCTTCTCGTTTCCAGCAGCAACGTCCGTGGTCTGCGCCAGCTTGGCGTAGTCCAACTCCTCGACGGAAGATTGATTCTTGACGGATCCATTGACAGCGGCTCCCGAGTTTTCCTTGTCGCTTCCCGGGGAGCCCTTGCTTCCGTTGACAGCGGTCTGCGGAATCTCGACGGTTGGGACGATCTCGGTGACGACCGGGACGGCATCGTGGGATTCCGAGTTTCCAGATCCCTTCTTGTTCTTCTTCTTGTTCTTGCCCTCCTGGAAATAATCGTTATTGAGACGCAGAAAAAATTGTGTGCTCTAGAGTAGAGTGAGTTTAATTTTTCAGCTTTTTTGCATTCCAACAGGTAACATTCAGGGGTTGAGTGCTGATGCGAGTAGGAGAGGGGAATACCTTCTGAGCTGGAGCCGGAACATCAGCCTCATTGCTTGGGATCACAATTTTCTTCTCGAAGACCTCCTCAACAATCTCTGGAGCGGCCTCAGAAGCAACTGGTGCCTGGGCCTCGCTCTCGCTGTTCTTTTTGTTCTTGTTCTTCTTGTTCTTCTTTTTTCCGGCGCTCTGAAACAGAAGGGTGTGTGCGGAAAGAAGGGAAATGGTGCATCTGATCAGGAAAGACAGCGAAGAAGCGCATTGGAGGTGAGTTTAACTGGAAAGTGGGAACCGAGAAGCAACAAAGTTAGTAAGTAACGAGAAGACGCTAGTCCGGTTGTCCACACCATGTTATGATGCTCTCTAACCCAATCGTGTATCGTATTCTACCTCCTCAACAGTAATCTCCGGCGCAGAAATCAGCTCAGCTACCTCTTGAGTGTCTACAATTTCAAAGGAATCTAGTGCCACGTCTGAGTCAACCTAAAGATAGATCGAGTTGAGAAATGGTTGACAAATGGCGTGAAGAGTTAGTCAGGGCTTGGAAGTGTGCAAACTAACTACCCTTTGTATCAGACAAGTCACATACCTCGTTATCGACCTGGAGTGGCTCAACGACCTTCGGAGCTTCGATTGGCTCTTCAACATTCTGAAAATGTTCAAATTAAAAAGGAGCATTTTGTTGTGTAAGTGGATTACCTCTGGCTTGGCAGTCACAAAGTCCAGGAAATCCAAGCTGTCGGCAGTTGGCTTCTGAGAGACCGGAGCTGGAACAGCTGCGGCAGTTGGAGCCTCCTCGACCTTCTGAAACGTTTCATTATTTCTAAACGATACAGACATCACAAAAACTGAACCATAGGAAAGAAAATCAACCAAAAAATAGTACTAATTGGTTAACTTCTACTGCTATTTAGGACTGTTGGAAGAAGCACACAGAGAGGTGAGGGAACGGAGAAGCGGTTTTTTCGAGTGAGTTTGAAAGCGAAGAGAATTCTTGAAGAAATCTGTCAAAAAATAGGAAACAGAGTCGGGTGTGAGTAATCGAAAGCTGCACATCAGACGCGGGCCTAACCTCCTCTTTTGGCTCGGAATGCAGGAACTCGAGGAACTCCAAGTCTTCCTTGCTCGGCTCCTGCGATTGCTCACTCTCGCTGTGCTTCTTGTGCTTCTTGTGATGCTTCTTCTTGGAGTTCTTAGACGAACGGTTCAGCAGAACGGAATTCGGGCTTGGACTGGAGCTCTGAGCAGGGGCAACAACTTTTCCGAAGACGGACTCAGCAGGCACGTCGGCGTAGTCAACTATTTCAAGACTTTCGAGAGAGTCCGTTGATTTCGGAGCAGCAGGTGGAGACTCTGGCACTGGCTCGTCAGCAGATCCCGCAGCAGCAGCAGGAGCAATAGTGTCAGCATCCGCTTTCGGGTTAACAAACTCAAGGAATTCCAAATCGTCAGCAGATGGTTTCTCAGAATGAACTGGAACAGCAGGAGCAGCAGTTGACTCTTCGATCTCGGAAGGAACAGCTTCGGATGGCTCATCAGCCTTCGGAGTAACAAAGTCGAGGAATCCAAGGTCGTCGGCAGTTGGTTTGGCAGAGGCAACTGGTGCAGTCTCACTTGCTGTGGAAACGACTTGGGTCAAAACTTCCTCAGTGGAAGTTTGCACATCCGACTTTTCAGAAACGAAATCGAGGAATCCGAGGTCATCAGCAGTTGGCTTCACGGAGTGAACTGGAGCGGCAGTGGTGGCAGCAGCAACAGACTGATCAACTGCGGCCGTTTCATCAGCTTTAGGAGTAACAAAATCAAGGAATCCGAGATCATCAGCAGTTGGTTTGGCGGACTCATGTGCAAGCTTCTCAGCCACTGGCTCCTCTGCATTGGACACAGTCTCAACTGGCACCACCGATTTCTTCTCAGCAATCTCCGACACCTCTACATGTGCAGCTTTGACAAGCGATGCCCCATTCTCAAAAAAATACTATATACTAGTCTAAATGTGCCTAAATCCTAAGTGCCCTAGAAAACGGTAAACGGTGCTGGAAGCGTTCTGACACATGCGTGATTGTTACAAACCTTGTCACTTTCACTGTTCTTCTTGTTCTTCTTGTTCTTCTTCGAATTCTGGAAAAGGAGAAGGGTTGAGTTTGCGTGCAAAAGGTTAGTTTGAGAGGCGTCTACCTTCTCCTCCTTTGGTGGCTTCTCAGTCGGCTTTTCCTCGTCCACTGGCTCGGCCTCTGGTTTCTTTGACACAAAGTCCAAGAAGTCCATGCTGTCATCGGAGGTGGGGCGGTGAGACTCGCTCTCGCTGGTCTTTTTTCCCTTCTTCTTAGACTTCTGAATGGGACAGTTTAGACAAGGTGCAAAAGATCAAATAGTAATGGGTGCAGGTTCTCAAGGACATGATCGCAAGACAACATCTCTGTAATCACCTTCTCCTCCTTGGCTGGGGCTTCTGGAGTGGTCTCGACTGGCGCGATCTCCACTGAAGCTGGCTCCTCGGCGCGCTCTTCCTTAGCGGTGACAAAATCCAAAAAATCCATGGAGTCGGCAGTTGGCTTTTGGGAGACCGGTTCGGCAGGAGCCGGCGCCGCTGGAGTAGTCTCAACTGGAGCTGGCTCCTCGGCACGGTCTTCCTTAGCGGTCACAAAGTCCAGAAAGTCCAAGCTGTCAGCAGTTGGCTTCTGAGAAGCTGGAGCTGTCGGAGCCGGTGGTGCAGTCTGTAAAAAGCCTTGCGGGTGCGCACACATCAAACATGCGAGTGCAATGCGTTTATGCTCGAGTGGCAAGTTCTTCCTCTCATTTAATTGCAGTGTGACTTTTTTCCTATCTGTTCCCCGTCCCTCGAGCCCACCTCAACAGATTGCTCGACGACTGGCTCTAGAGCAGCTGGAGCCTGGGCCTCGCTCTCGCTCTTCTTCTTGTTCTTCTTTTCCTTCTTCTCGTGTTGTGGCGCCGCCTGTTGCTGTGGCTCCTCGTGAGCGACGACCTCAGCAACTTGCTCGACAGCAGCCTCACTCTCGCTCTTCTTCTTGTTCTTCTTGTTCTTCTTTCCGGCGGAGGCAACCTGAAGCAAAAAATACAATCAAACGCCCATTTAGTTTAGAAATTACCTCTGAAACGACCTCAGCTGGCTCTGCTGGGGTGTTAGTCGGGGTCTTCGGTTCCGGAGCGGCCTGCTCGACCTTGGCGACCTTCTTCACGACAACCTCCTCCTGAACTGGGGCTGGAGCAGCGGCAGCGGCGGCCTTCTCCTTCTTGGCCTTCTCCGCCTTTTCCTTCTTCTTGTCGGCCTGAAGTTTCTTCAACTCGGCGTCCTTCTTCTCCTGCTCCTTCTGGATTTTCTCCTGCTCGGCCTTCCATTTCTTGTGCTCTTCCTCTTCGGCGGCACGCTTCTTCGCTTCAGCAGCAACGCGACGAGCTTCCTTCTCAGCGGCCTTCTTGGCGGTGGCCTCTTTCTCAGCCTCGTGGTTCTTAGCGACTTGCTTCTGGGCCTTCTTCTTATCAGTCTTCTTGGCTTTCTCAACCTGAAAGTATTGATGATTCACTCAAGGTCGATTCTGCGAAAACAATTTGACAATTATCCATGTGACCTTGCCCAGTTTGTTTTACATTTCACATGTTTGAATAGGCAGGAGATGAAAAGAAATTGGAATTGTGTTCCCGACCCTACACATGCGCTACACAACAGAACTGATAACGCGCTGATGGGACTAACAAGCGTACTATCAGTATTGTCATCCGGAAAATGATGACTCGTGAGGAAGTGACGTTACCTTCTGCGGCTGCTCAGTGAGCTCAAGAGAAGCGAACACTTCCTGACGCTTCTCGTTGATCGATCCTGGCAAGACGGCAGTAAGGAGCCTGAAAAAACCTTTGAAAACTTGTCTAAAACTTTACAGAATCTTACCATTGACGGAATTGGTTGCGCTGAGACTTGGCCACTCGTCCCAGATTCTTTCTGCGGTTCGTCAGTTGCTGTCTGATGTGCGGACGTCTCACTGATTTTGGAGACCTCATCTTTATGTTCGTGGATTTCGAGATTCACTTGTTCACAAAACAGTGATCAGCTGAAACGATCAACAGTTGATAGTTGAGGCAGAAGTGAGATGAGAAAAATAAATATTTCGAGAAAAGTTGGGCCTAAAATCTGACCGCAACGCGACAGACGACGAGGGCAACCTGAGGGAGGAGGTGAGGGGCGGGGTCGGGACGAGGCCTCGTCACAACGGGCGCCCCTTCGCCCGCCGCCGCGGCAAGAGATATGGTAATGACGGAAACGCAGGTATGGCGGGAGGGAGAGGAGTGAGGGGACACATGGGGAAATTCGAAACGCGCGCGCGCCAGAGAGGAAGAAAAAAGACGACGATGGGACGGAGATTTTTTGCTGCAGAATCACAGATAATTTGATAGCGCACGCTCACTGAAGGTGGAAGGAAGAGAGGAAGAAAAGTACACGAGGAAATGTACTTAGCAAGATGATTGATCAACTGACTGACACTCAAGTGTCTTTTCTGCAGTCTTTCATGTCTCAAAATTCATCCCCCAATACATGAAATGCCTTTGTCTCGCCACCCCTCCTCACAGCCTGCCGGCAGTCAGCTGAAAACAGTGTTGAGTTGTTGGATGATTTGCGCAAATATTTACTAGTTTCTTCTACTAGTGTCGGCGGCTCATTGCTCTTTTTAGATGCCACTCGGCAGTTCATATGGCTGAGCATATGGTGGCGCAGCGAGTTGTGGCGAAAAGAAAGGCACAAAAGCAATAGATTGATGGGCTTTAGGCGGCGCTGTGACGTGGGGGGAAGGAGGCTCGATGAAGGGAGAGAAAAACAAAATAAAACGAAAGAAATGGCTGCTTGCTCGGATCTCAACTCTGTCATACTGCCCGGACCGGAAATTGGGAGGACAGACTCGATGAACCGCCCACCCATAGTTTCGAAAAAAACTGTGCAGCTGCGTGCACTTTGCAGGTGTCCCTACAGTAACCCTCACTGAATTTTTATTGAGAGCGAAACCGAGAAAAAAACCAGTGGGAGCCAGGTGCCCTACATCTGCCAATTCGGGGCACCTGCTCCCCTGTGGGTTGCTATTCGAACAAATATGACGTGTACTTGTACAGTTGTGTTGTGTTGACAAGGGGCTAGGGGGGGTCTAGGGGTCGGCGCCTCTTCTGCCGCCTGCCTTTTTTGTGTGTGTACGGACTGCGCATTGGCCGTCTGTCGGTCTCCTAGGCACTGCCTTTAAAGGGAACTCGGCGCGAGCGGGTCGCGCGCCTCGGCCGCCGCAAACTCGTAAACAAGCCGGGGGCAGCCGGAGGCAGAAGAAGGCGTCGGAGAAGAGGGGAAGAGGCGCGAAAGGAACGGCAGCCCGGAGTGTGTCTTACGCCTCGCCATCGATAAACACGTGAGATAGGGTGGAAAACAACATTTCTGTTTCTGTTTTCTGTGCCGGTCGAGCGGAATGGCGGGGTGCACTTTGTGAACGGGCGTGTCTGTTGACGCTGACAAAACAGTGTCGAAAAAGGAAAGGGTAATCCGATCAGAGTAAACAGACGACATGTTGAAGTTTGAAAATGAAATGGAATGGATGAATGGGAAGGAAGAAAAGGAATACCCTTTTGACTCGCTTGTTGCAATTTCATTTTTTATGACTGTCAGTCACCCCCCGCGCTCCGCTACGTCACCGAACACACCCATCATCGCCTACTGCTGATAAGGGACCAGTACAAAACAGGCAGTGTGCTTTGAAAGTGCTTTTTGATGTTTCACAATGTTTCGGATGAGTTTGAAAGCGACGGAGAGAGAGAGAGAGAGAGATGAGCGAAAAGAGGGAACAGTTGGTCCGTTGGTTTTCTGTCACTTCGAATCGCTAAAGAGATTTGTCGTTTTCGTTTTGCTCTGCTGCGAGCGAGCCGGAGCCAGAACGTTTTCGAGCTCATCCATTTTGCTCGGGCAAAAAGGTCAGCACGGCAGGGAGAAAGGAATGGAAGGGACGGCATCGAATTGGTTTGAATTGCGGTCGGCTCACAACGACCGTGGCCCCATAAGCGATGAGAAAGTGGCGCGGAGAGAGCGTGCCAAAAAGCGGAGAGCAGAAACATACAAAAATGGGAAAATGCATTCATTCATTCCATCGATTCGCCGCTTATAACCCGACTCCTCTCTCTCTCTCTCTCTCTCATCTTCCGCATGCACATACATAAACACGAGAGAAGAAGAAGGGACTAAAAGAGGTGTTTTGACATTTCGAAATAGGCAGCAGCAGCAGTAGCAGGAAGAAAAGAAAAAGAATGGCGACATGAAGTGAAAGTCGAGGAAGGGGTGCGCAGTGAAAAAGCTATTGGGGGCTCATTGTCTCTTCAATCGGCTAGAAGCTGCTCGAAGAGCACAACCCGCCAACCAAATTATTCGGGGGCTCCCTTTTGTCGCGCGTGGAAGAAGAAGAAAGCAACAAAAACGAGAGACGGAAAAATCAGAATTCTCCAATTCTAATTATTTTTCAGTTTACATAGCTATCTCGTTTTTCTCTTTTTTCCGCTTCTGCGTGTTTACGATGCCGACCACCTGGCAGTCGGCAATTGCCTCGGCCTCCGAAAAGTTTTTTTTGAAACTCCCCCCGAAAATCTTTTCGAACGACTTTTTCGTCCTCAGAAAGGCTAATTTGAGAGGCCCTGGGGTGCAGTGGCATTGAAAGTAAATTTGGATGAACTTTCCCTTCCATTGTTCTCTCTTTTTTGAGGAAAAGTGTACGTAGATGGATGGGTGCGCAAACCTCGGGATTTAAATGGAAATATCCTCCCAAATCTAAGAAATTCATTGGTTTCCGAGAAAAATGAGGAAATGAGAAGAAGAAAGAGAAAGAGAGGGAGCAAGCGAGATAACATAGGCATTTCTCCGACGCCCACGCGTTTTCCCAATGCTCTTCTCTTTTGCTCAGATTGTTCTAGAAGCGACCGGAAGCCTGTTGTCGCTGTCGTTCTTGTTTTCCGCGCGATTTGTTCCGAGGGGGAAACACCACAACAACATAAAATAACGACAGGCAAAAAATTGGAAAAGGGGGAGACTCTGTCCTTGAAATTAGTTGTCGCCTAGACCGGGGCTTCAAGGTCAATTCATGGTGGCGGAGAAGGTGCCGTTGTTTGTTGAATGTGTTTGTGATGAAGAAGATGAACGAGCGCGGAGGTCTGTCCCGTCGTGTCAAGAAACCGAAGCATCATCATCATCATCTGACCGTCGGCGGCCGTGAAATGAAAAGAAAAGAGGGGACTCCCGATTCAAACAGATGATAAGGCTATCAGGAAAACAAGGCGACAAAGAAGGAGAAAGTGAAGAATTGCGGCGGAAACACAATATTTGCATAAGAACGTGTCAAATCTAGCGACTAAATCCGCATATTGTGATGAATTGAAGAGAAAGAAGTGCGACCTTTGCAGTGGAAAATTTCAAAACGAAACGTTCGTCGCTTTGCCAAACACGAGTAAAACCGGTAAACCGCCGTCATCCCCTCACATCGCGCAAGTAAATAGAGTGTGAATGTTTCGAAATGGCACGGAACGTTTTTTGGTTGACCCCCGCCAGCATTTTTTCGAGAAATGTGTGTGTGCGTTTGGAAAAAAAGTAGAGTCAACGATGGATATTTATGGAATTTGGGCGCCGAGGTGAGTCAGCGGAAAAGGACAAAACATGCCACTTTGCTGAAGTTTATCGCCTCATTTCGGGGCTGAAAATTTCGTTTCGCAATTTCGAAATCGTCCTAATGTTTGCTGGCCGATTCATTGTTTTGTTTTCAAAGTAATTTCGAAACGATGTAACCTGATCACCAATCGGAAGAATCGAAAAAAAAGTGACCTATGTAATGGAATTCTTGTTCGCCCGACCAAAAGCGTTCGTAAATTGGGGTCAGTGCAGGAGAAACGGGGGAGAAGAAGAAGAAGAAGAAGAAGAAGAAGAAGATGAAGGAGGAGGAAGTAGGGGCGGTTTAAGTGCAATATCATAAATAATGAAGTCAACACTAATCTATCTTTAATGTCATTCCACCACAACCTTCTAGATTTGATCATGATTCTCGATTTTCTTCTGCCTGACTGATATCAAAGACGTTTTGCGAATAAGTGATGAAAATGGGGGAAGGGAAAGAATTCGAATGGCAAAAGGCTAACACAAAACCTATTAACGAGTAGAAACCATGTGCAAAATCGGAATCGGCGGCTGATAAAGCGAAAATTGCAACAATTCTGGCTCTTATCACCGTTTTCTTCCCACGTTTACTCTCACTTTCCGTTTTTAGGCTTTTTGTGTGAAGAACTCTGTCAGATCGTCAGTGTCGCGTCCTTGAACCATCAAAGTTTCACAGCAGTGACAGTGATTAATCGGCGAAAAGTGCTGCGATAATGTTATGATACGCTTCTCGCGAGACCCTTGTCGGAATTTGCTGCTACTGTCGAATTTGCAACGACAAGCAATCTTCATCTATCACCACTTTGGTATTTGATCAGCACACCTGACAGAGTGCCATAATTCACGCGCGGGGGTCATCGTGATTTTTGTGGTTTTATGAGGGCTTTCTCTCTCTCTTTCTTTCTTCTGTCCAGAACACAGAATGTGTCCGTTTTGATGAAGATAAAGTGATCGTTTTATCGTCTTTAAATAGAAGAAAAAGAGAAAGAAGAAGAAGAATCTGGCTGGCTAACAATAAACGTTTGGGGGAAAAGGGAAAGAGCATCATGAAAACTGACGTCGAAACTGATGCCGGGGATCATATTTCAGATGGGCGACAGATGGTTGAAAGATAGAATGCTCGGCAGTGTTTTGTGTAAAAATGATGGGTTCGAGAATATTGGTTTTTCTGTCAAACCATTTTTTTCCGGTTGTTTACGTGGTGGCGGCACCACGTGCCACTTTGTTTTTCGTTTTAGTTCTCGTTTTCGGGGCCGAAACTTCAAAAACAACATGTCAATTAGAAAGGAACTTAGGTGTTCGATTGGACAAAGTATCTAAACGTCGGGGACCAAGAAAAGAGGATTTGAACTTAAACAAAGGTTGCAACTAGGAAGTGCAAAAGTATTACGTGCAAAGTTTTTTTGGCTACTGTTTGCGTATCAGTACTGCTCTCTTGACAAGCAAGAATAAAGAGATTTACAATTGAAATTTTGAGCGGTTTGTCAATAAAATGAGCACAAAAGTCATTGTGAATAAGAGTGAAGTGGAATCTGAATGGTTTTTCATCTTCTCTCGTGCCCTATAAAATAATAGAGTGCAGAGTGTAAGAACTTTTTTAGAAAGTGAACGGGAGAATGATGAAGTTATTTTACAAAAAGAGTGTGAAACTCTGAATGAATAGATAGCAACAAACAAAAAGGCTCCAAATGCTCCAAATGCGAAATTGGTTGCGATTTGAGCTGAGCACGTGCTTATTAGTCTTCCAGTTGTTTTGCTCTAGCACATGTGTGAAAAAATGAATTGTAACTAATCTGCGAACCGAAAATAACAATACGTCAGTCAGCTTTTATCACTTTCCCTCTTTTTCGTGTAATTCACTCAAAAAACCCAGCGAGAATCTGTTTGTAGAGTCTGCAGTTGTTGAACTCTCACATAAGTAGTTTCTGTGATGTGACTTGTTAGAAAATTTTCTGACGAAAAAAAAAAGAACAAATGCTTACATTACAATGCCCGAAAAATAGTTTGTATGCAGCGTCAGCACTAACCACTAGCGGAATTTAAACTTAGTGGCAGCTCTCAAATCGAATTATTTTTTCTCATCCCTTTTTGGCGATTGACCGACCTGACCATCAATTCTCGAGAGAAAAGAAGTCGTTCTCACGTTCAAAACTGTCTTTTCGATCAATCAAAAGAAGTCATAACGGTACTGTCCCCCCAAACAAAACAGTTTCTCCCCATCCCATTCAATCACGCGCTGCCACAAGAATCTCATTCTTGTTTCCTTCCTTCCGTTCTTCTTCTTCTTCTTCTTCTCTCGAAAATCGAAAACATTCGGCGGTCATAACGTGTGGGTGACACTCAGTGCTCTCATCCCATCAACTCTTTTGCCATGATCACTAATCAGCCAGCAAATGTTCCAAGACACAGAAGAGATGAGAAATGAGGAGAAGACAACGGAGAGCGACAGAGATATCATATTTTTAGAAAATAAAGAGTCGGGAAATATGAGCCAGGTGTCATAATAGACACGAAAATATCGTAGTACTCGAAAAGAATGTTTATGAAAGGTGGTGTGGCGTGGGGGATTTGATGTTGAAAAAGCGAACATACTTGAGCGTTTTGCCATTCCTTAGCTCTCCCTCACTGTTTATTGACTTTTAACCCAAGGCCCGCTTGTTTGTTGGGCGTAAAGCGATCGGATACGAAAAGAATATCACAAGATCGGTTTTCTTGGAATTTTTTAGGCCAAACTTTCTCAGAATTCAGAATAAGACTCACCAAGCTGATAATTCGTCGAACGTTGTCGAGGGGTACGGGGGGATGTGCAAATTCGTTTCTCAAAGATTTCGATTGGGAATAACGGGGGGTGTGTGTGTGTGTCGAATCCGGATGGGACGTCGGGGGGTAGTGGCCAGAGACCTTGCTTCTGAAAAGAAGTGTATCAGTCGGTGGAAGTGATAAGCGAAACGGTTGCCGCCGGCGGCAGAGAGAAAAGTGTTCGAGACGCAGAGAGGCGATCCGTGCCAAAGCCCAACCCACTGGGGTCCCGGGAAATTTGTAAAACATGAAGAAGAAGAAAAAGAAGAAGGCAAACGAAAGGGAGGGCGGTGTCTGCAAGGGGACGGATGGACGCAAAAAGTTACGAAACGGCAGAAAAAATAGAAAGAAAGCAGCAAATTGGCGGAGAGGGGGGAAGCCCGTGTTGATTGGGTTTTGTTTGCGTTGAGATTACATAAGTGCCTTTGACTTCGATTAACCTTCGAGTTAATCAGAACGTGCTCAAACACTCATCATGGCACCGTCGCCGCTCTTTTTGCTTGTCACTTTTGCGCAAAAAATAGTTTGGGCCGGGTAGAACACGTGTAACAGTGGTGGTGTGGGAAAACTGGATGAAATAGTGCAAGAGAGGACGCGAAAGTTATTAGCATTTTTAAAAAGGGAGGGGGAGGAAAGGATAATTCGATAATCTGTACTTCACTTTATTGTACATAGTGGTCGTGGTCACCTTCTTCAAAGAGAAGGATTGATAGATACAAAACATTTATGAACAATTATTCTGAGTGGAAATCACACTGTAGGCCTTCCAGAGGAAAGTGCTGCTGATGCAAGTGGTGCCACCTCCGCGCACATATTGAGAAGTCTGAAAAATGCCATTTTGCCGACAACACATCCACAAAGTGATCTCACCATTCTGTTAATGTCTCCAATGCACACCCACGGCTTGGTCATATCAGCTGAGTGCGCCATCTTCGAGTGGTCTTTGGTGTACGAGAACTCTGTCGTGCTGCCAACCTACAAATCCGAACCGTGTTGTTGACTTTCTGAATTTATATGTATTGGACTTACATGGATGGAAAGTGCATCGTTGGCGTGGTAGGTCAGTTTGCAGTCGAGTGGGATCTCACTTCCACGTCTCCACGACTCCACTACCAGGTCTGTTTTAAGAGTTGGCGCAACCAGAGTGTCGTACAGATCTGCAATGCTCAATAAGTGAACTAGCAGATATTGGAAACGTCCTACCAGCATTGAACTCCTTTGATTTGGCAAAAGAAGTGAAAGAGTATCCGCCTTTGGTCTCCAGATCAAGAACACTGGAGTACGGCTCTCCTTTCTGGTATTGTCCGGCAATAGCCTGAAAAACTCGCATTATAATGCGTTCTCCTCAAATTTTAGTTAACCTTGGCCAAGTCCTCATTGTCAGCAGCCATGGAAGTTGGCAAGTTGGAAGAGTAGATGTTGGGACGGTTGAAAAACAGTTGAGTTCCGATTTTCTTCAACTCGGCGTAGTTGAAAGTCATGCAAAGCATAGTCTGCCCGTAATCGTGTCCACTGGCCGGGTACTCGTATTTCGTTGGGTTCGGGAAGAGTGGAACACTGTGCACCAGCCAAACTCCGGTGTCCCCATCAAAGAAGATGGTTCCCTTGGTGTGTCCGAATGCAGTAGAAGTACTTGCAAACACGGTATTGTTGCCGTACACTCTGTTACTCAAAATCTCCTCCAACTTGATCTCGGCGGTCGACTTCGATCCCCATGGCTGAAAACATTTTGTCGCCGATCTCAAAAGCTGCACACTGATGTCCATCTCTGCTCTTTTTTATCGCAGTTCTTGGTCAAGTGGGCTTTTATCGCCGACAGATTAGACATTTCTTGCAGTCTTGCTTACCTCATCGTTAAACATCACGTGAAAAATGGTTTTGTCGTCTTGCTTGTCGTAATATTGTTGCAGAGTGTAGGCCAGGGCCTAGAAATGTGCAATTTAGGCGGTTTCGCCAAGATTTTAGACGGTTTTACCTGATCAGTGTCATCAAGGGTCTTGGCGGATGGTGTGAGTGCTCCCTTCTTGTTGACATCCACGTAATACCAAGCGATTCCACTAGCTAGTCCCGTAACCGATCCATCATCTTTCTCAATGGGCATTTTGTACACTGCGAACCTGAAATTGTTCTAATTAACGTTAATATTAAAAAAAAAAAAAAAAAAAAAAAAAACTTTAAATGTTCACTCACCAATCGACATCGGCTCCAGACTGATCCTTGCACGAGAACGCAGCGAATGTCACTTGGACTCCCACAAAAAGGCAAAAAAGAAGCGCCACAGCCTTCATTCCTGCAAATTTTGAAGGAAAATGAGACGTACAATCTGAAAACGTGCTCTTTTATCATCGTGATCAGCACGAAGACTTATCAGTCAGCTCAAAATTACAGGTTGACAGTTCAGATCAAACATTATCGGAATGTCTGAATGAAGTGGAAATGGAGAATGCAAGTTTCGGGCTAGAAAAGTCGAAATCAAAAACCGAGTCATAAGGAGAATTCTAGAAAATGCTCGACAATGGTGCAAAAACGATGAAATGACTCACCTGCCAGGGGGAAACGGAGAGAAAAGAACAGATGTTGGCCTTCATCACCCAATTTCCAAACCTTTTAGCACCCAACGTCTTCTGAAAGTTTTCGCGCCTTGTTTGCACGCACTCAGCGGCGCGAACATGTGTTTTTTGAGGTTTTAACACAGTACGTTTACATTTTTCGTTGCCAGTTTTGAGGTCACACACACACACACACTGCAAACAAATATTTCGGTGTGTTAGACGTGTCGTTGGATAATTTCTAACCTCTTAGTCGAATCACTTACTGATCTGGTTGTAACCGGAAAACGTTTATTACGCGTCGACCTGTTTCTATTTGGGTACCAGCCGCTATCTTCTTTTTTTCGTTTCTTATTTATCACGACGTTTCGTTTCGCCGGATTTAAACTTCAATGTGTCGAAATTCAATCGGAAGTGAAGTAATATATCAATTTTGATCAAGGACGTTCCTTCCTTCCACATGCTAGTTTTTTCGCCCGCCTACGTCACATGTACATGCCCTCCAGACACCCATTCTCAAATTTCCGTCTACCTGAAGTAATAACAGCTAAGCCCCTCAACAGCCCCGCTCCGTTCTTCGTTCTCCCTGTCCGTCTAGTCCCCTTCTCCAGAGAAAACAGAGTGCGTGAGCGAAGAATGGCCAAAATCCAGTTCTGTTCAGCCCGGCTGCTATCAATTCCACCCCTTGCCGGCGCTTCCTCTCTCTCTCTCTCTCTCCCTCTCCTCCGCTCACTTTTCTCCACCATATCGTTTTCGTTCGTTTCTTCACGTGTCTCCCTTCGTTACTATTTGGTCTGTCGACGTGATTTCATGATGCACTCCGACTTCTTCTCCTTCTTCTTCTTCTTCTTCCCCTTTAATGGTTTTCGTCAGAGAATACATCACGTCCTGAGTAGATTCGTTTATAAGGGTGGCTAAGAGGACAAAAAGGAAGTCATTTTCCCTCATCTTACCTTAGTTTTTGTTAATTTTCTCGATATTTCCCACCTATTTCGTCATATTTTGAAAATATTCTTCATCTTGCATGATTTCGCACGTATATCTCTCTCGTCTAGCTCAAAAACGGTTTAAGCCCAGTTTCATAATAAGATTACTACTTCCATCGAACAAACAAAGTATAATCCAATTCAAATTTGTATAGCACGGCTTATCGATCGCAGATGCATTAGTTTGTCTGGTTTCTCATCGTTTCCGATCTTAACCTTGCTCCCATTCAAGTGGAAATAACTGAACGTGTTCTTTTTCTTCAGATCGGTTTTACGTTTTTTTTTGTTTCCCGCAAACAATCTACCAGTTTTCTTTCTTCTTTCTCGGTACCTCTAGAACAGTTGAACTTTAGTACATATTGCAGTTTCTTCTTTCAATCCCTGACAAAATGCGAGAACCACAGTCACCGATTTCCGCTTTCATCCGCCGTTACGAGGCAAAAAAAGACTACGACGAAGAAGACGAAGAGCTAATCTACTGGTACCACAATAACTGAATTCAACTGGAAATCAACGATCTCAACTCCTCAAATCCATTCTGTGTTTTCTTTATTCACATTCAATTTCTCTCGTAATCCGAATAAATGATCACATTACAATCGATCGAGAGTTATTTGGACTATACGAGTAAAGCGTTGTAGTACATTATATCCAAGGACACTTCAGGTGAGAGGGTGAGGTGATGTGGATGCTTTGTCATTTCGGATGAATTAAAGACGAGTAACAGTTGTCGCATTTCGGTTGATTAAGGAACCAATCGACTTTGACCAACTCTTCTTGCCATCCTGAACCGGATTAGCATCAAATCTGTCATCAAAGTTCTGTAAAGTAATACGTACTTTAAACTGATCGTCGAAATGATGTCGCGCGTTATTTCTCGAGTGAGGTCTTGGCGACATGCGATCTGAAGGATGATAATAGTATTTCTCTGTGACCTTATGATCTAGACTTTGTCCTTACACAGTGGAGAGTACGAATTGTACTCATTTTCTGCCGCGTCATCGCCAATGTTCAGTTGAATGACGTATTTGGACGACGGTTCCGGAGATATGATTCCACGTGTTGGTTGCGGATTGTGAACCGGGAAAAAGTCAATGACCTTTCCTCGCTGCTTGACATTCGGACGTTTGACCGGAGCAGTCACTGCGCCATTCAGAATAGCTTGTCCATCGCAAGGGACAAGTGATAGGCCACCGAACGCTTTGGAAATAGATCCTAAAAACTATTTTTATCTGGCGCTCTGTGTGATTAACTTACCTTTAATAGAAATTGTCTCGTAAAGGTTGCTACCAGTTCCTCGGCTCATAGTTTCTCTGATCGGATCTTCTCTCTTCTGCGTGAGAAGAGAGGATACCTTGGTTGCGAACCGTCCCCAGATTCCAATGTCGTAGATTTGCAACTCAATGGCTCTTCTCCAGATTTCATAATCACGATCGCTGTTGGTGAAAATGTACACCGTGGAAGCAGGAACCGCAACGGATTCGTCAGTTCGGACGAGCAAAGTCCTTGCCGAAGAAGTCGGGATTATACGGCTTCTCTGAACATATAATACTTCATTTTCTATGTACATAAAATAAGGAAATGCTCACACTACTCAGCGGAATAATCAGCACAGTGTTCTTCGAGCTGTTGGCAATGTCGCCAATCGAATAGAAGTGCAAATTACCAGCCTGAAATCCTGATTTCCAATTCATTTCTTGTTTTTCAATGCCGACCTGCAATCTGGCAGAAGTGTTCTCGAGCTCAACTTCTTCTTCCATGTGCTGAACGGACAAAACACCTTCCAAAATCGGACGGAGCACTGAATGCGGCTGAATTGCGAGACGGCAGATGATGTGGCCATACAGAGGTGGTCCGGAGAGGTCCGCTGAATAGATTTCACGTTGTTTTAAATACTTTATTCTAAATAGACTTACCAAATGCGCTCATTCTCAAGTTGTGGATAGTCGCGTCTTCACACGCGTCTGTGATGCAAAGTGTCGCCTTTGCGAGTAGGTTGTAGTGGGCTCCGGAAATGGTTTGGTCCAGTCTTTGGCCTTTGGCCATTTCTTGAGTCAAACCCTGCGATTTCTAAATAATCGGTCATAAAAGTTCTTATTTCATCAGGCTCACCACGCTAGCCCCGAATTTTCTTCCTATCGATCGAGTGATTCTGCTTTTGAGACTCCCGCCCGAATTGTGTTCCAGACCGTAATCCGTTCTGGCCGCATAGATGAGAATGTCGACGTTGAAGTCTTCTGGTTCGTTGTCGCTGAAAATTTTTGAATTGAATTAGTTTTTCCGAGACGGGTTTTCTTACAATACAAAAGAGTCGGGAATGATAACATCGGTCATGTTTTTGTCGACGTGTGAAATGATTTTGGTGTCAATGACACGGGTTTTGCTTTGAATCACTAGGAACATGGAGAAGGTGCGAGTTTCTGGAAAAAAAGTTGATAATGGATTTCAGATCAGGATTTCTCTGAATCAAAGTGTTCGTTTCCAAAATTCCGTTGGATATTCCGAAATTCGGATAGTTTCAAAGTATTTGTCGAACAAATGAACATAAATATGAATAATTTCGCCTAAAGTCGACATTTTCTGTTTTTACGTATGGAATCGGAACTTTTTTGGTCAACATATCTTTTTTAAATCAGAAATCTTCTCGGAGTCAAAATTTGCTTCCGATATCGAAATAACGACGGGAAATCCAAAAATTCCCTAGAAAATCTGATCGAGACCCCATTTCCTGAACTTCAATTCTATTTTCTCTCTCTTTTCCAATGTGCTCAAAATCTCAGGTTTTAGTGATCATAAATTGAGAGACTAGCCGTCGAACATGAACTCGAAACTGAAATGTTTGTCAATAAACGCCTCGACGGCACTCGACATGGGGCGATAAAGCGACGAGTACGAACATAGATCAAACAAAAGAGCCGAGATCGTGGCCACCACACCTTGCTCGATGGAATGTGATCGGAGAATCAGAACATCAGAAAAACAGGCTCACCTTTCGGTTTCCAGGCGAGTGGAAGCGAAATCTGAGAGAGGCCAACGTTGGCTCGACTGGAAGTTGGAGATAACCCCAAGCCATCACTCGGCAACATGTCTTCCTCCTCCAGCGGCAGAATATTGTTGAGCTCTTTCACAATTTGGATCTTATCCTCATACAGCAAATGGTACTGCTGACACGATTTCTTTTTCTGAAACTTTTGCGTGTTGCAGCTGGTAAATAGGGAAACAGAATGATGTTGTTATCAGCAAACGTGACCGGCTGATAGGGTCGTGTGCATGTCATAAAAGGACTCTTCCTCAACTATCTGCATAATAACAATACCACAGACTAACCAACCTTTTCAGAGAAATGTATACGTTTCGAGAGAAGAGAAAGCGAATTTTGAAATGAATATAATATACAACTATGAATATGAGTATGAATATGCAAATTGTGCAATGTGGACAAAGTCAGTGAAAATCAAATTCGGACCCACTCTTTGGACTTTCACATTTGCAACTCTGCGAAAAGAGAGAGCTCTCTTTTTCCGCACAGTAGCACACAGATTAGTGCGGAAAGAAGTTCTACAAATAACTTTGACAATACTTTGTGAAGAAGATGACAAAAACCTAACCCCTTCTGAAAATTGAAATCAATTGAAATCAGTCCACACCATTGTTCCCTCTCAATCGTGTTCTCCCCTCCCCAACATCATTCGTTCAGTGAAAGGCGCCAAATAAATCCCCCTGACAGGCAGAATATATATATATATGATTGGAATCAGTGTAAAAAGTTAATCGCGTTGTATTGTGATACCTGATTTAGTGAAGACATGTGTCTTTCTGTCTTTTTAGCCAAAAGTAGTAGCTAGACGGTGATTTTGTGAAAAATCTATTGTAGACGGATTGAATCGGATCAGATCGTTTCCTAATTTGGATTAGATGCGAATGCGCAATCGGAAGACAAAAAATACGGCATCGGCCCCCAATTAATCAGGTAGAGCAGACAGTTTGACTTGTCACGAAGAAATGAATCGCATTCGGATGCGTCAAATTTAGGTTACCATTTATGGGATTCGTGATTTGACCGGAATGGCTGAAGATAGGCATAACATAACATAGCATAACACATTAACACAAAAAAAAATGGAATTTGGAGGAAAATAGGTTGGGAGTGGCCGTGATGACTGTACTAGAGTTTTGCATAAATTGAAAATGTGTACTACAACTCTAGTAGTCGCTCAAAAACATATGAATTTTAAAAGAAACTTACTGAATTGCAAACTTCGCACACGACGCCGCCGCTCATCTTGTTCAGTTTCGTTCAGTTCGTTATCCACTCGACGACGTTTGAATCGTGTCCACTTTTCGGAGAAAAAGGCAAGGCACGCACTGAAAAACGTTGTAAATCAGTTCAAAGTCGTTAAAAGCTAGCCGGTCGCCGATGGATATAGATTTGAGAGGATAGATAAAAAACTGGAGTAATGGAGAACTTTGTCGCGAGACACAAGAGGGGGGAGCGAAAAGAACAACTGTCGGAGGGGTAACAAACTTCTTTTTCTTCTTCTACTTCTTGTTTTAAACGGATAGGAGAGAAGTAACAAAAAAGGTACTACATATGATGTGCTGGGCGAAAAATTGTTTATATTTCCAAACACAAAAAGTTGCACGGAAAACGAAAATGTTTTCATGAATTGTTGATGATTTCTTCGAGTATCAGGGAGGCGGGCGGACAAAAAGAAAACACATCTGATATATGAGGGGTTGGATGGGGCGCCGCGCACGGTCAAAATGCTTTGTGTTGTTACAATCATCAAGTTCATTTCTTTTCGCGCACCTCACAACCTCTCATGCTTTTTCTTTGCGTTAGCCGCTTTTCTTTTCTTCATTGGACTCTTTGGAACGAGAAGCAGTAAAATGGGATAGAAACAGTACAATACCGTTTCAAGTAGAAAACAAACACATTTGCCTTGTCGCTTCGCTAACAACTGTTTTTCCTCAAGGAGGTCGGTCAGCGAGAGTGAGTCATGTTTGGAAATGATATGAAATCGAGAGGGGCGGAAATGGAAATGAAATGTTGACTATCAGTCGGGAAGAAACAAAGTTTGAAGAAGATCTCGAATACAAAGAAACTCGATTTCGTTTTCAATTTCGATTTCGATTTCGAATTGTTTGGGGTCGGTTTACCTGCCCCGGCGGGGAGTTAATCTGTTCGCCTTTCTTTTCTTTTCTTTTCGGAGAAGCACTCTTTCCTTTGCTATCAGTACACATATCAGTGTACTTGAGATGCCTTCCCAGTATCTGCGAACGAACTGCCGGCAAATAGTACGATGAGTTGGGAAATTGTGGAAAAAGGAGCCAGAACGGAGCAAGGTGTGAACACATTATGACTGATCAAACATTCTTGAGATTTCTCTTGTACAATCACCTTGTTCTATGTACTTGAGATTTTCGGGCTGGGTTCAAGAGCAAAGGGTAAAAGAACAACTGACTTTGCACTGTAACCGAACAAAAAAATGGGAGCCCGACGCGTAGGGATCGAGACATTGGGGTATCAAACAAATCGAGAGTTAGTGAAATTTATATGTCAAAAAACTGGACCAAGTTCATATGAAACAAGAGATGACCATAACAAATCACGAGGCGGCTATCATCTCCGTTTTTTAGGTCTCTCAAGACAAGACTGTTCATGAAGACCGACAATATTTGATCCGGTACACCTCTGCTGACCACTTATCCGTGCAAAAGATACACGAGAGTGAGAGTGAGAGCCACAGCAGAGCACAGCACAAAAACCGTGATTATCAACAGAAAAAGGGCGCGGAGGGAGCAAGATAAACACGTTTCTGCCCTATTGTTATTGTCTTTTGATGTACCGCCTTGCTTTGGAATCTGCATAGCGCCAGTAGTCGGCAACCACAAAAAAACCGACGGAAAGCCGGAAGAACAAGAACTTCCTCGCTAAAAAGTTGTAAATGTTGCAGGCTATAAAAAAGTTTCTCACTTTTTATTGGCCTATTGTCCTGTTTTCTGTTTCATAACAATGTCTTACAATTATTTTTTCAATTGACTAGATAATTAGGAAGTTAGAAAGAGATCTTCATATGATTCTTCATTGGAACAGCACACGAAAAGAAAAATGAAAATGATCAGCTGTAACCTCATCCCGAGAAATATGAAAACGAAAGTGCTTGGGTTGACAGATGCGTTGTCCTCTTCTCGTCAGACAAATGCAGATGTTTTCTGTTTTTGTCTCCTTCTTCTTCTTCTTTTTCTTTTTCAAGCAAAACCCACAAAACCGACCGCAAAACGATGGCGCACAAGGGGTACCCTCCCTCCTCGAGGTCACGGCCCGTTAGCTTGTTTCCTGTAACACATCACAATGGTCATCACGCATCATGCCAATACAATTTCATTTCCTGTTTTTAGTTTCTCACTGCCAAGTGAGGTAAAAATTTGTAAAAGTTGGCAAAAATTGGTAGCAATTGTTGCTGTCACGGTTTGGAAGGGGGAGGCAATTGAGTGAGTGGTTATGTGTCAGATTTATGGGCGTCATAGAAATAGCAAAGGAATTGCAAACAGCTGAGAATGGAATATGGAAGAACAATTCTCCGAAAACATGGAAGATCACCTGCAAACAGGAATGGTTCACAAAACCATTTTTCCTGAAAATTCAAACAGTCTGTATGTTTTTTATCGAACCGCTCAAATAACTGTTCGTCTAGAAGATGTCTATGAAAAATGTCTCAAAAAGTATGTTTAGGATAGTTGGAAGCAGAAAAATTAAGTTTCAGTTCAAATTTCCGTGGTTTTCTGGATATGCGAGCTTATGCCATGTCAGGTTCATCACAATAAAAACCTAAAAATTTAAAGTTCAGACCCTGCACCACCTTCCTATTTTTCCAATTATAGTGTTTGTGACTGAAAAAAGCGTTTCACCTGTTTCATTTCTGATCCGAGAATGCCATTTCCACAGGAATTCACGAAAGTGTGAGCTATAGCTGAAAAGCTCTTCTCCGCATTCGGAAATGCCATCAATTTCCGATGATACTTATTGAAAATCTGTGCCTGAAACCGAGATTGCTTTCGATTTATTATTATTCATCCCTCCGGGTCCAACTTTTACGTTTCTCCCCGCCTCACCGTTTTGATGTTTAATTTCTGATCGGACCCTGTCGTTCCGAATTTGGATCCAGTGATGTTTCCAAATATGCGGTCGCCTTTCTGTCATGACATTTTTGCAAAAATGTCGGTGATGTATCGCCGTGTACATTCTTAAGATTTGACAATATGTCATTGCGGGTTACCAGGCACCGTGCTTCCGTGATCTGTTTTATTGTGTTCCGAAACGTGCCAAATACAAAGGAGGAACCTGCAAGAAGTAAATGCAAATCGCGTTTTTTTTTGTGTGCTAAATAGAATTTGAGCAAGAAATCGGGGAGGCGGAGAGAGAATTTTGGTATATTTTGTATTGATTCTTCAAATGAATGAAGGAAGAATTCACTTCCACACCCGAACGCTTCCTCAAATATCTTTTCCAAAGCCACTGGTGTTTGGTCATCCTCTCCCTCCCCGTTTCTCTCTTTCTCGAGCAACATTTCCCGAAAGATGGGTAAGAGTTGTCACTTTCTTTTGCGGAAGCTTCGTCTTCAAACCTGCAAAATCCCTTCCGGTACTTTTGAAACCTAAATAATAGCGTTGAAATCCGTTATTTTGGGATCGCTCAATCACGACGCACGTCAACGTTCTTCTTCCCGGATAAGGAAGCAAAGAACGGCAAAAAATGACGCGAGAACGCAATTTTTACAACCTACGCTGAAAGGGCTTCAACAATCGGAGCGAAATCAACCCGGAAGTCCGACTTCCGGACAGATTGTTTCTGATCTTTACCTGACTCAGCCCATATGAAGTTTCATTTCTCTGTTCCAAATTTAACAAAGTTAAACGTTGAATAAACGGTTATTGGTTTCTGAAAATAAATTGGTTTCGAAGTCAATTTACACTTTGCGCACATGGTGAAAACTCATTTGAAGGGGAAGAGAGAGAGAGAGAGCAGAAATGATCCGCCTGGTGAAAAGTGAAAAGCGGACAATTGAGGGATTTCGAAAATGCGCTAGAAAATATGCACGATTTGGTTCTTAATTTTCTTGAAATGAAACATCTCGAGCCCGGTTTATAAGCACAGAATCTGAATCTGAGCATTCAGAGTTTGGTCAAAAGTCATATAATCTGCAAAAAGGGGATGCTCACTTCTTCCAATGAGCAATTCCGGCTTTTTGACACATCCCGTGCACCTCTACTTCCTTTCTAACCGGAAAATGTCTCCAAAACATCATATTACTCATTCCTCCCCAATGAGCAGTGATTACCTCGCAAATTATCGTGATTTCTGTTCTAGACAATGATTTCTTCTCAGATTCCCAGATGGATCCTCATCAGTCTGCTCGTCATTCAACCTTCATTCTTCCAACGTTTTGGCTTGAATCTCGCACCTATGTCTTGTTTAGCTCATTATTTTCCCCATTATCACAAGTATTTTCGGACCCATTCACGATACCATTAAAAAATCCGCACCTAGAATTAATCAGTACAAATTGCTTTGGAGCCCATTAACTTTTTTGTTTTACCCAATTCTCCGGGCTCCCAGATGCTGTTTCACCTTGAATCCCATTATCCAACCGGCCAAATCACCGTTTCATTGTCACCGCTCCGCCCATAATAGGAGGCGCATGCGCCAGGAGAAAGGGGCGTGTCCGTAATAGAGCTGACTATAAAGCCCCATCGCTGGGCCCCTTGAAATCACCATTAACTCAGTGGCACCCTTCTTCTCCTCCTTTTTCTCTTCTCCTCGGCTAACCGGTCTTGAAGCTTTTTAGCTCGACCGATCTGTCTTCAAGTCTTGAAGCATTTGGTTCTTAGCTCGACTATAGGGTCTTGACGCTTCTACAAAAAGAACTATTCCTTTTTTGTTAAACGAATCTTATTTTCCTAGCAACAATGATCGCCGGTTCAAAGATCTACGCTCTCTTCTTGGTAGCTGCCGTGCTTTCAACAATCTCGGCTCAAGGTGAGAACAAAATTCATGACCACCAAGTACTTTCTGCTTCAGCTTCGGCTCTTCCGACGGTCATGCCAACTGTCTGCACCGCCACAGAAGAACTCGCTCTCCCGTGCGTCTGCTGTAAAAAGGCGTGCTGGTATGGCATCACGGATGTAAGTATATGCACCCAGAGCCAAGCGGATGTGGCTAGAAGGGCAAAGACCATTGGAGATTAAAAACTTCCAATTATAGCTTTTTCTCTTATTCATTAAAGTCATCATCACTTTTTTTTAGATGACAACCTCCTACTTCGGCCACATGCCCGGTGAACGGACGGATGCCGAGGCCAAGTTCACGCTGGCCATGATGCGTCAGTGCTTCGCGGTCGAGTGCGCCGACGTGTGCCCGCAGTGATCGTTCCGGATTTTCACGCTTTTCGTTCTTATCTCTTATTTCTATTGGTGACCGAACCCAGTTTATCACGCGACTGCTCCTTTAAACTTTGGAGAGAGAAAGAGAAAGCTGACTATTGTGTTAATAAAAAAATCTGTACATATGTCTTGAATCAATTCGAGGAAAATCCTTTCCGTCAAACAGCATAGACGTGACGACCACCCACTTCTTGAACTGAACTCTAAGGATTCTTCAATTTAAACTATTGATATTCATGTCGGATTAGAGTACGGAATCCTTACGAATTGGGGAAGAAACCCTTCTTCCGTTCCTGGATCCACAGAGGCTAGAGGCTATTACGACACTTTTCTGTCCAACTCTGCGTGGGATATTCTATAATTGGAGCTGAAATCATTCTCCCAGGCAATTTTCGTATCACGCATTTCCTTTCCCACTCGAGTTCTTTTTCATTGGTCTTTGATATTTGGAGAACCAATATTTTTTGCACGAGGAAAAGAAAAGAAAATGTTTTAACAGTGTCCCAGTTGAGGTTAATTTGCAATTCTAGTGCGTTCGGTTACTCTTCAGATGATATCATTTGTCTTTTACGTCACTTCGCGGTGTCCTTGCGAGCACGTGATTCAATTTCGAACAAAAACCGAGGAAGAAGAGTGGATACTCAAAGAAAAAGCCAATTGTGTCACCTCCGTCATCCAAAACAAGCGACTTTCTCGTTCATTCTCTTCCCCAAATCAGTAAAAAGTGGTCGCGTGACCTCACAACGGTCCCTTTTTCTTCTATGAGTAAATAATAACCGGAGATATGGAGAATAAATGTATGCAATACTAGTTTCGAATGACGTCCGACTCGTTTTTCTCCTCGCTCTTTTTCTTGTTCCAGTGTCCAATTTGACGAGAACAGAGTGGGGTCAAATTGACTTTCTGAAGAGCACAGCACGCGTTGAAGGGTCTTCAATTTCAAATTGGTCTTTGGGAGGTCAGATTTTCTCGCGATTGGATGGATGACGTTCCACGTATGAGGGGTCAGTTTCGAAGCCATCTGAGAAGATTATGCAGATTTTGCTAAGAAGACGCCGTAGAGTGGGACTTGATGCATTGCTCGATTGCGCGTCTCGCACGGAGTGAAGCTTCTCAAATCGACGACGCGAGCTGCAGTTAAAACTCATGATTTCACCTTTTTTTCTAACAAAACGCCGATTTTAGACGGTTTTCTTCTACAAAGTTCACGTTTCGGCCCGGTCTGTTGCAAGACTGAACAGAATGGACGAAAAATAGCTTGTATACAAGTTTTCTCTAAAAAATGCGTCCAAAATCGTCGCTTTTCTTAGAAAAACGGAACAATTGTAATGTGTATCATATTCGTCTCGAGCAAAAAGAAGCAGAACTCCAGTTTGCCTTGCTAGCTTAAAAAGTTTAGATCTGCGCGAGCAATTTTTTTACGATCACCAAATCAGGGCACTGTTGTAGAATCGTGGACCATTTGGAAAAATCGTGGACCGAAGTGAGGGTTTCATGGACCCGAGAAAATCGTGGACCCGAAATCAGTTTTTATTCCAGTTTTCATTTACGCTCATTTTTTTCCATTTTTTTTCAAGACGAAGACGAGTCAGAAAACGAATATTCATCTCCTTATGGGTCTATACGAAGAAAGAGAGCTGACTTCTTGCATAGCAATAACGTCAGAGGAAGGTTTTTTTCAAATGGTCCACGATTCTACAACAGTGCCCAAATCAGTAGTCTCTCAATTCTTTTCAATTCGTTTTCAATGCATAGGGAATTTCATTACCCTCCCAGTAAACCGGGAGCAATTTCATCAGAATGACAAAAGTACAATAACAGAGGGAATACCCAGAACCCGAATTCCCTATCGTTACATACAAAAATGGCAGAGTAGAGATTGGGGGTTATGATGTGGCATGGATGGGCGGAACAGAAATGAAAGGATAAGGAGAGGTTCAGTGGAGAGTTTTCAAGTTATCAGCTTAAACGGAGCTACCAGTGATGCTCTTCTTCTCTTTCTCCTTCTTCTGGACGTCCTGCTCGGCTTCGACCTCGGGTTCTTCGACGATAGTCTCGAGAGTCGGAGTTCCACGGCGCCACTGAACATAAACATAATTTGATTTGGAAAAACGCGATTAAAAAGTAACTGACCAGCGACTTGAGGCGCAGACGAGTGATTCCCTTCTTCACCATCATGTGGTACGTTCCGTTCGAGTAGTATCCGTACTTGGTGAACACCGGGTAGTTGATAGTGTTGACTGAAAACGAAAGTCGAAAAATGACATGAAAAGACCAGGAAGCAGGCGGTTTTCTCACAAAACTCGTTTATTTTTGGCTCCGAAAAGAAGGAAAGAGATAAAAACTGATGAAAAATCTGGAATTTCGCCTAGACCGGGTCGGGCAAAGTGTATTGGCATTAGAGAGATTGGGGGGAGGAGGGCACACAAACGTAAACATTGCCAATTGTTTCATTTCTCACTATTCGAACCCTCAGTATCCAAAAACGGAGAAAAAGTATGTTTCGGACAAAAACCGGAAGGAAAGGGTGAAATCTTGAGAGAAAGGATGCACAACTTTCGAGCACGGCGTCTTCGTCGCCGTCGCCGTCGCCGAAGCCGTCGTCCTTCAAGAACTCCAAATTTACGACTTAATTTCATGTTGCCGGCGTGTCGGCTCACCGCCGGAAAAGCACACCAATGTGTTGTGCAAAGATAAAAGTGGGGAAGGAAACAGCATTCTTTGTGGGAGACAAATGAAAACTCACAGTTCTGCGACATTGGCAGCACCGACGGCACGAAGCTATTAGGCTGATTGACCACGATGCTCGCTGAGAAGACCGGTTGGGCAAATGAGAAGTAGGTGACCTTCGCGAATTCGGCTGGACTGAGCTCTCCGAACTCTGATTGCGAAGTGCCAGAGGTACCCGAGTTTTGCGATGGTGGGAGGGGCCCAGAGGTTGACGCACCAGACGAGTCCATTCTGAAATATAAACAAATTGAATGATTAAACTTGACCAGGTGGAAAGGAAAGAGAGAGAGAGAAACGGTGAGGTATAGAGAACCAAAAAAAACATTAATTTTTCACTAATTTTCTTGTTCTAACCGCTCAAAAAACTTTAAAACAGACTTTCCAATGAGTGTTGCCAGCCCGGGTCGAACCGGGTTCTTTTTTTCCAACGAATTGTGTACAGCACTTTGTCAAAAGCAGAAAGTAGAGACATTTCAAAGCTGGCCGGGTCCGACCCTTGACAAGTCTGCTAAAACCTTAGGTGAGACAAAATTTCACAAGAAAACCAGAGAATGCCACTTGTAAATAGCCGAATCGGCACGAACACTCAACATATGACACTATTTCTCCACTGTTTTCGGTTACTTCCCGCTCGTCATGAGTAACCCACAACAAGCCAAATAAAAAAACGGATCGATAGTCGAATATCCACGTGGCTCGATTGAAACAAAGAGGAGAGGAGAGGAGAGGCAGGCGCAAAGCGGGGCGCACACGGCAAACTGTCGCTTTATGGCCATTTTTCGCTCGAATTTGAAACAAAAGGGCCGTTCGACCTTTTCTCTCTCTCTCTTTCTCCTTCTCTCTTTCTCTTTCAACGCAAAAAACGAGGGTCGAATGGAAAGAGAGAGGGAGAGAGAGAGAGTACGGAGGATGTATAGCTAATTGGGCGACGGGCAACTAACCACGCGTATTTGAATAATGAGCCAAGGAAAACAGAGCAAAATTTATGAGGGACAAGCCTGAGATTAAGATGAAAAACAAAAAGGTCACTAGTATTTTTTTCTTTGTTGAATTTTTTATTTCCTCGTCAATGATGCCATCGAAATTTCGAGAGAAGAAGATGGGCCGAAAGAAGAGAAGCAATGGAAAATGAGAATGAAGGACATTGAGAGAAGATGAGAGATTTCAATTTTTAGTTGAATATCTTATGAGTAAGAACATTGCACTTCTCTTTTCTCTAAAAAACGCGTTAAGAAGATCCTAATGCGATCATGTCGAGTTAACTGAATGACTAATTATGAGTTCTTCTTCTTCTTCTTCTCCTTTTCCTCGTTCTTTTCAAGTGGAACCTAACCAGAAAAGGGAGAGACGGAAAAATGGAGAAAAAGTGACTGAGCATCGACCAATGCAGGTGATAAACTGTGGTGATCTCCCACAAACTGATCAACGATTCCTTCTAGAAAATTCTCAGAAACAAGTTTAAAAACCGTGTGAATAGTCAACACTTTCTGAAATTATCCAATAATTCACTAGCTAAACTTTTCCTTCGTATAGCTCGGAGCGTGCACTTTATAATTCAAAGAACGGAAGTCGGCGTTCTATCATGTTCTTGAAGGAGAAGGAGACAAAAAAAAAAGTATTAGCAAAGTGACCGGGCCGTGCGTGTTTCAGCAAATAGATGTGAAATAGAGAGAGAGGAAGAGAGAAGCGGTATCCTCTCCCAACTGATAAGATACGATGAAGGGGGAAATAGTAAGAGGAAGAGAGAAAAGGTCAGGTCCAATTGCCATAGGTCAGGGCAGGGGACAGGGTCAGCAGAACAAACATGCCCTTTCAAAACACCTTTTTAATGCTTTAGTCTTGTGGGTTCTCAAATCTATTCCTTTTTTGTTTTTCATAATAACAAGTAATGACAGTATTGTCAAAACGAAAACGCGTGCGGTAAAGTTGTTAAAATAAGTGTCAGATCTTTGCGAGCCATTGAATTTGCGCAGCAGCAGCACTGAAACCCGGGCCGGCCCGATCCGCGACAAGCCTGAGTGATCGGTTCTCAAGCCCCATTTCACATGATGGCTTATCCAGCACCAAGAAGAAAATCAGAGGACTATCGGACTTTTTTGTAGCCCGAAATGTATCGTTCTTATCCCTTTTTTGTCCTTACTATACGATGTTCCATGTCAGAACGCATACATTTTGATGAGCCGGCACCTGTTTCCACTGTCGTCCTAACAACGGCCCGGCTCCTTCTTGTCTTGGCTCTGCAACGTCCCCGCCCACAGCGCGTCGGGCTAATAAGAATGAGTGTACCCTATACCACACGGCCCCTAGCTGCGATGACCAGAGTGCCCAGAAATCGTCGTTCGTTAGTTTATGCATATTTCTAAGAAGTTTCAAAGCTTTTCCTTTTAGAAATCGTCGAATAAGGCGTATCTGGCGTCAGAGAAGAAGAGCTGCTAGATTCATGATCCCGGTTAGAAATCAGAATTGTGTAGGATTGTTCCCATAAAACATTTTAGTACCGACTTCTCTTGACATTCATTCGAAACCTCATTATCCACCATCGCACCAGCATTATGAGCAGAATCAGGGGACGTCGTCTGGTGATTTGAAGTTTCTCAAATGTTTTCCAATCTGCAGTTTTCCAGGGATTCGTTGGAAGAATCATCGCTGACGAAAACCTTCTCTACCTTGCCATGGTCATCGAGAACATTCTGGCGCTTTCTGTAAACGATTTTCACGTGAGGATATTTCCGAATGTAGTCCTCTTCTCATTTATATCTTTTTTTCAGGCTCTACTACAGTATTTGCAAGACGAAGTAGTGATTCTGAATGCGCGGCACCGTCAGTTCAACGCTCTTTTTCCCAGATGAAAGTGGCTCTCACTCCTTCTTCACTTCCATGGCACCTATCTTATTTCTAGTGCTCTAAACATTATTTTTAAAATACGAAACTTTCTATCAACGTCCCAAGCCTTCGTGTGAAATTGTGAAATAAATGTGCTTCCGACTCTATTTTTCCTTTTTCTGCTCCCCTCTCTCAACCTATTCATCTCGTCAGGCGATGTTCTTCGCAAGTGTCGCGCTTGCATGTATTGATCCGTGGCGCGAGAAAAAAAGTGCGAAAGGGCGCCGCCCTCGAGACGGCCAGGGCGGCTTTTGTCACTATGGTGACAGCGCCAAGAAGAATAATAACTTCATTGATTCGGATTATAATGTCGTTTGTTGCCAAGGGCTCACATTCTTTTCTGGTTTTCAGAAAGAGTTGGGCGATCATTTGTGTTTCTTTGCAGCATTCCCTTTTATTGTTAATATCCTCACAGTCTTTCCTTTCTTTTTCAGCTAAAAAACACCCAAATCGCTATCACTCTCGTTACCTCATTCGAAAATGCCGGAAGTCACTGAGAATGGAGTCCGATACCTTTTCTGGACTCTGTTCCTTGAAGTGCCCTCGAACAGGATAATCCCACTGGCAGAACATTTGGAGGATAACATGGAAAACGAGCCGGCCGAAGTGATCAACCACCACCTCCTCCAGCGCATAATCGAAGACTGCGAAGAACAGGAACGAATGATCATGCAAGTATATCTAACCGCTGCCATTCGGGTTGGAAAATTCTCATATCTCTATCAAGATTCTAGATGATTTCAGAGACGAGTCCGCGAGCATAGACGCGCTTATTTCTTTCGCTTCATTATCAGAAACACACTCATTATCCTGGTAAGAATCGTTAGAAATGAAGTGAAACCGCCAGGAATTTCAGATAAAAAACAAAATTCTCACGCCGCTCAAAAAGTCAGTGAGCCAGTGCTCAGCCGTTTCAGCTCGCGCTGTGTGCACCACGTTTGTCCAATTAGTATGTTTCTTTTCGAAATTTCATGAGCAATGTAAATGAACGTTTTTAGAATGAGAAACGATGCACTTTCGGGGGTGAGGTAATCAATGACGTCATCGGCAGTTGTTTCGACCAACTAATTCGAGAGTTCATCCGTTTCTTCAGATGAACACGCATTATCATTCATGCTAATTCATGTTAAAGGACCAGGGAACCCAAAAAATTTTTTATTTTTTTGTGAAATGTTTTTGTGACTGTTTGAATTGTCTCTTATTGCCTCATACACTGGTGAAATGCTGCCTCTCAAAAATGCCAATGAACGAAACGGCATGCAGTTGAAGTTGTGGCCGTGGCCTAGCGCCAATGGCCGAAAAATATATAAAAATATATGCGCTTCTCGGCCATTTTATTTTTTCCGCTTTTTTACCGGTTTTTTTCCAAAAATTCACGGTTTCTCCCATTTTGGCACTTCATATCGACTGAATGAAAACAATTTTTTAGCAGTGAAAAAATAAGTAAGTGCCGAACAAATGTCAATCAACTGAAAAATGGTAGAAACCGTGAATTTTTTTGGAAAAACCGGTAAAAAAAAGCGGAAAAAAATAAAATGGCCGAGAAGCGCATATATTTTTTTATATTTTTTTCGGCCATTGGCGCTAGGCCACGGCCACAACTTCAACTGCATGCCGTTTCGTTCATTGGCATTTTTGAGAGGCAGCATTTCACCAGTGTATGAGGCAATAAGAGATAATTCAAACAGTCACAAAAAAATTTCACAAAAAAATAAAAAAATTTTTGGGTTCCCTGGTCCTTTAACTACCCGGTCACTTTGTGTCATTATCACAGAATCTCAAACCGAAAATCTCCGAGATTTTGAGAAACCTAATCACCGTCACTAACTTTTGAAAGAGCATTCCATGTCAGTAGAAAATGAACTAATCTCGTAGAGGCTGCATACATATGTCAGGACCCTTTATTGCATGATATCAAGCACTACGCTTGACGTGGTCAATTTCACAATCAGTTTTTTCATCTGGCGGCCTAGAAAACCGTTTTCTAATTCGCGGTATCTCCAGGCCACAGCGTAGGGGTGATGACTAACAGCATCGTAGCCTTCCTTCCTTTCATAATCGCCTCATTTTTCTCGGATATTTGTCTGAATTATGGTCCCAACAATTTCGGAATTCTGTACTTTGTGTTAATTGAGAAAACGTTTGTCCTGTAACTATTTTTTTATCAATCTCTGACCAAAAAGCCTTCTCGTTTGCAATTTCTTCTGAAAATGTTAGTTCCCGTAGTTTCTGAACAGTCACATTGCTCTCGACATTGATTTCAAACTAATCCAAGCGACATGTGGTTTTTGTGATACTTCGTTTATGAAATACACTCTTATCCCGAATGTTCCCTACGCTCAGTGTCATCTGTTTTAAACTAATAAAGCATAAGTTTAGAAGGTATGAAACCGAGGGATCATTTATTCGCAAACATGCGGCTCCATCAGTTGATCCTCTTCGTTCTTGCACTTGCTGTCCTGCCGACTACCTGCATTTTTACCAGTGAAGAAACAGTCTTTCGTTTCCACGGAGCCGTCACATGCAACCTGAGAAAGGACTTCGGATACTACATAAACGCCTATGAGGTCGACGGAGCCGTGAGCTTCGACGAAAAAGGCCGGATTGTCGAAGGTCGCAACGAATACATGGGCTCTTCTGGTTACCATTTACGTGCTACCAGTCCACACAAGTACGACTTCAAAGGGAAGCAGGCGGGCGATGGATTCCTTAACGTGAGTGATGCACCAAAAAACATTGAATATGAGCAATTTTAGAACCATTATGAAATTGCACTCAACATCAGACACACATGCTGCGACGATTGTGCCGAGTTTGACTACAACATGATCTACTTGCCGAATGAATTGGCAGTGGACGCATTGTGAGCAGGCGTTTCATTTTTCAGCAGAAATTATTTTTCATCTTACAGCGAACACGTCATTGAAGCCAATATCACGCTTCCGATCGATGAAAAACACGATGAGTAGCAAAACACATTCTACCACTTTTCCTTGTATTGTCAGTCTAGTCACTTAATTTTTATAACGTTTCCATGCTTTCTTTATACAACAAAACATTTTTCTTAATTTTTAGATATATTTATTAACTTTGATTTTGAAAGGAGACACAAATAAACAAATAACCAGTGATTGGAATGAAGATCTGTACACTAAATGGCAAGATGAGATGCACAAATTAGTCGACTTCCTCCACAGTTGGTCCTTGTGGGTAGTTGCTGGGGTTGAATCCAGCCGATCCGGGAGTTCCGCATCCAGAAGCAGACTGTTGGCCAGATTGATGGAGTTTGGTGAGGACTGCCTGGCACACCGTCTTCAGCTCGCTGTTCTTCGCCTCGATCTCGTCCTTCTCGGCCAGCGAGTTCGCCTCCATCCAACGGATTGTGTTCTCAACAGCCTCTTTTGCACGTCGGGCATCGTCTGCTGGCAGTTTCGATCCGTGCTCGTCCAGAGCCTGCTTCACTTGGAATGCGTACGCTTCCAACTGGTTTCTGGCAGACACCCGCTCCCGTTGCTCCGCATCTTCCCGCTCAAACTGCTTCGCCTCGTTCACCATCCGGTCAATGTCCGACTGGGAAAGGCGGCCTTTCTCGTTGCGGATCGTAATTCTGTTCGACTTTCCAGTGGACTTGTCCTCCGCGGATACATTCAGAATTCCATTCGCATCGATGTCAAAAGTGACTTCAATTTGAGGAACTCCGCGTGGAGCAGGAGGAATTCCGGTCAATTCGAAAGTGCCAAGACGGTGGTTGTCGCGAGTCATGGCACGTTCCCCCTCGAACACTTGGATCGAGACGCCCGGTTGATTGTCTGCATACGTGGAGAACGTCTTGCACGCCTTTGTTGGGATGCGCGTGTTTCGGTCGATCAGATTAGTCATCACTCCTCCGGCAGTTTCGATTCCGAGACTCAACGGAGCTACGTCGACGAGAAGAACGTCTTTGATGGTGTTGTCTTGGATTCCAGTCAGAACAGCCGCCTGTACAGCAGCTCCGAAAGCAACAGCTTCATCTGGATTGATTGAGCAGTTCAATTCCTGAAAACGACAAATTAGTGCTGGTTCAAAGTAACAAAATTGTGCAACTTACCTTTCCATTAAAGAAGTCCTTGAGCAGTTTTTGGATTTTCGGCACACGAGTTGATCCACCGACAAGAACGATCTCGTCAATCTTCGATTTGTCCAGTTTAGCATCACGGAGAGCCTTCTCGACTGGTTCCAGAGTCTTGCGGAACAAGTCAGCACAGAGTTCTTCAAAACGAGCACGAGTCATCTTTGAGCACAGATCGATTCCTTCGAACAGTGAATCCACTTCAACTGTGGCTTCCGATGAACTTGAAAGGGTCCTCTTAGCCCGTTCGCACGCAGTTCGGAGTCGTCGGATGGCACGTGGATTGGATGAGATGTCTTTGCCGGTCTTTCTCTTGAACTCTGTCATGAAGTGCTGCAGCATACGTTGGTCGAAGTCTTCTCCTCCGAGATGAGTGTCTCCTGCCGTTGACTTCACTTCGAAGATGGATCCTTCGGCAATTGTTAGGATAGAAACGTCGAATGTTCCTCCTCCAAGATCGAAAATGAGCACGTTCTTCTCCTCGCTAATTCCTTTGTCGAGTCCGTAAGCGAGAGCAGCGGCTGTTGGCTCATTGATGATGCGGATCGCGTTGAGACCGGCAATCGTGGCTGCATCTTTCGTCGCTTGTCTCTGACTGTCGTTGAAGTAAGCGGGAACGGTGATGACCGCATTTTGGACTGCGTGTCCCAAGTACGTCTCTGCAGTCTCCTTCATCTTTTGCAGCACCATTGCAGATATCTCCTCCGGATTGAACTGTTTCCGTTCTCCTTTCAGTTCCACCTCGATCACTGGTTTTCCTTGTTTTGACTTGACTGCGAACGGAAAGTGTTTCATGTCGGCCTGTACTGTTGCTTCATCATATCGTCTGCCAATCAGTCGCTTCGCATCGAACACAGTGTTCTCCGGATTTCGAGCAGCCTGGTCTTTGGCCGCATCTCCGACAAGTCTTTCTGTGTCTGTGAACGCGACGTACGACGGAGTGGTCTTGTTTCCTTCCGAATTTGCAAGGATTTCAACCTGGAAATAAACATTTGTAAAAACTCGGAATAATTGTAATAGTTCACTTACCTTTCCGTTTTGGTAGACTCCGACACACGAATACGTGGTACCAAGGTCGATACCGATAGCTTTGCACGAAGACATTGCTTGTTGTTTGTTGTGAGAGCAGTAGAATTTGTAGATTCTTTTGAGGGTGACATTCCGTTTCGAACAGTGGTTTATATACTTAATGGATCTTTCTACCCGAACGTTCTACATCCTTCGAGGCCTTTGCACACCCTCTGCATGTCTGCGTCCCTTCAGTCGTCCATGCACTCTCACTTTTCTCGCACTTTCTAGAACCGTCTGTCGTCGTGTATAGCGCGAGAGAGTATAGGGCAATAGCAGAGACGCAGACATGCAGATTGTGTGGAAGGGCCTCGAAAGATGTAGAACGTTCGGGTAGAAAGATCCAATAAGTATATAAACCACTGTTCGAAGCGGAATGTCACCCTCAAAAGAATCTACAAATTCTACTGCTCTCACAACAAACAACAAGCAATGTCTTCGTGCAAAGCTATCGGTATCGACCTTGGTACCACGTATTCGTGTGTCGGAGTCTACCAAAACGGAAAGGTAAGTGAACTATTACAATTATTCCGAGTTTTTACAAATGTTCATTTCCAGGTTGAAATCCTTGCAAATTCGGAAGGAAACAAGACCACTCCGTCGTACGTCGCGTTCACAGACACAGAAAGACTTGTCGGAGATGCGGCCAAAGACCAGGCTGCTCGAAATCCGGAGAACACTGTGTTCGATGCGAAGCGACTGATTGGCAGACGATATGATGAAGCAACAGTACAGGCCGACATGAAACACTTTCCGTTCGCAGTCAAGTCAAAACAAGGAAAACCAGTGATCGAGGTGGAACTGAAAGGAGAACGGAAACAGTTCAATCCGGAGGAGATATCTGCAATGGTGCTGCAAAAGATGAAGGAGACTGCAGAGACGTACTTGGGACACGCAGTCCAAAATGCGGTCATCACCGTTCCCGCTTACTTCAACGACAGTCAGAGACAAGCGACGAAAGATGCAGCCACGATTGCCGGTCTCAACGCGATCCGCATCATCAATGAGCCAACAGCCGCTGCTCTCGCTTACGGACTCGACAAAGGAATTAGCGAGGAGAAGAACGTGCTCATTTTCGATCTTGGAGGAGGTACATTCGACGTTTCTATCCTAACAATTGCCGAAGGATCCATCTTCGAAGTGAAGTCAACGGCAGGAGACACTCATCTCGGAGGAGAAGACTTCGACCAACGTATGCTGCAGCACTTCATGACAGAGTTCAAGAGAAAGACCGGCAAAGACATCTCATCCAATCCACGTGCCATCCGACGACTCCGAACTGCGTGCGAACGGGCTAAGAGGACCCTTTCAAGTTCATCGGAAGCCACAGTTGAAGTGGATTCACTGTTCGAAGGAATCGATCTGTGCTCGAAGATGACTCGTGCTCGTTTTGAAGAACTCTGTGCTGACTTGTTCCGCAAGACTCTGGAACCAGTCGAGAAGGCTCTCCGTGATGCTAAACTGGACAAATCGAAGATTGACGAGATCGTTCTTGTCGGTGGATCAACTCGTGTGCCGAAAATTCAAAAGCTGCTCAAGGACTTCTTTAATGGAAAGGTAAGTAGCGCATTTTTGTTGCTATGAACCAACACTAATTTGTCGTTTTCAGGAATTGAACTGCTCGATCAATCCAGATGAAGCTGTTGCTTTCGGAGCTGCTGTACAGGCGGCTGTTCTGACTGGAATCCAAGACAACACCATCAAAGACGTTCTTCTCGTCGACGTAGCTCCGTTGAGTCTCGGAATCGAAACTGCCGGAGGAGTGATGACTAATCTGATCGACCGAAACACGCGCATCCCAACAAAGGCGTGCAAGACGTTCTCCACGTATGCAGACAATCAACCGGGCGTCTCGATCCAAGTGTTCGAGGGAGAACGTGCCATGACTCGCGACAACCACCGTCTTGGCACTTTCGAGTTGACCGGAATTCCTCCTGCTCCACGCGGAGTTCCTCAAATTGAAGTCACTTTCGACATCGATGCGAATGGAATTCTGAATGTGTCCGCGGAGGACAAGTCCACTGGAAAGTCGAACAGAATTACAATCCGCAACGAGAAAGGCCGTCTTTCCCAGTCGGACATTGACCGGATGGTAAACGAGGCGAAGCAGTTTGAGCGGGAAGATGCGGAGCAACGGGAGCGGGTGTCTGCCAGAAACCAGTTGGAAGCGTACGCATTCCAAGTGAAGCAGGCTCTGGACGAGCACGGATCGAAACTGCCAGCAGACGATGCCCGACGTGCGAAGGAGGCTGTTGAGGACACAATCCGTTGGATGGAGGCGAACTCGCTGGCCGAGAAGGACGAGATCGAGGCGAAGAACAGCGAGTTGAAAACGGTGTGCCAGGCAGTCCTCACCAAACTCCATCAATCTGGCCAACAGTCTGCTTCTGGATGCGGAACTCCCGGATCGGCTGGATTCAACCCCAGCAACTACCCACAAGGACCAACTGTGGAGGAAGTCGACTAATTTGTGCATCTCATCTTGCCATCAAACTTTAGTGTACAGATCTTCATTCCAATCACTGGTTATATGTTCTTTTTTCTTTTTACGAAAAATAAATGTTTTAAAAAAATTTATGAGTTCATTGACTTCTAGTAAGTCCGGGAAACATATGATGTATACATATACCAGTACCGTAGATTATTAAATAACCTGTCTTGCTTACAGTAACCGTTTCTTGTCAGTGAAGTCTTGATCCTGATTGGATGAGTCTTTGTTCTCCGACTGTTTCGCATCCTCTTTTTTTCGTTTCTCGCCGTCATTCTGAAAAAAACGTATTCGTGTATTGAATAAGACGAGCAAATTTCTAACTTCTTTCTCTGTTTTCCCCTCGATAATTGGATAGTGCTTAGCCAGCCAAACTTTGCGCTTTTTCTCGTTGATAGGCCATTTTCCAGGACGGAAGTAATTTTGTGTCTTTCGATTCACAACGGGCGTCAAGGTTGCTGCAAACGCTTCGATACCGGGCTTCAACGTTTCAAATTGTGGATAACGATTGAGAATCCACTGAATGACGGAGTTGTAAACGAACTGTAGCTGTACCACAGTCTTTATGGAATCATAGAATTGACGTCTCATCAGGACAATCAGACGCTCCACATTGAACTGATCCTTAACTCCGTCCTCAATCATACGAATGAGGTAGTCGATCATGATGAATGATCCGGGACGACCTTTCCGATTCCTACTGAAAATAATTGGAGCGCCGGTTCGACCGCCTAAGAAACACGTTGTCTTCATGGGAGTGAGGATGTTGCTTTCTGAATGGGAAAAACCACTTTTCGATGGAATTGTGGTAAGCTTACCTCTGACCACATCGTAAAAACTTAGGAAATCACTGACTTCTCTTGGAACAAACGAATCGGGCCAGTCCATATATTGGAAATGTGGGATCTCAACGCATTCGTCTTTGTCTGAATTGCATAGTAAGAGAATGTCTTTCAGAAAACGTACCCTCGGTATTGATAACAGTCAGTGTACGTTTCCAGTAGGACCCACAGTTCTGGGCGGCAGTGCACTTAATTGTGAATTTCCCGAAACTTTTAGTCTTCCCTACAATTTTAGGGAAGTAGAGAATGGTCGAATGGTTTTCGTCTTCGACGTCCTGATTGAATGAAACGATTCCAGGCACGTTGTGCTCGTGCACAATGTTCCAGAAGTTTTGGACACTGTTGCTGCCGACACTCCCCGCAATAAAGTGACGGTTTACTTTCGGAAGGTGCACGTGTACAGCCGCATCGGTTCCCATTCGATTGCCGTCAGCTCTGAGGAGCATCACATTCTTCTGTTGTCCTAAACATTTTGGTTGAGCGTTCATTCTACTATCAGGGAATTTCAATGTGCGCGAAAATGGCTCGAGAATACGAAGCCCCCTAGCCGTTTTCGACTCCATGTTCTAATCAAAAAATGCCAGTAAAATTTACGGCGTAAATCGACATGGCCGGGGGACTAGTGCGTGTTTCTCTTCCATCTATGCATGACATTTAAATTCATTCAAATACATGTCTATGGTCCATTTTCAGGGCAGAGATGTTCAACAGAACGAGTTCACAATGAAATGGCCTACTTACCTGGCCGAACTCGCTTGAAGTTGAGCCGTTGCACGATCGACATGAGAAATGGCTTCATCACGAGTTTTTTAGCGGTTTCGAACGTTTTCATTCTCTGCTTATTGAAAAAGAGCATAAATTCAATTCAATCAAAACTTACCATAAACATAGTTTTCCATTGCTGGTTCTTGTCAAGAACGCACTTCTTCTCGTACAATCGACTAAAAATCTCTTGCGGGTCTGTAGTGTCCGTAGGCATCGCATCGGCCGCCTTTGAGAGAAGAAGAACTGCGAGGGGAAGAACGAAACGGCCGAAACTGTCGCTTCCCAGACAATTCAAACGAATGGTATGGCAGTTTCTGGGCACGCAAACTGTTTTGTATCGCCCGATAATTGAATTAGCGTTATTTTAAACGTGAGAGCCTCGTAAACAGTATGGGAGGGCAGGGGCTCGGATGTTTTCGACCACCCACGACGAAATATCACTAATCTCGGTAAGAATAAAAAGAAACCGTTGCCCACTTCTAATACGCATTAGTCGAGAACGAGAGAAACCGTTTGCGAGCGGGTTCAAGGAAAACGTTGAGAAAAACGGTACAAAACTACTCTGAACTTTTGATTTTACAGGTAAGATACAGTACATATAATACTTATTTAATTTGAAAATGCATCTATCAAATTGACGCGCACACCGGAATACGTAGATATTTTGTAGTTGAACCTCCGCACGCCTTGTCAATCACAAAAGCTATCAATTACGATCATAAATGGCTATGGGAAATGACCTTCTTTAGGACGTTTTCATGCATTTGGCTGTTCAAAAACAGCGGCAGTGATTGACTTCACCAAAAACTGAATAATAGCCACCGGTTTCGGTTTCTTCGTCTTTGAGAACAGAACACACCTTCTCATGAAAAGGTTTAAAAGAGGGCGATTTTTCGGGCTAATCTTCAGTTTTAAGTTCGACGCCAACTAACTTTGCATGATATCTTCTTTCTGACTTTTTGTTCTTTTCCGACAAACAGATCCGGTTTACAGAATGGTCGATCTTTTGGGTGCAGAAAATTTGAAAGTGGTTCTTGTGAGTCATTCTTGAGGAAGTTACTAAGAACGGCTACAGTATTTAGGGTGATCTGGAAAAAATTGAAATAAGAGCCATCGAAGTGACTAGACTGATCCGCGAGCCGCTTTTCGATCCGAGCCTATTCGGACAGTTTGCCGATGTTCTTTTTGATATTCAAAGAAAAATTCGCGACTTTCGAACGTCTCTAAGTAAAACTCCGACTGATTTTGATTGTTATGTAAGACTATTGAAGCTATAAGTGGTTGCTGATTGTATCATTTTAGGCTTACAATAAGTTCCTAGCTTATGCGTCTTCAAAACTGGACCATTGCCATAAAATCGCTCGTCATCAAGTCAAGCCTTCAAGATCATCAAATGTTCCGGAAAGGACCCGCACGGCTCGGATAACCGTAGCCCCTGCCCCTGCTCCTGCCCGACCAGACACTTACCAACCATATGAACCATACGAAACACACACCAATAATGGATATCCTGGAAGATCCTAAATTTTTGTTGCTATCTACAAAAATCGTATTCAGTTTGTACCTATTTTACTCAATTTTATTGTCGCTGATGTATTATGCCAAAAAATTTAGAATATAAAGTCAATGTATGTTCGGATAAATCTTTGAGTGGAGTACAGTTACTGTTATAAAATATTAACACAAAATAAGGTGCAGAGAGAAAGGTAAAGCATGAAAGATGGTTTCCAAAAGCACTTGGCGCCAAGTACGTCTTACTTTCATCGATTGTTTTGGAAAGGCCAACACAACGAAAAAGTGAGGGAAGGGTTGTTGTACATCGGAAGATAAGAACGGTAAAAAGGTGGAACATCACATGGGGTGACCCTCTAAACTACTGAAAACGTACATGGGATAGGTAAAAGAGAAAAAAATGATGACAGGCAGGGGAAAACACTTTTTCGGGAGGGGATTGGGGGGGATAGATTAATTAATTAACATATGATTGAAATAATCGCGGATCGTTTGAAAAAAAAGGAAAATGACACTGATCCGGGACCAACGGAAACACAAGGAGACCAACGGGGCGCGAGGAGAAGTACAGGTTCAGATTAAATAGAAACGTTTTTGGCGGTTATTTCAGTTGGGAGTGGTCACCACAAGCGACTTCCTCGATGGACGGTCAAGAGAGCTGAGTGAGTCGTAGGAGTCCTCGCTGGCTCCACTGTCGGATCTCTGAAAATTTGAGATACGTTTTTGTGCAGTTTGTTGAGCAACTGTACCTTAGAGTCGACTTTGTTGGTAACCATCATCTGACTCTTCAACTCCAGATTCTCCCTCTTCAGACGTTCGATTTCCCGAGCCTGACTCTCGATCGTCTCAAGATGGGTTCTGTACTCGCGGTCGTGCCAATATTCGCTAGATCTGCAAATTAAATACATGAACATCGGCACCACGAGCTTAGTATTACCTGTCCCAGTTATCTGGAACATTGACAACACTCGGACGGAGCAGAGTCGAGTTGCGGGAGGCGCGTGGGTTGGTACGTGGAAGACTCAAACGGTTCTGCACATGCGCTCCTCCTGGCGCCGGCTGTGTTCTCGGCGACACTTGACAATCTGGGGGCACCGCGTACACCTGCATCTCAAATAGAAACTATTAGTACGTTATTTCACATCACCGACTACTTACCGGTTGGTAGTGATAGCTGTGAGCCTCCTGATCGTATGGTGGTGGACTGGCACGCTTCTGGTAGACAATCTCTTTGGGCTCGGCCGGAATGTTGTATCCGGATGAGGGACCGGGTCCGAACACCGGATTGGCAATGGAGAGAGCAGCCATGCGCTCAACTGGCGAAGAGCTCGACGAGTTCGAGTAGCTGGATCTGGACGGATTATTGCTCAGATATCCGCTTGACGCTTGTTGGCTGCTCGATGGAGACGCGTCCGTTCTTGGCAACCGTTTACGATTCCTCCCACCTCGGCCGCGATCGTCAGTCCCTCTCAGCTCGAGGTCCGAATCGGTGTCATCACGGATCTCCGCACTGCTCGTCGTTTTGTCGCTAGTCCGGCTTGATGATGTTCCGGTCTCATCGCTCAACCGTGTTCCCTGACGGAGACTCGGTGTTTGGAATGCCGACGAGAGAACGTAATCGTCGGAAGTGAGCAGATGCGTGGCCGGTCGGTTCATCGATCTTCCCATCACTGTGGCTTGTCCGACCGGCGGAGTGCTTCTGTAGGCCGGTACATTTTCGTGACGCGGACTGAAAGTTTAGAGGTTTTATGTGTCATTTTCAGAGGGTTGGTATGACTTACATCACATTTTGCTGCGGACTATTCTCATAATCGGACGATGGCTGTTGAGCCATTGGCGAGTGGAACGCCGCTGTTTCCGGACGCCTCTTGTACTCGGCCAAGTTTGACAAAATCGCTTTCACATCGCTCAGCGACTTTTTGTTCGCGTTCTTCTCCTGAAGCAGTGGAGTCCAGGCCTCTTCAAGATATGTAGCGATTAGACTGAGCTCTTTTCCGGCGTCCACAACTGCGTCGGCATTTTTCTCCACGCCCGTTTGTGTTCTGAAACTATGTGTTCTTTTGATTTCCTTGACTTTGATGCTGAGTTTGTCTGTTTATACAAAAAGGTGTCAAATTTAGCGGCACAACCAAAATATCTTTCTTTCCCCCCAAGGTAACATGATATATCGAAACGCGCGGCGCCTACGCACAAACATTTCTAAATCTAAATAGTTGATATGTGTGTTTATGTTCTATAGATCAACTCACCCAGAAGAGATTCTCAACAAGAAGTCCTTCATGCGATGCCACTCGCGATCGACAAACTCGTTCATAAACTCCATATAGTGCTCCTTTCCTCCAAACTTGGTAAAGTTAGCAAGATTCTGAAGAGTCTTGGCGATGAGGGTCAAGTTGCGCGAGTTGGCGCTCGATGGATACTCCGAGACCAGATTGAACAGGCTCGGACTCAAAATAGCTGGGCACAGGAAGCGCAGAAAGATGGAGGACGAAATGAGCGTGTCGGCGAGAGCTCCGCGATTTTGAGCGTCGAGACGGCAGCGAAGGATGGCAAACACCTCACGGAGGTCGACAGGAATGTGGTGAACACTGAAAAAATGACCATTTGTTAAAGATGTCTCTAGTTGAAACTCACTTGTTCAGAATCTTGGTCCACGCCACTTCCGCATATCTCATCAAAAGTGCGCGGTTCTTCTCAAGCACCGAGTTGGACACATTTCCCAGTTTCTGCGGGTCCACTTCACACGAATCCTCGCATTGAAGCACCGTTTTGATGAAATCGCTGAGCGTGGACTGGAGATAATCATCGGCAACCAGCTTCATGAACGACTCCATCGCCTTTGTGGCCAGCGAGTTTCCACGGAACATCAGATGATCGTTGTCCAGTTGCTCGACCTCTTTCATGATGAGATCGCACAGAAACTCCTTGGCGAGTCGCTGTTTGTACATGACACGGACCATTGACGTGGCAAAGTCTTCCTTCACTTTGACTGCGAGAATCGGTTCAAGCTGCTCGCAAAGTGGCAAGTAGCTGTAGCACAGCAGTTGAACGAGGTCTTCGTAGGCGCGGAGCGGAAGGATGTCAACGCTCTGCCATCTGGCCTTGATTCTCAGCGACGGCGTGTCCTGATTACTGCTCTTGGCGCCCAGAGCCGAGGCGATTCGACTGCTGGTGTCGTTGTGATGGGTTTGGTTGACGGTATACCTGAAAGGAAAATAGGATTAACCGAGGCAACAATTTTGGGCGAATGGTTTGGCCTTGACTTCTTTCAAATCGGATTGTGATAATTCAATCTACATACTGACCTACAGTACTCTCCGAACAACGTCGATACTCGCACATAGTTTTTCTTCATTTTAAACGTCCACAAAAACGTTTTGAGCATATTTCGCGCTTTTCGATTCTCATTTGAAAACTCTTCGGGTAAATTTGAAATGGACGGGTATACAGTGGACAACGAATAAGGAATCATTGCGGAATTGTGAAACGCGGGATCCCACGGATCGTATTCGCCCTTCATCTGAACACGTGAAATTGAGTGCAATGGAGAAGAAGAAGAAGAAGAAGAAGAAAAGCGCGAAAAAAGGGATTGGTGGAGAGATTGAGTCATCAGGTTGGGCTTATCTAATTGGAAACGAAATGTAGATAAAATCTTCAGTTGTCCGCGTAACGGTGATTAATGACAAGAAGGGGGTCGAAAAAACGAAATTCGATGGAAAAATGAATTGCCTAGTTGACAGGAAGAGGGGTATCATTGAGAGCACATTTCGATTTGTTTGATCAAGATTTGGAGCGCGGCGTGTGGTCTGTCAAAACCGAGGCCGGAATTTTTCGCGTTCGCTTCACACGTCCGTCTCGTTCGCCGCACTAACACGCATAACAAAAGTCTCCTAACACACTGGCTAATGGAAGAAATTAGGGCGAAAAAGTGGTCATACTTGTTTCTATTTAAAGAGAATCTCTTGTAAAACGACTGAGAATTGGGCCAAAGTTCAATTTTATGATAGAAGGGTAGTTGAGAAGAAGAAGAAGAGTAAGAAGAAGAAGAAGAGAGGATTAGTCCACTTTCGCTCGCCACTTAATACAAAACACTGTAAGGACGAATGGAAAGCTGCAAAGTGTGCGGAGGCGGTGTAAGTAGAAACTAGGAAAATTTTTGGCGCTTCGGCCGGAATCCAGAATTTTCACCGAGAATCCATGTTTATTCAACACTTCTACCCATTTATGCAAAAGTAATGGGATTTGATGCGGCCATCGCCCTATCGGGTGTGCGAAAGAGGAGAAAGAGAAAGAAGGCGTTCGTCCCGAATAAAATCTTGATGGATATAGGTTATGAAAACAATTCACGCTCATGTAAAGGCAGTAACAGACGACTTTCGAACAGCAAGGAGGTTAATGTCGAGTAACGCGTACAGACAGACACACACACACACACAAACATGGCGATCATGACAATGTTCATCATCGATAGTTTCGAATGACTAACTAAATAAACCCAACCAATCCTCCACTTGATGAGGGTAGCAGGGCAGGGTTTGAAAACTGTTAATAGACCTGCTTGAACTACAATCAACCAGTTAATTGGCGCGCGCGCGCAACGCGGCGCTCAGAAAAGGCAGGCAATTAAAACTAGGAGAGTTTTTCATCCCCCCTTTGTGTTGTTTTCGCCCTCCCCCGCACAGTACCAACGTTGAGGGATGAGTACCGGAAGTCTGTTGTTCCATTCATTTTTTAAAACTCACCATCGTTCCACCGGATTTCTACCGTCCAACTGATCGATTTGAATGATGACGTAGCCAATCAGCGTCGGACGATCCTTCTTTTTCTTTGGATCCGCCTCACGGAACACGCTCACGCACACTTCATCAATTTTTGGAAGCATTCTGAAAACATTGAAATTCTCAGGGGGCTCGCAAGTGCAGAAACTCTCACCCAAACTCAAAGTGCTCGCCCCAGAATACATTATCACTGCGAGCCTTTGATGACGTTCGCGCGTAGAGGGTTTTGTCTAGACACAACTCACAGTAGTACCTGAATTGAAAATTGAAACTTGATATGTGTAATCGGTATAAGGTACTCACTTTCTCTTTGCCGGCAATCCCTTGGCTTCTAGAATCCAAATGAGCAGGCCGTTTTCTGTTCGTCGCTGTAGGTCTCGACGCGGATTCATCGTTTTGCGCAGGCTGAAATAAAGTAAGGCATTTCAAAGAATGTGGTGGCTATCGGAAAACAAAGATAAAGATGAATATGGATTGGTTGTTGTTGTTATCAGGGAAAAGAAAAGGAACAGAAAAGGAAAGTGACAAGGAGACAAGTATATCGGGGGGATTATCCAAACTTATGATTTCGCGTCCCATTTTTTAGAGGTGTTTCTTGTTATTATGAACCGAACGCTACGGGAAAAGATGCATGGACTCAATGTCTCAAAACAGAAGGTGTTCCGGCGTCGGCCGGGGGGTAATGCGCTGACCATAAGTGGCCTAGAGTCATTGGTGCACCCACCCGCACAACATTGCCTATTCTGCGCGGGTCCGTAATTAGGTAATTCTATTTGGCGAGAGCGCGTATGCGCGGCGGGAACAACACAGAGAAAGGGGGGGGGGAGATAGTGTTTATGGTTTGAGACCCATACGCGGCAGGAAAGGATAGGCAGGTGGGTACCTGGTGCAATGAGCACAGAAAAGCTGCTGAAGAGGAGGCAAACGGGACCAGCTCCGCCTCCCACAATATTGCTTGTGCTCACCACACGCAAAGGCCTTATTGTAATAAACAATGAAGAGGTGGGGTGGGGGTCCCTGGATGACTACAGTGGCACCTCACAACAACCACAACTCGGGTCGAGACTCTTTTCAATTCTGCATTTTCAAGTCGGATGCAAAGTGAAAGTGAACAACATCAACTGTAGGACTAGAATAGTCTAAATCGAATCTTTGAAAGTTACCGTCTTAAAATAGAAATCACTTTTTCATTAGTCGTTCAAAGAACAGTGACGACAAAAGTAGTCGATGAAAATCGAGGATGTTCTAGTAGAAGAAGACGAGAAAGAGTGCAATGAATGTGAGAGTGGACAATGACAGATGCAATGATGTATGTTCGTTCCATCTCGACAAAAGGAGGTAACGGAAAACGAAAAACAGAAACGCATCTTTGTTTGGAAATGAATGGGAGTAACCGAGATTCATCCCCATCCCATCCTAGACTCTAAACAACCAAAAAAATGGTTGTGGTAGACAGGGACACGGAGAAAAATGAGAAAATGCCGGTGTTTGTGAGTGAGTGAGGTATGGGGTGCACAATTGTGCGTGTGTGCACAGGTTGGTTGATTGTGCTCGTTTCGCCCCGCAAGAGCACTGAGCTGTACACTATTTTGTTCCCACGCCAACCGTAATGGGGGAGAATTATTTGATGATCAGATCAACTCAACTTCCTTCCAACGTTCTCACGCGTCCGGACCAGGAGTAGGCGAAAAAAAGACGGAAAAAAACTTTTCTGGTAAATTGGTTTTACGGAATTTTTCGGAAAATCTTGAAGGTCCCTGATTTAGTTTTTCCCACTTTCAGGTCCTTAAGTAATAGTTTTATACAAGAAAATGTGAAAGATTGTTTAGCTGTGCGTCTTCGAAAAAAGCTGAGATGACTGAGGAAAATGGAAAGGAAAGGGACAAAGGTAATAAAACAGTCAACTGCTGGGAGTCCATCAGAAAGCGTTCTGGTGTGGTGGACTGGCTTGGTGGAACATATGGTGTTTGGAGGCGACTTGGTTTTTGTGACGTTTTTTTTTTCGAAATCGTCGCTCCGACTTGTACATCTGCCCGGGCGCCGCCGCCGCGTGCGCGGCCCGTCGCCTGTCACAAAGATATGCTTATGAAAAATGACAAGTTTGGAAGGAGGGTGAGAAGGAGAGAGAAAGTGTCACTCAATCAGGGAGACCAACTGTCACTTACGCCCACATAGTTACTGTCGCTAAAGTGACCAAAAGTGAGAAAGAAAGAGTTTTGCTTCTTTTCATTGAAACACAGTCTCTCAGCCGCTATTTCTCTGCTTCTCTCGTCTTCCAGTGCACACCATTCCGCCGAGCGCTCAAAATAAACAATATTCCCTTATAGGGTTCTCTTTCTCTTCGCACTCTTTCTTTTCTACTCGTCGTTTCCCGCACAGTCCACAAAGAAGCCAAAATAATAATAACATATGTATGCCAGGTGGAGGAGAGAAACCCGGTGATTAGTATGTGTGTACAAAAACTGTTGGGTTGGGTAACAGTGACACTGACACCGAGAATGACCTAAATAGCCGGATGTACCCGGAAAAAGTGCTCATCGGTGCGTTAGGTAAGTTTTGCATTCGAGAAATTTGAGAAGTTGGGAACTAGATTCTCTCCTCCTACGCCCTCTTCCTCGACCAAACGTTACCCGCTCATCCATCACAAACATTTGCATTTGACATGGTATACATTTCGAAGAACAACTTGTCTTCTACCTACCCGATTTTCGGATTGTTATTACCGATATCTTCGACCGGAAAAGACTGGATCGGGTGAATAGAGAAGAAGGAGAGAACCTAAGAGATTTTCAAGTGTCCGAGGGTTTCATCCATGATCGTAGATTAAGTGGAAGAGAACCGAATACATAGAAGTCCAAGGCTGTGTATGGCACAAAACCTCAAAAGATGACCATCAGACAATGTTCGAAATAGAAGGAAAAAGGAGAAGAAGAAGGAGAAGCGATCCAGACTAGAACCTCAGCGGGTGTATGGAAATTAAGAGGATCACATTTCCAGCTCTCCTCCTCATTTCAAATACTTCCCGCAGTGGGAGGGCAATACGGAATGAAGAAGAAGCGCGTGGAAGAGAGCGAAAAACTTGTTCGTAATGGATGGTCTGCCCAAGCCAAAATGCAAATTTTTGAGCGGAAATTGAAAAACAAACAGACTGTGAGAAGTGGGCAACTCAAATGCCCCACGGATCGTTTTTCTGTGTTTCTGCGAGCATCATCCTCAATAAAACGGATGGAGCAGGATAGGCGCGGGAAGAAGGAGGAAAAGGGTGAAGCGAGTAGCAGTAGCAGTAGCGCAATCAGATTAAATTTCGTGTGCAGCTCCGAGCTCCGCGCGCGCGTGTGGTCACGCTAGTGCACACCGAGGCACCGCCGAACCGAACCCATGCCATAAAATCATCTGAATTAGGAAAGAGATAAGCAAAGACGGAAGGGCCTAAGGGATGGGGATCTGAGGATCTGAATAGAAGGAAGAAGGGAACGTTTTGATAATTGTATGGAATTGTGCGACGTGCCCGGACAATGTAATGGCCTTCCTCTTTTCTCTCACTCACTGGATTTATAATTGCAGCCACCCAACGAGCGGCCAGCGGACAGTACAGACAAGTGGGCGAGAAGGACCGATCGTGTATTGGTTAATCGTTAGTAGGAGTGGGTGTTTGAGCGGGGGGAGGGATGGATATATCCGACTTATGACAGTAGCAGTCTCGGGCCAATCTCAAAACTGAACTCGGAACAATTGATGTTTGAGGTCAGTTATGGAACACTTGGGCGCTCACAAGGTCAAAACACACCTTAAAGCTATTGAATTTCACAAGTGAAGAAGAAAATCTTCGGGTTTCCTTTTCTTAGCGCCCTCTCTCTAAAAAAGCACTGCAAAAAGGACCTCGGACACGTTTTCATGTTAAACCATGTGAAAATTGAGAAGGCCGGCGGAGTAGGGCAAAGCAAAGAATTGAAAGCGATGAGGTGTGAATAGAACGAACGCTCAAGTGTTTGTTGTACATTTGACCCTCCAGCCGGAGGTCTTTTGCACCCACCTGCCTGAATTTGAAAAGCAAGTTAAAAATGGTGGTGAGGCGGGCGACAAAACCGAGAAAAGATGTGCGGCGCGACGGGGGCCCCTTGTTTTTACCAGATTTTTATCTACCTAAGGTGTCGCCCCTCACGAGAGAAGAAGTGGGCGCCGACGATGACGGAGGATTAAACTAACTGACCACGTTCTCTTATTTACAGAAACACGCCGGATAGTATAATGATTCACTGATTTTGAAGATGAGAGGGATAGCAGTGGGAGAAGGGGATTCATTCGAAAACGTTTACGTTTATGACTGTCGGCAAATGGATCGAAAAGCGAAAAAGACGGCGCCCCGAGTATGACTAAGGAGGAATATAAACAGAACAGAAAAGGAGAAGAAGAGAATGAAACGTCGCGCTGCAAAATGGTTATGATATGGAGAAGATGGAAACGAAGAAGAAAAAGAAAAAGAAAAAGACAGGTCGATTGGATTTGCATAACGATATTTCGATCGATAAATGCGCGTTGCTATGTGTGTGCGGAGGGGCACCTCACAGTCTGCCAACATCACCCACAGGTGAGCGGGGTCAAACGCAGTGTTGCACCACCAACAGCAAGAGGGAGAGGGAGAAGAAAAGGCGTAGACAGGGTGAAGGTGAGGGTGAGGCGAATGTCCCGTTGCAGAATTGTCGAAAATCGGCCCGGCTATCCATTTTCAATATACAGGGTGGTCCACCGTTACCCGTACAAAATAAAACTTGGGTAATTCCAAAACTAGAAGTCAGAAAGGCATGAGACTTAACAAAACGTTTACTAAGATGTTTGACAATATTTATAAGCTAATAGTGTTGCACCCGACCTCCTTTCCTAACAATGACAGCCCGAAGACTTCCGAAGTAACAGTTTGCCGCGGCACGCGGGAAGTCCGTGAACAAATTGACCCCCTACCTGGCAAGGAATTTTTTTATCACTGCCCTACTTGTCTGGGGTTTAGCCTTTATATTGGCCTGTAAGACCCCAACAACGAATAGTCCAACAAAAAATGGTCCGGCGAGAAATCGGACCATTTTTCCTTCTTGATGAACGCTGCCAAATTGGCCTGGAACCACTGCTGAATGATTTTGGCCGTGTGGGCAGGCGTATTATCCTCCTAGAACACCCAATGTTGTTCTCCGAAGTGTTTGTGAGACCGAAGAAGAAGTTTCCTTGTTGAAGCCTCATCTACATAACGTACTTTTCTGATTTTGTCACCATTATCGATGAAAACGCGTTGAGATTGGCATGTTCAGCTGATGGGACAAGAAATCATGGCACGGTCCAGATTATGGCCCTACCATTTTTCATACGCGTCCAGTGACGTCCCAGCAAGCCTCTGACTATTTTGAGAATTCAAATTGGCCTTCGCCGGGAACAGTCATTCGTCTGAAAAGGCCATCTTCAAATGGTCGCCATGGCGCGTGCCACTCAACTGGAGTTTCGACATTTGAATCCGTTTCAACTTTTTGGCAGTTGAGATGATAACGGCTTCTGTTCACATATTTCGGTATCAAACTGAGCTTGCATTTTAGAGTGATTTACATTGATATCGGACTCATTTCCATATCATGTGCTATCATTCTCGTGCTTGGATACGGATTTCTCATGATCCGCTCTCTGGTAGCTGTGACCGTCTGAGGAGAGATCATGGTGATTCCTTTTTCGTTTCTGGTATTGCTCTAGAGTGGGTTTAGACCGGAGAAAAGTTAGATCGTATCATAAACGGTTTTGCTTGGGATACCGAGCCGTTTCATGATCGTTTGTCTGCTCACCCCTCCAGTGAACAAGCGTATGATGGGGACGGGGTGCAGACTAATCGGTGCTATTTGGCTGAAACAAATCCGTTTGGTCTGAGACTTGGCCGAATAGTTAAAAACATGATAATATACACAATTTTGAATCAGGGCCACACCAGAATTGCGTCAGTACCTACGCGCGCCGCGTAAAACTTTTGTACGGGTAACGGTGGACCACCCTGTAAGCATTTCAAGTAAAATAAGCATAGCAAAAAAGACACTTTTCAGATAAATTTTGCGAGACTAGCCGAAAGTTTTAGATGCGAGCTTTTGAAAAAGCGGCATTATTACTGAAAATGTTTTGGAATTTCGCATTTTTTCCGCACACTCCTGGTCAGTTGGCCAGTTGGCCAATGGGTTCACCTATTCAGTTATGACGTAACCGCACGTGACCAACACTCATATATCAAGTTGCTGTCAGTAGACTTCGCAAGTGTGGAAAAAGTAAAAAATTTCGAAAAGCGGTAGTTCAAATAACGTTTGGTTTCTTTTTTTGGCTTCCCAAACCAAATCGAAGGTGGGGACAGGTGGTGTGACGGGTGACCAACTGACATTGTGGCGCCAAGTAGTCGACCCACTTGGTGGCGGCTGGCAGATGGCGCTACAAAAGGTGACTTCTGACTTTGAAGGTTTAGAAACGTAGTGGCCCTCTTTTTTCCGTCAAAACTCTGCTCGGCGTCAGCTGTTTCATAGGCCCACATTCCATAAGAACCACTAGTTAATGAGCTCTGAGCACTACAAATGAGTTTTCAATTGAATTTTGGGCAACGTCACTCAGTTGCTCGTCCTACTCTTGTCCTACTCTCCAATTGAGCACACATAAGAAACGGACGGAAAACCATAAGAATCATAAATTCTCGGGTAAATGGAAACACATGTAAATGAAATGTGATCAGATATGATCGGATAAACGGATGGCATGGCCGATGAAGACGTTTGTCATCTGTCACGAAAACAATGCTAATTATACATGCGCACTTTCCAGGCACGGGACCGATGCGAGAAGAAGAGGAAGAAGAAGAAGAAGGCGTACATATAATCTCATGCGGATCTCATTAATGATCTCTTGAGAACGGCGCAGAGTGTACGGATGAAAAAAGGATGGAGAAACTATGTATTAGATAGGTGGGAAGATGCAAACTAACTTGATGACGTGCTGGGAATCGTGCTTTTTGAGTGGAAGAACAAAAAGAAGCAGAAAAGGAAATGAACTCACTTCTCCATCCACTTTGCACGTTCCAGGGGTGTCCGACAAGAGTAATAGGTACTGGCGAGGCGAAAACAGTTGGGAACTTCAAAGATTGATGCGTGAACTGGGTGTAGGCGGTTGTCGTCGTCTGAAAAACAAAACAAGTTTCAGATGCAACCCGGCAAATCGAACGGAAACTATTCTTCATGACAAAAACCTATTTTTGCAATTATTAGTAAGCACCCGGATCAGCAATGCTTGCCACTCAAGTATCGTATTACTTGATGTTGCATAGGAAAGACCACGCGTCACCGGGCTCAGGAGAGGACCAACAAGTGTTCTTGGCTTGTGTGGGGGTGGGTGAAGGTAAGAGAAAAGAGTTGAGCACAAACAGATTGCTCCGGTTGCTCCTTCCCGTTGTTTTGTGTTTTCTAGAGTTTTTGTTGGCACAAAGAATCGCATCGAATGGACATAAACTGTTTGTGCACTTCAATTGGTATTTGGTTTGATTGGAAATAAAAAGCAAACAAAGTATGACAATAGCTGAACCGATATCACGTCATTCTGAGAACAGGTTGAGAATTCTATTAAAACTAGAGCAACTGCATATAGAGGTACAGGAATCGGAACTTTTTTGGTTAAGAAACTGCTTGAAAAGAATCGATAAATTCCGATTTGAAATTCTGACGGAAATCCCAAAAATTCGGAACTTCTAAGGAAGCCAGATCGGGAATACAGTTGCAAGCCTTACAGATGCGAACAAGATTCTAGATTTCAAATTTTCAAAAAAATGTCAAAGGAAACGATAACCAGCTGCAAATGATCCCCCAAACCCAGAACTCACTCAATTCAATCAAATGCGTCGAATGAGCCGAACTGAGGAGCGATTCGTGCGAGCGGCACGCTCTAAGACTTCCTTCTCGGGCCGGTTGACTCAAATGGCGTCGAGCCGGAGGTTGTGCATACAGACTGCTGTCCCTGCTGTTCGCGTTGGCGTCCACTCTATGAAGAGTGCTGAAACTGGTTACGGTTACTCGGGGAGAGGAACATTTGACTGAAGAATGTGTGTCTCGTACTTGCTATCCTATTCTTTTCTTCCCGAAACCTGTGACACTTCAGACGACGTTAGATCTATGTCAAGTGGCGGTCCGGAGACACACTTCTTTGGGTTTTTGCTGTTTTGCTACATTTTTTTAGGAGAAGTCTCTTTAGACGACAACTTACTCTTGATTTGGAGTATTGACCGTATAAGAACTGGAGCGAATTGAGAACATGTGTTTCATAAGGAGTAGGATCGATAATATTTTTATTTGAGGAAGGAGTAGGAGAGGAGCAAGCGTTAGTTCCTTTGAACCAGAAAGTTACAGAGGCTTCTAAAAGTTTTCTGGTAGCAAAGAGAAAGGGGAAATGACGCTTTCTCCGACTTGCAAATCCGCTCTCGGGGCCTGTCCGCCCCAGGGGTTTAGCACAGTGGGTGGTGTTTTGAGGATAATACTGCCTAAAGAATTCTGACCCCTTCGGGCCGCTCCTATTTTAGAGGGAATTAGAAGGGGAAGAAAGAGAAAACTACCGAGTACAGTTCTACTTGTTCCCCCCTCTCCAATTTTATGGCGTTCCTCTTCAGACCTACCGTTTCGACTTGTACACAATCCGTCCCCGCACAAGTCGCGGATTCGCGTTGTGCTTTTCGCGATTTGGGGACAGGCACTGCATGTCGGAGCAATCAGACACGAATGCGGTGGTGATACGTGGCAAACATCGTTCGGATCGTGCGCTGGGTAGCCGTTCTGAGCCGAACATCGGTATGGGTACCGTGTCAAGACGTTTGGGCACACGGAACGAACGGTTGTACATTTCGAGGCGAGAATTGTGAAAATCGAAAGTCGAAAGTCGAAATCGAAATTGGAATAGAATGGAATGATTGAAGAAGATGAAGAAGAAGAAGAAGGAGAAGAAGTACGTATTCGGTGGCGGCGGCGCGGTTTTGATTGCTTCCTTAGAGCGAAAGCGCCAGAAAGATGAATATTCAAATCATTGACGCGCTTCGAAGTGACAAGATGAACGCCGCGGTGCCGGTTATTGTCGCAAAGCGAAATTATCATTTATGGGGCGACTGATTATCAAAATCTTGATTTCCGCGATTCTTCGGACATTGGATTTGATTTATATTGCTTGGAATCAAGTACGTACTTTTGGGATTTGCAGCGAAATTTCAAATGTTTTCTAAGAATTCTAAAAATTCCACACAATGTTTACTCTCATAGTCAGACAAGTGAAAAAATGAGGTCGAATTGGTACAATTCCTGAATAAACAAACAAAACGACTTTGTAGGTCAAAATTGTGTGCCATTTCACTTCCAATCCCATCCGAATCCGATTATTTTGCAGAAACAACTGCCAAGTATCCTCAATAGTCGGAAGAGTCAATATTTTGAATAACGCTGATCGGCAAAAGATGGGATTCCAAAAAACAAGCGGGAAGTGATATGAATGAGAAGGGGGCATCTGGTAAAAGAGCAGCCACATCGTGCTTTTTGCGAGTTGCCGTGTGCTGCTCTCATCAACAGATGGGACCTGCCCGGGGCATTGTGTGCGGGGGGCACAAGGCGAAAAAATGAGAAGAAGAAGAAGAAGAAGAAAACGAGCTGAGGTGTGTGTGTGTGTGGAGAGAAGAAGCGGACAATTACATAAAAGTTGTCGGTGTAAAACACTAACTGGCACTGACCCCATGGCCGCGTTGATGAGCTATGTATTTCATCCAGAATTATCGAGAATCGGCAAAAAATTCAAAAATTTTCGCGAGCCGACCGGGCTTGGGCGGCGACAAGTCTGATTTCATCAATTTTTAGTAGAGTATCGATAGAACAACCTCACATTACTCATACAAAACGGTTACTGATAAGGAAGTTAATGCAATCAGCTTGCAAAAAACATGGGCAGCTGTGCTGTTTTCCTTATGATAGATTTTGTTTGTTTTTTTAAGAAAAAGGAAGCTGTGGCGGAAATAAATTAGGAATCCATTCGTTTCCCTTGAAATCTCACCCATGGGAATGGGAATCACAAATGTTTACGAATGTCAGCTCAATCAGAAAAACAGATGTGATGGGCACCGCGGGGCTGACTTTTAGGCCTACGAGAAAATGAATGATAAGTCGAACAGGGACGGTGATCCCGATCGGTTATGCAACCGCGCGCACGCAAAAAGAGAAAGGACGGCAAACCAGTTGGATTTCCTTTTCATACCAAGTTCTCGACGTTCGAAATCGGTTTAACCTATGTCAAACTGAAAAGTGAGATTGGCAAGGTACTCTTTCTCTATTTTTCCCCCACAAACTATGCATAAAACGTTCCGCAAATTGGATTTAGGTACGAGAAGAGAATTACAACTTCCTTCCGTCGGCGGGGGCCATGCACTTTGCCATCATCTCAATATTTTATCAACAGCCGTGTGTGTGGGAAGTGTGAATGGGTGACTCTTGAGGGGGATGAAATGTGAGAAGAGAGAGAGAGATGAGATTTTTGGGGAATAATGAAAAATGTCTCCAATTAATGAGCTTTACGATTACAATGCAAAGAGGAAAGAACAGCTGGGTCAGTGGACTCAAATTTCACTCCAGTTCTTCCTAATTACCTCGATTTTATAAAAAGTTTAATTTTGGATTTAGTTTTGAACTCACTGTTGATTCGCCTCCGCGATCGATTTTTCCATTTTGCTCACACTTTTCGTTCTCTTCAGAGGATTCGAGCGGAAAGGTCGGGATAACAGGTTCTGAAATATCCAAAAACAATCAAATTAGGTAAAAATAAAACTCACCGCAATACGTCCGGAAGCTGATGAATCGGACGGGTTGTTGGCGGGTTGCACAATTGGGAACTGTAATTGCCACATCGAATTGATAATAACGTAGACATCGTTCGGTGAGAACGCCGTCACGTCGAACATTCTCATCTTTTGATGTGTCAGAAATGACTTATCAGTTGCATGTATTTCTCTCGGTTTGGCAATGTTAGTGCCTGTGTGACTCATGCACTCACTCCCACCATTCAATCGGAGTTCTTCTCCAAATACTATGTAGCACAATACTCTCTTTTCTGCTCTACATACCTGTTTACACGGTTTTGTTACTTTTCAGATTGAAATTGAATGTGAATGGGTGTGGAGTGGAGTGAAATGTTTGGAATGAAGTTACTGATAAAATTGTTTCTGCAGTTGTCTTCTTCACGCCTTGAAAGACCCGGAGATGCCTATTTACGGAACAAGTTGTGGCCGTGGCCTACAAAATTCGTGTGTGAAAACTCTTCCTGACTGCTAAATGCCTTAAGATTATTCCAAACGGCAAAATAATTTTGGCGAGAATCACATGATCATTTGCTTGCTGTGCCGTTCAAAAGTGTTCCTAGAAGTTGAGATGAGAATCCATTTCAGAATTTTGACAATCAAAAAATTGAGAGGGTTTCCTGTTTTTTTTTAACATTTTCACGGATGTCACGGAGAACTACGGAGAACTACGAATCATGCGCATAATTGTTTCAAATTCAACTCAAACTCACCCCATAGGCATTAGTTGCCACATGATTGAGGTTCTGTGAAGAGCCGGACAGTCTAGTGGACAAGTTGTGACTAGACGATGACATCCGACCGTTCATCAGGTTATTGTGCACCGATGCCGTCAACGTCGTTCTGTTGCCGGTCGACGCTGCCGACCATCCCCTCCGATCCAATGATTCTCCTCCGACCTGAGCTCCTCCAGCTCCTGACGTTTCATCGTGGATGGCGTCTGAAAATGAAACATGTTTATTTTTATTATTTTCTTATTTCTTATCAAGATCAACACCAAGTTGGACCTCTTGACCACAAGATGTCTCTCTTGTGTGCATAATGCAACTCTCTGTCTCTCTTTTGGCTCCCACCCGGTCTGTGCACACATCAGACACCCGTTTTCGGTATGTTTGTTGTCATTATATTTATGCGGGTAAAACAATAGCGTGGAATTGTTGTGGATGGAAGGGAAGGTGCGCGAGAAACGGTTGAATTAACGCGACGGCAACCAACCGCCACCCTATCGCATTATTTGAAACCTGAAGCCATTATTTGTTGGGCAATGGATTCCAGATTTCAGATTCCTATACACTAGAAATGGGTAGAATGATGATCACCGTGACGCGATGTTAATGATATGGCTATCAAATCGGGTTAGGATTACTGTAGAGGCTTTGCTCAAATTCTATCATAAAAGCTTTTCTGTTTCTGCTTCCCATCAATCAATCTACCACCATCTGCGTGACCGTATCTGTTTTCTTATCCCCCTTCAATTCACGAAGGCGACAAAAAGTGCAAAATCTTGTTTTTTGTCCGTTCCTCAACAGATACACGTACAATGCATTTCATTTTTCGTTTTTCGGTTTTCCGATTCAGTGACGATTCAAAGGTGTTAGTGTTAGCTTTGCTGGGTAAACATAATAGGATCCGATGAATATATATATACGATTCTAAGAATGAAAAAAAAAAGTTACCATGAAAATCAATGTCATAGTCGACTGGAGGAATATGCTCTTCAGGAATAATATTCAGCGAGTACGTACTTTGAGAGTACCATGGCGAGTGACCGTAGCGGCGCATATCGGAAGAATATGGGGAAGAGGAAAAGTTGAGCGGAAGAAGGAGAAGAAGAGGACCTTATGTTCGTTTCTCATCAGTGGGTGGTCCGTTCGCAACACATTCGGCCTTGTAACACGCCACGCCACTCAACTGAGGGCCTGATAATAATTGCGTGGGAGGTGGCAGGGACAGGGCAGAAAGAAAGATTATTAATGAACGGAGAGAAGGAAGGATGTGACTGTAGGTGGGAGGAGGATTCTCTCTCCCTCTCTCTCTTTCCTTTTTCTTTTTCTCTCCTGTCGCCAATCTCTCGCTGATCTAAGCTTCTGCCGTCGGGCGCCGAGTGAGTGACAATCGTGTACGATTCCGATTCGAATCGAGGCAAAAGTGGAAGAGAGGAAGAGGGAGAATGCGCCCCCTCCGCCGTTGTTCTTGATGCTTCGGTCACTCCGCCCTTCTTCTTCTCCGTCGTCTCGTCTAGAGCTTACCGCATGCGTCTCGCGCTCTTCCGCGTTCTTTTCCTCTGTCGCGCGCGGACCGTAAGCCGCAATCGTTGTTTTGACCGTCTGCGTCGCCTACTTCTCCAGGGTTTGATAGCATCAAATAATTGAAGACCCCCGTCTCGTCGCTCATAATCGCCTCTACGGGAAAAGAGAAAGAAAATGAAACCTTTCTCTTAATTTGCATGAATGAGTTTCTCGCGGGCGTCCTCGGAATTTTTACACCTTGCAAGGTGATAATGACCGTTATGATAACGGTAATCCGGTCTCCGACAGGCAACTTATGGAAAGGGTGGAGTAGTACAGTAACTCGACACTTCAACAATGAAACTGAAAGTTTTTGCTAACAGTCCTCAACAACCGTAGACACTTGTATCAATATCCCTTCTCAAAAGAGAGTGTGAATTCATTCATAAACCAGTCCTTTTGACACCTTTTTCTAACGTCTTCCGGGGAGAATTCAGAAATCAAATGCTACTGCTACGTTTCCAATCAAATCCAAAGCGTCAAGGCCAAGAATTCAGCACAAGGACTTTTGTTAAACAAAAAAGTCGAGAAAACTGTCGTCCGCTGGCCGCATCAAAGTTCGCAGCGAGAGGAAACATGGGAGCAAACAAGTGCTCATCGATCTTTCGGTCATGATTTGTCTTCAGAGAAAAACGTGTTCATTGCACTGTTTGGACAGCAAAAAGGTGCCTATCATCTCATTTTTCTAATGTAAACGATGCTTGTCAGTGTTCCACCTCGTGTTATCAGATCTCGTTTCTCTGATTTCTGTCGTTTGCTCATCAGGGGGGCCCTCACCACTTATGTGACCACTTGAATCGGAAGGCGCGCCACGATCACTCAAAGGCGAATACGACATGTCATCTTTACCGCCCTACTATATCACGGTCTGACAACAGGAGGGAGGAGGAGTACCAGGAGAAAAAAGTGGTCGGACAATGAGTGAATTTCACTTTGCAATTAGTATAATGGTTACACTTTACCCTAATGGGGTGTGGAGTGTGATTTCTCATTCATCCCCGTCTAACCACTTTATCGGTAACTGGGTTGCAAATTCAGAATCACTTTTGATTATTTTCGCACTACATAGTTGAGGAACAGCTACAGTAGGACTGCCAATGCTCTAGAGACAGAGACACAAATTAGTCAACGAACGAAACAAAAAAGAAACCTTTTTGAGTACGTCTTGAGCACTTTTTTCAAAGTGAGGACTAAATGAAAGAGAAGTAGGGGAATGAATTCAATTATCGGGATGGTGGACATAAATCTTCTTACCAGAGTGTCTTTTCGCCCTCGTACCGGTTTTCCCAGAGTCCTACAAAAAGCTTTCATAATCATTTTTGGCTGAGAAGGTGGAGCTCCATTTTTATAGGTCCATATACGGCCAGATGAGAAGCATTAAAAACAAAAGCGAAACAAGTGAAAACGGTCATAAAATTTCGAGAGCTCTTTTCGAGTTATTATCAAAAACGTCATTGGATGCAAAGAATATTCGATTCGGCAGTTTAGTTTACGACCGTGCACTGAGAAATTGAAGAAGAGGGCAGAACACACGTGACAAATGCTTTGGGCTCGGACCAAAAGAAATAAGGTGGAGGCGGCACACAACACAACTCTGGTGCGCACCGATTTCTTCCAGTTGAACGTTTTAGAATAGGAGTAGAGTTATAATGGAATGCTCAGTGAGCAACAGAACTTCCCTTCTTGTTTAGGAACCGTCGTCGTTGGCTGTCTTCATTCCAATTCAATTCGGACAACATTTAATTTCCACCCATTTCATGCCCCCCCTCCTCTTTTACATTCGTCTCCTCCGGTTGGGCCGGCCGTCCGGACCAAGACGAAGACAATTGATGAGAAAAAGATTCTCGGTCAGCTTGGACAGACTTCATTATCCATTGAAGCTACATTTTCCTTTTTGGAAGAAAGAAAGTTTTTTGAATTCAGAGCAATTCAAATGTTCGGTATGAAAGCAATTGTATCTGAAAAGCACTCAGGAGCTGCATTTCGGCCGTTCATAGCCGTTCACATCCAAGTACACCCCAAACATTTTCCAGAAATCAATAGAAAGTGAGTCGGTTAGTCAGTAGTCGATGACGTCCACATTCACATTTTATGACGAAACAGTGATGATTGTGATGATAGGCGTATTTTGGCAAACCAGTTTGCAGGCGCAGCCCGACAACCGTCAGAAAAATAAGTTCACGCTGATGCATCAAACTTGCAATATCTCACCTCACCCGGCCAGGCGGAAGTGTCAAGCTGTTCCAAGCGCTGCTGGCAAACTATTCATTCATAAGTACCAATCCAAAGAAAAAAATCATCGGAAAAGAAGCAAAGACAGGGACGACGGGGGAGGGAAAGGGTGAGTTCAGATCAGTTACAAGTTGAAAAACCACAGGGAAATGTTGAATGATGATCAGTTGGTGAGGGCGGTAGTGATAGGGAAGATGGATGAGATTTAGACGTACGAATTGGATGGTTGGTAAGCCAAAGCTTTTCGAGTAATTAGAGAAACAGAGAATTAAGACAGACATCGGTGCGTAACAGTGACGTCATTGAGGGTTAGCCGTTCAACTCGGACTCACAGGTCGTTTGGTCTTTCTCGGCCGTGCGTGTTTCCTGCTGCAGGAACGGCTGGAGCTCGACCTTCTCGGCTTCCTCGCGACGCATCGACTCCGGAACTCGGTTGATCGGAGCCGCTCGCTCGACGTCCTCCTCGACGACACACTTGTCCTTCCTGCACAAACAGCAACATCCACAGCAATTGAAGCTGTTCCAGCACTCGGTTACTGCGTAATAGACGCGACGGAACCAGTTGAGGATGTGTCCGAGGATGAATAGAGGAAAATAAAGGATGTTCCACATTGACATGGTGGAGCTCACAGTTAATGTTCTTTAGTAAACTGGAAGCGGGATGGGATCGGAAGAAGGGGGCGTGCCCCCCGACAAGAGGCGACGTCGGTTGCAGAAGAAACGTGAGGAGCGAGGAGAAGGCGACGGGAGAGCGTGTGCGTTTGACCGACTGCCAAAATTTGGGTCTCCGGCTCCGCCCCCATTCAATGCATTCACTTTGTTATCGGAAAGAAGCGAAAGAGGTGGGTGCAGACGTTTTTTGTTCGGTTGGTTCTGTTGGATCGAGTGGCGCGAATCGAGGAAGAATGTGAAACAAAAGGTTATCAGCTGACGAGAAGACGCCGGGATGATGAATGATAATGATCGGGTTGGGAAGGGATCGGGCGTAGAAGAGTGGGCAGCAAGAGCCTCCCTCCACATTCTTCGCGAAAAAGACGATAAGCGAATACTCTTCTTATCATTCGGTTATATATATATCTCTTTTGTTAATTGAGTCCTCGGTTTTCATCCCGAGACAGACGTTGGCAGGCGCCAGCAAGTGTGATATGTGATCGAGGAAATGAAATATGTTCGGTGCCAAAGCATCAACCCGACCACATCAGAAATCAACTTTAAAAATCTTAGATCGGATGCGGATCATCCGATTGTCTCTAGATTTAGGTTGCCGATATTTCAACACCGCGCTTCTCTTCGATTATGAGCGAAGCGATCACATTTGATTCGCGCGCCCGTTCCTACTTAATCTGCGGGAAAGGTGTGAAATGAAATGAGATGGGAAAATACACGACGCCGCCTGTTTGTTCCGTTTCTACGATGATTAACTTCTTGTTTTAGAGATTACCCTCACTTTCACTTTTTCTCTTTCATTCCATATGATATAGATAAGAGTGTTACCGGAATGTACACCTCCTTCCGCTTTCCTGCTACAAAACGATAAAGGTATTTATCAATTTCACGCTACAGATACTGTTCTCTTCTTGACCAACTTTCATTTCTTTACGGTTGCAGAAACTGGCCGAAGAAAGGGTGGGGGGTCAGGAGATGTCATCGCTTGGGGATAATGACGTCGATCGTTGCCTTTTAAGAAAAGGACAGCGAGCAGTCCAAGTATGTATACAAAAAAAGTTTAGTCTGGTAATTGTCGACTTTGGTTTGCGTTTCTGTGAAATTTCACCTGATCAGAGAAACGACAAGAGTTCAGGACCGAAAAAATGAAAGTTAAGCTGGAGAAAACCCAAAAAAGTAGTCTTCGTCACACTTGTCAAAAATGGGTTGAGCAGATGGAAAACTTACATGCCCGGCTCATAATTTTCTTGTGCTTTGAGGGAAAATGGAATTTTTTTCAGATTTCACTTTTGTACTTCTTTGTTTTATTCTAAAACAATTGGGCGGATGTGGAACGAGAAAGCGAGAAATGCAAGAGAGACTTTAGAACTAGAGGAAATTGGAAATCCGTTTTTGTTGTCTTAAAGTCGATTTCGTAGTTTTGCAGGAGTCTCAATGAAATTTTTTGAAGAGAAAAGTGTAGGTACCAGAGAAACTGTATGCAAATTGAAAAATCAAGCAGAACTCACCTCGAACACTTCCATATTTGGACGGTCGTATGTCAAATGTCTCCATGTGCTACCAGTATAACCCCAATTGCAGCTAAAACGTGCGAATACGTATGAGTAAGGGAAGAGACGAGGGAAATAGAATTATCAAATGAAAGAAACAAGCGGACGATCATTTTTAGGATCACAGGTTATCAAAAAAGTGAAAGGTGTGACGGATTAGATAATAGTGTGGGATTGGGATCTGGTAATTCACGAGGTCGGAAACGGGATGATCTTTGTAGAAGGGACAGAACAGAACAGGATAGCTTCTTTCGAATTGTATTAAATTACGGTGTGTGGTGAGGGTCAAAAGTGTGAGGGAATGAAAAGAAGAAGAAGAGGGGATAGCCGACAGATGAGCGAGAATCTGTGAAGGTTGATGGTATTGTTCTTCTCCTTCTTCTCCTCGCCTCATTCCTCATTCCTCCCCTCTTTTTCAAAAAAATATCAATGGCAAAACGAAACGAAACCGTCCGGCTGCTGCTGCCACCAGCCGGCATGACAAAATGAAATCAGTGAGTGGTGGTGAGACCCGTTTCGTTTTCGCACCACAAAGAAAAGACAGTTTATCCCATTCTCATTTGCTCAATTGCGCCGATTGCCTGCATGCTCTTTTCGCGGCGATTCGCTGACCGGCGGTTCGATTTCTAATAGCCAAAAGCTTGAGCCGAAAATGAAGAAAAAGGAAACCAGAAGTTCAGACCAGGGTGTGCGAGGAAAATTATTTGGCTAATTTTGGAAAAACACCCCGGTTCAGACTGTATATTGTGTTTTTCTTTTTCTGTTACGAACACAGCCAAACTAACCTATTCAAATACTTGACAGAAGAGAAACGAACAAACAAGGTAAAGAAGAGAGGAATTGTGTTCGTGTTCGGACTGGATTTCCAGAAAAGGGTGTGTCTGAATGTGGCACAATCTGATTTTCATATCCTACATGGCGGCGACAGTCAAAAAGAAGAAGTATTTGCGGATAGGTGTCAGATCTGTGACTCACTGTAAACCTGAATGTGTCCCAACCCATCTTTACTTATTTACACAAAAAATTTCGAAAGGGGTTGATTGACAAGTAAGAAGAACAGAACACAAGTGGTTGGGCGGAAGGAAATTAGACAGTAAATCTCATTAGAAAACTGGTGGGAAACAGTGACAGACTGGCAGCTTCTCGATATGGATTTGGGCGAATCTATCAAAAAGGGATATCGGATATTTGATATAGGTAGACAGGACTGGGCGCGAGACCAAAAGAAAAAAAAACGGTGTGATATATGATGGGTTTCTCTTTTCTTTTCTTCTTCTTCTTCTTCTTCTTCCACCACAATTTTCCGCCATATAAGGAGGAAAAGAATGGGAAGAATCGAGGACGACACCTTTCAAAGAAGAAGGACACAAATCGAAACGAACGGAGACGATAATAATTAGGTGTCAAGTACGGTAGCGCACTTATGGAATGAAAAACTAAAACTAAAACAAGTACAGTCAGGAACAGAAACACAAGGAGACATGTGGCAGGGGGTCGGGCCGAGTAATTGTCTACAATGCGATTAGAAAGCACTACAAATGAGTTGGGATGCGCCCACAGCTGTCCGAGTATTGTCCGTTTCCCCCTTCCCCCAAATGCATCTAGATGAGGATCTCAAGATCTTTCATGCTATGCCTTCACAATTGGCATACTGGTTCGCAAGTTGGCAAGTTTAAACCTCTCAACGATTTCGGGCTGAAGAAATTATGCAAAAGTCATTCAGCCTTCGGTTTTCATCTTCAAAATCTCGTCCTTTTCCTTTTCCCCCTCACAACGCCCTTTCTCGGCTTAGTTCATCGTTTCTCTAATACCCCTCACTCTTATCCAAAACGACGGCACACCATATGCTCCAGTACTATGACGAGGCGAACCAATTAGAAATTGATGAAGCAAAAGAACCCTGGCAAATTAAAATTTTTGGCTCGCGTGGCAGGCACACGCCGGTTTTTGCTGCAAAAATTCAGGAAATGTCAGATGGGGGTGAGGGTGACAAATGAACGCACGTTTACAGCAACAAAATGACATTGGAAATGTGCATAGGAAGGCGCTTTTTTAGTATATTTGATGGATTAACGCCACACAAAGCGAATAATAAACGTGACGGGGCAGAAAGAGAAATTTAAAGTAAAGGTTAAAAGTATCATGAGATTTGTTCCGAGGAAATTTTTTGCCCCCGAGGTGTCAAGTGGATTCGCGCACTAACCAGTTGGGGGGCAAGAACAGAGCTCTGCGACGAAGTACAAACAATACATTTTTCAACACAGAGTCGAATTTTTGACAAAATTTGAACACCTGCTTACTAATCAGCTTACGTTAACTTTTTAAAACAAGAATCCGCCAGAGTGTCTGTGTGGTCTGAGGTTGAGAGGGCATAAAATTGGAAAACGATCGGAACAAGGAGAGGAAAGGGAAGGAACGAGAACACCCCGGCACCAAACACGCGTGTTGCTTAATAGGGTCGTAAAATGAAAGTAATTGAGCCCCGTTGTTTGGTAGCGTGGTCGAATGGGTCCACCAGTAATTCTGTAGACCACCTGCTTGATGTCTCCAGATGGATGAAGGACGAGAATTGGAATTGAAATTGACTTATTTGCCAAAAAGCTAAGAAAAGTACTGTCGGAATACAAAAATCGGTGTTCCGTGGCAATGATGTTCAGTTTTCGGTTTCAGTTTCACTCGTGTGTGTCTAATTGTACGATGGGAGAAGAAAGAGAGAAAGGGAGGTTTTGCAAAGGGAAGACAACGGAAAACCAAACGACAAAATAGTGACAGATTGCATGTGTTGTTGGCAGAAGGAAGGAAAAGAGCTCGTGTTTCAACTGTGCTGCGCAAGATGACGAGTTTTCGATTCATTTTGCTCTCAGAGGGAGAGTTAATGACGTCCTCTTGTTTCCAAGGAAAAGTAGGAGAAGGCAGAAGAGAAAGAGGGGCAAGAACCAATCGGATTTCAAAGTGATTAATAGAGATCAGGAAGCTGTGGCAGACACGTCGGTCCATTTCACAAAAGCGGCCGATTGTGAAGTACTTCTATTCAAATAGAATTCTGAATCATTCACACGAGAACCGGCACCCAGCTCAAACACACAAAACAAGCCCCACCTCGTTTCGCGTCACTGATATGGGCATGAATATTATTTTTACGCGGAGAAAAAGTGGTTTACTGAATTTTTGATTGACTCAAGGGCAGAAAAAATTTTCAACTGGCCACCTACATAAACGTCTTTACTTCCCCCCTATCAAAAGATAAAAGCGATCTCTCCCGGTGGTGTGAGTGTCTTTTCGTCTCCCTAATTATCCAAATGTCATTAAAAATACGGGAAAAGAGGTACAAACAGTTGTGGCGGTCATGTTTCTTTGAAGTTTTGCCGGCAAACGGATTGGATTCGACTAATGGATAATATATGGCTTTTCTCAATATTGGAAGCATAGAAATCTGCTGGCTGTCATGTATTCTCGATTGGAATGGGTTGTTGTTTCATATTTCCCTTTTCCTTTCTTTCCGGTCAAGGGTGACACTAAGTAGGTAACCAGGCAGAAATTCTCATATAATTGCTGCAGTTTCTAAGGAACTGACAGTTTTTTTTGTTTTCACACTTCCTTTCGTCTGTCTGTTCTCCCCTCATTTGCAATACTTAAGGGGGGTTTGGGCAGTTTTGGCCGTAGGAGAGATGTTAGCTAATTAGGCGTTCAGATGACCATCATCTTTGTTTCATCTTTTCTATTTCTGCGCCGAACCTTTCACAAAAAAACGTCTAAAGGACGCAAAAGTGTTGATCATCTAATCCCTTCCACCGCGCGGTATGTACATGTTGCGGAGTGCAAGGCCGACCGGTGAGTTTTTTGTGCCCCTACGGCGGCCCACTTCACATAATGTTCTAGCTTATCAGGCGGATAGTGGTGAGCTCTCAAAAACAACAGGATTTTTTCGAAGACATCATCATCATCATCATGTTTTGCTCAAAATTTTTCCGATGTTTACAAACAATACGGTATAAATTGAAACGAAGAGAAAGAGTCCAAGAAAAGTCGAAATTCGACACGTACCATGTATAACCAAGGATAAGGCGGAGGGAGTGTGTTTCGTTGGTCTTCTCCTGATCGGCGGCAATCTCGGGCTGAAGTTATTGTCGTTCAAATGATCACAACTTCGGCTCAATCGTTTTCGAATGCTCGAATTTTCGTCTCGTTGATAAGGGCGTCGAGATTGGCCGTGTGCGAAATGCACGTGCCGTGGAGAATAATGTTGTTGGTACTCGGAAGGAATAGGCGATGGAGTATGCATATTTTCCCGGGATAAATACCTGAAACAGCAAAGTTAAGAAAAGGGTACAACTACGTAGAAAAAAGCTGAGAACTGGAGGGGGATAAGCAGATTGTTCAAGTGCTGGTAATACTCTCCTATTGCTAATATATTGACAAAGGTTCTCGAAAAAATCCTCGAACACACGCAAAGACCAGGGAACGAGAAAAGGAGAAAAAACACACATTTTTTCGTTCTCGGGTATGTATGTGTCTTGGAGAATTGAAATTCAATTTGAATGCGATCAACAAACAACAACACTACCTGTGTGGCGAACTGGTTGAAATGGATGGGTTTTGTAAAAAAAAGATTGATTCCAGAGATAGAGAGGAAAACAAAAGCGGGTCAGTCGAGTGTGAAATTTCGGCTAATTTGAGTTAAAACCAGCACTTTCTAACCGAAAAGGGAAACCCGGAAAAGAAAAAGTGACCCACCTCTCTAAAAGGCTCATGTCTCCAGTGTCGCAGCGATGCAACTTGCGTGCATGTAGTCCACCGCCGGTTCGCAACTGTGGCCCGCTGGTAGCGGTGGTGGTAGTGGCCGGTAGGCGGCCGCTCATGTCGAGATCCTTGAACGACACTCGTTTCTCGGCTTTCGGTAGCAGCAGCTCGGCAGTGTTCACATACAACGGCAGCGATGACGTCGTGCTGCCGCCGCCGCTACTGTAGTTGCTGTTTTTCGACGACGGTGAGAGTGAGGCGAGGCTCGTCGTGTTGCTCCGTTTCTTGTTGGCGAGCAACAAATGGTGCAAAGCGTTCGGATAGATGCCTTGGCTGTTGGCGCGGTGCATGGAGCCCGTCGAGGAGTGCGACGATGCCGACACTCGCCGCTCGATCGGGCTCCGTGCCTTTAATGTTGAGGAAGACGTTTTGCAGGCGTTAAACGACGGGCTGAGAGGAGGGAGGTGAGGATTGGGTGGAAGATTCGGAGGGAGGGGAATGATGATGGCTTTAGGTAAGACCGGCGTCTGTCCGTGTCCTACAACACACTTTTTGCCCGATAACTTTTGGTTCGCCTTCGTTCGCTGCCAGCCTCCCTTATCGTTTTGCGAATGGCGTTAATAACCCGTCCTATCACAATTCGACCAGCTTCTTCTTCTTCTTCTTCTCTCTTTCTCTTTTGCTGCTTGCGCAATTGGACAGAACAACGTTCTGGATTGAAGGTTGAGACAACAATAGAATACGGTTTTTTGGGGTTTTGGATTTGTCACGGATTGCTGAAAGAAAAAGTGACGCGTTTTTAATACATAGATCAAAGAGATGGAGAGAAAAAGGGTGAAAAACATTGAATAGTCAAAAAAGGATGGGAGTGGGGTCATAAAATGGATGGCAGGATTGGTTACCGTCAACAGGTTATCTCAACCCAACCTGACGGTTTTCAACTTTTTTGAAATGTGGCCTTGTTGTGTTTTGTTCAAGTTTAACACCGTTATTACGTAAGTTGTGAAATTTGAGACGGAATCGTAATCCAAAAAAGTATGCTCTCTGTGCTCTCGCAGTGGGAAAAAATTGAGAGGCTTACAAGAGGGACACAAAATCTCTCTCTCTCTCTCTCTCGGGGAGTCAAGGGTTGACGGTGGGAGAGACATACAACACCTTGAGAGACTCATGTATGTTTAACAAGCACCCGATGGGGGGTTGGAAAGGGGGAGAACAACACATTTGGACAGACAAAAAACGGGAAAATGCATTCCTTTTTTTGTGCTTCTTACGGTCTCGTCTCCTCCCTATAATCCGAGGACCACGAGAGGGAAAAACAACTGATGTGGGAGGGAAGATGTGAGAGAAACAAAGAGCGAGCGAAACGGGGGCGCCTTGGGCTGCTTGCGGAGGCGTTTGTACTTGGGATTAAACCGTCCAACCGTAATTTATTTGACATTTTATTTTCCACCTTGTCCAACTCGACTTCCTACTCATTATTTCAACACCATCTTTTGTTTGCGGATTTGGATTCTGCTCATTCCGAAAGCATCTGATTAGTGAGAGAAAAACGTGTTCTAGAGAATACTTTGAGAGCATTTAGGAGTCCAAATAAAGAAGGAATAAAGGAAAAGACAACGTTTCTAAAAGAGAAACCGATGAAAAGCAAGCAATAGGTGACAGAATGACGAGTAAGTTGTAGCCTTTCGTGTGGGCACCGAGCATTGTACACAGATCGGCGCAGACAAACAGAGTACAAAAGTTCACAGCATATTTCCCGGGATGCATAAGCTCTCACTTATGTTCTTTGATTAACTAACTAACCGAGATACTCGACTGGCAACGCGCGGACCGTTGAAAACTTGGTAAATCTGCTCGGTATCCTGGATATACTGAAGAAACGCTCTTTCGGCGTAATCCTCTCTTTTGGCGGTCTTGTGTAGGAACGTGCGATGGTATGCGAGCCCGTAATTGGAGATGATCCATGTCTTTCGGGAAGCAATCCTGAAAATTAAAATTCCTCACATCTATCCGCCACCAAAACTTTTGTTTGGTTTCTATTTTTGCGCAAAAAATCTCTCCTATTTTGTTTGCTGTTGAGTACTCTCATGTTTCAAAGAAATGAGGTGTGTATTGCATTAAAAAGAGGGATGCTTACCCCAATGCTTGGCAAAAGTCATTCGACCGCCGTCCATCCGAACCGTGTTGTTCCGATGCACCATGCGGTTCTGAAAAGAACAAATTTTCAGATTTTTAATCAGAGTTCCAGGCCATTCGAGGTAGCGACATAAATTTCTAATTAACTTTCTGGAACCCGATACCAAGACCTCGTTAAGAAAGCAAAAAAGCATATACCTCTGATAATGGATTACAGAAAGCAATACACGTTGACTGAAAGAGTCGCATTTTCAATTTCACAATTGTTCAGTTCTTTTATAGTCTTGATGAACTCGAAAACACAATCTAACTATGCTATCTGTGAAAAGACCGGATGTAGTGTAAGTTCAATTAAAATTTGGCGGCTTCTTTCACATCTTTTCTCCCCCAGTTGACCAAAATACCTTTTTCTGTTTTGTCAGGTACGCAAAACGGTAGAAAATTGAAAATTGTTTTTACTGTTGTTTCAACCAAAGCGCAAAAAAGTTTACATATGAATTAGTCACGTTGACTCACCGCCATATACGGATACTCGTGTTTGTAACAGCTCATTGTGCTCTGTCTCGGGTCGAAAACACAGTAACCGGCGTGCCAGGGAAGTTTGACCTCCCGATTCATCATCTGTGTTGGATTACCCTCTGAAACAGTACTGTTTGCAATAAAAAAAAGTTGGGGGGAAAAAGCGATTGAAATGTGTGTGCGGGGATAGTGAGAAAATCATCAACTTATGATCGAGAGATCCGCACAAAAATCATCGTTTCAAGTGGAATTGACAATTAGACGGATGGAAAAAGGGGGACACAATGAGGGGCGAGAGTCGTCATCGTTTCAAGGTTGGCACCATTTCCGAAAGACCCACTTTAGTGCAATTAGGAAAAATGGAGAGTTGTTTTGAGGATCCGAGTGGATTGGATTGGATTCATGGGGAAACGAAAAGTGTACAGTTGAAGTGGCGCAACATGGAGCTAAAGGAGAGAAGAAATGATATCGAATTGTCTTATTGGATATTAATATTTATGCGAAAGGTGCTAAATCAAACACACGGAGGCATATCCCCTCTGCTGCGTATACAAAGTTTCCGATTGTTCGGTTGGTCTCGCAAAAAGAAAGGTTCATTGTTCATTCATCACAGATTTTTCGAAAATTGGCCTTGATTCAAGAGGTTTTTTCAGATTTTCCACTCGGAAAATTGCTTTTTTCATAAAAATTAGCTAGTACAAGCCGGAAAACGACTTGATCGGTCTGATACAACTTCTGAGAAACTAGTACTTGGAAGGCGACAACGTACTCGGAAGGCGACAAGAAAAGGGAAGTCGTTTTGTTTATTCATACGGATTTAGAAGCGAATATGTTTGTATTGAGGCATCGGTGTCGAAATCGGAATATGTTGCTTATGCAGGCCATCCCCCTAACCCGCACCCGCCTTTTCTCCAACCAACTTGTCAAAAATTTTATAGGAGAGGTGTCAAAAGGCAAAAGTAAACAGTGAAAGAAAGGTGAAAGAGGGCAGCATTTCTTCCAAGCGTACGAAAAACGAAAAATGAAAATCCTCCTCTAATTTCTTGCCGCACTTCGTAAAACTTTAGGATGAGGTCATAAAAAATCGAAGAAGCAAGCCGGCGACGTTTTATGGTTTAAAAAATGAAAGAAACTGGATCCAGGTACGTTTTCAGAAATTAAGAAATGAAGATAGGTTGGCACAGATTAATGAACGTGACCGGATAATTTCCGGAGGAAATGTGTGTGTTCAACGAGTTTTCTCATTTCTGGCAATGAGTCCTATGGTAAACATGTATCACAGATCGGAAAATCAGTTTACAGAACTTGAAATTGGAATCAAGACTCAAAAACTACCGTATTTCACAAAACACTAATCTAATTAGAGAAAGGTGTGAGAAGTTGAAAGTGGCAAGAGATTTCAGCATGCGATACGATAAAGCAAAGAATGTGGAAACAAGAGAAAGTGTCACACAGTAATATAGTATATACCAATGGGCTTGGCCGGTTGGCCACCACAATAATGATCATAATAGTAGTAGTAGTAGCTGTCGGCGATCGGATGAAGTGTCTCTTCTCCTCTGCCTTTTTCCGTCTTTGTAATCGCTTCTAAACGATTGTAACGAACGAGAACATCTTCTTTATCCTGATGTCTGTTTCTAGGATTACAGAACCACTCTTAATTACGCATGTCGGAAACGTATTGGGAGAAAGAAACATGCGTGGGGGTGTAGGCGAAAAATGAAAACCAGGAGCGAGCACACTTACCGCAAACGATAAGCCAACCATGACAAATGGGTTGAAGGTCTTCTTTGACGCCTCTTTTTTTGGTGCATTCTCCTGCCGATTTCTTCGCCTCTGCCTTTGAATTCTCCTCTTCTTTTACTTTTTCCTTTTCCTTTTCCTCTTCCGGTTCTTCCGTGATCACTTTCATAAGTGGAAGTGACTGCAATATAGAGTTGTCATGAAAAAAAGAATGAGGAGAAGAACAAGAAAAGAGAACTCCTCTCGGGTCGTTTAACAATATGAAGAAGTGAATGGGAAGGAGGAGAGGAAGAGAAAATGAGTATGAGCTCAGAAGGTACCCGGAAAAATAAGAAAATTTGAACGAAAACTTTCAAGATCGTATCGGATAGCAATTGAAAATGAATAGAGAATTTTTTGCGAAAAAAGTGTGGAGGAGGCCGTAAGAGAAAGGAAATATCGCGCCTTCATCCTAATTGAGTTACCGCCCACCAAGACTGGTGTAGCGGACGAACAATTAGTTTAGCTTGGCCCCCCGTGCTTTCGAAATGGTTTTGTTTTCCGCAATGACCTCCTCCTCCTCCCCCTCTCCTACTCATCCATTTCGGACGTTTTTAATGCTGCTTACGCACTTGTCGGGAATTCCCGAGATTCCTATCTCGTTTGGCTATAAATTTGGAAAATTTTGAGTCATTTGAGCGAGAATTGCGGTCGGTATTCTCGTGCTGATGAGAGGAGCAGAGCATTGGGAAAAAGGGACGCTCTCTCGCTTCTTTTCTGTATGGCCCATGGAAAGGCAAACGTTTCAAGTACACAACACCTCGCCTTTATGGTATTTTGAGGGATTGTTTACATTGCGGTTCGGAATTTGAAAAGAATTTGACGAGAAGAATGGGATGAAGCGTCATTTGTTCATTTTTGACGGACGGCTTGAATAAGTAGTGAAATTTTAATTAAGAAACAGAAAAGGAAGTGTGCGTTGACTGCAAAACTTTAGGCAACATTTGAGATGAAAAAACGTTAGTATGCGAGTGCCCAAACGCACCCAGTCCCCCAAATGTTTGTACTCGAGCCTCTTCAATATGACAGGGTGGTGGACAGTTCCCATGATGTTGTGAGGATGGCGAATATACCAGTGAGGGTTTGTTTTGGCATCATATTTGGACAGGACAATTGCATGAGCACCAGGGATGCAGGGGGAAATGAAATAATAATAATAATAATAATAATAAGAGCAGTAATGAATGATCTTTACGAATTCTCGGATTCTCACGGTTACTCCAAGTACGAATGCTCTTTTTCTTTGGCGCAAAACTTTGACGGAAGAAGAAATAGATGGGAGAAGAAGAAGAAGAAGACGTCCGGAATTCTCGCGTGCCAAAAGATGGGAGGTGAAGTAATGACAAATCTGCGCACCGAACAACGAACGCATATTACTTCCACAGTCCGGCGGCGCGTCACCTAAATTGTCACCTTAGCGTTGAATTATTAGTCAAATTTCGCGCCCTCTCTCCTCCAATTACCACGAAATGCGTGCGCCGGACTGACTGTATACGTGAACACCGGCGGCCGCTAAATAGGTTAGTTTTCCCAATGGGACCAAGTCGTACCACGAGAAACCCCGAAGGATCAAAAGGAAAACAGCGTCTCAACATATCACCACCAGTCGACATAACCTGATGATGGACTGGCCAGACGGATGATAGGAGGAGCATAAACTTCGAAATGGAGCCTTTGCCACCAGCTCGGCATCGAAAAGCTCTTACTCAAACACGTTTTCCTCTTCCACCTTTTCTCACCCATCTTAATACAATCAAAAGAGCCTGTTCACACGCGCCAAGATTCTGCCTCGCAATCACTTTCATGATATATATTTCGCTTTTTGTCCGATCTGCAAACACAGCCGAGGTGGCGCGCCGGGAGAGGGGGAAAAGTGACCGCGCACGAGGGCGGCAGACGGCGAGAGACAGCGGAGGGAGAGCCGAAATGCCGAGGGTGTCTTTATGCTTCAACTGGAGGGAAAATGCGGCCGAATGGTCTAGTGGTATGATTCTCGCTTTGGGTGCGAGAGGTCCCGGGTTCAATCCCCGGTTCGGCCCATTCCTTTTTGTTTTTTCTTCTACTTTAAAGAATCCCGGACTTTACAGACATTTCGAAACCGTCGGATATTCTGAAATTAAGTACTGAAAGACACGAATAGTGAAGAGAAAAGATCGATAAGTATCAAAATTTTGGTTGCGAGATATCTGGTTTCGAAATGTCCGATTTTTGAGATGTCTGGCTTCAAGACGTCCGGGAGTCTAAAGAAACAAAAAAAATAGATGTTACTTGTAGCCAATATGCAAATTCTCAATGTGAACCATAAAATAAATGGGCACAGGCTTCCTATATAAAACGTATTTGGTCTCAACTTCACACATACACACACAAATGTTGCTGCCTTCTCTTCTGATCCTCCTATTCTCCTACAGTGCCGTTTTGGCAGCTCCTAAACCTGTCCATTTGAAAAAAATGGTAGACGATCAGTTTCTAGCCATTAGAGCTGCAGCAAATGACAAAAACGCCACACAATTGAGTGAACTGCTCAAAGGAAGTCGTATCGATTTGAAAGGTCAGCCAGGAATGGGAGATTGAACGATTTTTAATGATTTCCATAATTTCAGATCCGAATGTTTGGCCAAAACTCGCAGCGATCGTGTTCCAAACAGAGGATGCTTGGAGGAAGAACGGAGGAATTCAAGAAAAGTTCACCGCATTCATTTGGAGCAAAATTATTCACGGAATTGTAGATCTTGAACCGGTATATTTGACGGACCTGAATTCACCTAAATTTGTATGAAATTCTTGTAGAATCCAAAGAGTATCACTGGTTGGAGTGTGGCAAAGATCGAGGAGACCGTCCCGCTGACAAAAGAGAATGAAGCGCAGATTCAATGCAAAGAAGGGTGCTCGATCCATATTTTTTACTGAAGATCTTTGAAATAAATGGGAACTTTCATCAGACACGTTTTTGTTTTGTTTTCCAGAAGTAAGGAGATCTCCGTTCGATCCCTTCAATCCCAAACTTTAAAATTCTATCACGCTTTTATGGTGAAATTAGGGCAATAACACGAGTAAAAAATCGTTTTCTGACTTACCAAGAAGGCACACTCACCTCTGTATGAACGGCTTGAAAAAATAGATCCTCTTAATTTTCTTGGCGATAGTGATCTTCATCACATTTCTTGGCGATAGTGATATTCGTAGCGCTAACCAGCAGTCCTCTTCTCCGCATCTTGAAAGTATAACACAAAAGCGATGACTTACCTCTAATAGTAAACTGTGAAAAGCAAAATTACCGGCTCCCGGGGTTACTTGGAGAGTCACAAGAAAAGTAGAATCTCGCCTTTTGTATTATACTGAGCAGTAGAAAACCAGTAAAAACCATAAACTTTAAATTGCCATCACGCTTTTATGGTGAAATTAGGGCAACAACACGAGTAAAAAATCGTTTTCTGACTTACCAAAAAGGCACACTTACCTCAGTGTGAACGGCTTAAAAAATAGATCCCGTTAATTTTCTTGGCGATAATCATCTTCATCACTCTTGTTGGCGATACCTACAAAAAAGGCACACTTACCTCTGTGTGAACGGCTTAAAAAATAGATCCCGTTAATTTTCTTGGCGATAATCATCTTCATCACTCTTGTTGGCGATACCTACAAAAAAGGCACACTTACCTCTGTGTGAACGGCTTAAAAAATAGATCCCGTTAATTTTCTTGGCGATAATCATCTTCATCACTCTTGTTGGCGATACCTACAAAAAAGGCACACTTACCTCTGTGTGAACGGCTTAAAAAAAATAGATCCCGTTAATTTTTCTTGGCGATAATCATCTTCATCACTCTTGTTGGCGATACCTACAAAAAAAGGCACACTTACCTCTGTGTGAACGGCTTAAAAAAATAGATCCTGTTAATTTTTCTTGGCGATAATCATCTTCATCACTCTTGTTGGCGATACCTACAAAAAAAGGCACACTTACCTCAGTGTGAACGGCTTAAAAAAATAGATCCTGTTAATTTTTCTTGGCGATAATCATCTTCATCACTCTTGTTGGCGATACCTACAAAAAAAGGCACACTTACCTCTGTGTGAACGGCTTAAAAAAATAGATCCTGTTAATTTTTCTTGGCGATAATCATCTTCATCACTCTTCTTGGCGATACCTACAAAAAAAGGCACACTCACCTCTGTGTGAACGGCTTAAAAAAATAGATCCCGTTAATTTTTCTTGGCGATAATCATCTTCATCACTCTTGTTGGCGATACCTACAAAAAAAGGCACACTTACCTCTGTGTGAACGGCTTAAAAAAATAGATCCCGTTAATTTTTCTTGGCGATAATCATCTTCATCACTCTTGTTGGCGATACCTACAAAAAAAGGCACACTTACCTCTGTGTGAACGGCTTAAAAAAATAGATCCCGTTAATTTTTCTTGGCGATAATCATCTTCATCACTCTTCTTGGCGATACCTACAAAAAAAGGCACACTTACCTCTGTGTGAACGGCTTAAAAAAATAGATCCCGTTAATTTTTCTTGGCGATAATCATCTTCATCACTCTTGTTGGCGATACCTACAAAAAAAGGCACACTTACCTCTGTGTGAACGGCTTAAAAAAATAGATCCTGTTAATTTTTCTTGGCGATAATCATCTTCATCACTCTTGTTGGCGATACCTACAAAAAAAGGCACACTTACCTCTGTGTGAACGGCTTAAAAAAAATAGATCCCGTTAATTTTTCTTGGCGATAATCATCTTCATCACTCTTCTTGGCGATACCTACAAAAAAAGGCACACTTACCTCTGTGTGAACGGCTTAAAAAAATAGATCCCGTTAATTTTTCTTGGCGATAATCATCTTCATCACTCTTGTTGGCGATACCTACAAAAAAAGGCACACTTACCTCTGTGTGAACGGCTTAAAAAAATAGATCCCGTTAATTTTTCTTGGCGATAATCATCTTCATCACTCTTCTTGGCGATACCTACAAAAAAAGGCACACTTACCTCTGTGTGAACGGCTTAAAAAATAGATCCTGTCAATTTTCTTGGCGATAATCATCTTCATCACTCTTGTTGGCGACACCTACAAAAAAGGCACACTTACCTCTCTGTGAACGGCTTAAAAAATAGATCCCGTTATTTTTCTTGGCGATAATCATCTTCATCACTCTTGTTGGCGATACCTACAAAAAAGGCACACTTACCTCTGTGTGAACGGCTTAAAAAATAGATCCTGTTAATTTTCTTGGCGATAATCATCTTCATCACTCTTGTTGGCGACACCTACAAAAAAGGCACACTTACCTCTGTGTGAACGGCTTAAAAAATAGATCCCGTTATTTTTCTTGGCGATAATCATCTTCATCACTCTTGTTGGCGATACCTACAAAAAAGGCACACTTACCTCTGTGTGAACGGCTTAAAAAAATAGATCCCGTTAATTTTTCTTGGCGATAATCATCTTCATCACTCTTCTTGGCGATACCTACAAAAAAAGGCACACTTACCTCTGTGTGAACGGCTTAAAAAAATAGATCCTGTTAATTTTTCTTGGCGATAATCATCTTCATCACTCTTGTTGGCGATACCTACAAAAAAAGGCACACTTACCTCAGTGTGAACGGCTTAAAAAAATAGATCCTGTTAATTTTTCTTGGCGATAATCATCTTCATCACTCTTGTTGGCGATACCTACAAAAAAAGGCACACTTACCTCTGTGTGAACGGCTTAAAAAAATAGATCCTGTTAATTTTTCTTGGCGATAATCATCTTCATCACTCTTGTTGGCGATACCTACAAAAAAAGGCACACTTACCTCTGTGTGAACGGCTTAAAAAAAATAGATCCTGTTAATTTTTCTTGGCGATAATCATCTTCATCACTCTTCTTGGCGATACCTACAAAAAAAGGCACACTTACCTCTGTGTGAACGGCTTAAAAAAAATAGATCCCGTTAATTTTTCTTGGCGATAATCATCTTCATCACTCTTGTTGGCGACACCTACAAAAAAAGGCACACTTACCTCTCTGTGAACGGCTTAAAAAATAGATCCCGTTATTTTTCTTGGCGATAATCATCTTCATCACTCTTGTTGGCGATACCTACAAAAAAAGGCACACTTACCTCTGTGTGAACGGCTTAAAAAAAATAGATCCCGTTAATTTTTCTTGGCGATAATCATCTTCATCACTCTTGTTGGCGATACCTACAAAAAAAGGCACACTTACCTCTGTGTGAACGGCTTAAAAAAATAGATCCCGTTAATTTTTCTTGGCGATAATCATCTTCATCACTCTTGTTGGCGATACCTACAAAAAAAGGCACACTTACCTCTGTGTGAACGGCTTAAAAAATAGATCCCGTTAATTTTCTTGGCGATAATCATCTTCATCACTCTTCTTGGCGATACCTACAAAAAAGGCACACTTACCTCTGTGTGAACGGCTTAAAAAATAGATCCCGTTAATTTTCTTGGCGATAATCATCTTCATCACTCTTGTTGGCGATACCTACAAAAAAGGCACACTTACCTCTGTGTGAACGGCTTAAAAAATAGATCCTGTTAATTTTCTTGGCGATAATCATCTTCATCACTCTTGTTGGCGATACCTACAAAAAAGGCACACTTACCTCTGTGTGAACGGCTTAAAAAATAGATCCTGTTAATTTTCTTGGCGATAATCATCTTCATCACTCTTGTTGGCGATACCTACAAAAAAGGCACACTTACCTCAGTGTGAACGGCTTAAAAAATAGATCCTGTTAATTTTCTTGGCGATAATCATCTTCATCACTCTTGTTGGCGATACCTACAAAAAAGGCACACTTACCTCTGTGTGAACGGCTTAAAAAAATAGATCCTGTTAATTTTTCTTGGCGATAATCATCTTCATCACTCTTCTTGGCGATACCTACAAAAAAAGGCACACTTACCTCTGTGTGAACGGCTTAAAAAAATAGATCCCGTTAATTTTTCTTGGCGATAATCATCTTCATCACTCTTGTTGGCGATACCTACAAAAAAAGGCACACTTACCTCTGTGTGAACGGCTTAAAAAAATAGATCCCGTTAATTTTTCTTGGCGATAATCATCTTCATCACTCTTGTTGGCGATACCTACAAAAAAAGGCACACTTACCTCTGTGTGAACGGCTTAAAAAAATAGATCCCGTTAATTTTTCTTGGCGATAATCATCTTCATCACTCTTGTTGGCGATACCTACAAAAAAAGGCACACTTACCTCTGTGTGAACGGCTTAAAAAAATAGATCCCGTTAATTTTTCTTGGCGATAATCATCTTCATCACTCTTCTTGGCGATACCTACAAAAAAAGGCACACTTACCTCTGTGTGAACGGCTTAAAAAAAATAGATCCCGTTAATTTTTCTTGGCGATAATCATCTTCATCACTCTTGTTGGCGATACCTACAAAAAAAGGCACACTTACCTCTGTGTGAACGGCTTAAAAAAATAGATCCTGTTAATTTTTTCTTGGCGATAATCATCTTCATCACTCTTGTTGGCGATACCTACAAAAAAAGGCACACTTACCTCTGTGTGAACGGCTTAAAAAATAGATCCTGTTAATTTTCTTGGCGATAATCATCTTCATCACTCTTGTTGGCGATACCTACAAAAAAGGCACACTTACCTCAGTGTGAACGGCTTAAAAAATAGATCCTGTTAATTTTCTTGGCGATAATCATCTTCATCACTCTTGTTGGCGATACCTACAAAAAAGGCACACTTACCTCTGTGTGAACGGCTTAAAAAATAGATCCTGTTAATTTTCTTGGCGATAATCATCTTCATCACTCTTCTTGGCGATACCTACAAAAAAGGCACACTTACCTCTGTGTGAACGGCTTAAAAAATAGATCCCGTTAATTTTCTTGGCGATAATCATCTTCAT